GTTCTGATCCGGAGATTAATTCTGTTTCCATGAGCAGACATGCGATCTGGAGGACTCTACGGAGTCGCATTCCGGATGGAGTTATTGTGACTAAACGTGTCGCAGAGGTCGTATCCAATACGAATGGACCAAATACAATCAAATTCGCGGATGGGAGCGCAGACGTGGAGGCGGATCTTGTAATTGGCGCGGATGGCTTGAGGAGCGTAGCGAAGAGGGCCCTGTTTCCTGGCGCAACTCAGGATCCGTACCCTCCACATTACCAGTTGAGTTTTTAGGCCTCCCCACATCTAACATCCATCTAATATTCTTTTTCCATAGAGGAATTGTTGGTATTGGTGGCTTTGTGCCCCTGGCCGACGTCAGGCCAGATGTCGAAGCAGGCGCCATGACTATTGTGTTTGGAGGGAACGGCTTCTTTGGCTATGCTCCCTCAGAGACCAGCCCTGAAGCTCCTAACCAACACATACCGCAAGGAGTAATGCCTCCTGGAAAGACCGTTATGTGGTGGTCCACATACGAGATTGACGAATGCCCTAACCCCAAGACCATTGATAAAGAAGCCGTGAAGCAAGACCTGCAGAAGCGGCATGGTAACTGGCGAAACCCTGTAATCCAGAAGATTATCAGCAGTGCCAATGTCGAAACGATGTATCCTGTGTGGACGACCCCTGACTTGCCAACATGGGAGAGTGACGGGGTTGTGTTGATTGGAGATGCGGCGCACACATTGCCCCCAACTTCTGGACAGGGAACGTCGCAGGCGCTGGAGGATGTAGAGTGTTTCACGATGTTCCTGGCCCATTATTTGAGGAAAGCATACGATGGCAAATCTCCAGAGGAGCCAGCGGCGGTAACGGAAGCGGAGACGGGCGCGATTTCACAGACTTCGAAAAAGTACATGGAAATCCGCCAGCCGCGGGTTAAGGATATTCTCACGAAGTCGAAAAGAATGGAGAATAAGAAGAGAAACTTGAACATCATTGAGGAATGGCTGTTGTACCTCGTATTTTTTATCATGGGTGAGCTCTCATCATATCAGCCGGTTTTCAAATACGACAAAATTTGGCTAACACCCCATCCTGCGATGACAGGCCGCCTGCCAACCCTACCTTGGATAAAAAATCCATTTGCCTATGACATCGCGGAAGAAGTCAGTCATGTCATTGAGTTGGAGAACCAAAAGGAGCCGAAAAAGGACTCGAAGTAAGACCAAATCAAACTGCTCTTGTGGATCAGCAAACCCATGCACCCTGTTCAACAGGTCTTCTCTGATCCGTTCACCTTTGCTCCTCCATAATATCTTGTTCTTAATTCATATTATACCCCCTCGAGATTTAAATTCTCATTTGCTATTGGATAATACTTCCCTGGACAATAATCCATGTTTTTTCTTGTCTCGGCGTAGTCATTAGTTATTTGTCGGATAAACTGAACGCTCTATCCTGACAATGTAAATAACATTCCCCATGGGCTGATCTACTCTCACACAAAGAGCACCTATAAGAAAAAGAAAAAGAAAAAAAAACATAAAATGTTGAAGCGTCTCTGATAGACATAGTTTTGTCGGGTATTCAGTTACAGACCCATAGAAAACCTCCAACCACCAAAACCCTTCATAACAAAATATCCCATCACATCACAAAATGAAGAATGAAACAGGAATTGATGAAGAGAAAGGAAAATGGAACGGGCATGGGTCATAACATATCTTTCTTGATATTCACATAAACAGGGCAAATAAAACGACATCACAAAATCAATCACCATTTCTTGTTAAAACAAAGGAAATCATGAACCATAAACATAAACATAAAGAACCAATAAAATATGAAAACAAAAAGAAAAGAAAAGAAAAGAATATGCCAATTACATCACTCCACGATCTTCCAATCCAAGCAATACGACTTTGGATAAAAATGTTCAAAGAGCACCTGCACCTCTCCCCATCCTCTCAATCGAGCTCATAATCCCACTCCTCCCCGCCCCAACCGCAGGAATACCTCCGGGCTTCCCACTCCCACTGTTTCCCCTCGAATGATGAGGAGGCGGCATTCCAAACCTAGGAACCCTTGGCGTTGGACCTCCAGATGGCTGTGCAGCTGCGGCCATGTTACGTGGCCGAATAGCAGATGAGGAAGATGAAGGAGCTTGGATACGGCCTATACTACTAGTACTGGGGCCAGAGTAATTCTCATTTCCTGGTTTTTGGATTGAATTTTCGACGCTGCTATCCGATCGTGGGGTGGGTGGTTCGTCTTTGGAAAGCGAACGCTGGTGTGACATGGGTGGTTCGGGAAGTTTTCGTCCAGGCTGCTGCTGTTGCAGTTGTCGCTGTAGTTCATCCTGTTCGTTTTGGACCATTTGGTCTTCCTCGGCTTGTTCCTCATCCTGGTGATGGTGTTGCTGCTGGTGTTGATATTGCTGGATTGCAAGCCACTCATCAACAGCCGCAACGAGTTCCCCCTTTTCTGCCCGTTCCTGCTTCAGTTCAGATCGAAGGGTTTCACAATCACCCTTGATGGATATGATCTCTTGCTCTAGTCCTTTAACACGAGCTTCAAGAACCCGCTTCTCTGCTTCCAGAGATTCGGTCTCTCGAATAAATGTAGCCTCTCCGCAGAACCCCTCTTCCCCACCAGAATTGTTAGAGTCCTTTTCTGCTCTCAAGCGTTCATTCTCCTCCAATGCTTCCTTCAGTTTCCTTTCTGTTTCTCTAACACGTTTCTCCCATCGTGCTTCATAGCTCTTTTTGAGAGCCGCAACTTTAGTCTCATGCTTTCCTTTGTAAAGTGCATGCAATTCCCGAGCAACCTTCTCGACAGCATCTTGGACTTCTTTCGCAGTTTCTTCGGCAGATTTCCTATCATCCTCGCTAGGAGGGGAATTTGCTGCATTTCTCGCGGCAGAAAGCTGGCTCTCCAGTTCCACAACTCTACCTTCCAATTTCTCCTTGCACTTTTCCCCTTCCTCAATTTTCCTGTTTAGCCTCTCACGTTCACGCTCGGCATCAACAATTTCATCCCTGACGCCCCGTAACACTGTTTCCATCTCTTTACCCCTTCGATCCCATTCTTGCTGTTCGGCTTCTCTCCGAGCCGACTCATTTCTCAGCTCCTCTGATACTTCGCCGACTCTTCGTTCCGCATCCGAAACTGACTCTTTCAAACACTTAACTTCAGCATCTCTTCCACTAAGTGTTGCCTTTAGTGATGATATTTCCGAAAGGAACGAAGACTTCAACGACTCTAACTCTCTAGGAGTAATACTAGGAATAGAGCGAGGAGTAGGAGCAGGGGGAATATCTAAGTCCAGTAAGGAGAATTTGGACGGGGAGCGCAGTCCGGAAGCTGTGGATTTTGCTGGGGAAAATCGAGACTGTCGACGAGATGGTGAGTGGTACCCGCCCTGTGCTGCGTATGAGGCGCGGGAAAACGCATGGATTTGGTCTGTAATTTCGGTATAACTCATATGGCTGTCACGACGAGGGTAATTTCGGCCAGGTGTCTGTGTACGTCCATCTTGCTCCGAAAAAATACCTCTCCTCTTGATTGTATTGGGAGTTTCAGCCATGTCGTCCGGACATCTAGCGACGCGCACATTTTTCTGGGGGCTCATGGAGCATTCTCTCATCCTCTTCATTGGTGAGTCTCGTCTCAGTTGATCAAAAGTAGTCATGTCGATATTGGGGATAGCGGAGAAAGTGCTCAGGCGTGTATCGTCCTGATCATACGAGGTGTAACGATCGCTCCCACCATCATTGTCCACCATCGCCACATTATCGGCCAAGCCACCTTGGTAGATAGTGCTCATGCTTTCGTTATTTGTCTCCTGTGTTGTGATGTTGGATAGCTCCCCGTAGTTAGTCCGGTTGCACCGACGGTCGAGCATACTAGTGTCGGTTTCTGTCTCGTGTGACTCTTGATTGGCACCCTCAATAGGATGTGTATCGTCATCGCCACCAACTATATCTTCTTTCATGGCAGGAAGCTCGGCATCTCCATGTAAATCCTCTTCCTTCGCTTCCTCAACACTATGCATGAGCTCCCGACTATCCAATTTCTCTTCTTGCATTTCATCTAAACGAAAATTACCGGATTCCGCTGTTCGAAAGAGATGCGTGGATTCACTAAAAACGGTTGGTTGAAATGGCGAGCTTAGAGCGCTGTCGTTCCTGGCACTAGAAAGCATATCCCCACCACGACCACCAGCATCACCCAATTCAAAACGGGCGGGAGAATCATCGTATACCGAAGGGAACCTATTTTCATCATTGTAAAGTGGGCTTTTCATTGGTGTAGTACTGTCGGCATTTTCGATCGTTGTGGGTTTAACAGTTGGGGAGCCTTGCATTCGCGGGGTACTTGCGCCGGGAGAAAACAGAGGGCGAGAATTTCGTTTTGAAGGCGTCAGGATGGATAGAGGGCTGTCCATTGTTTCCGCCATATCTTGGGAGCAAATCTTCGAGGGCCAGTCTGCACCTCGTGTTGATATTTTTCTTTTTTTGCTTGCTCGAACCTAGCGTCGTCAGTAAAGTTGACTCGAGCGAAGGCATGGAAAGGCAAATATTACAAAAACCGAGTTCCTCTTAAACTCTAAATTGTATATGATTGTTCCACGGGTTCAATGAGGCGGGAAAACTGTGTGGTTGTTTCGCGTGATCCAGCCAAAAAGTTGATGGTGATAAGATATTTCGTGGAGCGTATTCGGTGGTGGTTGCTGTGGCATTTGTTCTGGAGAGCAACGAAGTAAACAAAGCTAAACTACTTATGATCTAGCACGATTTTTATGGGTTTGGGAACGTGAAAAATCCACAAAATATCGAAATGGGATATAATGTATGATGCCTATAACGCACTCCTCAATCAGGCTACCTTTATGGTAGATCATAATTAACCCTTGGTGGGATACCTTGAAGGACTGGTATAAAATGCAAAATGGTTATAAAATATGATCACGCGCCAAGATCTATCGGTGCTCGCAGCATCCACCCGGTTTTTAGAATTAAATTGCAAGTTATATTTGATGAGATAGTTAACTATTGAAATGAAACCATATTATTTCGGTTCCAAAATTTACTCCAAAGCAATGATGCAAAAGTTAGGGTTTTGTCTGGCAAATGGGGAGTATCAAATCAAGTTGTTAGAATAGAAAGGACAAGGATGAAAAAATATATATATACTACATATAACCGTTAACGTAAAATATTCATTAACACTCTCTTTAAGAACACTAATAACACTAGATATTGTTTATCCATCACCTGCAAGTGGTAGTTAGCGCCGCCGGTGAAGGATAAATAACCCTATCACTTTCTGTGTTATAGTGTGGAAAGACATGATAATGGAAAATCAACGGAAAGGTGTTGTGAGAGAGAGAATATATGGGGTAGAGGGAAGTATAATTAAGATAAAGGGACGTTCCCGCTAAGTGTTATCATGTACAGTAACATGGATAACTTCTGGGATTAATGGTACCTCCTCTTCCCCTTGATGAGGATGGTGAAGAAAGACAGATGGCGCCGTAACCGACACCGCCGTGTGTTTTTTCCCATGCATGAAGTATAACTGGCAAGCTCCCACAATAGCAACCATTGCACTACCCCACCATGCGAGGCCAGTGAACTCGATTCGCGAGCCAATGCTATAAAGATACCCGGCTATCGGTGGGGCAATTGTTCGACACGCTGCACCGGCGGAAGCGGCGAGGCCGTTGATTTTACCTATTACGGAATGTGATGGGCAGGCTTGTTTGATGAGGATTAACAGGACTGGATAGGCTAGGATGGAGAAGAAGTTGCGGATAGTCAAGCAGGTGTAGATCCCGGGGAAGAGCAATTTTTGCGGGAGAGATGTCAGGAAGGGGACGATGAAGTATGCGATTGGATGTAAAACGGTGACGAGCACGAAGACGTTCCAAACCCCAAGCCATTCTGCTAGGAGTGGAAAGACTATGGCTTGGATTAGAAGCGCGATTACACCGTTAACAGCCATGATCAGTCCGACTGTTTGGACTGAAAGACCTAGGCCGCCGGGGATCTTCAGAAGATATTTCACGAGTATGGAGGCTGTTCCGGTTCTATCATCTTGGAGGAATATCGGGAGTAGATGATCGTAAGTCATGGAATGATAGGTGAATATCCCCAATGCAATCACAAGCATGGTTACGCGGTACGTGAAAACTTTTGTTTTTTTGGCGGCAGAACCTTCGTATGACTTGCCGCCAGGTTTAACATCCCATTCTTCGTCCTGGTGCATGTCGACGTCATTAAAGGTCCCGTATGACTTTACTCGTAGATCAGCTGAGGCGTGAGCAGTAGAGCCTGCTGTAGCAACTGCACTCAGCGGTGCCCCAAATTCGTCAAAATCGTGCGGATGCTGGACAGCAGCGGCGCCCCTCAGTAGGTCAGGATGAGTCTCTTCCAAGAACATATACCCTGCAATAATACTCATAAGCTGCAGAAAAGCGCAAATAAGATTGGGAAGAAGATAAGGGAATGTCCCGAAAATCCCAGAACGCGAGAATACGCCCGGGAAGGAGTCGGCGGGTCTTGCGAAGTAGCCTCCAATGGCTGCAATGATGGTTAATCAGTATTCAAACATCCAAGCCCAAGAAGAAATCGGATTATTGGGGTATACAACCTACCAGGGCCGATAATAGTACCAATAGACCAGACAAATGGCATAACAGCATAAGCACGGGCTGTGGGAGAACACAGTTAGCCGTAGGACAATATATTTTAAGAGTGAATACACTTGTAATAAAACAAATGGCAGATAAGTCTTACGTTCATGTTCTGGCCTCTTTACCAATTCCCCTACCATCGTCTGGATAACGCCCATATTCCCATTCAGAATGCCACCGAGGACCCTCCCAAATAGTGCTACCCAGAAACTAGTGGAAAACCCAACTATAAGCAGGGAAAGCGTGGTACCTACGCAACCGAAGAGCAGGATTGGCTTGCGGCCAACTCTATCAGAGAGGCCACCCCAGAACATTCCTGTCAAGCTCTCCGACAGAGAAAAAGCAGAAATAAGAATCCCTGCGTAAAATGAGGCATTGCTCGGGAGGCCTATGTCAAAGTCTCTAACCATAATCCATGAGTAAGGGAAGATGGAGGTTAAGGCGATGGGCTCGGCCAAGCGGCATATTGTGGCGGACGTAAAGCTTGCAAAAACAGAATTTTCTGCCACCCCCTGAAAAGTAGTAGCAAAACACCGCAAAAATAACCAAAATATCCATGTATCTCTAGAATCATTCAAATATCATCCAATTCATTCAAATACACACCTTTATCATCAAATACGCACCTTTATCATCAAATCTGCCAATATGCCCCGCAACACCCACTGTTCTACTGCCTCACAAGCTCATAAAAGGACTCCAACTACCCTGCGCCTTTGTCTGCCCAAACTGCCTGTTCCAGATGTTCCAGATAATGACAAGAATCCAACTGATGATGAGAAGGAGGAGGAGGAGGAGGAGGAGGAGGAGACACAGTCAGAAGATCCTCAATTTCTGTGAATATCTATCTCTGAGCCCAAGATCTCATTCAGGCTGTATGAACAGATGATTATCAATGGGATAAAGAAGTCTATAAAGATTAAGTTACAGAATGTCACAACAAATGATATGATTGTCAGCTTCTATCATATTCAATATACTGCAAAAAGAATAGCTGAAGAGTATGTTATGAAGCAGAACTGCAAGGAGATAGAAGTTGCAAATTGTATAGCAGTCATCTCATCAAACAAACATGAATCTTCAATCAAAATCACCCTTGAGAAGGAGACAGATTGGAGAGAGATTATCACTCTTTTGAAGGAGTTATATAAGGAGAAGATGAGCAGATTTAGCATTGAGATTACCACCTCTTTTAATCTTCTTGATATCTCAACTCTATCCTCAAACACCTCTGTAATACACAGTCCTGCAGCTTTCATTGAAGTGTCAGATTCACAATTAACAACCCAGACATTGGCATCAAAAAGAGCATTAGATGTCAAAGAAGAAGTAATCTCACCACCTGCCAAATCCCCTCTCTATCATCCTGCCAAATCCCCTCAAATTCATGAAATATTCAATGACAAAAAGCTGCTGCCTACACATACAAGATCCACAGCCACTAGCCAGCAGCTGAAGGAGGCTCAAAATCAATGATCAAATGAGTGCAATTCTTTGTGGATTGGACATGAGATAACTGCTCACTGGCATTGTCAAAAGATGAATTGTCATAACTTTGAGCAGAGCACTTGTTGAATGGCTTTTGATGATACTCATATTCAACTCCTGAGTAGTGAGATTGCCAGTTGAATAGATGATGTTGAACATGGACATGCAACAGTTAAAAATCTGTCAAGAAAGATGACAAAAAGATTAATGGATAGAAAGGAGAAGAAGAAACAAAAAAGCAAACCTATCTCTGCTTCTAACCCTTCTATACAGACACCTCAGATGCCAGCAGTTATCTTCCCTTTCTCAACTCCTTCTTCATCTAATATTGTGTCTCCAAGTGAGATAATCAATGTGATGGTGATGAAATATATGATGGAAGAAATGGGAGGCATGGGAGGACTGAATTCAAACTTGCCATCAAATCCAAACCTGCCATTGAATCCAAACCTGCTGTCAAATCCAAATCTGCCATCAAATCCAAATCTGCTGTCAAATCCAAACCTGCTGTTGAATCCAAATCTGCCATCAAATCCAAACCTGCCTCCTATTCAAAGTAGTCCAATCCCTCAGTTTGGTGAACACACAGATCTGTTTATTGATGAGTTCTTCAACTGGTTGATGACAGAGAGATCTCAAAAAGCAGAAGCTCTTTTAACTGCAAAGAGCATTATTCAGAATGAAGGATTTGAACTGAATCATATATGAACAATGACAAATGAGCAGGTGGTTCAGTTGAATATTGGAATGGATATATTCTCAATAATAAGAGATGGATTAAAGAGTTCTATCTGACAGTCATGGTTGAAGGAGATTAAATTGTCTTTATCTGCTGTTTGTAGTGATGACAGCAGACCTCATACTGCTTCTGCTTCTGAATTTGAAACTTAGATATTATATATCATCATAATTGAATTGCAATCTGAATCTTTCTAGATTTTACAATACTATTCTATATGAGCAGATCTGAAATATCCTCTTACATCTTCTTCTCCCATGAAGTTCTCAACTGCATGATACAAGAAGGCTTCAAAATCTTCATCAAACTGATTCTCTAACTGACATCTGTATCTTCTAATCCATTCTTTCAACACATGAAATGACTCCTCTATAGAATTATAATCAGAAGAATATGGGGGTAAGAATAAAAGTTCAATACCAGCTTCTCTGCAGAGATCTTGCAGTGCTTGTGAACAATGAGAAGAGCAATTATTCATCACTAGATAGTGATAACCTCATTGACATTTGGGCAGTATCTGAACACATACAAACTCATTGAATCTCTCTGTATTATAGAACCTCTGATATATATCATAATCAAGATATCCATTGACACTTATCACAGATAAGATTGACCATCTGTGAGATCATTTACAGAGCCTTCTAATGCAACAAGGGAATCCTCTGCTTGATCATTCATATCATCAATCTGCAGTACATTCATTCACAGCACTCTCATCTAAAAATATAAGTTGATCAGATTGATACTGAGTAATTTGAATACACCATTCAGCTTGAAGTTCTTCATTGCATTGAGTGGCCACAGGTTCAATCTATATCAAATAGAACTGACAGATTAGCAGGTTCTATAAGTGACAATTGCAATAATTAATCACCTTTTTCCATGTCAAATTCAGTTTCTTCAACAATCTAGATATCAATCAAGAGTGGATATCAACATCAAATTCATCCTTCACAAAGCAGACAGCCTCATCACAATATGCAGTTGAATATGTCTCAAAAAAATCCTTCAAACCTGACAAGATATCCAGTGTGATCTTTGACTTTACACCCCATGTTGAATGAGGACTTCTAGCAGTTCCAAAGCAGCAAATATTTCATTGAATTCAATATACAGTGGTCAGATGGCACTCAATGGTCCGCGCAATCTGAGCAGGCATATAACCATTGTTTAGAAGGTGTATGATCTCATTGGTGGTAAATTCACTGAGCTGGGGGGGTATATTGGCAGATTTGATGATAAAGGTGTGTATTTGATGATAAAGGTGCGTATTTGAATGAATTGGATGATATTTGAATGATTCTAGAGATATGTGGATATTTTGGTTATTTTTGCGGTGTTTTGCTACTACTTTTCAGGGGGTGGCAGAAAATTCTGTTTTCGCAAGCTTTATGTCCGCCACAATAATGCTAGGACAAAAGTGTCAGTGCGCACGATGGAAAACAACAAAAGCGATGAACCCCACCCACACACAGATGGGAGCTACACTTACCCAGGATAAAGAGTTGAATTGTAGGAAAGGCTGCATCGGGGGAATCGTGCTGAATCACAGCGAGTGTAGTGGTAGTATTTGCCGCGTCGGTGACGGAGATGGAGGCGTTGGGTCTTGCCTGACGCGTTAATTTCATATTCTTGAGGGATTAACTTGATCCTTACGGCTACCCGTTCCACACGAATCCAGCACTCTTGTCTAACTTCGAATTCCGGTTAATCCTTGCGATGGGAAGAGGGGGAGCACATCGGGGTCTCGCTCTGAAGTTCTCTTTTTAATGTCTCGAGTTGGGTCTCAGGTCCCCACGATACTTCGAGCACGATAGAATGCTGGAACAAGAGGGTGTGGAGCGATTTTTGTTGACCACAAAATAAACTCAGCGTGAAGCAATCTGTCACAGGGTTTTTTTAAGCTTTCTTTGGTCCGTACCAAAGTTGCCAGTCGAACGATACTAGGACAAGTACCAGGTACTTGTCAAGCATGGTCCATTCGCCCCCATATCCATATCGCGAGAGAGCACATGAAGTACTGGTACTTTGAAAGTTAGCCAATGGTTCAACGAAGGTTCTGGTCAACGCCACCGAAAAATTTTCGAGTTAGGGAGGTTTCATCCTGACGAAAAATGGTAATACATAGAAACGTTGCGATAAACTAGGAATTGAATTAATTGAACACCGACTGTTTCAACCTATGGTGGTGTGGGTCTTGAAAGTCCTCCGGACACAGCGCAATATCACCTTTGTCCCCAACCAAGAACGATGTCCAAACCAGGTTCTCGAGTGAAATCTTGAGGGCTAAGGGTTTTCAATAAAAACTGACTAAAAAAGAGAGTAAAATATCCGTAATGAAATTCCTGGTCATTTCTCAAGAAGAAGTAAACCCCTAACTTTTTGCTAGATAGGTATACGATGCAATGGGTTTCCAAAACACGGCACCCCAAAAAAAAAAAAAACATTAAAAACCCTGAAGAAATAAAATTTCATACTGAAAAAGCCAACCTAACATGGTATTCCAAAAACAAAAATTCCAATATAAATCGCGTATATGGCTTGTTTTCTGCCATTTATTGAGCTTGACTCGGAACTGGGAGATACGATCTTCGCTCTTTTATGGCCTGCCAAATGGGAATAACAAGTTAGCACCCGCTGGAGTAAAGGAAACGTCTTTCTTTGCGCTTAGTATTCTCAGAGAAAGGGGAGAACACCTACTAATACCCATTTCTCTACCCATGGCTGTATTGCTGCCCATATCAATAGTCCCGCCGTTGCTATAATGAAAATGAAAACGACAGCTTTGTCCTTGTTGGAGTCGCGCTCTAAAGAAACTAGTCAGGGCCATCGCCGGTTTTGCATAGATCGACGTATGTCGTATCCAAAGTAAGAATATTGCGATAAGCTTATTCCCCCGGAGGAGTTTAAACTTGTGACCACGGGCAGGATGAAAACATTCGCAGCACTTACGGAAGCAAGATGCGACAACATCCTCCTCCTTCGCCCCCTTACACTTCGGAAGCCCATACTCGAGGCAAAATCGGCGATTGCAATCGTTACAGTTTAGTGCCCTGTATTTCTTGTCGCCCTTCTCAAGATCATTTTTGTTGCCTTCAGAATCTTGGTCATCTCGAGGCAGGAAAAACGACCTGACAGACGCTGGGGAGATAGCTTCCGCTTTGGGGAGTCCAAGTTGGATGATTGTGCTGTTGGAGAAACAGGTACATTTGCAGAACGAAGTATGCGCTATTTGCTCAGAGGTGGTAGAGTTAGCAAGTTAGCATTGAAGAACAGTCGATGGAAGAGGTAAAAGAGCCAAGATAGGGAGTTACATACTGGATGCAGAAACAAGAGAGGTGAGAGACACAGTAAAAAGCCAAAGAATAAGGAATGTACTTCGTGGTATCATGATGGCGATGTATGGTACGTTCATGTTATATCAATCAGTTGATGTGATGTTATCAGACCCAGTGGCTTGGCGATTCATCATGTGATATGCCGTGGGCTCTCGGCAATCGTCCTTAGCCGATCCCGACTTCGGGATTGATCACCACGCCAATGGTTCTACCTAAGGTTCGCAAATAGGTCAGAGAATTGTAGTTTATAGAAGATGGGAGCAAAGCCTGCATGACGTGTAAGAAATATAATAATAAATAGGTGAAAAGCATTCAATTCTATTTTCTCGATGGGAAATGCCAGTGCGAATAGCATTTGTATACTCTGGGCATGTGGACTCCTCGCCAGAAAAATGCCAACAGTAAACATAGAAATATAACAAGTCATATGCATGGGGCAATTGAAATTGAGCGGGATGAAACTGAGAATAGAAAAAAGAGTAGAATTATGTCGGCCCTGTCCCCTCCATTCATTCTACTTCCCCCTGATCCCTTTCTGCCTGTTCTCCCTCTGCCTCTTCATTTTCGCCGCCTCCCGCCGCCTCCTCTTCCACGCCCGATTATTCTCGCCCCGATTTTCCCAAAACCACTTTGCAAATTCGCTCTCATTTTTTTCCTCTTCCTTATTCTTCCCAGAAGGGGCAGTATCAGCAGTCTCGGCTGATTTTGAGGGAGTAGCTGAACCAACTTCAGCTCCATCACCGTTCCCGTATTGATGAATATCATAATCACCCCAAAATCTACTCTTGTTGGGCGCAGTAGTGTCTGGTGTAGGTGCGCCGCTTCGTACTGTTCTTGACATAAGGTCATGTTTCGTAAAAGGGGTTTGCGGCTCTCCTGCATCGAGGGAGAAGTGATTGTGGCCATTCTCCATGGTGGTAATGGCGTAGTCATCTCTTTCTTGTTCAATATCATCATTATCGCCACCTCCTTCGCCAAAGAAGCTGAATTGAGTGTTTATTTCTAAGGGTGTTTCCAAATCTTTGGGCCCCCGTCGTTTGGCGGGGCGTTTGAAAAGCGCTTCCAGGGGATGAACTTCTGTGGCCATTGCCGGTGGCTGGTTCAGGTTGGAGTCTTGGGCTGGGTGACTTACTTTCCTAGTGACGGCTGGGTTCGTGGAGTCTTTGCTGGGAGTTACGAGGATGGATCGTCGGGTAATGGTTTTTAGGGTGTTATCTGGTTGTTTGATTTGTGCGTCACTTTCGCTCTGCACATCTTCTTCATCCCCTGCACCATTTTCTGAAGAGGAAGATGACACCGCTGAGTCGTTTACGCCAGAAGACGAGGTGGACGAGAATGTAGCACCTGTTTTATCGCTTTCACCTGAATCGCTGTCCTCTTCCTCAGAAGAATTTTCACTTGAAGACCCACTAGAAGTAGTCTCATCATTGTCCGCTTCACCGGAAGTCAGTATCCGCGGGGTAGCCCTGTCCGCTAGGTCCTCCTTACTTCCCCGGATTTTTTTTGACTCCATTGGTGTTTGTTTCACTCTAGGTCTCTCTTTAATAACAGGCTCCTCTTTCACGTTGCCTGCACCATCCAACCAGCCCTTGCCATCCAAATATTCGCTGGTGAGGCTGGATTCTGAAGGCTTCTCACCAGTTCTGAAAAAACTCGGGATTGTAGTTAAATTCTCAAACTCATGCACAACCACCTCTCCATTTTTCGGGTGCTTGCTTCGCTTCTTCTCTGACGATTTATTCTTCTCTTTGGTGATATCAGTCCGATTTGGAGGCACTGTAACCCTGAACAGACATTCAGGCTTCTCGATATATTTCGAGGGCCGAGACTTGTGCTTTCCTTTTTCATCCGGTTTGCGACTGCGCTTGGTGTGGCCTGCGGGCTCTGTCCAGCCACGCTTTACATGTCGACCTTGAGGCAATTCAAACCCACCGACAACATTATCTGTACTCTTCCGCTTTTTGGAAGCCTTGTGTAGTCTAGACTGAGGCGAGGTGGAGCTGGGAGCTGGGAGGGTTTCACTGTCTGGCAGCGGGCATTTGGAGGGACGGGCTTCGTGAATTTTGAGTTTCTTCCCCTTCAAGATGGTCCCGTTCAACTTCTTCACTACCTTCTCCGCCTCCATTTTCGGCAGGTTGACAAACCCGTAGCTGTTCTCGGGGAATGTTTGCACAGAGTGGAAGGAAATATCAGTCGCAGCTTCAACTGCCGCTAAACGGAGGATAGATTGGAGCAACTCTGGCGTTAGCGGAGAGATATGAAGACGAGTCGTACAGGCGCTTGCCATTGCGACTTCATGCCTATATCTGTGCTGCCGATACCACTGCCGCCGCTGTGTACTTGTGGCAATTACTTCGTGTTGCAGCTGTGGATAGACCTTGCTGAGCGGCTAAAATAATGAAATAATGAAATAAATAAGACGCCTTGTATTGTAATTTACGCCTTGGCATCTGCTGTTCTGGCGGTGGGTATTAAATTACCCAATCGGGACGCCAGGCGGCGGCAGAATAACCAGGTTGAGGCAAGCACCAAACTCTCAGCCATGAACCACCTCCAACATTGACGTGCTCACCACTAGCACCGCCGAGTTATCCGGAGTGTCTGGGTGCGACAACGCTGGAGTTTCCATCGTGTGTGTTTCCTAAATTGCTGCGGTTGATGCAGCTCTCCTCATTGCTGTCACTGTGTGTCTGTGCAGCGTTGCCGGATTCGCCGTTCTCGCAGGTTCAGCCGTATCTCACATTCCGGTGCAGGCAAATCTAGAGCTCGTCTCATGACCTAAGCCCAACCCGTATCACGTCTCCCCGAGCTTATCATATCTTCTTTCACATTCCCTTGTTAATGCTGAAGAATTTGTCGTTCACATGGCCGGATTTTTATTCTTAATGTTCCAGCCATCGACTGGTCTGATTACCCCTCCAGTCACCCGTTTCTAGGCCCCCGATCGACGACGTGAGCTATCTCTCAGTGAAAAGTCATTACACTGCCCTCTCAGCCTGATTGGATACATCCTGTCGAAGTCGCATCCTCTGCTTCAACTTACTCTAAATACCCTCTTCATTGTTCCGCTATGGGAAATACTGCTACCAAAGAGGCAAGGCCCCCGGTGGGAACATCCGGGCGAAATGGCCATGGACGGGGTCCATCCGGTGGTGCTGTTGCGCTCGGAGGCCTTGGCCGTTTTCATAATCAATCGGAGAGTTCACAACCTGGGGGTTCATCGAGGCATTTTCGTGGGAGTCGACCGGATCTTTCCTTTCTAGGGATCGGACCAGCGGTCGATAGAGACTCTTTCGTTGAACGAAAGGAAACAAAACAGGAGAGGGATGCTAGGCGACTAGCAAGAGAACGTGCCGCAAGGATTAAGGAACGAGAACGGAGCATGAAGGAGGAGCACGTGGATGGTGGCTATTTGGTGACACAAGGAGTTTATACTGGTGTTGAGGATTTCAATAAGGCAGTTGTGCGTCAATTAATGGTATGTGTTTTTTTGGCAACATTTTTCGTCCTGTTTGTTCCGTTTATATATATATATTTACAGCTATATCCGTCCGACTAACTTTCCATATAGATTGAGCGAAGGCTTGCCCCGTTTTGGAAGGGTTTAGAAGAGTTTTCGGACTCGTGGACGGAGCACCAACTTATGGCTGCCGCTAGAGGGCTTCCGATTCCAGCTCCTGACGAGATCCCCCCTGAATTAGAATATAAACTCACTCCACCTCGGCTACCAGAGGATCAGGACTTACCTGACCAAAATCTTAACAACTTGACAGTTCCCATCACATCCAGGTCTCAGTCGTACAATTCCGATCTATCTTCCACTACCCATCCAGTATCTCCTTCCATTTCCCTTCAACCTCAACTTTCCCCTGGCGTTTCTGGTTCTCCAGGTGCACATCTTTTTCGTGGACGGGCTAAAACTTTAGCATCCCTGACTGCATCATCTAAACATAGTTCACCAGGCGAAATGTCCCCTCGAGAGCTACAGCTTCCCGGAGATCCGTTTGTTAACGGGCAACCTATTGAGGCGTACCTCTATAAAAACCCGATTGAATGTCCGATATGCTTCCTTTACTACCCCCCATATCTCAATAGAACCAGATGCTGTGATCAATTGATCTGCTCGGAATGCTTTGTTCAAATCAAACGCGCCGATCCGCACCTCCCTGAACACGAACAGCGGGATCCAAACTCACCATCCCCTGACCGACCAGACGGACAATTGATCTCCGAGCCAGCAGGCTGCCCTTTTTGCGTACAGCCGGATTTTGGTGTTTCCTATACACCACCCCCTTTCCGACGGGGTCTTAGCTATATCCCCAGCAACAACTTGGACAAGACTCTCCTCTCTCCAGCGTCTTCCACATCATCCCTCGTGTCTGGGAATGCTAATAGTCATTCGATAACCACTCGACGCCGCGCCACTTCTCTATCTGCAAATTCTCCGGCTGTTATTACGACCGACAAAATTCGGCCCGATTGGGCTCACAAACTCCAAACAGCACGGGCACAAGCTGCTAGGAGATCCGCTGCTGCAACTGCGTTGCATGCAGCTGCGTATATCAATGCAATGAACAATCCCATTGAAACTAGAGGTATGGGAAGCAGCAGTAGACGTATGTTGCGACGAACAACTGGGCATGGATCGGATAACTCAACTAACCAAGCCGGCTCTGTTGCTCTCTTGGCGGAGCGACGAGCCATTGCTGCAGATCGTGAAAATGATTCCCCTGCGGAAAGCACGTCAAATTTAGCGCCTGCACGTGCAAGCTCTAGACGAAATCGGATGGACGAACTTGAAGAGATGATGATGATGGAAGCCATAAGACTGAGCCTCGCCTCTGAAGAAGAAAGGCGCAAAAAGGAAGAGAAGGAAGCCAAAAAAGAGGCCAAACGGCGAGAGAGGGAAGCTAAAAGAGCAGAAAAATTAGCGAGGAAAAATGGCCTTTACAGCAATAACCCTAGCTCGGTGGCTCTGGACGCTACTGGAAGTAACACAGCTGTCAGATCTGGCCGTGAGCTTTCGCCCCCTGTTTCTGTTCTTGAACCATCGAGCGACAAAGGAAAGGCTATTGATCGTCCGGGGTCCTTATCTGAACCTCCACATACCGACACCCAATTACCCGGTCTCCCAAAGCTAAGCTTAAAGACTTCTGATGATGACCTTTCTTCCATCTTCGCCCCTTCATCAGCCGCAGCAGCAAAGCGATCGCATCTCCGACATATTTCGAGCTCCTCGTCCTCCAATTCATCATTGGTGGGATCTGCATGTGGGGAACTCATGGGCTCTAGCAGCACACCCAATTCTAACTCGGCCATTGAGCCCGTATTGAATTTCAGGAGCCTCGATGCCGTGATTGACGACGAAAATACAAATGGCAGCCGTCACGAACATCTTGAGGGAGCGACAAAATTGAAAAAGACCCAGCAGCCATCCAATGACAATGCAATTTCCCCTCTCCCTAATCGAGATCTAGGACTGGGAGTAGAGCCGGGAAGCGTCCAGCAGGCCACTTTGCCTCCACAAGGAGATCCAAGCATTAATAAGGACGAAAATGACATTCGCCACAAAGAGTTGCAGTCGCATACTGTGGAAATCGTGCATGGGGGCAATACGAACTTGGAGACGGTTGGCTAGACAGTCCTCATATTTAATTCTGAAGGTAGATGTTGTGACGATAATTTCTTGTCTCTCATTCTTCCTAGTCTCTGCTCTTTGCAAACCTCCTCACCCGCATCCCCATCCCACCTTCGCCCTTGATCACACCCTTTTCTTACTAAATTTCCAACCCTTACATCTCCATTCCCCCATCCCTCCATTTCACAGGCCCCATTTTATGTTACTTTCACGGTAATGTCCGAAACAAACAACTTATTCGTCCATTTATGTAAATCGCGAAACTGTTGGCCCCCACCCCTTCTTTTTCCTTAGTTTCATTTCATTACTTTTCCTCATAAGCCACGTCTTTTTCACGATGTCTACGAAAGTTGTTGGTCAGGTTTGCGTGTCTTTTTTGTTTTTGGTCCATCTAGCAATTCCCCATTGGTACCATTGTCCATTGCTTTCGTCTGTTGATTTTCAGGTTCTAGGCGGCAACGTCCCGATATAGTGGCTATGGTGTCGCCTATTTCAGTTTTTTCACACCTTTAAAATCGTGTTACTCAGCTTGTTCTTCTCTTTCTATTTTGCTATCTTGTACATATACATATATAGACACTGGCTACTATTCTCGTATGAAAACCCAAACTTGTTTCTTATGGCCTCTGCTGATTTCTGCTTGAAACGGATTTGTTACTACCCTTGCTACCTCTTCAAATCTGGGAAGCCTAACAGGTCTTAGGTACCCCCTTGACGACAATGTACATGTTTTATCACTCAGCAGATGACCACCCCTAACCCAGCAAAATTTTAAGTGATTATTTCTCGAGTCATATTATGTGAGTAGCTGAGTCTGGTGCAAGCGTCCGGTCGCACAACTACTAGTACAGCAATTATGGCACCTACGGCGCTGTTCCGAACCACTTTGCTATGTATTTGCTGAAGGCTCACATGCGGGATACCATCGTTCACCTTCTTGAGTCAATCAACATACAGCAAAAGCAAAGCATTCATCTTCGAGCTGCCTTTTTCAAAATCTCTTTCTTTACCAAGCTGCGTTTCAACAAGGACTGGCTGTAGTTGTTTGTTAGCACCATCCACGGGTAAAAGCCACATATTTTCGCGCTTTTCAATGGTTTTATATAAATGTACTTACCGATCAATGAGCTCCAAGGGGTCAGCTTCCAAGTCTATAATTCTTGGGGGAAGACGATGCTGGAGGCAAGGGGCTATCGCGTCAAGGGGCTATATGTGTAATAAATGATTGACGGTGTACCAGCAGAGATGAGCTTTAGGGAAGAGTGTCCTCCTGAAGAAGAAGATCATAACGAAGAAAAAGGTTGCCAGCTCGCAGTAGCTAGAGGGCAATATACCGCGCCATTGAAATGGGTGTTCCTCGAGGCTGATAAATCATTTTATTTGTGAGGTTTCATGTTTACATTTCCAGGCTCCAGGTTAATGCGTTGAAAATGTGCTGAACAATTTTATGGAACGGAAGTATTTTCCTTTCCATCTTTCGCTGATCGCAAAGCTGATTGTTCGCGTACCTCCTCTGCATAGTCGAATCAAAAGCTTGCGGGTCGTATGGATGTCAACCTATAAGAATGACCTTATTGGAGAAGGTGGTTGCAATCAGTTTCATATTTCCTTACCGACCACGACGCCCTGCCTGGAAATTAACATGACTGCCCCTAGTGCAAGTTATTGAATCCTTAATATTGTGGTGGATGTAAAGCTTGTGAAAACAGAATTTTCTGCCACCCCCTGAAAAGTAGTAGCAAAACACCACAAAAATAATCAAAATATTCATGTATCTCTAGAATCATTCAAATATCATCCAATTCATTCAAATATGCACCTTTATCATCAAATACACATCTTTATCATCAAATCTGTCAATATATCTTATAACATTCACTGTTCTACTGTCTTGCAAGCTTGTAAAAGAACTTCAACTACTCTGTATTTTCATCTGCTCAAACTGTCTGTTTCAGATGTTCTGAATAATAACAAGAATTCAACTAATAATAAGAAGAAGAAGAAGAAGAAGAAGAAGAAGAAGACACAGTCAGAAGATCTTCAATTTCTGTGAATATCTATCTCTGAATCTAAGATTTCATTCAGATTATATGAACAGATGATTATCAATGAGATAAAAAAGTCTATAAAGATTAAGTTATGAAATATTATAACAAATGATATAACTGTCAACTTCTATTATATTCAATATACTGTAAAAAAAATAGTTGAAGAGTATGTTATAAAACAGAACTGTAAGAAAATAAAAGTTGTAAATTATATAGCAGTTATTTTATCAAATAAATATAAATCTTCAATCAAAATCACTCTTGAGAAGAAGATAGATTGAAGAGAGATTATTACTTTTTTGAAAAAGTTATATAAAAAGAAGATGAGCAGATTTAGTATTGAGATTATCATTTCTTTTAATCTTTTTAATATCTCAACTCTATTCTTAAATATCTCTGTAATATACATAGACTGGCCGTGTGACCATGCATGGGACTGGGACCAAATTTTTCCTCAGTCCCATTATTAGATATCTTAGTTCTGGTCCCATATAGTGTTTAGTAAATTAGTCACTTTACACTGTTTATATTATAAATCTAGTTCCAGATCATGTTTTACTAATAAATTAGTGATCCCAGTCCCATTTGGTCCCATTTTACAAAATGGGACCAAATGGGACCATGATTTACCCTATATAGGTTGGCAGCAATAGATTAGCAGTGATAGATTAGCAGTGGTAGATAGGTTGGCAGCGGTAGATAGGTTGGCAGCAGTAGGTAGATTGGCAGCAATAGATTAGCAGTGATAGATAGATTAGCAGCAATAGATTAGCAGCAATAGATTAGCAGCAATAGATTAGCAGCAATAGATTAGCAGTGATAGATTAGCAGTGGTAGGTAGATTGGCAGCAGTAGGTAGATTGGCAGTGGTAGATAGGTTGGCAGCAGTAGGTAGGTTGGCAGTGATAGATTAGCAGTGATAGATAGATTAGCAGCAATAGATTAGCAGCGATAGATTAGCAGCGATAGATTAGCAGTGGTAGATAGATTGGCAGCAATAGATAGATTGGCAGCAGTAGATAGGTTGGCAGCAGCGATAGATTAGCAGTGATAGATAGGTTGGCAGCGGCATAGATTAGCAGTGGTAGGTAGATTGGCAGTGGTAGATAGGGGATCTAATAGCAAGCCATCAGAGCATTGAGCACTAAGCAAGATAGAGGTAATATCTCCACCAATCATATCATCAGATTGATGTATTATATAATCATCAGAATGGGACCAAACTTGAGTCAAAATCATGATCAGTTCCAGATCATGTTCTGATTTTGATAGTCAGTCACTTTACATGGAATATCAAGATTTTTTAGTCCCATTTCACTCATGTTTTGATAATTCTAGTCACTTTACACTCCCATTCTGGTTCTGGTCCCACTAAAATCATGCCAAGAAATGGACTGGGATCAAACCAAACCAAACCAAATGTGTAATTCATGGTCTCGGCGGCCAGTCTAAATATACAGTTCTGCAGCTTTTATTGAAGTATTAGATTTATAATTAACAACTCAGATATTGACATCAAAAAAAATATTAGATATTAAAAAAGAAGTAATCTCATCATCTATCAAATCCTCTCTCTATCATTCTATCAAATCTTCTTAAATTTATAAAATATTCAATAACAAAAAACTGCTGTCTATATATACAAGATTCACAGCCACTAGTCAGCAGCTGAAGAAGACTTGAAATTAATAGTTAAATAAGTACAATTCTTTGCAGATTGAGTATGAGATAACTATTTATTGATATTATTAAAAGATAAATTGTTATAACTTTGAGCAGAGTATTTGTTGAATGATTTTTAATAATACTTATATTCAACTTCTGAGTAGTGAGATTATCAGTTGAATAGATAATATTAAATATAAATATACAACAGTTAAAAATCTGTCAAAAAAGATAATAAAAAAATTAATAAATAGAAAAAAGAAGAAGAAATAAAAAAGTGAATCTATCTCTACTTCTAATTCTTCTATACAGACATCTCAGATATTAGTAGTTATCTTCTCTTTCTCAACTTCTTCTTCATCTAATATTGTATCTTCAAGTGAGATAATCAATGTAATGATAATAAAATATATAATAAAAGAAATGAAAGATATGAAAAAACTGAATTCAAATTTATCATTAAATTCAAATCTACTGTTGAATTCAAATCTGTCATTAAATTCAAATCTATTATTAAATTCAAATCTGCTGTTAAATTCAAATCTGCTGTTGAATTCAAATCTATTTTCTATTTAAAGTAGTTCAATTTCTCAGTTTGATAAACACACAGATCTGTTTATTGATAAGTTCTTCAATTAATTAATAATAGAAAGATCTCAAAAAGCAGAAGCTCTTTTAACTGTAAAAAGTATTATTCAGAATAAAAAATTTGAACTGAATTATATACAGACAATGATAAATAAATAGATAATTCAATTAAATATTGAAATGAGTATATTCTTGATAATAAGAGATGAATTAAAGAGTTCTATCTGACAGTCACAGTTGAAGGAGATTAAATTGTTTTTATCTACTGTTTATAGTAATAACAGCAGATCTCATACTGCTTCTACTTCTGAATTTGAAATTTAAATATTATATATTATTATAATTGAATTGTAATCTGAATCTTTCTAGATTTTACAATACTATTCTATATAAGCAGATCTGAAATATCCTCTTACATCTTCTTCTTTTATAAAGTTCTCAACTATATAATACAAGAAGACTTTAAAATCTTCATTAAACTGATTCTCTAATTGATATCTGTATCTTCTAATTCATTCTTTCAATATATAAAATGACTTCTCTATAAAATTATAATCAGAAAAATATGAGAATAAAAATAAAAGTTCAATATCAGCTTCTCTGCAGAGATCTTACAGTGCTTGTAAATAATAAAAAAAGTAATTATTCATCATTAAATAGTGATAATCTTATTGACATTTGAGCAGTATCTGAATATATACAAACTCATTGAATCTCTCTGTATTATAGAATCTCTGATATATATTATAATCAAAATATTCATTGATATTTATTACAGATAAAATTAATTATCTATAAAATTATTTACAAAGTCTTCTAATACAATAAAAGAATTCTCTGCTTGATTATTTATATTATCAATCTACAGTATATTCATTTACAGCACTCTTATCTAAAAATATAAATTGATTAGATTGATACTGAGTAATTTGAATACATCATTCAGCTCAAAGTTTTTTATTATATTGAGTGATTATAAGTTTAATCTATATTAAATAGAACTGATAGATTAGCAGGTTTTATAAGTGATAATTATAATAATTAATTATTTTTTTTTATATCAAATTCAGTTTCTTCAACAATCTAGATATTAATTGAGAGTGAATATTAATATCAAATTCATTCTTCATAAAGCAGACAGCTTCATCACAATATACAGTTGAATATATCTCAAAAAAATTCTTCAAATCTAACAAGATATCTGATATAATCTTTGATTTTATATCTTATATTAAATAAGAACTTCTAGCAGTTTCAAAACAGTGAATATTTTATTGAATTTAATATATAGTAATCAGATGACACTCAATGATCTGCACAATCTGAGTAGATATATAACTATTATTTAGAAAATGTATAATCTTATTGATGATAAATTTGCTGAGCTGAGAAGACATATTGACAGATTTGATGATAAAGATATATATTTGATGATAAAGATGTGTATTTGAATGAATTGAATGATATTTGAATGATTCTAGAGATACATGGATATTTTGGTTATTTTTGCAGTGTTTTGCTACTACTTTTCAGGGGGTGGCAGAAAATTCTGTTTTCACAAGCTTTACATCCACCACAATACAAGGACTGGGAACCTTTGAAAGAATGATCATGAAACAGGCCAACCAAATACAGACAACACGGTGGAGTCTCCTACATAATAATAATAATAATAATAATAATAATAATAATAATAATAATAATAATAATAACAATAATGACAATAGCAATAACAATATGCAACTATTGCGAGGGTCATATGTAAGATTCAACTCCAGCCAGGTTGCCAGCATGTTGTCGTGATTTGTCCATGCTGTTGCTGTTGCTGTTGTTGTCTCTGATTGATATCCAGTTTGTTGAGGGTCAATTGAATACTTCCTGACGAGGGCTCGTCAGCGACGAGTCTCCGCTCCGTTGCCCGTTCCCGCAGCCTCGAACAACCCGCACCAACCTGCACAGAGACAGCCAGCGCCAGAGCATGCAGACAGGCATTGGCAGATAGGAATCTGCATGGTGGGCGGATGGGCTGATGAACTCTGGCACTGACTGTTGCCTATCTACACACGCTGATTGGCTTCCCTCTTCCATGTTCGTGTCCACTCTCTCCACTTGGAGATTCGAGAGATTTGACAACGAACGACTCATCTCAAAAACCAGCCGTCAATAACAACCGGAATCTGGTGTATGACTGCACTACGGAGAACGGAAGATCAGTTGGCATTCTGCCAGCCAGTCTAGCGCCTGCCTCTCGAACCCCATGCCCTCCAAATTCACGTAACGAAGTGCACCTTGCCCGATATCCACCATAGTTCAACCTAAGATCTTGACAACACCAACTCCGAGCAAATAACATCACGGATATATCCGCTGCACCTCTTTATCTACAAATAAAAGTCAACTCGACGTCCTCTTAGAATAATGGCCCCCGATCTAAATTCTGTTCCTCCTTCTCCACACCCGCGGGGCCCTTCTAGAGCACTGTCAACGGGCGTGCTGCAACCTACTGCAACCAGCTCAACATCCGCTCAAGCCTCTCCTTCAGTGTCTCGACGAGTCTCGCAAGTCATGGGTCCGCCTCCAGTTCCGCATTTCCCCACGTCACCCGGCCTTGCGTCTGGCGATAATACTGGAGTGGGGGTTGGTCCAGGTATGGGTTATTTTCTGCTTCTCTTTCACTGCCATACCCTTCTCCCGTGTTCTACTGTGTGCTAACCATAGCAATTCATTTCTTCACAGGGCCAATCCGACATCCCCGACCCCTTACTGTTGCCGATCTACATTTAGAGCTAGAGAAGGAGCAGGAAGCAGTGGTACGGAATTAACTCCTCCCCCTTCTCCTGGAGAGTGATGACTTGACTGACGAATATCAAAAAATCAGGTAAACCGTCTCACGCGAGAACTCACCCTCCTCCGCCAGCAGACAGCCTCAGTAGCATCCACGGCATCCTCGACGTCTACCAATCTTAATGACTCCTCAGATCCACAACATCCCACTGCGTCACGCCGCAACCGATCATCTTCGAACATTAGTTCCAGGAGCGTTGCGGGAGCAGCATCAGGGGTGATAGCAGGTGGGGTGACAAGCATTGCCCCCTCTCGTGAAAGGGAAGCGCCATCCTCCTCTTCACGCCCATCCCTTGACATTCCCCGGGGAAGTCTCAGTCGCGAGGCGTCCGTAACATCACGTCATCAGTCCGGAAACGCTTCACCATTGCTCTCCTCGCCAAACCAACACCAGGCAGACTATTCATCGCACCACCACCACATGTCCAACCAAAGCACGGCATATCCCCCTTCCCACCGCACATCCATGACCTCGCACACAGTCCCACTCCCGCCTTCTCAACTCTCCACCACTTCAGCAGACCGCGCACGATCCGGCTCCACGTCCTCTTCTGTTTTATCAAGGTACGAAGAAGCAGCTTACCATCGAGCAGAACTCGAAGCGGTGAAGCGGGAAAATGACATTCTCCGCCGACGAATTCGAGAACTTGAAGCCAATTTGAAAGATTACCGTCAAACACCTGCTCCATCGCCGCCTCCACAACAGCAGCGCACGACGGAGGACGACCACACTGCCACAACCACGTCTAGTCTTTCGACTGAATTAAGGGAGGCATCGATTGCTGACGATCGCGTTATCAGGCGGTGAAGCATTAGGTTCCTTGAAGGACAAATGGTCTTGGACTTCTCGAGATATAAGGATGTAGCTACCTGCTGATGCACCGCCGTTAACTTCCTTCCTTTCTTTTTTGCTTATTCTTCCTTCCCCACCTAATTGTTGTTTCACTCTACTTGTTTCCATGGGATGAAATTTCTCATCTTCTTCTAATGACCCCAAGTTTTAACGTAACCACGATATCACTATTATTTCACGACACATGAGACCACATTGCCTTACACTATTTTTATATTTTCTTTTAAAATCCGTCGTCTTTCTCTTTCTTTCACAATTTCCTTTCCCCTCTTCTTTTTGTCAACCCATGACGAAAAAAGGGTTACTTTTTATTTTGATCAACCACAGTGCGGGGGTTAATGTAAACAAGCTCAAGTACAAGGTTAACTGAAGTGCACATCGTTTTTACGACAATAAAAGAATATCTGATCTTGTTTTCATTCCATTTTGAGGCTTCCGTAAATCGCCTGATTTTCACATGCAAACATCCAGCGCACCCTGGTGTGGCTTGAGAGCCGCAACAGCCACGGCAGCAACGACGTCACATGTGGCGCAGTCACGGCTCAACCCCTCGATGACGACGCGGAACAACTTCCAAGGCTGAATGTTGCGATGTGCAAACAAACCTCATCTTCTCGCACAGCTCTATATCTACCTGTAGAGCGTCTCCCCGGTCTTGCTTTGCGCTGGAGGTCTTCAATACAACTTCAACCCATCCAATAACGAATCCTACTCTACCACTGTTCAGTGTTCACCCCCGCGTAGGGCGATCATACCAATACTGCTAGTACTGTTACATTCAAGTTCTCTTCAACGATGTCCTCCCACACCACCGTCCACGTCGCGGATATCTCACCCAAGACGAGTGAGAAGGAAGTAAGAGATTTCTTCAGTTTTTGGTATGTATTACTGTCTTTATCCTTCCCTGTTCATGCTATTCTATAAATGCAGCTACCAACAGTTATATTCTAGTGGAAAAATAACCTCTCTATCAATTACCCCTAGCTCAGGCGAGCAAGACGCTCCACAGTCAGCAACAGTAACATTTGAGAAAGAAGCGTGAGCCCCCCACCTTCCAAGCCCTACATACACATTTGTGGAAATCAAAACTATCAAATACTAAACAGGTACGCTCCAGCGCTGCCAAAACCGCCCTTCTGCTCGACAATACCCAACTTGGTCCGTCCTCCGTCAAGGTAACAGCAGCCGCATCCATCGATCAGCTAGCCGGCCCCAAAGCCCACGCGGAATCCCCTGAATCCAAAAACGACACCGCGGGCATCCACGACATTGAACAAGAAGACAAGCCCCGCTCTCGCATAATCGCCGAATACCTCGCGCACGGCTACGTGATCAGCGACCACGCGATCCAACAGGCCATCTCCCTCGACAAGAAGCACGGCTTCTCCACGCGTTTCCGGAACGCGCTGGACAACTTCAACGCCAAGTTCCACGCCACTGATAAGGCCAAGGACATCGATAGTAGCTATGGCATCTCCGATAAGGCTGCAAGTGGCCTGCGCGGACTTAGTTCGTACTTTGAGAAGGCCCTGGGCACACCGACGGGGCAGAAGGTGAGAGATTTCTATCTGCAGAGTGATAAACAGGTGAGGGACATCCATAATGAGGCGAGAAGGCTGGCGGATTTGAAGAGTGGGAAGGCGGAAGAGGCGGAGGGGGTTGAGGGGAAGGAAAAAGCAGAGGCAAGTCATGATGTCCACTCTGAGGAGACGGAGAAGAGAGCGACATGAAATGCCGTTGGAGGAATAATAACTCGGTAAAGGGAAGATGAGATGATTAGGTCTGACAGTAATATACTGAGAGGGGTTATTGCTTTTTTTTCCCCTTTATGTCCTTTTGATGGCTTTTAGGCTTCCCGGTGTCATTGTCCCTGGAATGGCAGCGTCGACAACGATTATGATATGGTATGATAACCTGAAATTCTCATCGCCTGAATTTGTGATATTTGCTTAAGCTTTTTTGAGTTGTTTTTGCTCTGCAAACTCTTTTGATGTATCTGTCTACCCCTGTAGCTCGCATCGTTTTCAAATCTTTAACGAATGGGTCCTATGCTATTATTGCAGAACTACCTTGTTTCAAAAATTGGATTTCCTCTGGAAAGATATAGGAGATGTATCCGGTCCCCACGATCACGCTCACTCATTTCCATGTTTACCAATTCATCAAAACCAAAACAACGAATCCGTAACAAGTAGAGGTAAATAATAATAATGATAATAATAAATAAACAAGAACACCCATCAACCCACCCCTTTCCATCATCATCATCATCATCATCATCATCATCATCATCATCATCATCACCCAATATGGACCGAAACAAACAAAGCCCAACCAAGCCTACCTCCCCTTCATCCCCACAGGCCCCTTCTTCGCCGTCTTTGTCGCCGATTCCTCCTCAAGCGCATGCACTGGGTTACTCTGCAAATGCACATTCCCCTCCGCATCAACCATTGCCCCCGGAACGCGGATACCACACCCGCCACCGTGATGTCCACCAGTCCGTTCACTGCCGCTCGCCAGGTTCCGCAGGGGTTGTTCCGAATCTGTAGCTGTCTGCTCGGCTTTTCCGGTCCAGCCAGGGATGTCGGATTCTTGAGGTCCGGTTTGGCGGGAGGGGGAAGGGGATTGGCGGCCGGCGTGACGGGAGGACATACTTGCGGATATTTTGGGGGGGGAGGGTTGGAGAGTATGTGGCTGCTCTGTATATATATGCGAGGTTGTAGTGTTTGTTCCCGACCTTTTTTCTTCCTCCGTCTCGTACAACACAGGAATAAGATGTGATGAGATCGGCCGGTGAAGTCTTTCTTTGGTATATTTGGGTCTCACCGTATGTTCGTTAATCCATTTGACACACGTTACGTACAACCCACGTATAAATATCAAGTTCCAAGGGGGGGATTGTTTTGAGTTTTCTTGCAAAACTTGGACAAAAAAAACATCATGATGACGTCTGTTCCCCGTCCGCCGACTAACAACACGCAACCCACTAAGGAAATTTGATTCCCTATTGTTCTGCTCTATGATATCAATGGTAGGAAGAGAGGACTTTTGCCTGTTTTTAGGTGTGAGCGGAATAGTATCGTTTTGGCAAAACTTTCCTTGATTGTTCGTTCATTCGTCGTCAGGCAAGGGGGACATCTTCCCTTCGTAATGGCAATTTTCCTGTGGTTACAACAAGTTGGTTGGACACCCGAGTTCCTTCTCCATGAATTCCTTAGCCCACTTAGGAGATGCTAGGACGTGAGCGTGTTATATTGAAATTTACATATTTTTTGTACCGCGTAGGCTTTTTCTTAAGTGGTAATATTTTGTGCATATGCACACCCTGGAGAAAAGTGTAAGAATCAGGTTTCATTCCACATATGTGGTTTGATGTATATTGATTTTATATCGTTCTTATATATACCCGCCCTCTTGTCTAGTTTTACGTTAGATTGCATTGCGCCAGAGATTTCCAGAGAATGATTTGAAAAAAAAAAGCAAGTTGAAATTGGGTGGGAATGAGAAATGTGCTTAACTAATGCATTGCCGCCTCCCGAGGTCGGTATATATAGTAATAGGAGTCTAGATCAAGGGGCGCGATGATATCAGAGTTTGGAGGAGTGAGATGAAGATAGGCTAGGCAACAACCTATAGCTTCCAGTGTGGAACATGGCTTTCATAATACACAGAGAATAATCCCAGTGATACTTAACCGGTCCCGTGAGTGGAGAGGCTGGAGGGTTGGTGCAAGGCCAATGAAATGGAGTTGTATCGCTGGGGGTTCCTGGGTAGACGTGGGAATGAAAACTATCTAATGAAAATCAGTGTAGAATAGAATACGAAAGGGTAAGAGGGACTAAAAAGAACGATGGGGCGAAGAAGATGAAGGACTAAGCGCTTGAAGGACGAGCGATGGGGTGGAAAAAAAAAATGAAAAAAGGAAGAGAAAATGAAAAAGAAAAACAAATCGTGAGAATAGAAAAGCTGTCTTTCTGGAATCGGAGAGTAGACCCACAAACTAGAATCGGTGACATTTGAATTGAGATAGAAGGGAGGAAACTAAGGGAGTGTTCGTAAAACAAAGGGGGATATATCTGCCCACTTTGAAAAGCTCATGTTGGTGCCCAGGGGAGTGGAGGATATGTGTGGTATGTAGGTAGATGACGCTAATAAAGTAGGGGGGATTGATATGAATAAAAACTAAAAAAGCTTTTGTCGTCTTTTATGTCATTCTCATTTTATTGCATTTTTTGTCTTTTCGTCTCTGTTTTTTTGCTTTTTGCTGTTGCTGGCTAGAAAGATTATGAACCACCATTTGCCTGTGCTGCTGCTGCCGCTGCCGCCGCAGCATTTGCATTCTCAAAAGCTAATGCCTGCGCATCGGCTTCGTTGACAACGGTCTGAATAATTTGTTGCTCTTCGGAATTAAGGATTTTGGTCAGGTTTTCGTAAAGGGCCGGTTGCTCTTGTTGTAGATCTGAAGGGCAACATGTCAGTATCTCAGAGTCAACGAGGACAAGCGAAAAAAAGTTGGAGTGAACTCACTCATCAAAACGTTCTTGAATAAGCTATACGGCTCAATTTTATCCAATGGACTCTCAAGCAAACTCTTTTCGTCAAGGTCATCGTCCTCATTGCCGGGCATCGCTGAGTATTTCATAGCCTGTGAAGTGAATCTTAGCAGCCGCTGAAATAAGTATCTTTAATCCATAAAATGTTAAAATCTTACTTCTTGGTTTAAGAACTCAACATAAGATTGACTCTCGTCGTCAAGGTCTCCATCAGGACCCTCATCTTCATCTTGTGCTGTCCACTCCACTTCGCCACTCCAATCATTATTCGAGTCGTCATCATCGTCCCCTTCATAATAACTTAAATCGACATTAGAAGTAGCTTCTTCGCGGTCTAGAATTTGGTCAGCATCGAGCCTACGTTTAACCAAAAAGAGGTATCATGGTGAACATACGCTTCAAGGCCGCTGGAAGGGTCTGGAAAAGCTTGCTAATCCCCTGTAGGAGGCGGGGCCAGCCTGGTTGTACGCTTGCAGGCACATCATTCCCTCGCAAGGTCAATAGTGCGCTGATGGCAACGATGCAAAGCTTCTTGTCATGGACCCTGGTAAACATGTCCATATTCGAAAACCAAGTACTGAAGAATTTGTTGGTCCATTCTTTGGACTCCAGGAATTGGAGCGATAGCAAGGGGTTATAGTAAATGGCATTGATAACCATCTCCATGAGGTGAATCCGGTAAGACTTGGCATGCGTTTCATTCGAATTCAATACCGCCATCGCTAATGAGATGAATGTTGGGATATATTGATCGACTTGGCCTCGAAGGTTAAGCATGAGAGCCTCTGCAAGTTTGCACCCACAGATTCTATCAACGCCTCCAACTTTCTCGTCATGGAAAATGTCTTCCACCATACCAACAAGAGCTTGAAGGTAGGCGGGGTTTTGCGTCAAAGTAAAGGAGCCAAAGGTTACAAAATTATCTAAAGCTGGCAACATATCTATAAATAGCAACATTAGTTTCGCAAGTCATTTAGTTTATGGAAATCATTAACTAGCCTTCAAGATACAACTCCGCTCCGGATTTGAAAGTCTTGTGCATGAGGACAAATGCTTGCCACATCGTTGGAGAGATAGACTTGGCGGCGAAAGTGCAAGAATCGATGATCTCAAAGACTTCGGTATACAAATCTGTACGGTTTGCAGTTAGCGTTGGGTCAATGAATAGGGATACAAGCAATCCTACCATAGAGTTTATTGTCAAGGGTAATTGTGATGACAGGCATTAAAATGGTTTCGAGGTGTAGAAGAACATCTGGTGTGCTTTCCAGAGTTAAAATGAGAGTTCCTATGGTTTGGAGTACTCCCAAGGCAGTAATGCTCTTGTCATCTAGGAAATCGCCGTAAATGTCTTCATCGCCTTTCGAGGTATTTTTTCGTTCATCAAGCATATCTCCGATAATACGCAAGTAGGTATCTCTCAGTTGCTCGCACAGAGCCACAGCAAAAGGAGTGAGTTCTGCCGAGAACGCTTCAACGAAGTCTTCCATGACGCTTGCAAGCGGATCCAAATCCACTTCATTAGAGAGCTTGAGGAGCTGTTGCATGATTTGTGGGATACTAGTTTGCATCGAGGTCCGGATAACATCATGGCGAATAAGCGGCTGGAGGGCAAGGGCAGCTTCCACTCTCACGGGAAGTTCAGGGTCGGCCAATGCATCCAAAATATTTCTATAAACTACCATGAGGTTGTTGGTGTCATTGAAGTCTAGTTCATTGAACTTTTCCAAAGTGTCGCAAGCCCGTGCGCGGAGATAGCCGTGGGGGCTTTTAAATTCTGGGAAAACGTGGCGGACGAAAAAGTACTCGACTTGGTCAGCAATAGGGCTCTTCTTGCCCAAAATTACGGAAGCCAATGTGCCAATCATGCGAAGGGCGCCCTCCTTTTCGCGAGGAAGTTTTTGGTCATCTGGAGACGATTCGTACTTGCTCACAACCCCGTTTATGAAACTCAAGATAGAAAATGTCTGCTTCTTCCGGCTTTGTGTCAGCGCTACGAGGAAGTTTGTAGCTGCGACATCTGGTGCAGAAACCTCTTCATATATATTCAACTTCCGGTGCAAATACTCTGAAGGGTCTGTCTCAAAAAGCTCAATATCTTCATCAGACTGGCAGAGTACTGGGAAAATTAGGTGTTGAATGAGATTATCCATATGAGGTTTCAGATGGTCCCATGTAATTTTTGGCTTGACACAGTCTTGCAGAAAGACCAAAGTATAAGAAAGTGCAGGCTTGCTTAGCCATTGTCCGTTGACCCATTTATCGATTTCCCCCAGGTAACCCTTCAGAATCTCGGGGGCAAAGGTCGAGATGAAAATCTTGGCATACTGGGTGTATCTGTTCGAGCTGGATTTGCCGATAAGATTAGGGTTGCCGTAACTATGAGTATATCGCAACTGGTTAGATCGTCTTTCCTTTCAAAATATAAATTGACCCATGAACGTACCGAACAAATAGACGGTTCAAATTGGCATAAGAGCATTTTTTGGCTTTCCACCAATGGTTAAGGTCCCGCTCATCTACATCTTCTAGCAGGGAACTTGCGGGAGGGATTTTTCCAATGACTCTCAAGAACAAAGTGCACCAATCGACCGTTGCTTGATGGGTCATCAGGAAATTTGGCATTTCAAACTGTAGAACCGAAAAATTTCCGCGTCAGTAAAAACCATCTAGGATCCCGAGGCCCATAGCGCTATCGGAAATGAAAGTTTTCATCACCCACATAGGTGGCGTTCTTATACGCTTTGACAACTGTCCGCAGCATCTCCCCCGCTTCGATGCTTTCCTCATTGATAAGTCGAGACCCAATATCCAGTAATCGCGGAAACGAGACTTCCACCACTTTCTCAAAATCCCCCCTCTTGTCGCTCGCCTTGAATCTGTAAACACGACATATTGCCAGCAGACACTGCAAACCCGCAAAGACTGAGTTTGCGTCGTTGGTATTGAGTAGCTGGACAGTCACGTCCATATAGTCAGGCCATCTTGAAGGAAAATCGTATTGGAGGACCTTGGAAAGGATAGGGGCCAACTGAGATCGAACGGCGGGCGGGGAGGAGGCGAGTAAAGGGATAATACGAGCTCGGAATGGAGCTCGGTCTTCATCCGGAATGGCTTTGTGAATGGATTGTTCTTCGGCAGGAGCCCATCCTCGAGTGACCCGATTTTTCAGATATACCACCGCTAAAGGTGGGAAGGGAAAACAGGAGATTTGAGTCAGCAATACACAAGACACAATAGCCTATAACTATGGCTAACCAAGCGGACGAGAAGACGTTTATGTGTTTTCGAGGCAAATAAATATAAACATGGCCGGGTTGTTTTCTTACTCGATAGTCGAACTCCATTGTCCTGCTCCGCCTGTAAAATATCCAACAGCGCATTGACGAATCCAGGCTGCTCCTCAGCCTAATATAATGGCACAAAAGAGTTAGCGGGATTACCGACATACATATTCAGAAATTCTAATTGAATAACATACGAATTTCAGGTCTGCCTCTGCCTGTTGTCGAGTATCCGCATTGGTGTTGAGGGTCGCTTGGATACGGTCTCGGAGGCCTGCGACATCCATCTCGTGCTTATAACAACCCCCCAGCACCAGGCCAGAGGAGGGGCAGATCTAGAATTCCAAGTTAAAACAAGGCAGGTAGTTGCCTCGGTCCAAGCTGCGCGACGTAGCGTGGGTGATTGGGACGTGTAGGAGGATGTGGTGATGGGAGTGTTTTGTGGAGAGGGAAGTTGGGCAGAAAAGATGAGAAAGCACAGATCGGTCGGTGGGGTTTACAGTTTTAAAATTGAGGTTAGCATGGATGCTTGAACCTTTTTTTTCCTATCCACAACCACCTCTTATTTATTTACTTTTTTTATCTGGCGCTAATTCGTAAAAACAATAATAAAAGAAAAAGATAATTCGTCCAAATACAGTGAAAGCTATGGATCGAAAAAGGCGAGGATACAACCATCTCATTCGATTATCTACTTTATATCCCAAAGACCCCGGCAGACTCCAATATAAAAATATCGATAGCTGGCTTCTTCCGGCGTCACACATCAATTGTTAGTTTGAATCCTATTGGCAAACACATTCCCGCACACAGCACGATTCATAGCAACACCAACTGTTCAAGGATAAACTTTGACGATGCATCAGTTGGCCAGTACTAATGGTCATTCTTTTACATGTAAAGGGACGCGGCGAATATTACGTCGCGCTTGATCAGCTCTTGTGCCTGTTGCGTCTTGTTATAGAGTGTTGGATCGCCCACCAGCTTAGCAGCACTCTTTACCTCCCGACAGGTTTCGTCTAACCGTGTGATAACACGTACAATCGTTCCTTCCATCACATCTGTCAAATCTGTGATTCGGTTGAATGACATTCCCCGCGCCCATTCGTACACCACCTCGACAAGGCTGAATCGGGGCTTGCTCACGAAGTCATTGGAGTCATCACTCGATAGGATGACCTGGTGCTGGATTTGGAAGTCATTTACCCTTTCCGATATCTTGATTATGGCCTCTTTGCCCTTTTCAAGTCGCGGCGTGAGTGTCGGTACGCTCTCCGTCTTTTCTTGGAAGACGAAGGCTGACAGCAGAGCAACGATCTCTTCTGGCTCGTATTCTGCAAACACATTTTCCAGAATTAATTCTGTCAGGACTAGCTCATTGGCTGAATGAATCTAGATATAGATGGTGTCAATTTTTTGAGATTGAAAATGATTTTACGTGGATGGCACAATAACCTACCTCACAGGCAACTTTCCCCTTCAATTGGACTCGACAAGCCTCATCAACGAAGCCAAGATCCTTCAAGACCAAAATACGCTGCTCGTAGTCGGGTAACAGTTGCAAGTTTTGATCCGACATTAATTGCTTTAACTGTGAGATGTTTTCTTTAACCTGCCATTCGTCATGTTGCATCTCAAACTGCCCAAGCATCAGCATTGCCCAATAAAATCAATGTTAGTCGGGGAGAACAACGCTTTTTTAAACCTACATGTTTCAGAAATTGTGGGCATCGCAAACAATTGCTGGATTCGATGATGACAACTTGTGCCTGTCGCTGATTTAAGATCTCGACTACTTGAAGATCTTTGACTCGGTCCCACGCCAATTCGTCCCACGACCTGCTTTTCCACGAGGTACATAACGGGGCAAGGTCTTTCTGTGCAACTTTCAATGATTCTACAACGGGTTAGCAACAGGCCAAAAGAAAAAGAAAAAACAATTGAATCAGACCAATTAATGTAGCTATTAAAAAAGGTGGGTTCCCGTTTACCTTTCTTAATATTCAAATACCATGTTGGACCACCTATTTTTAAAACAGTCGAAGTTACGCATTCAAGGTCTTCAAGCGGGATCTTGTATGTCTTCAGCACCATCTCGTTGGGTTCCGTCGACAGTGGCGAAAATAAATGCCGAAACGCTGGCAAATATGGAAGGATATCACTTGGATGCCGGCTACCATTGATCGGGCCAAATTCGAACACCTCTAGGTTAAGGTTCGGCCCAGGAGCCATGCCTTCGCGAGCAAGCATACCAACTGTCCTGACGCCGTTCTGTAGGAAAGTAGCCAATATTAGCAAATCTCATTAATTAAAATCCAATGCGTAATTCGTCACCTTTTTAAAGACGACCACTGTCTTGGCTAAAAATAATCGTCGTCCCACAGGTGATGCAAGGAGCTTAATATGAAGTTTGGCAGTGAGACGCGAATACTCCACGGCAGCATTGTGGCAAGCTTCCATGTCGATATCACATATGGCGCATGGCTCCCGTTTTATTTTCTCTAAACTGGCCTCAGATAGTTGCACTTGTTTCTGGTGCTCCGGCAGGAGCGCTTGCGTTGCATTTTCACTGAAGCTTCGCTTGATCATTTCTTCAATCTTCAAGGCTTCTACTCGCAGGAGGTTCAATATCATATTATATGTAAGTCGGAATTGAGATCGAAGCTTAGTCGGATCGCCTAGAATCATACGTCGCAGAGTGCTAGCGGGTGGCGCCTCATCCCTACCAGACGTAACAATGATCACTGATCCCACTGTGTCAAGACCACGGCGACCTGCTCTCCCTGCCATCTGAGTATATTCACCAGGGAGAAGGTCTCTAAAGGACCTTCCGTCATGTTTTCGGAAGCCAGAAAATACAACAGTCCTGGTTGGCAGATTCAGACCCATCGCAAAAGTTTCCGTCGCAAACAGCACTTTCACCAAGGTCTTTGCGAATAATATCTCAACGATTTCCTTAATGATAGGTAAGAGACCACCATGATGAACCCCGATACCCCTACTCAGCAGCTCCCTAACCCGACGAATTTGTGGAAGGACTCTATCTTCTGCCTTCAGCCTTGCCAGCGACTTTTCAATAATCATATGGATAGAACTCTTTTCTGCTGCCGTGCAAAAATCTTGGTTAGACAAGGAATCCGCATTTTCCTCGCATCTCTTCTTGGAAAATACAAAAACACACGCGGGTAACAGGTTTTCTTTTCGCAAATGTTGCACCAGATGGACCCAGACATTTCTGTCTTGTGCAACGGTCGTTCGCCCACCGCCTCGACCTGTTCTGGCGATATTGCCGGCTCTATGAGGTGCAGGTTGGCCTCTGCCCCGCTGCTGTGTACCGCCTCGTTGTTGTTGTTGGACGCCTCCACGTTGAGTGCCACCACGCTGGGGCCCACCTCGTTGGTTACCACGTTGGGGCTGCCCACCACGACCTCTATCTCCATGACCACCTCTGTTATTATTGGACTGGGCGTCCGCCGCTTTCTGAGTGCGAAGTTTGTCCCGCCCGGATAGAATGTCATCTACCTTCTTCCATCCTTTCTCGATAAAGTTTTTGTTTGAGTCGACAATTTTGTGCATGCTCTTATCCGCCCAGAGGTAATGCTCCAATGGGACAGGGCGTTTGGGGGTTGAAATAACATAGATGTCCTTCTTCTTAGTCCTGCCTACCCAGGAGGCAAATTCGTATGTGTTTGGTACCGTAGCGGACAGAAGAATTAGAGTAACATGTTCTGGTAGCATGATAATGACTTCTTCCCAAACCACGCCTCTTTCCAGGTCATTTACGTAGTGCACCTCGTCGAAAATGACAAACTCTACATCGCGAATAAGATCAGCGCCGCGGTAAAGCATGCTCCTCAGAATTTCCGTCGTCATGATCAAACAGCTCGCCTCGGGGTTAATCTGGACGTCTCCGGTCAGAATTCCCACATCCTCAAATGTATTTCTGAAGTCGCGAAACTTCTGATTACTCAAGGCTTTAATCGGTGATGTGTAAATGGCTTTTGTCATGTGCTTGGCTGCGAGTGCGATCGCATACTCTGCCACAACTGTTTTTCCAGCAGATGTATGAGCGGCAACGAAAACAGAATCTCCGTTTTCCAGGTGGTAGACTGCCTCCTTTTGGAAAGTATCCAGCTCAAAGGGCCATTCCCTCGCCATATCCGGTACCAAGTCGTAAAAATTCGTAATCTCCTTGTTGATGTCCACCACATGAGCCCACTCTTTACCCCCTTTCTTTGAAGTGGATGTGAGGAGCTGATTCCTTGGTTCTAAAGCTGGGTATTCAACTGGTAATAGAGAATCAATATCTTGTTCCTCTTCGTCACTGGATATGCCCTCTTGGAGTTGTTCATCGGTCCCGGTGTTTCTTTCTACACCAAGGGAAAGCCTCTCCTCCGTCGGTTCGTTAACGCCTTCCACCTCCCGCTGTAATGTATTTTCAACATCTCGAGCATCGCTTTCATCATCCTTGCGTTTGGTTTTCTCGAATTTCGACCCCCTAGAAAACCCCGGAGGAACTTCCAACAGGCCACCCTCCACGCCAAAATTAATGATTCTGTCTAGTCCCGATGCATTTCCTCCAGCAGAATTCTGATGCACATCACTTTGGGCTTCAGACTCAAGTTCAGCAATGGCTTCCACGCCCTCCAGTCCGCCAGGTGCAAACGGAAAGAATCCGGCAGCACCGCGGACGAAATCAGCACGCCCTGCTGGTCGCCTTAGCAGCGACGTAGAATTTTTCGCAGTAGCGCTGCTTGCAGGAACAGTTACCTCGTGATAGCCAGTAACCTTGCCTTCCAGCCCTTCCCGGGTAAACCGGATGATTGTACGGGTTTGTGGTGGTGCCAGGTCCATGAGGTTCGTGTAGTCCAGAGGAACTTCCCATCGCCTAGATTAAACTCATCAAAATTTGCGCGTAGAAAAAAGAAAAAAGAAAAAAAGAAAAGAAAAAATTTGCGAGAAGGGCACATACTGTTGCAACTTATTCAACCACGGGATACTAAACCGAGGAGAAGGGTTCAAAAAATCTCGCTCGAGCTCAGCTTTCAGCTCCTCATCAGATTGGACTTCGCGCCTTCGACGCTGCGATCGGAAGCCTGCCTCGATTTCCTTCTCCCCATCTGCTAGATCTTCATTTTCTTCTCTCGCTATCCAGGCGTCTAGAGTGTCATCATTGTTGGACAAATTATCCACTGCGGCGTAAAGCCGCTGGACAGCATCGAGCAAATCTCGGTCTTCCGCCATTTTTGTTAACGGCAAATGACGCATTAGATGGTATTAAAGGAAACCATAATCAGCTCCCAGTATCATGGCAAGCCAGCCTATGGCAAACTGCTCTCTGCTTCTCAACTTATCATGTCTGTGATGCGGGCCTCAAAAGACTGACATTCCAACCTTTTCCCTGCCGCTTTCGGAAAGCGGGCATTACCTGGGCAAGATTACGGGCAACAGAGATGCTAAATTATGCCGTGGTCAAGTCTTCAAGATTTACTGTAAACCCACTTTGTTTCCCATGTAACAGTGACTGGCCTGTTCTCAGGAGTGAAGCGAGACGCTAAACTGTCTGGCGTTTAATTAACAAACAAGCGCGCTTGGCGCAGCCCTAAAACCTTAATATCATTTTGAGCGCCCACCTCATGGTTTCCCGATCTTGTGATATAAATTCAAGTTAAAAAGAAAAGGGCGGTAGCTATTATTTCAAGAATATCAATGGAGGTGTAAGCCCAAGGAGTTGCCGTCCAAATAAACTCCTATCCACTATACAGAAGATCGCTATTTTTTGGAGGACAGCAACTTGAAAGCTGCATCGTGTCTGAACTCAGGTAAGGGATACTTCATGGCGATATCAACTGAGTGAATAAGCTAGTCATTCAGAACGCTCTAACGAAAGCACATATTCCCCGAGTGGAGAGAGGGAAACGTATCGTATTGAAAGAGTGACTATACGACAAGACACAACAAGGAATGTCTAGAGATAACAATATACAAAAGAGAGTGAAAAAGGGACCAAGGAAAACAAGCCACCTCAAAGCGATTTCCGCAATACAAGGGGGACAGTACTGAACCCCAAATGTTGAGGATCAACGGCTATCTTGTAGCTTGCTCCTGAGGCGAGAAGAAGTTGAAACATGACAATCAGGGATTAATCCTATCCTGTATCCGAGGGTAAACACGTAACAGGGCTTCCCACAGATCTGGGTGCTGGGTCACAAGAACTTCTGGATCCAACCCCATCGCCATAAACGTTGTGTCCACCCCACTGACTACTGGTGTCATATACACTTTGCAAATCTGAAACCCGCAGAGGAACGCGTATGCCATGATAGCGGGTGTGAATCTCCCAGTTCTGTTGAAATCCGGTGTCGTATATCCCAACTCGACATATGCTACAAATGCACAAAGGTACGCAACAAACAGAGATCCCAGGGTTACAGTAGTTGCAGCAATACTATCGTTGACGAGCGCATCGATACCGTGGTGTTCCATCATTTGCCACGTATATTTAGCCGCTAACCCATAGGGTTTCCCGTACAGTACCACATGGGAAAATGCATATCGATTGAAAACGCTGGTCACTCGTCGAAGCGAGCTCATTATTCCTCTCACAACATGTGTTGTGGCCCTCCCGACGATAGTTTGATCAGCAACCACTTCCTGTCCGGAGATGCTGCACAGCTGGCGCAGCAAGTCAACCACACCGACGACCAGGCTTCCAAGGCATATGCTACCAAAGGAATAAGTGATGGCCCGTCTTGAAGCACTTCTCAATGGTCTCGTTGGCATCTCCTTTGAGTTGCCGCCATAGAAATACCATGAGCCATACGCTCCAGCGACAGTAGCATGCATAGTATTCTTGATCCACTCAGTGATCCAATAGGCGGAAAGGACAGAAAACGTCATCAGCGTCTTCGTCGCAATAGATTTGCATCTGTAGTTATAACAAAGAGGGTTTGGTTTCGTTTCGTCTGGATCGAATGCAATATAAGTCGTGACGAGCGTCACGAAAAGCAACGCAGCGAATCCGACTGTGAGCATACTTCCCATAATGCAGATCATATTCACCGATCCATGGCGTCTTATCACAGCGGCCGACGATCGAAGCAAGACTGTAGTGAATGGGATTCGTGGTATCCAGTTCACGAAGTATATAACCGCGAAGAGTCCAAGCCCAGTAAATACACCCCCGATAGCCCATTGGCGCCTATAAAGATAAACAGCACCAGTGCCGAAACTCGCACTCACATTCAATAACCCAGTGACCCAAACCAATTTATCCGTAAAAAATAAGAAGACCAAAAAGTATACTACCGAGGCGGAAACGGCGAGAGGAAGCACAGCGCTCAAAAGCAGGACGACATTCAAATCTAGTGCGATGCTATTCGATGGGTCATTGACGATGTGTCCGTCGAAGTCGACGCCTTTCGCGTATCTGTCAGTCACGAAGGAGGAGAGAGCAACAAATGCTAACACATTCAACAAAAACTAACGAGAAGAAAAGTGTTATTTTTTAACATCAGTAGAAACTCGCAGACCAAGGTATAGATACGAAATAGAGGGCCAAATTAAAAAAAGCCTACCAGTAGGCTGGCCCATATGTCAAAATACTCTTTTTTGTATAGCTTGAAAGCCTCTTTGAAGGTCGTTTCGGGTGGTCCATCACTATCCTTCTTCTTCCGTCGGAAGAGTCGGGACAAATTGATATCCTGGAAGGTCACCGTAAGATTGCCCATGGAAAATTTTAAGGCGGGCCATGAGATATTTATGTTTTTCTTCTTTTTACCACCACCGGCGCCCTCACCGGCGCCGTCACCTGCAACAGCAGCATCATGAGGTTGTTCATCAGGATTGTTTGCACTGGCGTTGTCCTCTTGGGCTGAGGGCTGAGACATTGTTTAGAACATGTATAACAGACTGGTAGGTAAGAAATATCACAGAGGTACAAAATGAGAGGCGTAGAATATCATGTCTGTCCACATCAGACATCAAGGAAGCGTGCAAGAGGAGTGTGATGAAGTGTTGGAGTCAAGTTCCGTAAGGGTCCCCGCAGCCAGATCGGGTCGAAGCTGCCGTTTCGGCTGTAGACAATAACATATAATCGATGTATTAGGAAAGTCCAGCATCTGTAGTTATGATCGGCTGTTCCTTCCCCAATCCACCTCCTATTCCAAGCGCTGAGATAAGTAAACTCGGATCTTGCTCTGGTCCAAGAGCCTCGGCAATCTGCTCGATTGTGGAAAGAAAAGAGCCGTGGCGCAAAAAGTTCAAGGGTAACAAAGCAGCGTGACAAAGGGAGTACGGCAGAAGAGCGTGCCAGTCGATAAGAAAATGCCCGGGGAACCCCCATCATCGTCGAAGGAAGGCATAGCTGGAGAACTGGCTGAGGTTGTTATGCCACCGGCACACCGCAGGCTGCAACAGCTGCATAAAACATTGCATGTAAGGGTATAGTCCATATTTTTTGTCAACAGAACGGTATTAGCATCCCCTTTAACAGAAGGTGACGGACAAACCAAACAACTTCATAATAACTTGCCAAGATCAGGAATAAACAGCCAAGGACATTTCCGTGGTCGTTGAGTTGCAGACCTCTTTTTTTGTCGCCTGCGGAGCATGTGGAACAGGCTGTCCGGCAGATAGCTCTAGAGAAGCACATGCAACGGACTGAGAGGAAGAGCGTCAAAGCCTTCAAAGCCTAGAACCCCATGCGATCTGACAAGAAGATGGATATCACAGTCCGTCATGTATCATTGCCGAAGCAAGGAGTGCTTGATATTCCCCTCCCATATCTTACTAGAAATTGATTGACTTCGGATGTATAAATGTTTCCTGGAGAGAGGGTTTGATGGATGAATATTTTGGTGCACACGATTTAACCGCGAGTTTTGGAGGCTCATGTTATAACATCGGTTAAATATTTGACAATGGTGATTCCCAAATTGGTGAATCACCACTGAAAGGTCACCTTGCTCAGCGAATTTCCCTTTCCAACATTCTCACGCCAGTCTTTACATTACACAGGGAGTTCGCAGTCACGATGATAGTATATGAATAAGGGCGCAAAACAGTCATGAATTGAAGGCAGATGGGTTGGACAACAATAGATTGAAAAATGGAAGCAAAACTTACGAGAACAGGCGTGCTGAAAGGAAGGTAGAAAATGTTGGAGGGATTGGATTGGGTGATTCGTACCCTCTACTATGATACCACCATGGCGCTGGTGGTGATTGAGCTCTTTTGCCCTAGTGGCCTAATAGAAAAACACCCCATGCAAGAAATGATCAAGTGATGTAACAGGAAAAGAATTGATTTGATAAATACCAACATTAATTATTACCAAGGTAATGAGGATGGAATAAACAATTAAGGAATATAAAATGGCAAAAACAAATACAATACATGTTTGTTCTTCGCATTGCACTGCAACCTGCCATTCTGCACAAGTTCGTCGGCTGAGCGCTCAAATATGTACCATCAACTCTCAGTTTACAAGAGAAGGGAAGAAAAATGAAACGTTAAAAGGAAAAGGAGGAAATCAAAAGACAAATTTTGAAAAATAAATTAAAAGGAAAGAAGAAAGAAAGAAAGAAAAATTAGAATCCGAAGTCCATAAATATATAAAATCCGCTGTTAATCAGAGATAAGTCAGTTTGTTGTCACTTGCTTTGCTCCAGCTGCTTTGCCCTCTAAAAATAGGAAATAAAAGAAACAAAATAGAATAGAAAAATAAGAATAAAAGAGCAATGGAAGAAGGAGGGAGCATATAGCAAAGACATCCAAAATATATTCACGAAAGCCTGGTAAAACACCCAGCTCCAAATCCATCCCTTTGCGTTAATTCAGTTACTTCGATCGAATGATACATTCCATCCCCATCCCGCTAGCATATTGCGCCCGCTCGCTTCAATTACATAATAAAAGTGAAAGAAAGGGGAGAAATACAAAGAAATAGAAACAACTAGTGGAGCAAGGAGGGAAGAAAACAAGATGGAGAAGCTAAAAATAAATGAAATTAAAAATTTCAGATTAGCTCAAAATAATAATAGTAACAGAAGGAAGGAACAATGATGGGCAAGGAAAGATGCTGGCTTTTCAGCGTCATTGACGGGGTCGCTTTGCGTAATTGATTGGCATTTCGGCTTTTCCTTCGATGGCGGGTTCATAAAATTCCGTTTGGATAATGTTAAATTAAGATCTTTGGAAAGGACGAAGAGGCCCTGGGAGGAACAAGTGGCAACACCGATAGAAAGAAGACCCAGTCCTTGCTTGGATGGGCGAAATTGGAGCTTATCTGTTCCTTCTGATTGATTGCTGTTTTGGTTTTGCTTCTTGATTTTAAACCTTTCTTCACCTGCATGAAAAACCAGGAAATGTTTTTCGATCTTGGACGTTGAGCTCGAGCTGGAAGATACCTTCCACAGTTCCGATAAACCTAATAAAATGATAAAAGACTCGGATTAGCTTTTCAAGTATGCTGATGTCGTGTTATATATAAATCCTTTGAATCAATATTTGGGAAACTAACAAGGTCCGCCCATCGGCACCCCATCCAATACCTGCAGTTCCCAATCCCCGTTCCCTCTCGCGACTAGTCGACCCATATCTCCCATCATCACCAAGCGCCATGCGAGCCCAACGCGGTGCTCGAAGCTGGCCAACTTCGATGCGACGGCGATAATGGCTGAACGGCGCACCCACCCCTGTCCGCCGACTCTCCTCAATCACCGCTTGCCGCCGTAGCCGGCTTCGCTCCTCGGGGGTCGAGCCTATTGTTTGCCCCTCTTGCCGTTCTACGGCGTGATCCAGGCGGTCCGCTCTTCGTGGAATGGATCTTGTACGGTGCAGGCGGATTTGCTGGGCTTGGGTGGATAGCGGTGAGGCTGGGTTTTCAGGGGAACGGTTAAATAGAACTCGGGATCGTGGTAGTTGTCGGCTACTTGTAGGGCCATTCGCGTTTCCATTGCCATTTGGCTGTTCGTTGTTAGTAGATTGTGCTGCGCCGCTTCGACCCGTGGCATTTGAACCGTCAGCATCTGAGGGGTAGTCCGAAGGCTGCAAACGTGCTGGAGACTGGGTCCATCTTAATGTGATAGATGAAGGATTGATTCCGTGGGCAGGTAGCAACGTAGATGACAGCCGCTCGCCTTGCGGCTGCGCAATTGATATGGAAGGACGTGACGTCGGCGGTTGAACTGTCGCTCGCACCCGCTCCAACTGGCGATCTCCACCATACTCAGCGCGTAAAACGGCGTCAGCCAACCCCGGAGACGATGCGCGAGGAGAGCGGTTGCCAGTGCGAGCTTCCATGAGCGATTCAGGACTTAGGCGTCTCGGAATTCGCGAGGATAATATCCCATCGTCCCATTCTGAGGCATTCACGGAATCGATAATGTGTCTCTCTCTATACCCCATTTCCCGCAACAACTCTTCACGTGATAATTCTGTTTCCGAATCACCACTCTGTTGGTCCCTCTGCAATGAGGTAGCTTCAATGACGTTTGCTCGATGGTTCAGTCCCTCATGCTCAAGGAAGCGTTCGGCACCATCAGAGTCCGATGACGACTCCTGATCATCTCTGCCTATGTGAGTTCGAACGATTTGTAGTCCTGGTTCGTCTAGATCAAGGGATAGAATCTGGCGCCGGGAAAATGCCTGGCGGATGTCTGCTACCCCAGCTCGCCCATAATCTTCCACCCAAACAAGGAGATCCCAAGGTCTAGGAGAGAACGACATGGACCGAACTGCGCCACCTTCAAAATAAGATCGAGATGACTGGAACACACAAACAATATGTTCTCGCCCACCCACGTCTTCGGGATCCGTGTTCAAAATGCTTTTGACGTCGAAGACTGTGATGATTCCGGCTTGTGACCCAACTGCACAAAGATGGCTAGATGGAGAAAATGCAATTGTGAAGCAACAACAGTCATCATACTCAGGATCTGTGTCCAGTTCTACGGAGCGGATCAACGGCCAGTTCCAACCCATTAGCATTTTGTCGCTATTCCGAACAGGGACTCTGTTTTCGGGGGATTGCTCAATTCGGTAGAAGTAGATATGGTTGGCGTCACCCACGGCAGCGAGAAGGTTCGAATCGGGCGAGATAATGGCATAATTCATGCAAATCGGATGGCGAATGCTCTGGATCATTTCCGAGCGTGTAAGGGAATAAATGCTCACTGTTGTGTCATTATTACTAGAGGAATCCATCCCTTGTTAGCCAAAGAGATAAGTAGTCGGAAAAGACACTTGCTGGTCAGCAATGTACCTGAGAACTGCGACATCTTCATTCGCATAATTATTATTAAGAGCTGGTAGGCGATGAAGCGTCACAGAATTGACAATGCTCCCTCCAAACTCATGTATTTTTATATCTAGAAACCTCTCAGCGTTTGGCCTCTGAAAAAGTTGAGGAGTTGGTAGAGTCTCACTAGCACTTGATGGTGGATATCGGGGCCGAGAAGGATCTAGGTCAACTGGTAATGGACTATCTACGTCTGTACGCGGAGGAAGCATGCCAGGCGGAGTCCCGGAAGTCGTTTCGCCAATCTTGATAAAAGCACAATCCCCGTGCTCTGAACCCCCGATCCCAATCCAACCCAGACCAGCAGTCAGGCATCTTGGTGAGAACGGCACGACCGCAATTTTCTCACGCTTTCTCGTAGGGATGTGGAAGACATATATCTGCCTCTCTACCGCGACATATATTCGATCTGGATCAGCCGTGCTAATGTAGTGGCGAAGTTGGTGGTGACTACGTAAAGCGCAGTTAGCCTTCATTCTGCCCAGATGATAACAAGCAAGCTAGGTATCACGAACGCATTAGGGATCCGGATAGGGAAGAATTTTCGGTGGTTTTGAAGGACGAGACATTCAGTTGGTCGGTAGCTATGTGGAAAGTTCGGTTAGGTCAGTCTTGACGCCTTTTCCATTTCAAGCTCCATACGAGCAACTCTGGTACTCACAGAAGTGCAGAGTCGAGCGTCATGGTGGCCAGGAGAGCAAGGCTGTTAGGGTCATTGTATCAAAAAGCCTATAGTAAAATATGAAGCATCGACAGCATTAGGTTGAAGACGGAGTCCGACAGGTGGTGATGCTGGAGGCGCATTGAAGGGTGGAGGAGGTTGTTACCTGTCTCGATGACGGCAGAGCGGAGAGCTAGAGGTTGGGCGTGGTGGGGGAGGTACCAGCACACACAGCTAGTATCGGGAAGTACATGTGGCTACTAGGCTACCTACCAGTACACAATTACATCACTGGACTTAGCTACGGCTTAACGTATGCCAGGCAATATATCCATGTACAGTGCAACTCGCCATTCACCTTACCCTCATCAGTCTTCATTGCCGCTGTGCTGCGCGCTTCAGCCAGGCGGCAACGCCTTCTGACATAAGACGGTAAGGCTACTTACTGGGGCAAAGAGGTGATTGGCAATTTACAAAGCTTGTGGGAGGTTTTACCACTACGCCAAGAGGATCAATCCTTGAGGTAGCCAGCCACAAAAACGACACCATCCTCCGGACTGCTGGAAAGCTCCTCTTCGTTAACAACCTCATCAGCATCTTCTGCACATCTTCTTTACTTTGCCTATTGTGCGAATATTTCTACTTGCCATTTAAGTAATGGCCGATGACGAGATTCAGAGGCTGTCCCAGATTTTAGAGGATGGGAAGCGACGTCGACGGGACGCGCAGCAGGCTCAACAGCAGTCGGAGCAAGCTCCATGGGCATTGGAAGAACAGATACGTCGTCCCTTAATTACTTTTTGAATATCTTGATGCCTGCCAAACTTATCCCTCAGCCTGAGTGTGTGGTTGCTAGGGAGGAAAGTTTGCTACATCAGATGTGTACTCAATTCCAGTCTCTGAATTGAGTCTATGGTAGATATTGAGCGATCAAACCCTCAATTCAAGTGAAGGTCTACTTGCAATGCGTCTTTGAAAACCCCATCTGCACCATCACAAAATGTACCCTGCAGGATTATTTTTGAAGTTTCCACTAGGATTGTTGATGCGACTATGTTCGTGAGAATTTTTTTGGTCTACCTTGGGCAAAGATTCATCTCTTCGTGGTACAATAGCGTTGATAGTATGGTCAGCACTCACCTCGCTAAAGATATTTAAATTTGATAACTCGAGTTGGGTTTAGTTAATACTTTGAGAATCTGTTTAGTAATGAGAATGTAAGTGGTGATTCTTGAATCTAGGTATGAGCTTATTTTAAATTAGTTAGAGCTGAATCTAACGCAGTTGAAAGATAATAGTTGATTTGAAACCATACCGCATTGTTCTTTTCGTCTACTGCAGCATCAAAGTAGCCAGTCAGCATATATCACTGATATTGTAGACGGACCAATTCACAGCAAAGTAGTATAGGATCTTTAATATGGATGCGCGAATATATTCGTTATATGATTTTTAGTTAATCATACTGCTGGGGCAGCTGTCTTACGAGAAGGCGAAGACAGAATAAAGAATAAATAGTAGAAGATAGAATTAAATACTAGTATGAATAGTTAAGTACAGTACAAGCACTTGTCATAGGAACATAGTAAAATAGTAGCTAATCGCTAAAGAAAGAAATAGAAAAAAAAAGAAAAAAAAGAAATAAGATGAATATATACTTAAAATATATACAGGGCTATGATTGTGGTCAAAGAAATAGTGGTAGCGAGGAGGCATAACGCAATGGTAGCGAAGACATATAAGGAATTAGTTGAGCTCTGTAGTTTTGAATAGAATGCTTTCATCGTCTTACTCTACAACTCTGGCAATATGTGTTTCATACTATTCATAAAACCATTAAACCATTTTCATAAAGTGCATACTTCAGTAGTTCTCTTCAATTCATTCCCGACATATAGTCGCTAAACTAATACAGCTGTAGATAGAAGCTATGACAGATACGTATCCCCGCAGCCAAGCCCACCATCGCACCCAACTACCCAGCTAGAGTATACTCTGTTTCCTCCCTTCTAGTCTACCGTTGTATTTCAATTGGAAATGTCGGAGTATTTGTTTAATCAGACCCCTCAGCTTCAGCTTGTGGAACAGCGTAGAACCAGTGTCGGGCAGGAGCAACAGCCTCCTTAGCGGGGACATTTTCTACCGGCTGCTGTAATAATAATTAGTTGATTGTTCAACAGTATCAATATTCAAGCAGATAGTACTAATATACATACGGCAACGGGGGTAGCAGAGATCATGGAGGCCATGATGAGAGCAGCCAAGGTGTAGAAGGTCTTCATTTTGAGTTTGGTTGGATTTTAATTTCAAAATATTTTTTTGAGAAAGAGGTCGTTATCTTAATGAATTGTAAATATTTGTTGATTTTCAATAGATGTTGAGAGGGTGAATATCTGTGTTATAAGTAGTTTTATACAAACCTATTCGATCTAAGAGTAATCGACCAATGACCACTATGATGTAATAATTGAATTTTTGATTTTGCTGACAATTCCCCCATGTCAAGTTGAGGTCAGCATGCTGATGGTTCTTTAAAGTCAGCAAGTTCGTTGATTGCAGAACCCGAATTTAAGCTCAGACAACCGATTCTTTCCCCAGTTATTATGTTACATTTAAGAGCGACACAACATACGCTTGCTTGATAAATGTCATGATTATTGAAACCAACGACGATCAGGCCCATTCCGTGTGTGGGGTGATAACTGATCGTCTCAAGTCAGCAACATATGGATGACAAGTACTCCAGAGATGAGATCTCAAGTCGAGTTATTGTTATTCTGCTCAGAGTTGAAGTAGAAGAAGTGTGATTTAACTCGAAATAGGCAATACAAGATCATGAGTTTAAGCACTCTGGATATAATCATATATATTTTCTGTATTAATATGTGGATAAATCAGAGAGTCTCTCTTTTAAAAGAAACTGAATGTCATTGAGCTTTTAATCATAGACTGAGTTTGAGAATCAATCATTCACTGCTTTAACTGGTTCTGAAGTGTGAAACTAAACGAATATTGACATATTCTATAAACCTATTCCGCTGTAGGTGCAGCGATCGATTACGGTGCCGAAACTTACGCAGTAGCGCGTCGAAGCGTTGACTAGAAAAGATAATAAGAATTTCCAGTTAAAAGAGCAAGGGCAAATCAAGGAAAATCAAGAATATATCATCTTACTCTAGTTTCACAGATAACCTCTTTGATGCAGTGGCTTTTATAACGTCAGCAATCTGCAAACCGTTCTCCAGCAGAGTAACCCTCTCATACTTATTGATAGCCTTGGGCAGCCCAAGAGACATTGAAAAAGCCATCTTCTTGCTAGAGGTGTCTTTGATAGACATTCTCAAGTCCTCTGTCTTCTCCACCCACTCGAAGGGAAAGGGACCTTGCAGGTAGTAGATGAGGTAAAGATCAAAGGCTCGCCATGAGCAAACCAACCTTCCCCGGTGATCAAATGAATTCCTGTCCGATGACAGGATATCAATAAAATAATATCTACTCCTCTGTTAGTCTAATGGCGCTGCATGAACATGGGCATGTAGTTGTTGTTTGTTGATACAGGCTACAGTTGAACGGGTGTAAAAAAAAGCTTTCTCATATTTTTGCCAAGACGTTTTGCCCCTGTTCAACTCTGGTCAGGTGGTTTAATCCATGGAGAGCACCACCGAAGGTTTTTCCGGCCGAAAATTTAGCACCCGTTCAACTGCACGGCCGATACCTACCTTGGTAGCGCCCTTGTCTCCTGACACGTGACTCGCTGCTTCTTTCTGTGGGATGGTTAATCTTCTCATTGTGCGATCGCTAGCTAACTATATAGGGGTAATCACGTGCGGTGGAGGGCCACCTGGGCAACTAGTGCCCAACACCCCCCCACACGCCAACATGTGTGATGTGTTCCTACGAATATTCCATGCTAGCTATCTTAATCTAGATCATCCCAAAAACATGCTATATACAGAAATTTAATCATTCTTGCTGTTGTTAGTGAAAAGTTCTAGTAATTTAATGAAATGTCTAAATGCCACTGTGCTCAGAGGTTTGATTAATTCATCTGCTATCATATCCTCAGTGGGAATGTGGTTAATTGAAATAACATTTTCATTCAGTTGCATGTGAGAATAGTGGAAGTGAGTGTCAATATACTTGCTGTGCATCATGATCACAGCAACAGTAGCTAGATCAATAGAATCTTTATTATCTACTCTGATAGACAAGGAATTCTTTGCTGTAATAAATTCTAGTTTCATCATTATATTATACAATCACATTGCTTTGTATACTGCTTCACTGAGTGTCATATATTCTGTTTTATTTGAACTTAAAGAAATACAAGATTGTTTGAACAAATATCATGAAATTGATGCATCTGCTAATTTGAATATAAAGCTTAAGATAGATTTATATTTACTGTTCAACAGTTCTACTCAATCTGAATCTGTATAATCTATTGACAGATATGATATATTGAGGAATTCATCAATCTCATTCTTAAAGTCTTTGTATAAGATGTCTAGATTGCTCATTTCTTTTAGATATTATATAATACAGAGAAGAGTTTTTCATATTTTAGATGTAGATACAGTATTCTTCTGCACTAGTAGAGATGCTGCTTATATAATATCTGAGTGTAATTTGACTGTCAGATACTGCAAGTACTCTACTCTGTATTAATATTATTCTTTGATGAATTCTTCTTCTTATTCTGATACAGAGATATTATCTATCTTCATCTCTTTAAGTATTGATGTAGAGATAGAGACAGCATTATCTAGACAGAAATCCTGCACTAAACAATTAATATAGTATCTCAATGTTAATTTGATAGCATTATTAAGATGATGTTCAACCTTCATATTCAAGTATTTTGAAGATTCTTTCAAATCTTTTATTTCTAATTTATTAATGAGAATATCAACTAGTCAATCAGCATCTACTGAATCTTCTGCTATAATATAAAGATTATTCATATAGATTGTTATATAAAAATGATTGTGGAATGTGTGATGTTATAGAGTAGAGTTGTAGAGGCTAGATTTGAAGTCATTCTCACAGAGTAATATTATAAGAAAATCATATCAAATCTTAGCAGCAGGATTCAATCTGTATAGAGAGTCTACAACAGCACAAATCATTATATATAAAGTCTTCATCTCAAATTCAGTAGATTGCTGTATATAAACTGTTTTATCAAATCAGTTATATAGATAGATCATCACTATATCAATCTGATGCAAGATTCAATCTTGCTTTGCTGCTACTATAAATATCATACAATTAGTAGTGTCATTAACAACAGATATGTATGTTTCTTTATATATGCTCTTCTTTAATCAATTGCTATATACTACTCATTGAGATTTTTGTAATATATTATCAGAATCCATATTGAGATTCTGAGAATAATCTTTTTCAATATAAACTCAATAGCTGAGGGCCACTGACTCATCAGAAGAGACATCAGAATATAAAATCATTGTTCAAATATTTCTTCATTTCAAATCTACAATCTCATATTTCATTGATTTTTGTCAATATTTATCAATCCTCTCAGATCTACTAACAGCATTCTTATATTTTTTTGAAACAGAATCAGTGAGAGAAGAAGAGATGTAGATAATGAATACTTTTACTGATTTTATTCATTCAGTATCAGCTAATTCAGAAACAGCAGTATTATCAATAAAATAAGTTGCTGAACTTGCAGCTTTAAATATTATATAATTAATATCAATCTGCAGAGTTGTAGATTCCTTTGCAGAGAAAACAATATTACTGATGACAATTATTTTATTAGTTGTAGAACTTCAGAGACAGTAGATTGAATTGCTACAGAATTCTATAAGTTTAAATATTTCTGCTCTGATGAACAGCTTATCAGTAGATCTTTGAAATTTATGAAGATGTATGTAAATATCAATATCTAGCTCTCTAAAATAGCAAAGTTGAAGCAGAGTGTTGATTAGTGCTGAGAATAAAATAATATAGAGGCATTATACAGATGCTTCATCAGTGTTGTTGATAGATCAGTATTTCTCATTATACAGAGTAATAGATATTGATGTGTTATTGATAATTGCAACTACTATTTCAAGAACATCTGCTCAGAACTTCTTCAGTATATTTATATTTATAAATACTGCTCTAGCACATATTATTATCATGCAGATTTCTCTCTCAGAAACATCATCTTGATAGAGAGATTGAGATATAGTAGATTCTCAGATAGTATCATCTTTGATTATTATTATTATCATTTTATTTGATTGAAAGATATTATCAATATCAGTTCTAACTAGTGCTGATGGTATGAAGTCAAGATTTTTTATAAATTGAACTCAGTGAGTGTAAAATTTGATAGCTTGATTCTTAGTGTGTAAAAAATAGATTCATCTATAATAAGTGGTGTTATCAGTGATAAGCATATAATATTTGATCTCTTGATAAGATTCTATAGAGTAATCAGATATATCATTCAGCATACAATCATCATCAGCAAGGTTGATATGAATATATTGCATTGCTCACAATACTTGTGGTATGAGAGTTTGCAAGAACTTGTGTGTCATATCTGCTTTGACACAGCTATCACAGAAGAAGTCTGTTTTAGATTCTTTGATACAGATATTAGATGACAGATTCTTCACTAATATAATGATTGCATCAGTGTGAATATACTTTAGAGTGATATATTATTTCATAAGTGTTCTTATCAGAGAATTGTAATTGCTAGATTGATTGCTAGATTTCTCCACAGTTGTTGATATTGCATCTCTATAATTGTAAGATTTGATCATAAAATGAACAGTCTGAAATAAATGATGAATATCTATTTGAAATTCTCATTCTATTATTTTATAGACTGATTCTTTGAATGTACAAACAGTGATGAAGTTGACACTATTCAGAGCTCTTATTGTAAAATAAGAAGAGGTGGTGTTAGATAGTTGATATCTGAAACCTTGATCTTCTAGCTTCACAAAGGATAGAAGATTGATAGTGAGATTGAAGATTCAGTGAATATAACTCACTGAAATATCCCTCTCTTCTAATTCTAGAAGAATATCATCTATCTTCTCAACTCATTCTATATCATCATTCACAGTGGTTATCTCTAAATTCTTCTCAAATAACTTTGCATATATCAATGAGTGTCTTTCATCTGTTATATTAAAGCTTGTGCAGATGTTGAGATATCAAGATCTGAATATTGTAGCAGATAATGCAGATAAAGTAAATACTGTATTGATACTAGATTGTAAGATAAGAAGATCTAATACTCTGATATCAGTAGATTTATTATCATTCTTATTCTTCTTCTTATTCTTTCTCTTCTTTTTGACATTCTCAGTGTTATCAGTACTCTTATTATTTTTATTCTTCTTTCTCCATCACTCAGATGCTTTGTCAGAGTTCAGATAATAGCAATTAGTCTTTATATACTCTGAAATCTTACAGTATTCACATCATGAAATTGTGGTGGTGATTGTGATATTATTATCATTATTATTGATAGCTGTATTGATCTTTGAAGTTTTGAAATATTCAGAACTCTCTGACTTACTCATCTGATGAGCAATTTGTTTTATAAAATTATTAATATCTAGATTGACAATCAGACTCTGATCTGTATTATAGAATATATCAAAATATAATTTGATGTAGATTCTCTGATAATTTCAGAAACTAATAATAAAGAAATTATGAAGATAGTTCTTACTGTAGTTCTCTGTTAGTTGTTGCATGTGAGCAGACAGATAGTGATATTAATGTATATATATCAAATAATCACTGTTCTTGACATGTAAGTGGATAAATTCTTTGAGAATATTAATTCTTTTCTCTTCTAGAGATATTGTATATACTGTGTTTATCTTGTGTTATAGAGCTGCTGCATTGTTGAATTAAATGAATTCTATAATTAAATAGACAGAATCTATCAGAGATTGTAATATATAATAGAAAAGTAGTTTTGAATGTATTATTTAATATTATTACTTGAGTGTTGATAAATCTTCAGATGATTTCTGTTGATTCTTATTAAGAATATCTGCATCATCAATTATCTCTGTATTCAAGAAGAATGCCATCTTCTATATCTGATAGTTGATATTATTAAATATGGTGATAGACTTTGTATTTAATGAGATCTGCACTTTCTTCTGATATTTACAAGCCAGCATGTTCAGATCTTCTTCTGATATAGAATTTGAAAAAGATGAAGATGATGAAGAAGATAAAAAAGATGGCAGTGTATATACTGATATCAGTCACTCATAGAGTGCAATGAGATCTGCTGCTGCCATGATCATCATACTGTTAGAATTCAGTATAGATATCAGTATAGAACTGAGTGTGTCATTCTCAGATTTCTCACATTCTGGCATTTTATCAGTATTGTATGCTGAGTCAGAGATTGTCATATCATTCTCTGTCATTGTATATTCAGTTTGATTACTCTCTACTTTTGAGATGAATTCTTATTCAGTAACAGAGGGAATGGACTGAGGGACTCTTGATTGCAAATATAATATCTTTTTATATTCTGATATGAGAGTTGCAGATAATCAAGAACCATTCATAATTAATCTGATTTAGAGAGATTCTGAATGAAAATAAATAAATAAGTTTTTGATTTCTTCAAGATAGTAATGAAATCTCTGCAGTAGTCTTGACAGTAATTCCATCAATTACATCACTTTTATAGACAAAGAACTCTCTTTTTAGAGGAATAATGTCTAACTCATTCAATATAACTTCAGTTGCAGCATATTCTAATCAAAACACATCATTTTTCTTAAAAATCTGCTATCTGGGCCATAACCTGTGGGATGGTTAATCTTCTCATTGTGCGATCGCTAGCTAACTATATAGGGGTAATCACGTGCGGTGGAGGGCCACCTGGGCAACTAGTGCCCAACACTTTCCACTCTTCCACCACTTTCGACGCATCACCCAAAGTAGACTAGTGCCACAGCCGCTTTTTTTCTCTCTTCAAATTTTTCAAGTTTTCATCGTTATGATCTTCTCAATCTCCCCAAATTCCCATTTCCTCTCACTCCGCCTTTGTGTTTACCTCCTTTCTCTTTTCCCGTGTAATACTATTGTCTCTATCTTCTCCTCTTGTATTTTATTTTCTCTCCCTTAAAATAATAATTTTGATTATCCTCTCATAATGCTTGCATCCCGGTTCTCCCGTGCGGTATGTGTTTTGTCATCACTTGTGCTTCAGCTCAACTTGATATAAGAATGTCAGACTGATTCAAATACATTCAATTAGCTTCCTCGCACTGTTCCTTCTTTTGCCCGTTCCTCCACCTACAGGCTTCCCACTACATCCTTTCGGAGATGGAACTCGACAGAAGCGGGAGAGGAGAAGGTAAAGGGCCAAGTCATTGGTATTGATTTGGGTACGTATTACTCGCGTTGAGTTCTGCCATGTTCTATTCTAGTATTTAGTCATTCATGTGTATCGCCAATTATGGCCGGCTTCTGTTCTAAACTAACTGATATGTTGTCTAGGTACTACCAACTCTGCTGTGGCTGTCATGGAGGGAAAGACTCCAAGAATCATTGAAAACGCTGAAGGTCAGAGTTCTATTTTTCCCACTCCAGATAATCCCTTAGCTGGGAATAAAGGAAACTGACCTCCTCTCTTTCTTTCAGGCGCACGAACAACTCCCTCTGTTGTTGCTTTCTCCAAGGATGGCGAGCGACTCGTTGGAATTGCTGCCAAGCGCCAAGCTGTCGTTAACCCTGAAAACACCCTCTTCGCCACGAAGCGTCTGATCGGACGCAAATTCATTGATCCGGAATGCCAGCGAGACTTGAAAGAAGTTCCTTACAAGATTGTTCAACACAGCAATGGCGACGCTTGGGTTGAGGCTCAGGGCCAAAAATACTCGCCCTCCCAAATCGGTGGTTTTGTCCTTCAGAAGATGAAAGAGACTGCCGAGTCATATCTTGGCAGACCTGTAAAGAATGGTGTCGTTACTGTTCCTGCCTACTTCAATGATTCCCAACGTCAAGCTACCAAGGATGCTGGTCAAATTGCCGGTCTCAATGTGCTTCGCGTTGTCAACGAGCCCACTGCTGCTGCCCTCGCATATGGTCTTGAGCGTGAGGCAGATCGCGTTGTCGCAGTCTACGATCTTGGTGGAGGTACTTTCGATATCTCCATTCTCGAAATCCAAAAGGGCGTGTTCGAAGTTAAGTCCACCAATGGTGATACCCATCTCGGTGGTGAGGACTTCGATATCAGCCTAGTTCGCCACATTGTCAACCAGTTCAAGAAAGAGTCCGGCCTTGATCTTTCAGGTGACCGTATGGCTATCCAGCGTATCCGTGAGGCTGCTGAAAAAGCTAAGATTGAACTGTCGTCTGCTCTTCAAACCGAAATCAACCTCCCATTCATCACGGCTGATGCTTCTGGTGCCAAACACATCAACTCGAAAATGACTCGTGCCCAGCTCGAGGCTCTCGTCGACCCGCTGATTTCCCGAACTGTCGAACCTGTGCGAAAGGCATTGAAAGATGCCAACCTCCAGGCCAAGGACATCCAGGAGGTCATCCTCGTTGGTGGTATGACGCGTATGCCCAAAGTTACTGAATCCGTCAAGAGCATCTTCGGCCGTGAGCCTGCCAAGTCAGTCAACCCAGACGAGGCTGTTGCGATTGGTGCTGCCATTCAGGGTGCTGTCCTCGCTGGTGAGGTCACTGATGTTCTCCTCCTTGATGTCACCCCCCTCTCCCTTGGAATCGAGACACTTGGAGGTGTTTTCACCCGCTTGATCAACCGTAACACTACTATCCCAACCAAAAAGTCCCAGACTTTTTCCACTGCTGCTGATTTCCAGACTGCTGTCGAGATCAAGGTCTACCAGGGTGAGCGTGAGCTTGTCCGCGACAACAAGCTCCTTGGAAACTTCCAACTTGTCGGAATCCCCCCTGCTCATCGTGGTATCCCTCAGATCGAAGTCACCTTCGACATTGACGCTGACTCCATCGTCCACGTCCACGCCAAGGACAAGGCAACTAATAAAGATCAGTCCATCACAATCGCTTCCGGCTCTGGCCTCTCTGATTCCGAGATCCAGAACATGGTTGACGATGCTGAGAAATACGGTGCCCAGGACAAGGAGCGCAAAGCTGCTATTGAAGCTGCCAACCGCGCTGACAGCGTCTTGAATGATACCGAGAAGGCTCTCAAGGAATTCGAGGACAAACTTGACAAATCTGAAGCTGACCAGATCAGGGAGAAGATCGCGGCCCTTCGTGAGGTTGTTGCCAATAGCCAATCAGGCGAAGGCTCCATCTCTGCTGAGGAGATGAAGGCCAAGGTTGACGAGCTCCAGAACGCCAGTCTTACCCTCTTCGACAAGATGCACAAGGCTCGTTCCGAGGAGGGCCAGCAGCAACAACAACAATCGACCGAGAACCAGCAGGGTGGCGAGGGCGAGAAGAAACCATGAAAATTTGCCCGTTAAATCTTGATATTTTCAATCAAAACAACAAGGATTCGATTTAACTCTGGTTTTTTTCCTCTTTCGTCAAATGAACCTATTTCCTTTATCATTTAGAGGCCTTTTATTCTGTTTTTTATTTTTTTTATGAATGTCCACACAAACCCTGTTATTTTATCATTTTTTCGTTCCATTTTAGTTTTCCCTGTACACATACCAGCCTGTTCATTTCATTTTAATGCGCCCCATACTTAGTGTTGGAGTTTATCTTACGTGTCATCTGCTTTATTTCCGCATAAGCAACCATCGTCATTCTTATCCTGGTCTCAGGGGAATGTTTTATTACTTTTTGTTCACAGTCACCAAGGGATTAGGGGGAAGGCGAGAAAATTCCCTTTTTCTTATGATGATTTTTTTTTCTCTTAATTTCTCTTTTCTTTTGTCAACCGGGCGGGAAGCGCGGCGGTGGGTAAAACTCAAGGCAGAAAAAGTGTTATGTGTTTTTTCTGAATGTCGAACAAAAAAGCGAGCCGGAACACGGGGAGAAGGAGAAAGGTAGTTTTGGTTTTGTTGGCTGGTTGAACCCGTCTAACCCAACCGAGTCGAAGTCGACCCAACCATTTTTGCGCAGGTACATGTTATTGCATAGCAGACCGCAGCATTTGGGTGAGAATTCTATGGTTGGATTGGTTTGGGTTGCAGTAGACGAGGTCGTGGAAGCGTGGTTTTCTATATACCTCCCACCACCCCTCCCTCAACTCTCCTTGAAACCCACCCTCCTCTATTCCGTTGTCCACGATTAGAATATTACCATTCTCCTCTCTTATAGTATTTTATTATCAGTTGGCTTTCATATATACCTATTTAGTTCCGTAAATGATTTTCTCCTTCGCGTTGCTGCCTCCCTACCCTTCTTTTCGTCACCCTCTTATATTCTTGTTTCCCAGTGTCAAGCTGTTTTCCGTTACCACACCGGTTTAACATGCGGGACAGTCATGGGCCCAACTATCCTTATACCTCTATCCCCATTCCCCCAAATGCAACCTGTTCGCATTATCCCCCTTAAAATTCAGAAGACGGCCGCAAATGCGCTGGTGTCATGGTACCTGTACAGCAAGTAGTACAATTGAAACTCTGGACGATTTCTGCGAGGCTCAATTTCTGCAAGCATATCGTTCACTGCTATTGACAATTTTGCATCTCGGATCTAGCACAAGGTCCCATTCACGGAACTCCTGACTTCTGACTTAAAAACACCCCAGTGATTCACTCTCTCCTGTGCCACTGTGCGAATGAATTGGTTCCAAGCCCCTTAAACGCGTACATATCCAGACAAAAAAAAATTTAGTGGACGGGCTTCTTCATCACGTTCACACCAGCCAAGCTCAACGCTTTTCATTTACAAGCTGCCCCTGCCACGTTTACCCTTTCGCTTTGGCAGCTATTTTCATACGTATTGTCTCGAGATATCGAAGCCCTACGCGAATGCATAGCTGCGAAAAACGGGGCAATGCCGGTTTCCATTCTGGCCTCCCCTAATTGACCTTTTCACATCCACCACCCCAGAGAGAAATCATTCATTCGTCACCATTCCGTCTCATGCAGGCCACTTTTCGTCCCCCTTCTGAAATCAGTGCTAGAATCAAAAAAAATAAGGAAAATGACATCAGCCGCCCTGGCCAGCATAAATCGCCGCATCAAGAAGCACCTCCAGCGTAAGGTCGATTTATACGTAGAGCGCAGCGAAGTCCTACGCAAACGCAGGGCCGCCGACACGGCTGTAGCTGAGAAGCGCAAACGGGAGGATGAGGCCTTTAAGGCGGAGGTTGGGAGGGCGAATGTGAAAGCAGCGGGTATGTCCACACATTTGACCTTTGACTCTTATCTTGGTTCTCATTTTATTATTTCCCTCTTTCCTCTTTTTTTGTTTTTATTTTTCCTTGTTCATTTATCACTCCACTTCAATTTTCCTTTCATTTTGCCTGGGAACCATTTAGTGAAAACAAACTTACGTATTCGTTTCAATCATAACTATCAACTTTAGAACTTACAGGAGGAGCAGATCCGGCTTGCGGGAAGGTTGACGAAGGGGGAAATGTCGTTGATGGCTGATCAGGCATCTGCGACTGCAAGGGCTCAGAGAAAGAAGGAGAAAAGGAGGAAGAAGGAGATGAGGCGGCGGATTAGAAGGATTGCAAGGGAAGGGAGAAAAATACAGACGGCAACAATGTCTACTTGTTGGTATGTTATCCAGCTGAAGGCTGTGGCTGTCGGGTTCGTTTGGCCCCTCTTGTTTTCGAGTTGACAAGCCCCCCCTATTTCGATTTGCGTGGCATAGGAGAAGAAGTGATTTCCCTGCATATATATTGTTTTAATTTATTCCATGTGTTGACGGTCTCCTTCCTCCTCGCGTAGCCGTGAACAAATGAGCCATGGATGCCTGTCCTGTCACCACCATAGAGATGCCATTGAAAGGCCCTTGCCGACAGCAGGGTGGTCAGATACAAGGGAGCATCTCTCGGTATCCAATGTTAAGCTAGAGTTAGAAGAGGGAGTGGATAACGAGGTGAAAAATGCTTCTTTGACGGTGATTTATGCTCCAGGTACACAACTTAGTAGTCAGCAGATAGATAGACGTTTTCAAAGAAATTTAATCATTTACAGACAGATGGACGACAGTCTTGCGGAAAGACTAAAGTTCTCCGCTCATAACTAGCTAGGTAAAGCTCTATGTTGTCACCCGCAGTAATAATTTACAGCCTCAGCTTGAGCGAGGAACTCTCAAACGCAGCCGCTGACATCATAAGATAAACCAATATAACACCACGAAATTCTATTTAACCCAGCAAATGACAACCGCTTAGAGACACTTCCATTACCTTCAGATATTATATGTGGAAAAACATCACCATGTCGTCCCCTCCAACTCCAACACCCAACCCCCTCATCGACCTCCCTGAAATCCTCCTCCTTTGCAGAGAAAAGGAAAACATAGTTGCCTTCCAGGACGCCCTCCGCAAGCACTGGCCCGCGGTCACCTTCTTCTCCCCTTCTTCATCCACCACCACCACCTCCCCCCAACCGACCCAACAAGCCGAGCAAAAGCTAAAAATAATCCCCCTCAACGAACGCCTTAACACCGTCCCACATACCCAACCCTTCGACCTCGTCGTTTCCCCCGCCAATTCCTATGGCCGTCTTGACGGCGCCTTCGACGACGCCATCTCCCGCACCTTCTGTCTGCCCGACCACCCGTACCTCACCTTGACGCGTGCTGCGCAGAAAACGCTCTACGAGCGCTGGCGCGGCTATGCGCCGCCGGGCACCTGCACGCTGGTACCGTTTCCGGAAGAGATTGTGAAAGCGGGGAAGGCGCTGGGGGGCTGTAGGTGGGTGGCGCTGTGTCCGACGATGCGCATGCCGGCGAATGTGGTGTGGGATCGGGAGGTTGTTTATAAGTGTGTGTGGTCGTTGATGGGGGAGGTAGAGAGGTGGAATCGAGAGGTCAGAGAGGAAGGGGATGGCGGGGAGGAGGGGGGGAAGAAGGCGAGGAGGACGAGGAGGAGGATTGATAGGATCTTAATGCCCCCGTTGGCGGTTGGGGTAGGGAAAGTTAGTAAGGAGAGGTGGGCGGGTCAGGCTGTGTTGGCTATGAAGCATTTTGTGGATGCGTTGGAGAGGCCGGAGAGGTGGGGGAGGTTGGACTGGGAGGAACTTGGGAAGGATTCATTTGAGGTTGAAACGACGTGGAAGCCTGAGGAGAGGAGAAAGTAGGAAGCAAGGGGTAATTATGCCGTAACTGTGAGTGGGACGTAGTTTTTATTCGTATATGTACAAAGACGAGGCGAGGCGGTAATGATCCAAGTATGGAAGCCTGAAGACTTCTGATCGAGTTGAACCATTTCCTGAATTAGATTATTCCAGTTACATAGGTTGTACCCGCCAGTATCCATGGATGGAAACATACACAGGGAATGATTTGATGTACTTTTTTCTCGCCCGCGCTTACAGCCACTTGAAATTCGCTGCAAGGAGGGCGAAGCGTTCCACAAGAGATTCACGGCGTACGAATGTCAGAAGGAATGAATCATATCTCCAGGAACAAGACGAGTTGTTGTGATTCCCGTGCATTTAACTAATTATAGAAAATCCCCTGGTTTTGGTGATGAGGGAAATCTGGTGCCCGGTGTAGCCATTGCGGAGAACTTTGTCCCGCGGCTGATTTTGTCTCAAAAGGTGGTGTGATGCATTTCACAAATGGGTCAGTCGAGATAAATTTTTTTAAATCAGGTTTTAGAAATAAGTCAATTGCTAAAGGATGGCGCGTGCAATAAGGCCATCGAACGAATCATATTGAGATAAGATCTTTCCAAACCCCAGATATATTATAGCTAGCTACACATCAAACTGTTACATATCCCCCCTTACCTCCTTTCAATACACATGTTTAGGTACGTTGGCGGTACATATGTAATACCAAATTGCCCTACTCCCTTAAAACTAGCACATGAACCGCATAGCCTGACCCAGCCTTCAAACCCACGCCGAAGCCTTCCTCCTCTCCTTTTCCAACTCCCTTCTCAAGAACTTCATCACAAACCCTCCACACCCAAAACTCCTCCAGTGACGCCTTTAGCCACGATTCAAATACATCTGGCGCCCGCAGTTGCTGCGCGATAATGCATATAGTTGGCCTCCTTTTCATGGAAAGAGTTGGAGGGGCTGAAAGCAGCGTCAGTGGGGGTGCGCCATTAGAAAGAGACGTAGGCGTATAGCCAGGGCGCAGACGACAGATTTCTGCACAGGTCTGCACGAATGGGTCGATTAGCGAATCGTTGTAAATGCAGTCGCAGGAGAGGAGGAGGTCGAAGCCGGGATCTTCTTCTTCTTCTCCTTTCCCCCCTTTGGTTGTTATGACTTTGGCTGACGGTGAGGAGCAGGGCATGATGACTTGTTTGAGGGTGGAAGGTGAGTCGAGCTCCCAGTCCAGCGCGGTGAAGGTTACGTTCCCCGTGTTGGTGGCCGGGACAGGTCGGGATGGGGATGCGGAGTGTTTTACATTCGAATATTGGGTTATTGGCGATTTACGGGAGCCGCGCTGTGACTGGCGGTGATGGTTATCACTACGCCGCAAGGTTGTGGCACTGACTTTGGTTGTAGTGTTTTCTTTGAGGTTTTCTTTTAGTAATTTATGGACGTATTCTTGGTCTGTGGCTATGTAATGGCCGATAGATGGGGCGAGGGCGAGGGCGATAAGCCCCGAGATTCCACAGCCGAGCTCGACGACTGTAGAGTCCTGGTTTAAGATTGATGACGTCCAGAGGATATTTTGTTTGGAGGAGAGCCATTCTGCGATTAAGGGGGTGATTTTCCATAACACTGAAATCGGAGGGGATTGGAGGTTTATTTCGGCTACGTTAGAAAACGTTGATGTTTCTTTGCAAAGACGTAGACCACCAAAAGGTAAAATCACTATAGAATAAAATGGCTTTATAAAACACATACCTGCGCCGGTAGTTCCGCCTGAACGGGATGAGGAGAGGATAGTTGGCGATTGGCGAATTCGAAAATCACGGCCGTGGATGATGAAGTCGACGGTGTTGGCGCGCGAATCGACAAATCCAAGGTTCTGTGAGGGGAATTCTTGCGAGTACAGGTAAAAGGCTTCTACGGTTTCCCCTCAAATAAAGAGCGTGGATGTTTTGTTCAGTATGCTGCTGCGAATGTCGAAGTATCCCATGGATGTACTGTTGGATTTGAAGTACCTTCCTCAGCATCCTTGACCTCAGGGCCAATCACCCTTAAGAATTCCTCGAAGTGCATCATCGATTGATTGTAGATGGCAAATGTCACTCCATGTATATAAAGCGGATAGACATTTTCATATTCCTTTTGGTTTGCATCTGGATGTGTCAGGGACATTAGCTAGGTGCCCCTCCTTTTCTTGATATTCTGAGTCCTCTGATTCTGATAATGATAGAGCCGTGAGTATCAACTATATGGTATAACATAAAAAGGAAGGGAAGCACCACGTTCTTGTAGACAACATCCGCGGAAGCACGTAAATGTTCAAGTAAAGACATTTAGCCAGGTGAACTCGTCTCCTCTTACTTTTTGGCAGCTAGCAAGGGAAGCATGGACTGGGTTAGGCGAGATGATTTTTTTTTAATCCCTTGTTTGATATCCACTCTTATAGCGCGCCTCCTGTAGCAGTACTAGTGCTATATGGGGGAGAATAAATAGAATACCAGTAATGAATTTGGTATGGGTTGATCATGGGCCATGGGTGTAGTTGTGAAAAGGATTACCCTCGGCGGTAATTGATTTCAACAATAAGATCTTGGTGCCAAGCATTACCAAGTCCGTGGAGTCAAACTCGGGTAGAATTTATTCATTGGTTATATGCGGTTAACTATCAAAAAGTTGAACGTTGGTTGAAAAAGCTAATTCTCATCATGGCTAAAATCACCTTAACTATTTTGATATTTTTCCATGACTGGCATTGAAGACGGGACATATCGACCACACGTCAGCCGTGTGAACATGTTCTTGGAAAAATTGCACTGTGCTTAGCATATGCTCGGCACACCACTTTCTCGGCCACTTTGTACCAGCCACGCTAATTTAGTATGAGAAATTACCTGCTTGTGTTTGTCTTGATGTCTTGGAGGTACTCTCTCCTACTTAGTTGGCGTGGTGGTACTCTGGACAAAGTGGCCGTGAAAGTGAAATAAGGTAGGAAATGGCCTAAACTTTATCCAAGCCCTGCCAAGTTCTAACCGACGTTGAACATCTGACTTTTGAATTTCTACCCACTTCACATTCAAGTCGAACCCGGCAATATTTGACTGTGTCGTAAGAATATAGATTTCAAATAATCCATAATTATAGTAAGTTTCAGTTTCATTCGAACTCATGGTGATGCTTGTAATGTATATAAATTACCAAATATACTTTGTTGTTTTCGACAAGAATGGGGTTTCCGCCGCCAGTCAAACAAATTTGAGCACTTTTACGTAGAATTTGGTGTTTTTGTGGTGGTTCAAGCTTGGTTTTCACAGAAGCCGCGTATTTTCGCAGCAGTGGAAAGAGTCCACCGTATTTGGGGACGTTGCGTGATAGGGACTCTTGGCCAAGAAAGGGCCATCGATCTTGTGGTAGTTCAAAGCGCTGGCCCCGCTCAAGATCATCAAGGAGTTTAACGACTGAATTTTCTGGCTCCACTTCGATGCCCAGACCCATATAAAACGTTCTTTTGCTAGACGATCAAAGTTCAGGTATTAGAGGTATGGAGGCGGCCTGGGCGCGCCTTGCAGTGATTGGCTGGGCGCATCAGCCAGCTCTGACCACGGGGAGCATTGCAAGGATCGCTTTGAATACACATTCCATGCGATTGAAGACTTGAGAACTATTTTGATAGCTAAATTTCTAGTTCGATTCATGGCCGAGGTTCATGTCATGCAGATGGGAGCAGTATGAAACGCAGAGGAGCACTTTCAAAGCAAGATTAATGATAGTGATTGACAGTCACTCCAGCCACTGTTTCTTCATTTGTCTCAACTCGCTGCCAGCAGCTGCTGATCAGTTCAAGTCAAAGCACCATGGCGTCACTCGATCGTTCAAAGCCCCTGATGAAAGATGGTATTCAAGTGAAAATATGAGAGTATACTCTGTATAATTTACAACATGCAATACTTGCCAGCCACCTCACCGTCGCAACTGGGGGTGCTCCCTTTCACCCGTCCCACTGGAACTCTCTAAAAATAAAGATGAATGATCTGTTTCATGTTTGAGAAACACCATCGCTGTTCATGTGCATCCTATGCAGGTACTTTTTTTGGCCCCTCGCTGTCACTCATTCCATGTGCATTTTGATGTCACTCCGGTAGTGCAGGTACGTGTACCGTACATGCCTGTGTTCCTTCGTTACGCCTTGATGTATGGAACATTCTGTATGGTACAGAAATATATGTACCCGATGCGGCCTAGGCGCCGCCTCAAGAAAAAGCTCTGGCTCAAAACCGCAAGATTCGATCCGCCAACGACGAGACTTGCAGAGAAAGGACTCAAAGCGGCCTGGGCGAAGTCTCTGTCCTGTCCTTACGATGCCCCTATTCGCCCAGATACAGGGAACAATGCCATGCCGTAATCCAGACAAAATTAGTCTGGGTCTCCGCATAAGCCACAGACCACTGCGACCAAGTGCAGTCTGGATTCTTGCAAAAGCGCTAGGACGGAGCCGCCAAGACCAAAGCTGTTTAGTTCTGTCAAAACTGGACGGGGCCCAAGGGGTCGGGAGTGGGTTCTGCACTAGGAGGTGGAGGAACTGGGAGACGATGCGAGTTCATGGTTCACTACGGTTTATCAAGAGATCATTGACTGCTCTTTTGACGAAAATATTATATTAATTCTGGACACACACTGACAACAGAGCCAAGAGTACTTCAAAGTCATCTGAATTGCGCCCTCCAATATCGGACATAGGCTAATGGGAGCTAACTCCTGGGCAGCTCTCTTCAACCCCAGAGTTCCCTGTCAGCTAGTTACCATGCGCTAGCTTGTAGCTAAGGGCCCTTTGTTATCTCAATCGCAGCTCCTCCTTTAAGCCAATGATATGAGTTGCCTTGGTCCACGGATCACAAATAAATCCATTGATTATTTCGGGAGGTTTGGTCTTTTTTGTGCCTACTAGTAGGTAGCAAGAGTTTCCGAGGTTGAAGGTGGTTGCCGAGCGTAACTCATGGAATATGGGCCAAAGCTCCACAAGATGTAGGGAGAAGAGCAGGACGCCAGGTGCTGTGTGGATCGCAAGCAAAATCAAAGAGAGGTAAATGCTGCTTTCGGCATTTGTGCCCAGGATTATTTCTGCTCGGCTTCAAACCAGGCTTCTGCCCAGCAACTCCGTGTACATTGATCATCCACTTGAAGCAAGCAGCCACGTATCCCGCTATGTCTAGATCTAAATATATATCCTATCTGGGTGGCCCAGTCAGTCTCATAAATATCCCAGCAGAAACTCAAATTCATGGATTCGTAAATAGCATTTTGAGCGCGATATTCTGAGTCACGGGACCAAGTATCTTTTTTGCGTTTTCCTCGGCAAAATGCTGAGGCGCGGTACATGTGCCTTCACTTGGCGGTACCAGGCTAGTAAGCCCAATACCACAGATACGGCTGCCGCCGAGCATCTGCTGGGTTGAGTCCCTATGACTTAGGCGAATCCAGCCCTGGAACCATCAGGCACAGAGGAACTCCCACGGCCGTTCTGGCTGTGCTGGCGGGATTGGCTACCTTGGCTACGCTCGACAAATCTCCACCACCGCCTTCGTCCCACCTCCGTCCTTTTAATCCTCTTGTTCTCCTCTTCGTTCTTCGATCCTCTTCTGGTTTTCTTCTCTGCTCCCCCTCTACCCCAAGCTGAAACGACTGATTTCTCGGTGCAGTGCCTCGAAGTCAGAGCTCATACTCTTCCTGGCTGCCTACGAACCTCTCCCATTTCGAATCCAAACCCTGCTGCCTGACAGACGTCCATTGCCAACTCAGTCATCATGGTCAAAAAGGATGCTTTTCTCTTTCCTCGTATGACCAAGAAACCTCCCTTTGCTGTTGAAGCTCCGGGTGTCGAAAAGGTTGAAGGGGAAACCATTCCCCGTAGAAATCCTGCTGCTAAGGATGGCCTCATCAGCACACCTCACCCGGATATCTCAACCCTCTATGATAACCTCACATGGAGCACGAAGACACACGGGAACGCCAAAGCGGTCGGATCGCGCCGGATAGTCAAGACCCATGTCGAGAATAAGAAGATCAAAAAGATGGTGGATGGAGTGGAGAAGGAGGTCGATAAAGCATGGACCTTCTTCGAGCTCAGCGGTTATACTTACCTTAGCTTCATCGAATTCGAGAAGCTTGCACTGCAGCTGGGCGCTGGTCTTAGGAATCTTGGGCTCGAGAAAAAGAGCAGGCTCCACCTGTTTGCTGCTACGAGGTGAGCCATCCGGCACCAGCATCATAGCCCTGCTGGCTCCATCCTCCTGTGTTTCCTTAGCTACCTCGCATATTATGCTAACTCTACTCGTTTACCTTGATGTAGCGCGCATTGGTTGGCAATGGCACATGGTATTTAACTCCGATGGCACCTCATTCACACATTTATGAGCCTCTCCTAACATCTCCTAGGCGCTTCATCTCAATCAATGACGTCGGTGACCGCCTACGACTCCTTGGGAGAGGATGGTTTGAATCATTCCCTGGTCCAGACACATAGCAGCGCCATTTTCCTGGACCCTGCCCTCATCCCCACTCTTACTCGTATCTTGAAGGATGCCACGGATATTAAACACGTCATCTACGACACGGCAACTGAGGTCAAGCAAGAACATATTGACAGCCTGAAGTCTGGCTTCCCTCATATCAACATATTGAACTTTGAAGATCTCCGGAAGCTTGGCGAAGAAAATCCCGTAGATCCGGTACCACCAACCCCGGAAGATCTGTGTAAGTACCCAACATGGTATATTGTTGCTGGTTCATTTACTAATTAAATGTGTAACTTCTTCAAGGCACGATTATGTATACATCAGGATCAACCGGACCGCCGAAAGGTGTGGCTTTGAAGCATCGCATGGTTATCGCGGGGAGTATGTCAATAATTTCTTTGAATCCCTAACTCATAAACCTAACCTGCTAACCCCAATTTTACAGTGGCCGGAGCAAACACTAATGTCGGGCATCTTCTGGGCCCAACCGACACTCTCCTGACCTATCTTCCGCAATCGCATATCCTCGAGTTTATATTCGAGAATCTTTGCCTTTTTTGGGGTGGGACTATGGGTTACGGAAGCCCCAAGACACTTTCGGACGCGTCCGTACGTAACTGCAAGGGCGATATTCGTGAATTGAAACCTACCGTCCTGGTTGGTGTACCAGCCGTGTGGGAAACCGTAAAGAAGGGAATTATCGGCAATGTAAACAAGGGTGGCGCGCTTGTCAAGGGACTTTTCTGGGGAGGTCTTGGTGCCAAAAACTTCTTGATGTCTACTGGCCTCCCGGGATCAGGCGTCTTGGACGCAATCATTTTCAAGAAGGTTAAGGAAGCGACTGGAGGTCGACTCAGAATTGCCTTGACCGGTGGCGGGCCGATTTCCAAGGACACACAATTATTCCTTTCCATGACTCTATGTCCAATGATTAATGGATATGGCTTAACTGAAACCAGTGCTATGGGTAGCTTGTGCGATCCTTTGGCATGGACCATTGACGCCGTTGGTGATATCCCGTCGTCGATCGAAATCAAACTTGTTGATTTTCCAGAGGCGGGTTATTACTCGAAGAACACCCCACCCCAGGGTGAGATTTGGATTCGTGGCCCTAGCGTTATGGAAGGATACTACGAAAACGAAGAAGAGACCAAAGCGGTTATGACGGAAGATGGTTGGTTTATGACCGGCGATATTGGCGAGTTTGACAAAAACGGCCATCTGAAGATTGTCGACAGGAAGAAGAACCTGGTTAAAACGCTGAATGGCGAATACATTGCACTGGAAAAGCTAGAGTCGATATATCGTTCCGCAGCCGTCGTCGCCAACATCTTGATTCATGCCGCGGCAGATCAAGTTAAGCCTGTTGCGGTTATCGTCCCCGCCGAACCTGCTCTCGCCGCGCTCGCGAAGGCGAATGGAATCGAAGGAGAAAGTATCGAGGCTCTGGTTAATGACAAGAAATTGAACTCCATTGTCCTCAAAGAGTTACAAAATGCGGGTCGTGCTGGGCGTCTTAAGCCTTTTGAAATCATCGAGGGAGTCGTCCTCTCTGATGAAGAGTGGACACCACAAAACGTACTAATGTTCCCCCTTTTCCCTCACACCCGCTTTTCCCACCTGCGTCTTAGCCTTATCACTGCTAACTCTCTATTAATCAATCTAGGGCTACATCACCGCTGCTCAGAAACTCCAACGAAAGAAAATTGCAAGCCATTTCCAAAAGGAAATAGACCGTGCCTACGGGAAGAAATGACTTGAGAGACTTTAGCTACCTCGCCAGTTACTTCGGCACTCTTGCTCTTTATCGATCTATGTCCTAGAATGATGCTATGCGCCGGCCAGTCGGGGACAACAGGATTACTATGCTTATTACTAGTTATATCACCCTTTGCTATAAATAACATATTATTCCCCCCGCAGCCTACCCCAGTACTCCCTTCCACATTCCTACCTCCTTGGAAAATCCCCGGTAATGAATGCCACTTATCGACATGCGAACGAGCTTCTTGGATTGGACAATCTAGCACGGTCCAATCCACCCGTGGCTTCCAGGACATGGATTTACAAATCCCTTCCGCGTCCTCTACCAGTGGCGGTTTCCATTCTCCTTTTCCTTCTCCTTTTTTGCTTTTTGCCTCCGTTATGTACGTTCTGTTTTCCGTTGCTCAGTATTGTCCCCTATATAAACCTCGACCCAATGTCTTTTCCCACTTCCTGCACTGAACATTTCCCCCGAGCGGGCAACCTTACCTTTATACATGAATGTACCTATTCTCAATGCACGTGTGAAATTACCCCATATTGTTCCTTGCACGTTCACGCCTTGCCTTTTATGTTTTTCTGGTTTGGTTTGCTTTAAGTTGTGAACTTTGTTCCGGAATTTTTCGTTGGCTCCCTTTTTTTCTTCCTCTTTTCCTGCTTTGCTTGCTTGCTTCACTTTGCGTTTGGAAATGTGAAAATTGTTTTAAACGTTGATCAGTAACTCTGTATTTTCTGAATCTCCTTTTTCCAATTTTGATGAGTTCTATTAGAATTTTTTTTGTAGCCTTGATTATTGACTCTTTTTTTTAAATCTACGTATGCCTCGTTCACTTTAGTTTGTTATATTGTTTCCCTAAAGTATTTATGTAGCCAGATCAATAGATATACCTGTTCATATAGGCATTTACGTCTTAAACATAGGTGGATTTGTGTGAGCACATTACGTATCAATGGACAATATTCCTCAAACAATCCACATGCAAGTAGGGGTACTCTATTGCTTAAACCAAATAGCATATGTATATATTCATTCAGTCATATATTGAGAAAAATCAGTATAACAAGCTCCGAGCAATAGAAGCAACGAAAAATGGACGCTAGACCTTTACTAGAAAAATGCCAAGACATGATGGCATGGGCAACAACATCAAGCTCTCAAAAGTCCAACACCACCACCAACCACACGACAAGGCCATCACCGGGTTCCCTTTTTTACAAATAATGTCGTTGTGGCCGTATGTCCAGTCCCTCTCCCTCCCTTTGTGCTCCAATTTCCGCAAATTTCAATTGAAATTCCATACAGAAAGAAAAATAAATAAACCGCCAGAATTGCTTAATTCGTATGCAGCATGCTATGTGCATTATATACAATCTAAAGCGACGGAGATGAGGCATTAAAAAAAAAAGGTCACAACAAACAATCACTAACTAACTAAAACGCCCCCCGCGCTTTCTAGGTCCTACCGCAACCTTTCTCCGCGCACTCGCTTCCTCTTCGGAGCTGGCCTGATGGCCTACGCTGCAGTTGGGATGTGGTGGTCTCCTAAAGTTGAGGAGGCTTTGGGAATGGTGCCGAGCAAGGAGGAGCAGGCGGACTTGGACAGGAAATTGAGTGTTAAGATTTCGACTGTCGAGCGGTGAATGATGAGTGGATGGGGGAATAATGAGGGAGGAAGGGGGAGAGAAAAGTGCTGCATGTGAGGCGGGGGAGGTTATGGGAAATGGGAAGGGGGATTATTGGCATTGAGTTGGGGAAGGGGCATGAACTATGTTAGATGATTTACGGGTTTAATGTTACTGTGGTGTGACAAAGGCATGGAAGAGACCGGTGAGGAACTGGGAGGGGGAGGTTTTGGCGAGAAAAAGAAGATTAAGGCGTATACGCTGTGGGTATGATGAGTGCGTGAGGGCGAGAATGTTGTGTACATGTGGATAATTCTATCATCGGCCGGATATTGACGTGGTACTATAATACGTGCTGCTTCTGAAAAGGAATAGGAGGAGGTTGGAAGACGCCTGGGCATACCGACGATCATGAAATAGGTACGATGGGAGCGAAATGGGCCCTGGATAAAGATGTGTGACCAGATTATCGACTTCTGAGAAGTTTCTTTTTTACAATTCCGACTTTTCATCCTTGTCTTTGAACTTCATATTTTGGGGAGAAACGGATCTCGGACAGGCAGGGAGATCTCAGGGGCTTCAGTCGTGGAACCGAATCGAGAGCTCAGGGCCGATTTTGGCCTCGATTACACAAAATAGTGGAGTTAGACACCATTGCAATGGCATATCAAATTGCTCTAGTCCAGCCCTCCCCGTCATGATGAGAATGCGCTACACTGACACGGGTTTCGGACTGAATTGAATGCCTTTCGATGGAAGACCGAGTCAAGGGGAGGTGGAGAGAGAAGTTGACGATCAGTTCCTTTGAGACTTGCAGCGGCAAGTTCGAGTTTGAGTAAAATTGGTTTGCCTTTTCCCGTTGTCGAAGTGCTTGTTCCATTTTCTTTCAAACGCTATTCGACCTCTTTTCCTTTTTTGAATGGCTTCTTCTCTGTTCCGTTGGCTATCCAACACGCCTCTATCGTCAAATCAAATCTCAATGCAATCAAGTGCATATTCTTGTTCATTGCCGACGCTGTACACATTGAGATGTACTACTCCCCATCGATGGCATTGGATGTGTTTCGAAAAAGGCCTGCTGCCGTGATTATTGTGATGGACTAGATTAGTTCACGGCGATTGGAAAAGCCATGAGCATAATCTGCCTTTCGATAGGACGATGGCGCGGAGCGAGCAAGGGTGGAGAATTTGAACAGCTGTTCATGCTGGTTTCCATCGACCTTTACAGCTCCCCTGCACGCCCAGACAGCTAGTTTCGTGCTCCCTCCCTGCTGACGCCCTGACTCCACTTCGATACTCGGATTATCACAGTTGTATATGCCAAAGAGAATGGAATTCTGCTCCTGCAAAGTAATTCAAAGCAAACCAGTTCGTCCTAGGATTCCCAAGTGCATGGATGTTACGAACCTTCCGGACGACTTGCTATTTTTCACCGTGCTGCTCTCTCCTTCTCTCCGACCTTATGGTTGGCAATGCTCCTCCAACCAGCTTACCCGACACTTGTCGCCATCACGGCGTCTCCTGCGGGATGCTCGTGTGTACGCGTACGCAATACTCTTGAGACAAAATTAAAGAAACTTAAGATCTACCATCTGTCATTTGTCACTTTGGTCCAGGCTCAGCCACCATATTCTTCGAAGTCTGAATATACTAAATCTACATCTGCGTCTCTTGATATTCCGACTTAGAGTCAGTCTGCATTGCTGCAGCCACTGATGTGCATCAATATCGATCCATCGGCCAAATCAAATATACCGTCAGCGGTTTGAGCTGCTTTGAGAATCATGCTTCACCTTTCTGACTGTTCCCGATTGAGCACTGGCGCCTGACGAGTTTATGTCTCAGGCCACCATCCATCTCGTTTGGCTTTTGCCTCCACTATCATTCGCTTTCCCTCGTCAAAAGTTTCGCTGTCTGCGAATATCAATTGGCTTCGAATCTCTGCTCTAGGAGGCTGTTCTACTCAGCTTAAGCCATAATGAGTAAGTTTCACATCTTTTCGCACTCGGCTTGATTTTGTTGCGTTTATGGTCTCTGAAAATAAAGGGCTTGGATTTGTAAATCAGTCAGTGGAAATCCATAAGATAGAAGCAGAACAAGGGTGGACCAGCCTCTGGCCCACGACACACCTCTTTACACCTGTATGCTGTGTCTCCAGCTATTGACGGGTATGGATTTTTGCGATGAGAGTTGGTATTGTAATACCAAGCACGGAGCTTGTGTACCAATTGACTGCCACGGTGTTTTACATCGGCCCTATTATTTCGATAGAGGTCGGTCCGGGGTGTATATAACCAGAAAAGACAATATATACCTAAACAGTATGGGTGCCTAGGTTATCGGCTAGCTACTTGGGTTTTTTTTTTTTTTTTTTTTTTTAATATTGTCCCTTTCTACTTTCTAGCAAGGAAACAAGGAGGGAGAAGCATTTTTTATACTTAGTTCAATTCTCTATAATAGATGCCATGTGTCACCGTCATTTACATATTTCTTCTCCGTCTAGATAGCTCGGAATAGGGCACAATAATCACGTGGCTTCACTGTCCAGCAATTTGGCAACAGGTCAGTGATGGAAAGATGCTGGTAAAGCACAGAAGAAATCAAGAAAATACGTGGAAAGTATGGCACCGTACACTATTCCATTTCATCTAGTAAATGAAATGTAATGACATTTGAACTCAAATTAACGGTCACCAATCTCTTACGATCTGTCTCGTGTTAAAAGGGTTATTATGCTGACGACCAGCTGCCTGTATGGTTAACACACATGGGGCACATTTTTTCCCGATACATAGCCACTGACAACTTCTCGTCTTCGTAGTTCGAATTCCCAGACCAGAAGTGTTAAAACAAACATCCGGCGAGACACTCTTTCCCCAATTCGCTCTCCCCTCGTGCCTTTCCCAATGCGCAACCATCAGATCAATACGCCCCACCATGAACGCCATACATACTTTTTTTTTCGTGTAACATTCCCTTCTCTTTTCTTATTTTTCTGGTCCCAGTCTGCCGAAATCTTGGAGAGGCATTCCAAAACAATGTAAGAAGAAAACATAAGCTACTAAGAAAGTCGCCTTGCTGCAGTTACTCAATGCGATTCGACCTAGTTATCCAAACTAGGAAGCCTAACTAAGAAGCACTTTTGATCCATATGCATAACAATACAACATGTATGACACAAGCAAATTTAGCGCGAATGAAAAACATGCGCTAGGGAGCATCAACAGAGCAAGGCAGGTGAGAAATTGGTTGCACCATGATGTGATCCAGCCATTCAGACAGCTTGCTTTGTGTTTGATGGCGCCATGTTCAGCACCCACTCTATGACTTGCCCCTATGCGAAGTCTCGGCCTTGGATGAGAAAGGAAGAACATTTAGACGGGGTCAGGGTCGTTTAAAAAGGACTGATAGTGATAAAAACAGATAAATTGATTGACGTTAAGAATAAATATAATCATATAGGAAAATTTTAAAAAGCCCCAGAATAAAAATGGGAAAGGAGAAAAGTGAGAACTCCAGAAGTAAGACAAGCTGATATGATGTTAAACAGCAAATCTTTCAATTGCGCTGCGGTCCCGAATGAAGATTGTTTGAAACTTAGCAAAAGGAAATCGTTAAGCGTTGATGATATAGATAAATAGTCAGGAAAACTGGCGCAGAATGCGCAAAGTCCAAATCGATGGAGTATTTGTCGTTAAGCAATCAGCTAGCACATTTCAAGAACAGAGACTCTGGGGATTTTGGATCGGGTCGAGGCGGCCGTAAGAATTATCTCCGGAACGACTGGCATAGGATCCACCAAATCTGGGACCTGAAGCGTTATTCAAATAGCTGGTAATACCGTGCCGTTTGAGATATTGACTTGAGCCATCGTGCTCATTTTGTAAAGCCGGGATCATTGGATCGAAGGCTGTGTTGTACGTACTGTCGTGATCCTCCTGTGTCTTTACGGTGGCGTCGTCATCGTAGCTTGGCATATGTAGGCGTAAGTTAGACGGTTCGATGCATATTTTTCTTGAATCTGGTGAAGCAGTTGTAAACGTTGGGTCACCATAAGCGCCTGCGGTTGTGGTGTCCTTGATCGTCTCTAATGGATCCATCGAACCGTTCATCATGGTATAGCTGTTATAATCAGGCGACGACGACGACGACGATATAAGAGGGCTTGTGGTTAAAGGAGAGTGGTCTGTAGATGATAGCCGGTGGTAGTTATACGAAGCAGGAGGGCGGTGACTACCGCTGTAGTGTGACATTAATGAAAGATGGGCGCGTGGGCCGTGGCCGATTCCTGGAGGTAAGCAACCCCCTCCGTTGCCATCTCCTGAGCTTCCAGTACCGCCGTCTGGCCCCATACTTGCTGAGCTGTCTCGCCGACCATCTTTATAATGGCCCGGTGACCGACCACGAACCACCATCGGATGGGATAATCTTTTAGCGATCAAGACCCACTGAAGATCAACACCATTTGGCATGGGGATTTCGGCGTAGAGCTCCACAACCAGATTGTAATACTGTTGTTGCGCACGGCGTTTGCCATTGTTTGCTGTTGCTTTTTGAAACTGGATACGTTCAAATGTATGGGAAGAGGGGGGCTGTGATACCTGCGGAGCTGCTCCGAAGGTTTGTCCATAATCTAATGGTAGACTTGAAGTGTGCGGTGGCGCGGCGAACGATATATGATTACCACCAAGCGACGGTGGATGGACCATAGCGAGAGACGGTGGATGCTGCGGGTGCAAAGTTATCCTTCCCGGCTTTTTTTCTGATTGTTTGTCTCGTTTTGGCGTATGTTGGACAAGTTCTCGGGTTTCATTCTCTTGTGCATTCACGACCGCAGATATTGACATTGCAAACGACCGAACGCTCTGCGGGTTGCTGTTGGGAAGTTGGACATATAATGGAGAATTTGGAGTCCAGGGGCGTAGCGAGAACGAGCAGGATACAGAAAAGTAGTTGCGACGATAGCATGTCCACTTGTCATCCACCTGAAAGAACCCCTTATGTATCTTCGCTTGGATTTCCGGATTGATTGTTTGGTGGCTATTTGTAAAAACGGAATGAAGCACGTTTGTTTCGTTGAATGGGGGAGCTTCTGGGCTTGATTGAGAAGCCCGAGATGAGGTGTCCATCAGATGGTTATAAATCGAGGAACTATTTGCGTGGACGCCCATTGTCCGCGTAGAAGGGTATTGGGAATAACGTGATATATCGTTCATAGTCTGGTGCGGAGTGCCGTATGAGTTCCGGTTTATGGAGTATGACATCGAATACGGATCGGTCCTTGTCATCAACCCGGTTGACACTGGAACCACAGTGCCCTGTGATTGCAAGGGTGGTGACATACCCGACGGAGGCTGTCTGGAGAGCAGAGGCGTTAGAACTGGAAAAATGGTACCATAAAAGCAGAGCTAAATTGGGTGGAAGTTGGGCGGATAAACTTACAGCGCAGGTACCCGTTGGACTCTCAAGTCTCCCATTCTATCGTTCCACCGCAAGTTTGTAGGATGGGAGTAGGACGATTGCGTCGAAAACCCTTCGGTTGAAGTCGCCGTATTCGGTATAGAATTTGAAAGTGATGTATAAGCATATGAAGTCGTAGCTGAGCTGGGGCTTGTTGAGGATGATCCACGGGACGGTTCAATCGGGCTCATGAGTAGCCCAGATGCAGCATTAAAGCTGGAATAAGTGGAATCCAACATTAGCAAACCGACACAAGTTCAACAGTGTAAATTAATTACAACAGTGAGATTAACAAAAAATGGCACAATGAGGCACTGAAATAAAGCACTAACTACAGCACCATCAGCGAAATAAATTCCAGAGCAGTCCTGTGACCTGGGTTACCGGGGGTGGGGAATGAGCTGTCAACAGCCCGTGGCCATGCATCAGAGCAATAATGTGGTGATAAGGAAGCTGGATGGGCTTTCTAACTAAGCAAGACAATAGTTCGAAGCGGCATGAAACACAAGGTCAAAAAGGTAGCAGTCAAATTGCCAAACACCGAGAGAGGTGGGAATGCAAGGGCAGTCGAAATTAAAAGGAGGATGGGCACCTACGGTACATCTTGTACCGCAGAATGTCGTGCGGCGTACCTAAAGCCGTTGGTGACGGGTACAGAACCCAGGTGTCCTAATTGATGTCTTAGTGAATCGGTTCTCTGGACGCCAGTTTCGGGGTTTTCGGTCGGGAAAGAAGTTGTGGTAGGGAACGTTCGTTCGTTTGCGATGTACTCGGTCTCAGAAGGCACAGGATAGTCAATCTGAAAAGAATTCTCAAGCAGTGTGGCTGCACAAATCCAGGTTAGATTGGAGTTTTAAGATTTAATATGGTAGCAGGCAGAAAATAACACATGCTTAATCGATAGAGCAAATACGGATGAAGTACAGTGTTGCAAAGGGTACGCTCGGGTGTAGCTAGGTTGCACAAGCATGCATTGGTTGGAAAATCGGTCAGGAAGAATCAAAGCAAGGAGGGGAAGGCGGTAGGGTGAAAGAATAATGCAGGAATCAAAGAAGTAAATGGGTAAAAGCGGAAAATAAATAGTAATGGGAAAATAAAGAAAAAGGAAATAAATAGCACTGAGGGAAAACGTGGACGATCTTCCGCTGACAGCGGGTGGTGGTCTAAATAATCCAAACAATGTATCTTTAAAGTCGTACCAGATGAAAATAAGCTTACTATTATTCATTTGTCAGGTCAAATTCCGCCGACAATCAGCAGAGGACGCGCTGCTGGATTGGGTGGCTCGACTTCGGGAGAAGTCCCAAGAAAAAGGAACCGGAGAATACGCTCCAAAACTGCAGGAAGGCGTTTAGACCAGACAAACCTTGTGGTAGTCGGGCGACGCTGGAAATGTTGATAGTAATGATTGGCTGGTCTCAATCCTGCTCGATGGACACTCTTAAGGGCAGATCGGGCCCTTGTTGCGAGTGGGAATTCAATAAGCTTTTCCGGGATTGAAGAAAAGAAATACGGATATGATAAGGCCAACAGGAGACGCTTCATGCGACCAACCTCAAAAGAGTAAAGGCGTAGATAAAGCGGAAATATGGGGAGCGATCGCAACCTTTAACTAGACTTCTTGATCGACGTTTGTTGGTCGCGAATGACAATAACGGCGCAAAGATTTTGCATATCGGGGTTTATAGCCATTTACCTCGACACAATGAGCTTGTAGTTGCGTAAATATCCTGCCGATTTTGTCGAATTTTATGCATAAACAGGAGGAAATGAAGAAATGTCTGCGATCCGCGGAAAGCGAGTATGTTGCGTCGGAGAAGAACTGGAATTGATGACACGGGCGTTGGGGAAAATATACGGAGAAAGATCTTAAGAAGTGTTTGTGAAAAAGGGTAGGGTTTGCAGAGGTATAACAAGTTATTTCCAGCTTCAGAAATCAGTTCGACACCGCGAATGGGCTGGGCAAGGTGCTTAGATGATCGACCGCTAAGACTCAATGCGAAGGTGGACGGATTAGAAAAAGAAAAAAAAAGCGCAAAATACAACAAATAATAGAAACGGTAATGGATAAGGGCAAACCAAGACAAGGACAACCTGTAGTTGTCAGCTGTGCTCGCTTCACTTGAGAATGAAATCGAGGAGATAAAATGTATAACAACAGTGAGCGGCATAAAGAAGCTTTAATAAAACTTCATTTTTAACGGAAACACTCCACGAAAAATGGTGTTCCACAAGCGGGCGAGGACGCCGAACAGCCCTTGGACAGACAAGCTGTTCAGCTAGATGTAGTGGGAGCAGCTCATTGGATCAGATGGAAGGTTTGAAGAAATAATATCTAGGGTAGGCATCGGCAAATTTTTCTTCTCTTCTCCACTGCCATGCAAAATTGAAAATTAAAAGTCTGCTTGATGTTCATTGCTTGATTTTTGCTTTTTCCTTCTTTGCCGCTTCTTCTTGGTAATTTATTTTCTGAGCCCCCAGTTTGTCGATCGAGGAGATGAGAGGGTAGAACTTTTGGACTTGCGCCGGCAGCTGATAGCCCTATCGTATTTTGACCGGCTTGCGCAAGTTTGACGGCCGCCAATGAACGTTGCGGCGAGCACGATGATATGCCCCTCTGGACCATTCCCCGAACGATCCTGGGTCCAGGGTAGTCTAGACAGCATGGATTGTACGGCCGCTTCTTTCGAGAGCTTTGTCTATTTGGCATCCGCAATTTTCGTTCTATTGAGAGACTCCCAAGTTCCAGAAGGCTTGCGGATGAGTGGAAGTTAAGGGTCGTAAGGACACGCACAAAGCACAGAAGGCAGCAACGGGAGATGGTTATTATTAACCCTCCAACCAGCGCCAACCACTAGAATGCTTCGAGTCACCATTCATATTCCCTGCCTCGCAGGACTGCTGCCAAATTATTTCATTTTCGTTCATGCCTTGGTCATAATCGAATTTTTCATTTTTTCTCTTGCGTCAACACATGTCTAGTAACCCTATAATAGGGCCACTTCATTGTATCTTTCTCTTTATAAACCACTGCTTCATTCTCGCTGCTTTTGGGCTCCACGCTTGCGAGCACAAAGCTTTAACGGCTAGAACCGTATCCAACCCTACTTATAACATCAACACGACGGGGTTTCTGTAGATTCACCTGGGGAGGTCATTGATCATTGTCATTTAAAGAGCAAACGACGAAATCTGACCGTCTGGCGACAATCTTAGTCAAAAATGGTTTAATGAATTAACCGCAGCGACTCCATTCCTGATTGCAATCAACTCCAATTTCGGCTGTGCCCCGAAGAGAGAACAGACCACGCAAGAACAAATCAGATAAAGAATCATAGAGAAAACTCCACTGAAAGGGCGGTAGGGGACAGGAAGCGATTTCTTGGCGTCCAAGTATCTTTCCCGGCTGGGAGGGGGAGGGGGAAAGAGTGTAAGCAATATTCTCTGACCCAGAGAGAAAATTCAGAATAAAGATGGAAACTCTGGTTGGATGGCATTAGCAGTCAGAAGCAGTACAATGCGACATCGGTCTCAAAAACGACCCGAAAATAATCCCACTCCGGCGGTGTTGTTTTGGAGTGACTTGGAATTGCATTCTTCAAACTTGCTTTCTACGCTTTGGTTTCGCCAATAAGTACTGACAGTATTTCGAATGTTAGCACTGCGTATGTTGTGCGCATGAATGCGCTTGTCCCGTCACATGGCATATTTATCAATTTCATAAAACATGATCGATTGCCATGCCTTAAAAAAGAAAAAAGCCCGACCCAGTATCGAGATGGGACGGAGCAGCCACGAGCACTGTACCTTTACCCTATGGGTTATTATGTATGTATCTTGTGGCGGGAAAGGATCTGAGCCAACAGGGAGATACAATATTGAAGAATGGGAAAGACATAAGGGGTACAAACAATTGATAGCCCTGCCTCTGATTGGTAGGGAATTGTGAGAGGCAGAGAATAATTGAATTGGATGCTGGGTGCGGGAACAAGGGCTGCAGTGAACAATGTTTTGCATGATACACCGACAAAACAAGCACAAGGGAGTGGAAGGGTGGAGCGGGTGGAATGCAGATTGCCCCCATGTCAGAGTCGACTGGTCGATACCAATTTAGGGGCCCATTCCACTGGAATATGTGGTGTAAATTCATGCACAGTCTGAAAAAGGGAAACCTTGAATGATTGGCCTGCAGGAATTCTGGACATGAGGCTTGACGGCTCCGTGGTCCCATATGCAACAAACTACCATGTCAGGGTGGCTGTACCAACTTACCGCGATTTCTGCTCCATTCGGGGCAGGTCCCTCACCTGAGAAGGGCTGTCTTCCCCTTATGACCCCACTCACCGGCGAGTCATTCTTGACCAGTCAGGAATGACTGCTGAAACAAAGACATCGTTGACCGAGAGTTGCAAGAAAAAGAAAAGAAAATATTGGCCGGAGAAAAAAGTTGAGGCTTGAAAGGAACCGTCCAAGTTAAGTACATGGCCCGTGCGCATGATGCGCACCGCTAAGCCTATAATAACATGGCGTTGTTACTAGCATAATATTACTTTCGAAAATTATACTCGTGTACGGGAAATATTCTCCAATTTGCTGTGTAAGTAATGATATTACGGTAAGATGCTGTATATCGTAACGTTTTCTCATCGTTTAGTATGAGGCTGGGGGTTGGCCCGCACATGACTTGCATCTCAACGACCTCGGGACCTTTGCCTAGTTGTGTCCGACATCACCGACACGGTCTACTTCACTTCTTCAGAACACCCGGATTAAAGTCCTTTCAGAGACTTCATCAGAGACTTCACCTGTTGCCGTTTTACCTGGAAATTCCCCTCTCCTTGCAGGAAACCCGTAATGCCGGAGAGTCCTCGCGCCCACACACCGCAGCAGCCTGTGAAACGAAAGAAAACAAATAAACAAATGATTTGCAAATCCTGGGGCCGTACTGCTAAAGCCGGATTTTGATACTATTTATATACGATAAGCCTGCCTAATATTGTGGATGTTATCCTTCAAATACATTAGAACCCCCTTCTTATCATAGTTACACCTTACCCCTGCTTTTACACCTCGCTTTAGAGAAGAATGGTAAATCCGGCAACAAATATTATATCCCTCTATAATACTGACTGGATGTGTTTACGTTTTCGTTTTCACACTGACTCCCGTGCTACGCTGGTTGTAGGACAACAGGGGCAGCAGGCTTTTTGGCATGTTACTCGTCGTTGGGAGGTTCTTGATTGAAGCATTGGTTGTTCTCCATGCCATGGCTTCGCCCAGCACTCGATGCAGTGAGGAGCTATCTATGTTTTACCAAGTGGATAATTTATCCCCCTCCGTTTCTATCTATGAGAAATATGCTCTCTGAGGTACAAAGGATGTCGTTCTGGATTATACGATATGATTTTCTCTATTGGTCTTCTGATGGAGTTGCTAATCACCTCAAACCTTTCCAAAGTATGGCCCTGGAGTGATAGAGAGAATTGGAATCAAGTCAGGGCTAGTTGAGCCAACTCACATCGGGAACTTCGCACTGTGATCACTAGATGCGCCTGGCCAATAATGCAGCATTTGATACGCTATATACCCGAGACAGCCGGCATATTCCGTTGCCATGAGCATTATCCAAATAACATCTAGGAAATCGAGATGCCTGTGCAAGAATTAGAAGTCAACAAAAATGCAATTACACTACTGTGTGTATGGCCAGAAATCCTGAGAAATCGCGGATATTTATCCCCGGGGATTGCCAGTGTACCAAGATCCACATATTTCTAGCTTTTCGCCGTTAAATATTCGACTCTATATACTGACTAAGATGTGTTGGTAAAAATGCGGGGATTAGGAGCTCCACGGAAGAATCTATTAGTCATATTGGTGCTTCCTGGCTGTATATGCTTGGTACCAGCGGGGTCTTCAACGCTCCTTTCGACTTGTTTCGCATGTGACTCTCGATCCGGTCTGACGTTCATAGATTCTAGTGGCCGTTTCAAACCATCGTCTTCCTGTCCGTACTACATGAGCTATATAGTGGGATAATCAGGGTAACCATGTGCCATTCCTGCAATTGGATTCGATGGCAGACACCTTTTATTTCTTGAAAACCTGCAAACAGAGTAGCAATTGGCTACTTTAGAAAAACCCAAAAGCTTCTGAATTGTGGTTGAGAGCTAACCTTTATCAACCTAGAGGCACGTAACACCACAGTCTCGCAACTGCCGACCGAGTACTATTGGCAATGAATATCCCCTTGCCAGAGTTCAACGTTTGAATAGTGAATCACTGATCGCCATCCGCTTTTCTTTTCCCTGATCCTCTTCTGGCCGCAAACCTGGAGCCTAGAGCTCAGGGTACTTTGAATTGGTGACACTACACACGAACCCTGAGATCATCCGTTGGTTTCTTGAAATCGATTATAATTTTGATATCACTTTGCTTGGTGAGGTTGACAGCGTTAGGCTTGCAACTGTCAAGTCGACTTGACTTAAGAGCAATGTCTAGATTCCCAGCCATAACATGCCTAGCCTCTGGATAGATTTTGTCCAAGATAAGTCAATTGTATTGCTAGTCTGTCGTCAATTAAACAGTGGCGTTAATACGGGTATGTGGGTCGCCCCTTTTTATCATTCTGTGGGTTTGTCAAACTTGTTTATGCCGCTACCGCAGTCAACAGTGCCTCTTTGACCAACATCCGGCAAGACCAGCAACCACGTGAAGTTTGCACCGCCTGCGAACTTGTTACACATTCTAATGGGTTGTCCACATCATTTCTGTTAGATCTCCAGTTTAAAAGATTCCAATTTCAGACCAACTCAAGATGCGAGAGGAAACACTTTATCATCCACTTCATGAGCTATGCCTTGGCTCATCGTCAACGAACCATTGCGCCCTAGCGTGTCAATCGCGACTGCTCGGGTGAACCACCCCAACTCTCAGCCAACGGTGCAATAAATTATATACACAAGCTGGGGCATCCAACAGCCGGCCTCCCAGAAATCCAACGTTGTGCATGTATAACGCCTGTTTTAAGGTTGGAACCCTTTGTCCGGATAGAAGACCATCTGTCCCCTTATTTTACTACCCTGACCACTTCAACGAGCATGAAACGGGAGCACAAGGTGATAACAAGCATGCTTGAGCTCCGAGCAGCAGCCAAACAGGAAGCCTTTGTGAAGTGCATATGAAATTACCGTGGTTTCTAGATATCTGGCTCGCTCCAGAACGCTGCCCAACCATTTTTATCTTGGATGAGACATTTCCGTATTTCTTTGCCGCCAAATTTCGCCCAATATCAACTTTGGTTACCAGGCGAAGTATCTGTTGATACTTAACTAACGCCGTAACTTCTCCATTTCTAATGTTTTGGTATCGGCATTTGCTAATAGAGGTAATCGTATGTCCGATGAATGGAGGAGTATAGGAATCGTTGTTAACTCCTTGTTAGATGCGTTGCTACGTTTATTGATCGCCCCAACGGGAAATCAAATCGCCAAAATCCTTGATTGGAAACTAATCAAGCTCGAGGCGATCTAAAAGTGTACGACTTCATCCAACCCCTGCCCGTAAAAAAAGAGAAAAAAATATTCTTGTTGAAAAATACCAAGTCAAGGGCTCCCAAAATAAAATAATAAAGTACAAATAGATGGGTACACAGGAAGACACCACGAACTGCTCTCATCCCCAAACAAGGGATAGCCGTAGATTATTCTTCACACTTCCATTTTCTTAGAGTGTCGAATCGCCTATGATTACCATCCATGAATCTGCCGATCATATGACACAGAGCAGAAGGATTGCCGAAGAAAAGTTAAACAAATGAAAATGTCGATTTAAAACCGTTTTGGTATTTAGCTGGGAATAAAATAGAAATATTAAAATACAGGGTCATGCCTTTCTCCACAGCTAAAATCAATCGCCCACGCACGCGCATACTCAGGAACCCAAAAGGTTGGTGATTTGAAGCCGGACTCCTTCAGGCCTCCCAGACTCAGCTCTTGACCTGTCCTCCCCTCCCACCCCTCCCAAACAGTTTCAGTAATCGATCCATCGAAACCCCCACCTGGAGCCCTTTTAAGTTTTGACCTCGTCTGGGTTCTAGTCGATCCTGTAGATCACCTGGCAGTTAACAGGCCAGTAGGTTAACGATCTTCGAGCGCCTCTTACCTCATACTCTAACCTGACTTCGCAACTCAGCAAGTTCTCCTCAATAAATTGGAATCCCGCCCTTTGGCTGAGGGCGTCCTCTATTTGAGATCCGAGCGGGTTTGGCCTCGGCGGACGAATACTAATAAAGGAAGAGGCCCGAAAGGAAACGAGATGAAATGAATGGAGCAAAATTATGGTAATTACCCTGGTTGGGATAAGGGCAAGGCACAATGAAAGACAAAGCTAGGCTAACTCACTCACTAGCTAACTGGCGGTGGCTGGCGCTAGGACTGACGGACTGCCCGATCCTATGCAGTCAATCCGTGATTGATACAAGCAAGCAAATTCTTCGTTTCCTGCTTTTGGCTAGACAAGAGTGGAGAATAGCTTGAAAACCAGTCGCTCCGTCTTCTGGTCGTTTTTCTATATCATTTTCTTTGTCTCCCATATTTAATCCTGAGGTACTAGGCGGGAGGGGCAGTATCCGCACTGACGACGAAAGACATGGATGTACAGGTACAGTACATGTAGGTGTCTGCACCGAATACCGGCACGGAACCTGGAGCTAATTATCGGAATTATTTCATCTCACATATTCGAGAAAAATAAGAACGGAACCAAAGATCGGTTCCGTTACGTACCTACATAGATCCCGAATGAAAATACCTAGGTAGGTATAGACTCCGCGATGTACAGTACAGTAGCCCCTTCCCCAGGAGCCTCGGTGGTCAGGGCTTTGGTGGCTCCCGCTAACTCCTCCTCCCGCATTTACTCATCAATGCTCATAATGGCTTATCATAGGAGGGTGGTGATGCTAAAATGGTATGCGGCTGTTTGTCGCAAAGAAGGGGATTTTCTCAGCTTCTTCCATGCCGTCGTTGGTCGAGAGATTGACTAGTCCCGGGGCTTCCGAATGGATGGGAGGTAGGGTCCGGAATCCAACATTTGGTGGATTTTCATGGGAGGAAGAAGGAAACCAAAGATTACGTGGTAGGAAAAGGAAAAGGAAAAGGGTGATCTGCTGAAATTGACGAAATTGATCCGAAGCTGTCATGCACGGTATATGGACTGTACAGTACATTGTGCCTGGGAACAAGAACAGCGGTGACGTTGAGTTAGATGCAAAAAGCCAGGGATTGGAACCTAACAAAACTTACCTCGGTACAAACCTTGACCTATTTTTCTTTTTGCAAAGCGGGCGGAAATGCGGTGTCTACGTACGAAATACCTTGCTTGGAACTTGGATAGATGGATGGAGGGGCGCAGTTTGCGGTTAGATTAGCGGATTCCCAGTGACGCGGGCAAGGGACAACCCGAGAACCTGGACAGGCGCATGGGTGGTTTTGTTTCAACTCGAGTGTATATTTGTATATATCGACCATACGTACCAGTTATGAACTTCGAGAACCAAGATAGCAAATAATCAGACCCTCGAAGACGAGTGATAATCGAAGACGTAAATCAAATCAAAAGTGCCCCCCGGACACCGTACATTTGTGGGTAGATGTCCGATCTCGTGCATAGATTTAAGAGACGAGTGTTCTTTATGCTCTCCGCCCCCAGAACCCAACAAACATTGCTTAAATTCGGGATTCGGTTTCATCTTGATGTAGGGGCGGCGGCGCCTGGATGACGTATACCGTGCCTCTCCCAGCTTGTTATTTTCATTCTTGGGGTGTTGGCGCAAAGGCGATACCGGCCTGCTTTTGTTAGTTGGCTGTCCTCTCTGCCGGATGTCGGGGGCGGGCTGTGAAGTCATGTCGTGGTGTGCCCGCCAATGTAACTGTATGGAGATATTGCAATGTACGGGTGCGCGTATAGAACTAGTCAGCTCGTAAGGCCCTTCTTCTTGGGTTTTCTTTTCTTTTTCTGATATATGCATGTACCATGTAAACTAACTGTCCATCCTAACGCGCGCGCCTCGCCGGGTTTTGACAAAAGGAATATTTTGACAGGGATATGTGTCATTCATTTGCCGTCGGTTCGGCCTACAGCCTGAGCAGCGAGTGAGTGTTATAATGGACCCTTCCGAGTGAGTTGATGAACAAAAGCTGGAGAATGAGGTAAACAGAACATAGAATCATTTGCAATTCTTCAGGTTCCCATTTGCTGTTTGCCTCCAGAGATCCCACTTTGCATGTGTCTGCTATTTACCAAGATTTGCTATTCTCAAACAAACCCATGTCCGCATTCTTGTTTCTTTGTTGGTTGGGTTCTATTACTGAGATGAGATAAGGCGGGGGCTTTATAAGGTAAATGATATTTCTGAATTGACGGAAGCAGATGGAGTACTTTCCGTCCCCACTCAGCCGTAATATCACAAATATAGGTGTCCATCACAGAGTAAGATTGATATCCGTGGGTATACAGGAAAATAAGCATAAAAGAGCAAAAGGAACAAGCAATAAATAGGATATATGAGCCCTGAGCAGGATAAAATGAGGTCATAGCTGGATAACAGCAGCAAACAAATATACCGTAAAAACTGCCAAGTGCGTGGTGCTGGTAGCGGTTTGTCTGTATGATACGTTGGGGGAAACAAAATGGGATATCACACGAAAGGAGAAAGCTGCGAAGAATGAGGCAGATATGATAGATGATACTTCAAAATCCTGAAAATGCCAACAACTAGAAATAGATACGTGAGATAGAATATCCAGTAGAAGAGTTGAGGGTTGGAGTGAGAACGCAAAAACGAAAAGAAAGTGCAAATACTAGCCGTAAAGCATGGACGACACTTAGCAGCTTCTTCTCCTCTCCCCCCCCCCCCCCCCCCCTTTTTTTTTTAATTCATGTTGTTGTTGTGGGCAATTTCCACTATCCCCCTGGTCATTCGCAAAGAGTTGCTGGGTCAACAGGAGAGGCAATCAGAAGGGTCACCGGTCACCAACTTGTTATAGACTCAAACGGTAATGCAGCCGATGCAATGTGATGTGTCTGTTGGCGGCTCAAAGGATGTTGTGAGACTTTGAAGAGCGCGTGTTATTACAGCCCTTTGTTGTTCCCCCAGCGGTGGAAGGGAAAAAATAAGAGCATCCATAGGCTGGAAATACCGTGCTTGTTAATAATAATGAGACATATGGGACCGAGAGTATGCTACTTGGCCGGCTGTTCTGCGCGCCTAGATGCATGTGTGCATTGGGAGTTCCTCTATCTGCTGGCCAACAGAACCCGGCTACCCGGTGGCCTGGTCCAAGTAAATTGGCATTGGAATGTATATGTGTTTGTCTATGATGGGGAGAGGAGAAAAGATGGAGGAAGCGGCGAAGCATATTTGAGGTAACGCGTTGGTTGGGGGCGCAAAAAGCAAATATGCAGAAATGTCCGAAAGGAATGCGGAAGAAGAATCGGAAGAAGAATCGAAAAGAAATGGAGAAAGAGGGGTCGCAAACATTATTTGCTTGTTGCCGATGATTGCTGCAAGGAGATAAATCCGGGTAGATAGGGCGAAAGGGGCTCACACATATTCGTAACACCTTGAGATGTATGGGACCTTGACTAAATGACGTGGTCGGGGCGGTAGCAGCAGGAACTCTTGTCATTTCATGTGGTATTTGAATTTTGCAAGCGGGAATATATGAAAAGAGCAAACACGATGCGCTAAAGGCAACAGCAACAGCAGCCGCATTAGAAGGATAAGAAACCACCCTATCCCCTATCGGATCCGTGGGGAGGAAGGGGTTAGACGAGGGTTCTAATCCTGGGTGATAAAGCGCGCTAACTCTAGGGTCGTATGGACAGAGGCAGAAAATAGGAGAACCAAATAGACACACTATGTTGAGGCCATCTACATATTTTCAAAGAATCAATCGAAGTAACCGTAAATGCATTCATTCAACAATCATCACAGAGTACACTTGGGGGAAATTTTTCTTTACCGAAACCATATCAATTTGAAAACACCACATTAGCCGGAAATAGATCAGTTAAATTACGTAGTCTTCTTCGCAAACTCCACGCGTAGGATCAGATGCCGATAACCAACTACATATCGCATTAGCAGAGGAATTGTCCGTTTGGTAATACACAGCAGATAAAACTTACATCCGTCCATTTTCTCGCATGCGCGAGCAGCATCACTTCTATCTTGGAACGAAATGAAGGCGAAGCCTTTCGCCATATTTGTTTCCCTATCCTTTGCCAGAAAGACTCTTGTGACGCGACCGAATCTTTCAAACATGTCCCGAATTTCTTGTTCTTCGGCCAGCTCGCTCACCTGCGCACAGTCAGCCTACAATAACAGGGAAATGTTGCTCTTTGCATGAACTTACGTTTGTAACGCGAAGAGTTGCCAGATCGTCTCGCTCATATTTCCCGCCCATGCGCTCTCCAGCTGAAGCACCACCTTTGCGCAGATGGGGCGGCACGTAACTGCTGCCACCAGCACCCAGGGCGCCAGTTGGCCGCTCTTCACCCGCATCTTCACCGGTGCCCGCACCAGGTTCTTCAACTGGTGCCATCGTATCCTTGAACGGACATCTGGCAGTGAAATGCTCCCCGGAACAAATTCGGCACTTGACTTTCTTGTCCTTTAGTTGGTCCTTGATGCTTCCCTTCTCAGGGCCTGCTTTCTCTGCTTCTTTCGCTTGTGCTTTCCAGTTTACACTAGGTCTGAAGATAATATTTTCACCAACGGAGGTAGTATCGAACGAGGGACCAGCCGGATGGCCCTTTTCAAGCCCAAACTTTGGCCATCCTCGCCGTTCTGCGACTCTGGGGTTCACGTGTTCCTTGACCACAGTTGTTCGAATTCGGCGGCTGGTTTTTACTTTCTTGCCGTCGTCGTTAAATCGATAAGAAATAACAGTCTTGGTACCGTCTTTGTTAGTGATCACTTGTTGGGGTGGGAGGGATTGAGCTTCGTCGAACTCCTCGTCGTCCGCCCAATCAGCACGACTGTAGTTTGTTAGTTGAGGATTTTCTTGACCGCTAGGGACAAGAAGAAGATCAAGGAACAACGTACTTAGCAAGTTTCGACATGTTTAAAAGGTCTGTTACTATGTAGGAAGTAGCTCCGGTTTGCTTGTTTGGAGCTGCGATTGTCCTGATTTTAATGTGCAATTATCCAGAACTCATAGCAATGGGTGGAGCCCGGATCTATGTCGGCCCGGAGGATAGTCATACGCTACTAACTGCATTTGGACGATTTGCCCTAAAATCATGTGATACAGAAATTCCAGCTGGAAGGATTTTTCTCACAGACATGACTCTCAATCTTGTCAATGACCGATTACTGTGTATTGATCGACTGATTTCCTCTGATATTAGAGAGCATAAATCAGGTAGCCAATCATCTGGTAAAACCTGGAAACCAATAGACACAGGATGGTATTGATATCCGGTCCCTCCTACTCTCAGTTTGGCATCCGATATTTTCACCTTCATCACTGCTAGTGATAGTCAAGACTGTTGATGGATTTTTGCCTCGTCTGAGAAATGAGATAAGTTTCCAATTATCAATTGGGCCCGACATACATTCTCATAATATTAAATCTCCCCTTTGACCCCAATATGACAAGGAACATAAGGCGATTTATCCCTCCAGACAATGAAAGCTCCCGGGAGAAACAGTCCATTTACTCTCGTTTTTCTTCAATGGGAAATTATTGAAGAAAATGCCGCGTCCTTTTTGAGACTCTAATCTCGTTCAGCGAAGGGAATGCAGTATATTTTGACCGGAGACCCGTCAAACATCCCACAGTCGATTGAGAATTGTACTGTTATATCCTGACATGTACAGTACAATCGCCTCAGATGCTTTATCATTATCATTTCCAATGACGAAATCCTACCCCTGTTTTAATTACGGATATGATGGCTCATATTCCCACTCCAAACCTCTATCCTGCCAGCAGCCTTGACTCTATCTACATCCCTTGTCAGCCTGGTTCATTCTATTACAGCAATATACAGGTAGCAGTATTGATGTGCCTCTGAGGGTCATTTTTTTGGAGCTTATAGCGCCATCAAAAGCGTGATAATTATCTACAATGCAGGTTTATGAATAGACATACTTCTATTGCCAAAACATTATAATCGATGAGTGATTGTATTCTCTCAAAGCTTCCTCCCACGAACATCACTATTTTGCACTATCAATCCAAAGAAGCTACAGTAGCTTGAAAAGGCCTCAAGATATACCAAAATATCAGAAAAAAAAGGAAAACAGGAAAAGAAAACGGGGGGGAAAAAAGAAAAAGAAAAAAAGCTAACTACGGTACAAAATTATAATTCTCCCAGATTTTCGCCTCAATTGTGTTCACATCGCTAGGCCGAATTTCCTTACCTCCAGCGACTTAGCAGGGTTCATGCGAGAAAATTTTCAATCATACGGCTTCGTTTTTCCCTTAAGTTTATCGAACGCCCATATGGACAACATATGATACTAAATAAGCTGGCCTGACAGATACTTGACACTGCCAGGCCACTGAAAGTTCTAAAGCACTCCCACTTATTTTGCGTCAAATGTGCTTAACGGCAAATTAAAAATTGCATCCTATTATCTGCATCAGGTCTGCATCAGAGGCTTGTGAAAGGCAGATTATTAATTTTCCAGGTCCAAGAAAGCTATACTAATGTACGAGAAGCCCGTTTCTTGTCCTGATATACATTATTACATTGTGGCCAATATGCGGGGAGTGGATTTTGAGCTCTTTTACTGCCCAGGGGCTGTCGGAGACGTCCCTGCTAGAGGTATCGAGAGGCCATGATATAGTTGTTCGATGGATAATGGTGTGGACTATGGTGACAACCCATATAATGTGCAAATACCTTCGATCGCGGCGTTCATCTGGATTCTGGCGCACGACGACCTCATCTCCCAGAAGCACCACATTGAAGGCGGCTGAGGAGAGGGTTTCTGCGTGTATGTATGAAGTTTTCAAGCCCAGTTGCTGAGTAGCTCTATCATGTCATCAGATCAATGCTCCCCGGAGCGAAGTCGCAATTGAAAACCGATCGACGAAATAATTCCAGTACAAGCTCTGATTAATAAGAAGGAACCATGTGGCCTGATCCGAAAAAAAAGGTCCCAAACTCGCGCTCGCGCACAACCACCCACATCGATTGGGATCATTGCTCAATACAATGCCTTTTTTTTGAATGAATTAGGTAGATTGCAGCTGATAGCGCGGCTACCAGCCTCACCACTGACCCAATGGCAAATGTAACTATGGCCGCCATATACCAGCGCCACCTGAGCACATAAATTCAAGCAAGTTTCCGGTATCATTGGTATACCATTTTTCCCGTCTATCGCATAGTCTCCTGTCATTCGAAACGCATCTATAACAGGCGGAGAGGTCTAATTCACAGGAGCTTCTAGTACTTACTGCATTTTTGGGTCGTGCTAAAAATCCAATATAAAACATGGGCGGGAACGAATCAAAGACAACAGGAGGTCATATCATATAATATCTAGAGTCCCAACCTAACAGAAACGCAAGGACCATTGATATAGCGCAGCCAAACCTTGCTCGCTTCTCTACACTTGATGTTAACTTGCTCATTGATAGCCGCGGCGTTGGGATCGTTGATCGAGCAGGTCCTTTGACACCCACCAAACATCTTCAAGCATTTGACCTGTTCATTTGTATCTCTTGAAGTTTTTTCGACGATAAGCCTCGCGAATGCAGAGCTGTATCAGTCTCCGTACGACTTCGCCCAAAACTCTTCCGACGAGCGGTATATCTGTCAAAATGTTGCGTCCAGGTCTGAAGGAAATATGAGATTGATGTTTCTGTATCCTCAATTGTGTTGACAGTTTTCTGTCTGTCCATTCTAGCTCCAAAAAACGCTGGAAATACCGTTACCATTGGGATAATTGCGATATATTTTCTCAAAAGTGTGAGACCACTATCAGTTATAAGACCGATCCAAAAGCTGGACGATTGAGGCGAGGCACGAATTTAATCGAAAAGCTCCTCCCCAAAGTGAGTCTAAGTAGTTAGTGCTTCATAACTCTGAAAAAGGTGCAATCTTATCACAGTGAGGGCACCGCGCGAAAGCCAAATCGACTCCTTTCGAAGTCTTGATCTACCCGTTGCCTAGACCAGGATGTGAGGAAGAGATCAGATCTAGATTAAAACACCACTCCTGCTTGGATGCGTGCCGCGGAATGGGAAATTGAGTTCGCTTTCACATTGGTACCATTTGATAGCTTGACGCCATTCGACCCTACCAACCCAAGCAGTAACGTTTCCCAAACATATCGGTGCCAGAGTATTTGACAACGACATAAATCATTTGAAGGCTATGAAGCTTGTCTACAATGAAGGTGTGGGGCCATTTTTGCTTGCATTCTCTCATGTTTAAACCATCTGATCCTTTTGCAACCGGTATCAAAATCTTGGCAGCGGTGTAATTAGGCGCACACCAGTGGAGATGATCGGCGGCTAATCTCTCTACTAATACTAGTAAGCACCTAATATCTCTACTAATACTAACCTAGTAAGCACCTAATATCTCAAAGTTCCCAAGAAGGTAAATTGAACCAAGGAAAAAAAGAGGAATCAACTGTGGAGTGTAATCTGAATATTGCGTACTGCAAAAAGAGACACCCAAGGTACGAGTCTTATCAGGGAAATATTACCCGCAAGAGAAACAGGGCTGGTGGACAGCAAAGAACAACATAACTTTAGCTCCGTAAGACGGAGACAATACAAACGAAGAGCGGAACAATATGCGACGTGGTGTTCCCCTCTGCTCCTCTGATTGGTTAACTTATTTTCATTATTTTCCGTCCGTTCTCTTATCATTTTTAGGAGGGGACGCTTGACATCTCAGCCGAATCAGCACGTATTTGGCAAACGAGGTTTCATCATACAAAAAGTTATTATTTTCCTTTACTTGATATCTCATTCTTCCTTTTGAGTGAGAAGCTAGATATCTATCAGGTATAAATTGATGGTAAATTCAATAATCAGAGCTCTAGAGTACTTCACCTCACCACTTTCTCAGCCACTTTATATCACCACACCAATTTAGTATGAGTGTACGAGAGAGTAGCTAATGTCTCATACCAAACTAGTGCGGTGAAAAAGTCGCCGAGAAAGCGATGAAGTGCGTTATTCTTCGGCTATCCTATTACGTAATAAGCACTGAATCTTTGGCTAGCTAGTTAGCTAGTTAGCTATAAGAGTGATCATACCAGGCCCGAATGAGGCCGCGGTTTATAATCCTTCCTTTATGTGAACCAATTCTACTCGCAAACCTGCCATTCTTCCGTATGAAATACAGTTCTCCCCGTCATCAACAATGACCTCATCTATCCCCGCGCTCAGCGAGAAAGTTAAAAGTCTTCTCCCCGAAGATCTTCGAGAAGACCGATGGTATCTAATCACAGTAAGTTGCCTGCGTCTTGCAGTGAACAGGGAAGAACAAATAGAGGGGATCGAGGAAAACATCAGATACAAGCACATTACAATTTAGGACAAAGGAACTGCGGGCTTGCTATTCCGTAATATTGAAGTAAAACAAGCTCTAATGACTAATGAAAGGCCGCTGCTCTAGTAGCTTCCGGCAAGCCGACCGAACTAGGGGAGCTTTACGAGTACATATTAGACACGGAATATCCCAATCTAACCCTGGAGCAAGAGCGCAGAATAGCTCGTCGGTTCAGCGATCTGCTGATGAAAGCATGGACACTTGTCGGCATCCCGAGTGTGCTGATGGCTGTCTCATCGCTAGCGAAGGTGGAGAGATTCGTATCAGCGAGTAACACGGGGTTGGAGGACAAGAGGTACGTTAATTATTTTTCGATGATATCTTATGTTACATTTTTTCAATTTTTCCAATTCACTTTTATTTCGAATTCTTTGTTTTGACTACTTCTATATTGTCTTGATTCTGTACCTCAGTACCTGTAACGATGGGATGCTGATAATCGGGGAATTAATTTACATCAAAATATAAAATTGAAAGGGGCGGCGACTAAATTAAATTCACTGGACAGGATAAACATTGACTTCGAGAAAGGCATCACGGAACGCGGCACAAAGTTTATTCAGCTTCTATACAAACAGAATCTCGAACCCATTTTCGATACCTGGGGGTCCTACAGGGAAGAATTCGTGTGGCTGGAGAAGAGTGTGATCTACGGACTCTTTTTGGCTGATCAGACGGTTCTATCTGAGGTGGAAACGCTATTAGTCACGCTACCCTCGATAATGTGCCAGGGTTGGCCAGGTCCAGCACTGTGGCATCTTCGGGGCCTGAGAAGAGTTGGTCGGAGCACGGAAGATGTCGAGAAGGTGCAGCAGGCCGTGGAGGCTGTTGCCATTTGGTCTGGGAAGTCGATTGAAGGTTGGCCAAGGGTCACAGATATTAAGGATGAAATTTAGTAGTTCTTCTTGGACTCTTGACGGTTTTCTTTAGATTCTTCTTTCAAGATGCATTTGGGATCATGCGTGATTTCAGTTACATATACATATTTGGGCTGGACATCGGCAAAGCGATGCCGATATCCCATAAAATACAGTCGGGAATGTGCTTCGCCATATGTATCTGAGTGTGTGTGTGTGTGTCTTGCGTTCCATCATGACTCCATGCTTAGGTGATGCGGTTTCCTGTTGTCAAATTCAGCTAGGACATCTCATTTGAGTTCATCTACCCAGCAAATGATATGGCTTTTTCGGCCTTCAACTACTGCCAAAGATTTCATACGGCCATCAAAACGGCGCGATAACCCTGCTAACGCCATTGTATTCCAAAGATTTTCGTTGCAGCTTTCTTCGCTGCATTTTTATTCGCCTCCGCGTTTTCGAGATAAAGTCGTTGATGTCCTGTACTCAGTTAGGGAAAATTCATCATTTTCCTCGAATGACACCGGCATACCTTTAACGTCCAACGCCAGAATATTGTATTCAAATTCATTTGTTTGCGGGTTCTTTATCAGATGTACGCTCACAGTTCCATCGTTGCGTGGGCCACTGACCTAAAAATAATCAAGTGCCGTTAGTCGGTGTACTTCGCAGAGTGAAATAGTAAAACAATACCCACATTGAAGTTCATTTTCATATGCTCCCGACCAACTCGGTCCTTTTCCACGGTGGTTCTAGCACAGTAGTTAGCCAATATGATGCAGTAGATATTCGGGTTGGAGCTCCACTCACGCGATGGGCCTATTTCTTGTCCACTTATTCCACGTAGTCTCGCCATAGGCCCGTATCTTGTTGCTATCCCCAAGTAGCTCGATACATCTCTGATCCTCCTTAATTCGGTCGACGGCTCGATTGAAATTCCGAGTTTTGCTGTCTGGCGCAAAAACTTCCTGGTAAAGCAGAGTAAAAACAGCACCCTAAACTAAATATCAGCACAATGCCCTGATCACGTATATCTTACATGGCTGAGGGATGCGCACAGTCATGGCAGCCCCAATAACAATGATAAGGAAATTTGCAGATTGCTGAGTTGCCCGAGCTGCCTTCTCTCTTCTAGAGAGCTCCCCCCACCGTACTCGGCCATCGTCGCTGGTGACGGTTATTTGTTTTCTGGACTGCTGGGGGTTTGCTGATGAAGATGCTCCCCCCAAGCTGCTCTGAGTTGCATAATACCGGGAAAGCGCCTCCCATGGTTTGAATGTGTGTTTTTTAGCGGGGTTCGTGCCGGAGAGGCTTTGGAGAACTGATCGGGTTCGGAACACGGAAGTCATGGTTAGGGTTGATTAAAGCCCCAGCACCTGCATCAGGGCAAGCAATGGAGCGTATTGCGACGAGTCCAGCAATACCAGATCGGCCATAAGCTCTCCCACGTTCACAAAATGAACTTTTGTTCGCCAGCCCGTTCATGTTCCCTTCCTTGCTTCCAGGTTATCATTGCTGCTAAACTGGGGAAGCGTTTTAGATCACATGATTTATTAGTCATATAGTTTGGCGCGCGTCTGTCTGCGCTTGCTGATGGCCCTATTTTCTGGTTTGGAACCACGCTGGCCGATTATCGCCGCCGACCACAACGTCCTCTCTCCCCTAGACACCGCAGACCTTCGTTGATCTCCCGCCGCAGTGTCTCTTTTAACGAGGCCGCTTTGTGCCGCTATCCACAATGAGTGCAACAAAGACACAGTCCCAGAAAGTTTTCGAAAAACTGAAATCCAAACCGGCAAATAAAGTGAGTACACCGCCGAACCCCCCTTTCTTTGCCATTCACGACTCATATTGGCTGGTGCAGATATGTTTTGACTGTGGCACCAACAATCCCACCTGGTCTTCGGTTCCGTTTGGTATTTATCTGTGTTTGGACTGCTCGTCTAACCACCGAAACCTCGGCGTTCACATTTCCTTTGTTCGCTCTACCAACCTTGATCGTGCGTCTACACCCAGGCCCTTTTTCTAGTATGGAATTCGATGCATGCATGTTCTAACATTGGATATAGAGTGGCAATGGGAACAATTACGAATTATGAAAGTGGGAGGGAATGAGTCCGCAACGAAATATTTCCGGTCACATGGAGGGACCGCGGCTTTGGCCAGCAAGGACCCCAAAGTTAAATACACGTCCGCTGCAGCAGTGAAATATAAAGAAGAGCTGAAACGAAGAGCACAGCTGGATGCGCAAGAGTATGTTTATTCTAACATGTATATGTTGCCTTGAAGTTAACTCTATCCTAATGAATCATGCGAGCTCTAGGTTTCCCAACGAAGTTGTCATCATTGATGCTGGGCCAGCGTCTCAATCTGACGGAACCTCCACACCCGCAGGCGAAGGCGAAGATGACTTCTTCTCATCGTGGGATAAGCCAACCATCAAACGACCAAGCAACCCTCCTTCGCGGACAGCCACCCCACCTGTAGTCAGCCGCACCGATTCCCCGTTCCTCAACGCGGGCGCTAACGGTAATGGAGTTTCCCGACCGAAATCCCCCCTCTCCGGCTCAGATGACAAATCCCCAGTGTCAGACCCACCCGTGGCTGTTCGGTCAAATCCTGCAGTTCGCAAGACCGCGGCAGTTGGCGCTAAGAAGGGCAGTGTATTGGGGTCGAAAAAGGCTCCGAAGTTGGGCGCCAAAAAACTTATCAGCTCCGATGCAATTGACTTCGAGGAAGCGGAAAAGAGAGCAAAAGAAGAGGCGGAACGTATTGCCAAGCTGGGATACGATCCCGAAGCGGAGAGGGCCGCAGCTGAGGCGAAAAAATCCGGATCTTCAGCCTCCAAAATAGCCGCCCCAACACCCGTCAGCCCCACCCGGGGTAGCTTTGGAGCCACCCGAAGCCACGAAAGAAGCTCCAGCGAAATCGAACGTCTTGGAATGGGTTTGGGCCGCCTGGGATTTGGTCAAGTTGGAGCGGCAGCAAAAGCTCCTGCCCCTAAGAAGCTGGGATTTGGAGCCACTGCCGCGTCCAAGGCTGCTGATGGTAAGTGGTCATCGAGACCTATTGGGAAACTTGCATCTGTATTAACCAGTTGCCCTTTTCGCCTGTTTAGACGAGGAACTAGAATATGCCAGACAGAAATTTGGCAGCCAGAAAGGGATCTCCTCGGACGAGTTCTTTGGTCGCGATCAATTTGACCCAGCCACTCAGGCCGAAGCCAAGAGCCGTCTCGCAAATTTTGAAGGCGCCACTTCTATATCCAGCAATGCATATTTCGGCCGTCCCGAAAATGACCAACCATCTACCGACGAGTATGGCAATTATGACGACCTGGAAAGCGCAGCGAGAGACTTCGTGCGACGATTTGGAGTTACGGCAGGCGATGACTTAGAGAATCTGACACAGTTTCTTGGTGATGGTGCGGCTAAGTTACAAGGCAAGTTTCTTTTTACCATTTATTTATTCATTTCGTATCTCTTTCTTTCCTTTTCTACTTGTCCCCGCTCCCTCTTGTACAGCTAGATTTTGAGCCAGCTAACTCTTATTTGTAGGAGCCATTCGAACCTATCTCAACAGTTAGATTTACGTATCTGCATTGTTCGATTCTCTCTTCTTTTTTCCCCTCTGTTTCCCCTTGTGAAAGCATACGACGATACTTTCCCTTTTTCTTTCCCTGCAGTCATCGATTTACACAACATTTTTCTCAGCTCTTTTCTCTATTTTCTTTGGTTTGTTTGATGGTGGGATTCCGGCGGATAGTGCATAAAGAAAAGAGGACACCGGACCCATTCGGCGAGAAAGCGGGGATACGGGGACGAAAACGAAGATGATATAGCCCCGACGACGTCTGGCTACTACAGGAGTTAAAAAGCATTAAACTAATCTTGTGAGAGTAGAATACCAAATTTGCGTTTTCGTTTTGCTTTGTTATGCTTCGCTTTTATTTTATTTTAATTTATTTTTATATTATTGTTAGTTTTTAATTTATTGGAGGTTCGCTGCATTCAAAATTCTCACCTTTAACAAGTTTAATCTATCTTATTATATATAAAATACATGTATAACCGGGAAGCATAGCCACCTTAGAAATTCAATTCTGTCAAATGGCAGCCGAAGGGGGGAATGTATAAAAATACATACAAATGAATTAAAAGCCAATACAAAATAAAATAGGAGACTTGCGGCTATTCATCCGAAAGACTCCCTTGGCTCTCAATCACAATTCCTATAAATTGCATCCGCCATTTTCACCACCTGGCTCATCTCGGCGGTATCATGAACCCTCACGATGTCCGCCCCACCTGCAACTGAAGCAGTAACAGTCGCCGCTGTACCCCAAAGTCTCTCGCTCGGCTTCTTAACACCCGTAACGCGCCCGATGAACGCTTTCCGGCTCGTGCCCAACAACCAAGGCAAATAACGTAATCCGTCAAATCTCTCCCGTAGCGACTGGAGATTCCTCAGCAGCTCTAGATTCTGCTCTTTGGCCTTCGCAAAGCCAATTCCAGGGTCCAGAATGATCCGCCACCGCCGCACACCGGCGTTCTCCACAACTCTTATTCGCTCCATCAGTTCATTGGCAACGCCGTCAACAACTCCGCTGCCCGTGCCAGTGCCACTACCATGACCAGGCTTATATGCGCTATAGTCGGTAAGTTTCATCATTGTCTGTGGCGTGCCGCGCATGTGCATAAGAATCACCGTCTTCTGGAGTTTCGCCATAGTAGCAGGCATGTTAGGGTCCAGGGAAGCCCCAGACACATCATTGATGATATCTGCTCCTGCATTAACCGCCGCCTCCGCGACTGCAGCACGGTACGTGTCGATGCTAATGGCGACGCTGTTGGCTTCGGGGAGGGAGCGGATAAGTCTTATAGCAGGAAGAACTCGAGAGAGTTCCACTTCTTCGGTTACAGAGTCGCAGTCGGGACGGGTGCTCTCGCCGCCTACATCGATGATAGTAGCGCCATCACGGATGAACTTGCGGATGGTCTCAGTGAGGGATGCGAGGTCTGTGGGAGGGTGTTTTCCACCATCGGAGAAGGAGTCTGGAGTTACATTCAGGGTGGCCATAAGGTGTGTTTTGCGTTTGGGGTCGGAAGCGCAGAGGGGTGGTAATTGTGGGGATAGTGGGGTTACGGCAACCGGGGCGGGATTTGAAGGGGGAAGAGAGTCGAGATATGATTGATATGGGCGAGTTTTGTCTGAAATGGGAGGGGATTCTCCAGGTATTAGCCTATTCTGTGTCAGTAGGATACGACTCCGCTACTATCATGAATCGGGGGAAAGGTTGAATCGCACTGGCAAAGTGGCCGCAAGACAAATTCCCGCTCCAACATGAGTTTGTGAGGTATGTCCAATCGGGGGCCAGATAATTTCAAATCATTGTACAACAAGATATCAAGATCTATGTTACGGGGTCCCTTGTCTATAATTTTGCGTCTTCCCATACCAGCCTCAATTGACTGGAGCGTGTTTAGTAAGGCCATAGGACCCAGTGCGGTCTCAATCTAGAGGAGGTGTTAGAACAGCCAATTCAAGCCATAAGATCAAACCCAAAGAACATGGCAAAAAGCTAACCTCGCAGACACCGTTGAAAAACGACTCTTGATCTGTGACATACATAGGGGCTGTCTCGAAGAGGTTACTGGTTCGTATGATTTTGATGCCACGAGCTTCCATTTCCCGACAGGCTTCCTCGATTGCAGCAATGCGGTCGCCCATATTGCTTCCCAAAGCGATAAACGCGCGACATGGCGACACACTAGGTACGCTTGCAGATGCGCTAGCTCCGGGTGTTGAGGAGTTGGAGTAATTTCGCTGGTGGTTCATAAGGGAAAAACCGTGTTCTCTAGAACACTTTTCACTTTGAAGTTGATGTTCACTTGCTACACTTTGCCGCATCAATTGGTCGCAGAGACCCAGCGAAGGACGGTATCGCGAGAAAGAGCGCCTAGAATCAAGTACTCTTCCCAACGGAGAAGATGTCTTGACGCAATGATACCTGATGGAGGTAGAGCTAATGCGAAGGCTTGCATTGCTCAGAGAACAGAATGCTGAAACAGGTGATTGACGACCACGACTGACGAGGGGTACAGATTCTCTTTATCCTACAATTAGCTAATTGAGCCGGATGCAAATTTCGCTTTTAAAACAAAGCAAGGTCACCTTCACCTTCGCGGGGTCCCTATTCCAGGGGCGACTAACAACTGGCTGTGAATTCTAAGATGAAGCTTCTGGGACGACAAACCAGGACGACAGATGCCAGCAATGTTGCCAACACAGTGTGAAAGTGCCTGCTTTTCCATATCAATCACCAAGAATGGCAGACACAACAGACGCAGGAGAAGCTTCACTGGCGCATTCTGTTGTGAGCAGCAACAACCTGTTCCAAAGTCAGCCAGATGCGGTTCGATTAGTCATCATATCAAGGTTCGCAGCATAGAGCATGGAGATGACAGCGTCTACGGGGTATTTTACAATTTGAAACTGTTGGGGGGATTGGATTGGGTGATTTGTACCCCCTCTACACCACCACGGCGCTGGTGGTGATTGAGCTCTTTTGCCCTAGTGGCCTAATAGAAACACATTCAGCTGGAGCATTTTGCTCCATTCATGCGTATTTTTGACCAATGAATCAGGTTCGAAAATACTCCGATGAGGTTCAGCTGTTCCTTCGGGCAGCAGAAATATGGCACTATGTACTGGTGGACCGAGGCACAACTTAATAGGTAGCCGCATCGCCCTATGACGATGGATGCCAGACCACTATGGCCGGTGAAACAGCGGGTTGAACTTCGGGATGTCCTCATCACTATCTGTATCTTTGAGCACAGGATAAATGTTTGAGAGGGGTTTCGGTGTCAACTTCCATTCCTTGCATTGTTTCTCCATGATTGATCCTACGTCTATTTGCCCTACGATATGTCTTTTCCAGCCGTCTTCCATTTATCCCTTCCAGCGTTGTAAGTACTTAGGGACGATACGGCCAGCCATCAGTAACTAATCAGGCGCTGCCCATTTTATTTAGCTGGATCAGCCTATAGCCAACATTTTATGACTCGTGGCATGATCCACTGGACTATTTTGCCAGGGAGCCCTGGGGTAGTAGATAAGAAACATGTTCGCTGCTGAATATTTAACTCAGCTCTGTTTCCATTTTTTCTCAAAAGTGATTAACGGGAAGTCTTCCTATGCAAAGCACAGGAGAATGCCTAGTGGAATTAGACCCGTGATATCTACTATGTTATGTTGGGTGCAGGTGGCAGACACCCTCCAACCCAAAAAAAAAAAAAATATCAAGAACAATAGCAGAGCAATCTATTGTTCTTAAAAGGCTTTTCTTAAGAACGCTAGCATCCTTTTTCTATTCTTGTCTCTCTCACTTCTTTCAACAGAACACTTTACTTTCGGTGATTTTGAACGGACCTGTGACCTGTGAACCTAGCAAATAATGCAGTTGGAGAACGGGATCGACTGGCATTCTCGGCAGTTCTATCGCCTATATATATACATAACCTCTGGTGATATCCGCCGATATCTCGATCAACGTCACTTCACGCAAGTTCCATCCAATTCTCCGCAGGTTAAACAACTCCAGTAACGCCAGAAAACAAGAAAAGCTTGAAGGAGGAAAATATCGAAAACACCCGAAAACCCATAATACCAACTGGTGGGCCATCCGTCCGACAACGCCCGGGGCGACCCTAGACAAAAAAGACAAAGATATGTGGAGTTGAAATGTCGTGTATGAGTTGGGTATGTTCATGGAGTCAGTTAATCTTCAAATCGTTATATACATGTTCACGTCAGCTGATATAATTAATATACAAACTCCTGTGGTTTGGTCGTTGATCATTTTTTCACGTTCCAAAAAAAAGGAAAAAAGAAAGAAAAAATCACGCTGATATCGGCTATAATTCACATTAGCAATGCAACCGTGGAGCAAGTTTCTCAACCACTGGAACGGTGTCGATGAAGGTGTGGGCGAATTGAACGAATCGATAAACATCGGCGAAGTTGGACATGAGCCCAAGCGAGATGCGGATACCCCCGCCAGAGGGTAGTCCCATATCGTCCAAGAAGTCGTCCCAGGCTTTCTTGTGACCACTATGCATCTCCATTTCTGCCTCGCCATTGAACGCGTTGACAAGAACCTTCTGGGTGAGACGGAGGGCAGCTTCTCCGGCACCAGGATTGCAGAAGCAGCCCGTGCGCAAGGAAATATTAACAGCAGAAGAAAGTTTCTCGACGATACGCTCATCGACCACTTCACCCGCGGGTGTTATGAAATTGAATGTTATGGTTCCGCCACGTCGATGTGTGTTGGGCGCTCCGTAGAGCCTGACGACCGCAACACCGTTAGAGTGGCGGAGGGCAAGCATCTCTTTTATCACCCAATCTGTTAAACACACAACACGCTCATGGATAGTCTCCATTCCAATTCTCGCTAGATGGTTGAGGCCGATGTGCACGGCTGGGAGGTTCAGGTAGTTGATTGTACCATCCTCAAAAGCTTCGTGGCCCTCCAAGAGGACGTGCCCGTCGGCCTGAACAGAGCTACCCCAGACAGTGCCGCCAGCAAACCATGGCCTTTTCAAATGTGCCAATGCCTCCCTGCGAGCAATTAGACACCCCGCACCGGTTGGATATCCAAACATCTTGTAGAAGGATACGGGTACAAAATCAGGATGCCAGCGAGAGAGGTCCAAGCGGTTAGTCGGAACAAAAGCAGCAGCATCGAGCATAACATGGCACCCCTGTTCGTGGGCCTTGTCAATCCACTCGAGTGGATGTTGGATACCTGAGAAGTTTGACTGGGCAGGATAGATAAATAGGCGGGAATTGCTAATTTTCTCATCTTTGGGAAGAAGGGCGTTTTCGACCACTGACTCGTCCGCGCGCAGCTCATCCGACGACACTGGAATATATGAGATGGTGGCACCTTTGGAGCGAGCATATTCACGAATCCCATGCGCAGAATTATGGTTGTCCCATAGCAATATGACTTCTGCACCTGGGCAGAAGGGATATGATTCACCCACCAATTTCATAGCGGCAGATGCGTTATGTGTGAAGACAACGGCATACTCGTCAGGGGATGCATTGAAGAAAGATAGGACTCGTGCTCGAGCCTGCTCGTCCAGCTCCGTGATGGCGCTAGAAGTTGGGTTGAGGGAGTGCGGATTCCCAAAAATATTGCGGGCGAGGAGCTCATGATGTGCTCGCAGCTGAGAGTCTGCATAAAGTCCTCCACCTGTATAGTCCAAATAGATGTGGCCCTCTCCGTCAAGAGTGGGATAATCTGTTGCACGCAGGTGATCTATTTTGGAAGTGTCGTCGAATGTTGAATTTGATTTTCGGAAGAGACGTTCTGCCTTTTCGAGGGATTTTTGTTTTTTCTTCTTTATCAGAGTCTTGAACCTCTTCTTCGGAGATAGCCTGGGGGCCGATGGTAAAGAGTGAGAAGTAGGAGCCAGGATCTTCTTCGCCCGCCTTCGGACCACATCGCCCAACTCGTTCGTATGACTGGCAACAATGCTGGTACAAGAACCCATATCTAGGAACTATGAACGAGGATGAGGTATGGAAATAGTGAGGTGGAAGAAAAGCGAAAAAAAATTCAAGGAAATTTTTTTTTTTCAGGAGATGAATCGGCTTGACATTTAATATGTTTATCAAGCTGACGTGCTTACAGCTCGGAACCCCGGATAATTCTTAAGAAACATACCAGAAATGACAGTTCCCTGCGTCTATACATCCGTCTTTATAGAATCCACGGCCAGCAGACACCACCCACAAAACTTAAACGCAAGGATGATTGTCATGCACATCAGTCCAACCTGTCCTCACAGGCCAGCGGTCACTGGGTCTTCTGGTTGGGTAATTCCCAGATAAACTCAACGAAGCTTACCTTGACCATACTACCACCCCGTAAAATACACCCCTCCCATGCACACCGCAGGTTTATTGACCATTGATTGATTCGCCGCTTGCATTGGTGGTGCTGCGTTCTCCATCCCGCATTACCGTAGTTGCATCATTCCGTGTCCTCCACCCCCTTCAACGGAGGGGTAGTGCGGAATTGTCGATTGCGTGTGAAAATCCCCTCCAATTGATTCAGTGCTAAGCGACTCGAAACCCTTGCCCTCTCTTATGCGCCGCTACAATCCTGGAATACCACTACCGGGCAGGTGCAGTCCCTGGCTCTGTTTTGGGTTCATTGTCATCTCATCCTAGCACCTGGCCTGGTCATCGCACAAATGCTAGAGGACGAAATTGCCACGAACAGGAATGCCTGGCCCATTCTCCCGCGAGAGGGATGTTCATTAGCCCTGGAGGTCGAAGGGTTGAGCCTTGAGGCTCGTTACTAGAATCGACCTAAACAACTTAAGCTAGTTAGCTCTCGTTAGCTTAGGTGGTTCGCCCCGGAAGATCATTCCGGCTTCCCATGTTTTCACCTGTGCAGCTGCGGCCTGCACTGGTCATGAACCACAATGTGTCATCAGTTCGATCGTCCTGTAGTTATGCTGCGGACAGCTGTTGGAAGGTGGGACTGACCGACCATAGGAGTGACTACCTACCGACACACATTACTCCGTGCATCAGCAACAGTGGCGAGCAGTCCCGCGTGCTAGAGGCTTGGCAAGCAATTTTGGCGGAGACATCGAGTAATTTGCTTCCAGTGACCAGGCCGGCTTGCTCATGGTAATATTCAAGTTTAGCAATCTCATCTCAATTTTCACCGATTCTCACCGGAACCAAAATCTTGACAATATGCTACTCCGTGATGACAAATATCACTCTCATGCCATTCTGCCCCATTGATAAAACCCGATGCGATGAAATAAAGCCGTGGAAATGGCTTACTTTAAGTGAATGATAGTGATGTATAACCTATTTCCAACCCGCAGGCCTGTTCCTTTAGAATCCATGAAAGGGTTGAAAACCGCTTTTGAACCCTGTTAACCATAGCAAAACTTAAAAGCAAATTGAACGTGTTATGCTAGCTAGCGACCTCGTTAGCTTCGATTCTTTTATGACGTGGGAAATTTCGGAACGATTTTCTGGAAATCTTCAACTATAATGAAGTCATTTAATTATTTTATTTTATTTTTTGCCCGTAATCTATTATTTTGCTTTTCTGGTTGGGCAGATCGTGAAGCCGCAGTTTATATATATTCAGTTCCTTAGGAACCTTCAAACTCTGGATACATCCCTGAAAGGCAATCTCTCTTCAGCACCACACTTACAATACAGCAATGTTCAAAGTGAGACAATGAGTAACTTCTCATTCAGTTTTGTTTGGCACTGTTATGCGCATTTCAATCTAACAACTACTGTCTAATAATTACTAAGAAGAATTTTAAATTGAAGATATGTAACTTTTATGAATGCAAAGTTAACAACACACGGTTAAACATCGCTTAAAATCACACGGTCAGGCTTCAAGCAACTAGCTGAAAACTCAAATATTGAGTACTAGTAAATTAAACTCGCTAAATGCTAGTAATTTTGGACACGTTCAAATATAATTCTTTTTAACTGTTACTATTCGAAGTAGAAGGCGTTGATGCAAACGATTGTGGAGCATCAAATTAGAGCCGATAGCTTTACCTAGCTCTCCTCCTGCCTAAGTTACCAGTACTATAGGATGGGGAAGATTTGACGTCTCGTAATATTTCTGGCCAGTGCACACGGGCAGGAATTGGGCATGGTTTTTGTTGCTTTTTTTTTTCTCTTCTGCTCAATCTACATCTCGTATTCGATGAGTTGGTGACTGACATGGGTACTAGTACTCGCATGTCCTGGCCATCTACAGCGCTGTACATGCAATTAGCATACTGGCAAACAGCAAATAACAACCCATATCGAACATGCAAGCCAGGTGCATCTCTTTTTTGGGGCTTGCCCACCGCTCCCTTTCCCCTCATCTACTCCATCCGCATGCTACATGCTGGCCCTGCTAGGCCCGCCTAGCCCGCTGCGCATTGATCCACATCCCACACACAGCCATCCCCGAGTTTCGCTCAACCATGGCCTTGGAATCAAGATCGAGGAGATCCTGCTTGTCATAAGTGGCTGAACATTGGTCAAAAACTCAGCTTCGTTCACCATCAAAATGGGGGTGTTAGCGCAACTAGTGACCTAAAACTATCCGGGCCGACCAACAGCACAGATCAATCAGCGTTTGAATTCCAGCAACCTTTTCCTCTTGATTACGTTTTCATCCGTCTACCGAAACTAAACCCCACCATGGCTGTCCAGTGAGGATTGAGATATCACACGTGGGAACGTCGTCTTTTATTTATTTTTTTTTGATGAGTGCGGCTGTGGGAATCTGTGATCGACCATCACGACCCTGCCAAGGAATAATTCTGCTGAGGTCGGTTTGTCTGGATGCTTGGGAAGAGAGAAGTCCCCCGCTTGGGTTGACATCTTCCAACTGAAAACCTTTGGTTAGGAGTCTGGTAGGAGTCGTAGTGTGGAAAGCAGATGATTATTTCGGCACCCCGCCTTTCTTAACCTGCGGCTTCTTGTGTTGTTAAGCAATTGGCTTGCCCTCATCCGCCGCTGATGTGTTTGATCTCTTCAAACCGCTGTTCCGATCTCCTCAGGGTTGATCGGCACTCGGGAAGCAGGGGGCAAACTCCCCTTCCATGAACTAAGAGGATCAAATGTGAAATTCCTGTCATGAGGTACAGCCTGGGATGGTTGAAAATGTGAAGGCTGCGGTTTAATCCAGCTGAAGTGGAGGCAGTGTCGAACTCCCATGTTGATGACCATGTATCTTCACATCCGGATATTTTTAATCCCCCAGCCGTCCGAGTGACCAGCTAATTCGAAGGCATCCAAGCCTCCTTCTCTATGTCAATGTACAGGTACATGTACATAGGTTACATATACAAACCTGATACCGAATGCAGTGGCTCGTCACGCTACCCATTTTATGAGCTACTATCCTAGCTCGATGGCCACGAAGACACCAAAGACCAACCCACGAAGGGAAAAGGGTCCAGATCTTCGGTGACATATCTCAATCTCTACTCGCAGATCATGGCTACGTTGTCAGCCACTCGCGCCATGGCCGTTGTTGTGTACAGGTTGAACCACGGTTCATCCATTTTCTGCCAAAATCTCTTTCGTTACTTTTCTTTCTTTCTATTTTAATTTTACGCTGCTTCGAATAAAAGGTTGGACAGGCCACAAGAATGGAATCAATATTTTATTTCGTGTCTGTTCTATTGAATCCCTCAATCATCCCTTACTTCCCGTGACCGTCGGTACAATGCATTATGGTTCCTATTCCAGTAAGTCCCTTTGCCTTGCCATTTATTTTATAGACCTTCCCGTCCGCTCTATCGCTTTATAGTTCCAACCGTTGGGCGATATTTGCCAAAGGTGGTGAACAATAAGGACAGGACGACATACCCGTAGATCTATGTTATCTGGCCTGGCCCGAGCTTTTTTCGACCCGAGTTTAGTTCAAAGCACACATGGACACACCCTAATCCAAACAACGCACGCTGTTGGGTGTTCCTCATTTGGTTCTTTTGAACTTCCTGGGTCCCTGAATAAGGATGCATAAATAGGAGAATTAAATGCATGAACAGGAGAAGTTGATGTAGCAGATAAAGCGAATGAACGTTCGTCCTGCGGCGTATTGACGTACATAGCTGGGTCCTCCAGGCAAAAATCTCAAAAATAACAAGTAAAATCCCTTGAAGAACCTGCTGCATTCCACTAATCGCAGTTGACCCGCTAACCGGGACGTTTCATTGAAAAAAGGGATCATCTTTGCAACCACATCTTGCTACAGAGTACATAATTGGTATTGATGTGCCCACAGCGCAGCTGTCCTCTCCTCACCTGAGGGAGCCCGTTTTTGTTGTTTTCTTTTCTTTTTGTTATGCCTCTCCCAAAAAAAAAAAAATGAAAGACGTAGATTCAAACCACCGCCATTATCCATTGAAATCCATTTCGTTATTGAGCCAAAAGATCGACCCACTTTTGCTGGTGACTTATTCTTTGTCCTGTACCTCTAAATCAGAATTCCCAAGCAAAAAAAGGTCAATTCTCACCAAGCATCACACAGAAAAAACCGTTTCCAGTCATACAGGTCATACACGGTTATTGATGTGTGACCAGGGTAATTCCTTTTGCCAGGATTACCCTTGCATGTCTTGCACTGGCCGCTCATTCATTATTGGTTTCGAAGCTTTCACTTTTTGAGTCTTATGAACACAACCGAGAAGCTGTGGGCTGCGAGCAAGGTATCTAGATGGGACCGGTGACATAAGCGAGTGAACGACGAACAAGAAACAAAGATCAAGATCCAAAAAAAACACCTGACCAAAAGCAGAAAACGATCGGGATTTGGTTTGGAGATCGATCCTGTTTAATAGTCCCGCCGCTGCTCGCAGGTGACTTTCAAAGGCTCATGGATGAGAGAATTAAAGAGAATTAAAGAGAATTAAAGAGGAGTAAGGAAGAGAATTCATATAGTGGCGGGAGAGGGATGGAGTTCGCTGGGTAACGAACGGTTCACCTCCTTGAAGCTAGCATGGTCGACTTAGGAAGCTAAAAGTTGTGAGGTCTGGATGCATGACGGGTGCCTCGCAAGCTTTAAAACCGTGAACCAACTGTGGCCAACTGTGGCCAATTGTGCGTCTTTATTGAAATAGCTTGCGCACGCGCACACCCCGCACAAAGCACCATCATTTGACGTCGTGTACGGCGGCTCCGAATCTGTGGTTTTTTGCCACATTCTCATTGCTCAGAAAATCGGAAACAGTCCGTACACTAAATCCATAGTTTGACTTTGTTTTCCCAATTATCAGGAGAAGCTGGCAAAGATGGAGGAGTCAGGATTTCCAACCACTTAGGATGCTAAGGATGAAGGCTGCCAACGCCAGGCCTTGATTCCAAGTAGTTCCCCCACTTGAGCAAAATACCCCTCCGAAACAGGAAGGATACATCGTATGGAGCCTGGCGGAGCCTGGCGGAGCCTGTAAGCAGTCACCAGTCACATTCCCACCCGAAGCCGGCGCTGGCTTACCCCATCTGGCTTGCGGCTTGGAGCTGCTGGGGATGTGGGCTAGCCAGACATGTGAGGCCCCGTTCCGCAATAGCACAGGCCCTTAAGGCATACACAGACTGACAGGGAGTGCAGTAGTATGCTTGGTAGATGCGTTGGCGCAAACTACCTGGCGGTATCGAGACGATACGATCCATGCCATCGCGGGGAAGAAGGTTCAGAAAAGGTTATTTGTGGCTTGGGTGGGGAAAAGATAATGTCAGCGGGCCGGATTCCTGGATAATCCGTGCCGAGATAAATGCGGTGAGAAAATCACATGATTGTAAAACCCTAATGCCATTATATAAGCAGAATCAGGGTCGAACTATTCCATATTTGATCTAGCGGAATCGGTATCGTCAAATACACATCGAATACGGACCAGAGGTGTATTCTGGCGGAATTTCCTCCACAATGGCGGGTATTTGCGGTACGGGGGCGTTTGGCGAATCGAGCCGCATCGCCAAAACATTGATCTCTCCGCATGGAAGTCGATTCCTCTTGAGGATACTTCATTCGAATTCGATCGGTAAATGCGCAGAGGGAGTTAGCTCAGGCGTCCACGGGTTAATAGGATTAATTGAACTCGAAGTTATGCCAGCCAAACAAGAAACAGGCAACTCGATACTGCCTTTTTTTCCGGGCCGACAAACACCCAAACACTGCCACATCTACCGAGGCATCTCCAACTCGTGCCTTTGAACAACCTCCAATAAATATCCGCGTCCTGGGCTTCCCACCTCCATCGTCCTCTATCACATACCTGTCTCCCGAAATCCTCTGTATGATCTTTGTACAATATTTACTTGATTAATCCGTCCAGAAAGTTATCTTGCCATCCCAAAATCCTCCTCAAAATGGCTTCGCCTCGTGAGTTCCCCGAAAATCACATGCAAGTTTCGCCTGTCAAAGAGATGACTTCTCTGCTAACCGCTTTATTTTTGCTTGCCGGCAGAACAACTTCGCACCACGGCAACCGATCTTCTGGGGATCAAGCATCCGGTCCTCTTGGCTGGTATGAACGTTGCTGCCGGTCCCAAACTCGCTGCCGCAGTCACAAATGCCGGAGGTCTCGGTGTCATCGGAGGTGTTGGCTACACTCCGGATATGTTGCGAGAGCAGATTGCCGAGCTGAAGAGATACTTGAATGATAAAAATGCTCCTTTCGGTGTTGATCTATTGCTTCCTCAGGTTGGAGGAAATGCGCGAAAGACCAAGTGTGTAATCCTGCTACCTCTCAAATCAGCACAGGCTGCCCAAAGATATTTATGATTCCTAGACACGCACACAAATATATATAAGCATACTAATTTGATCAATCTAAATATAGCTACGATTATACCAAGGGCAAGCTCGGTGAGCTGATCGATATCATCATCGAGAGTGGAGCGCGCCTGTTTGTCTGCGCTATCGGTGTCCCACCCAAGGCTGTCGTCGAGAAGCTCCATGCCAATGGAGTTCTCTACATGAACATGATCGGCCACCCCAAGCACGTCCAGAAAGCCATCGACATCGGCGCAGATTTGATTTGCGCTCAAGGTGGCGAGGGCGGTGGACATACGGGAGATGTCCCTACCTCCATCCTTATCCCCACCGTTGCCAAGCTCTGCGCAAAACACATTAGCCCTTTCACCAAACAACCAGTCCAGTGCATTGCCGCCGGAGGCATCTTCAGTGGCCAATCTGTGGCCTCAGCTCTGATGCTTGGCGCTTCTGCCGTCTGGGTTGGTACCCGTTTCATCCTTGCAGATGAGGCTGGTGCCCCCGAATCTCACCAAGAGGCTGTCCGCACCTCCGGATTTGATGATAATATCCGCACCGTCATTTTCACTGTATGCCATCCCTCCCCCTCAACCCGTCCTCCTTGCGTTATTTTCGTTTCCTAGGTGCATTTCGCCTAGGGATATTTTTCCAGCTTCCTATTTTGCTAATCCATCGTCCTTTTGTGATGTTTACAGGGACGACCCTTGCGCGTTCGCAACAACGCCTATATCCAGAACTGGGAAGAAAACCGCGCCGAAGAAATTAAGGAGCTCACTAGCAAGGGTATTATCCCCGTTGAGCATGACTTTGAAAACCTCCCCGACGATACCGATGACGACATGATTGAGAACGCCCGTCCGTTCCTCATGGGTAAGGTTGCTGCCGTCGTTAACGAGAAGAAGCCTGCCAAGGCTATTGTTGATGAGCTTGTTGGGGATGCTGTGAAATGGCTGCAGAAGGGAAACAAGATGATTGCTAAGTTGTAGATATCCCTATTTTGGTGTTCTAGGTTTACATGTTATTTGTTGTTAATATCCCCTTCTTGGCTCTCCATTCATTTCCTTTTTTCTCTGTTTTTTATTTCTACTTTTATCTTTTACCGATTTTCAATTTGTTCAGAGAATGGCCTGAGACAAGGAAAGAATACGGGGTGGCTGGCGAGATGTTTCAATGTTTTGCAATGTTCAGCCCTGCGAACGGGTGAGAGAATTGAGCTTCAGAAGTTCTGTCATATGTCAACTTGATGATAGTTGTGTGTTCTTCTGTGACCAGATACCTATGTGTCTTCAGCCGGCGTGTTGCACCGTAATTCAGTGACCCCATTCCATTGAATATTTGTATTGTTTTATAGTCCGAGAACCCCACCACATTTCTCCTACCTATACCCTACCTTTCCCCTCCTCTCAGCTTTTGATGAAAATCATCTGAGTGGCAGATATCTAACTTTACACCTAGGGGAAACTATATCGATGTTCTCCTGTGACTGATATTTTGAAATTTTGAAGGAAGTGGAGACAGTGGAGACAGACACACCTTTTCTCCCCTCACTCTGTCTACTCATTTTCTCCTTTCTTTTTCATCCAACTCTCCAATGCCCCTTGGTCGCAGCCAACATTCTCAATACGATGGTCCGATCCAATCAGTACAGCCTTCACAGCAAACCCTCCAGCACTCTTTGCGGCACCCTCTGTTTCGAGCCCACGGTTGAACATAATTCAGGCACCGTTGCCCCCGATTTTAGCCAGAGAATATTTTTTTCGGTACAGCTCCAATGCTAACATCATGTGCACTCCATTGAACCACATTCCCAATTTGGCATCTGGCTAATTTCCACATTCATCAGGCCTCCCCCACGTAGCTCGCTTCCAGTTGAATGGTTCCAAAAGCCTGGACGGAAATTCCTTCGGCGTGGGGTTTAAAATACCATTACATATCTCGCTTCTCTTCATACTTCTCACGACCCAACCCTTGAGCCAACCCTAATCGTAACCCTAATTTGACAACACCCCCTAATCTGGCGTTGGCAGTTGGAGATTTCGTTGCATTAACACGTGGTTGTACCTACACGCCGGGTCGCCTTTTTGATATAACGGTGCTTAACCGTTTAACCCCATGTTCTGGGCGATGTGGAGTAAAAAGAGTGCTGCTTCAAACGTTGGTTTGCAAAAGAGTTTGGGAGATCGTGGGGTGCTAGTTCAACCGAATGCCACCCCAAGGTGCGAAAGCAATAGCTTTCCCTTCTTCCGAGATCTCTTCACCAAAATTCCCTGTTCACTACACCCCCTATTCACTCTATATAAACATGGAATCCATTCCCCATCATAGTTTGACTCCAGATTAGTCAAGCTCTCGCTAGTGTTGCTGAGGAACGAAAAGAAAAAGGAATACTTTCAATCTTATATCTCGATTATGAAGCTTCTGTGCCCCACTATTTCTCTTGGGTTGTTTGGGATTGCGGTACAATGCGCTGCAGTAACAGTAGGTCCATATACCTAAACCCCATAGTCATAGATAGGATATGCTGATTGTGCGTTTTAATTTTTAATTTTTACTTTTTTTTTATTTTTTAGAACACAAAGAGCCAGGAGGGTACATTAGACATCATTCGTGGACTAAAGCAGGATCCTGAGGGATTCACCGATATCGGCGCAGACGGAATCGCACGATCCCTCGATGGACAAGGGAACGTTATTGATTTCAGAAGACTGACCAACGCTCAGTTGCTCAAACTTGCACAAACGACGTCTGTGGATGCTGAAGAACTCGAGCACAACATCGCAGCTTGGCAGGATGCCGATGGTTGGAAAGTGCCCCTCACCCAGGCTTTGAATCCCCCTAATAAAGCGGAGGACATAAACAATCATGGGAGCATGGCAAAGAGTATTGATACGCGACCGGCTGCCATGGCAGCCATGCAATTGAGGGCCGATATTTGGTGCTACGCAATAACCTGCACGACGAATATAGAGTGCAGAAGAATTCACTGTACTGGTTGTTCTACACGGCCTTACCAACGCAGGTACTGCTACCCGTGAGTGCCTAGTGAAGCAAGAGAGCCGTTGCTGGAAGGGCCGTCTTGCTGCAATTGGCTGTCCGGTGGAGTGGATATACAGTAAATCAGGCGAAGCAGGGACAAAAATGAGGAGCACTCCTTTTCAGTCTAGGTTTTCTCGGGTTCTCTCCGCATCTAGGAAGAAAGTTAAAGAATATTGGTACTTCTTTGTATTTACTTTAGCAATGTTCTTATATTAGTATATATATCAGATCTCTCAGATGTCAAAAAATAACAGTTATTATTTTATAAAGTTTGAAATACATAAAATAAAAGTTTCTTCCTCTATATAATAACAAATTTTTGTTCTGTAGGGCTGTCCGGATTACCCCGAGCAAATTAACCAAACGATAGAGCAACATATAAAATCTAGTTACCCTTGCCAGGACGAAACGGGGATAGAAGTTAAGTACTATTACTGCTTTCAATGTAGAATACAAGGATTCAGTCAGGAGAGGAAAGACTAAGCGATTCCCTTCAGCCAGTTTTTACAAATTAAAGAATATAGGCAGGCAGGCAGGCAGGTAGGCAGGCAGGCAGGCAGGTAAGTACTAGTGCTAGTACTAGTGTCTATGAAGGATGACGGGACGAATCAGTTAAACTTTATAGAATTAACCTTAACTGGGTGTCATCACCCTCCCCCGTTCCTATTAAAACATATCTGTTTGTGTTTAAGCGGAAAGGCCTCTTTTCTCGCTTTCTGAGAAGAATATAATCATGCGCCAGAGTTTCTTGACCAGGATTTCCGCTTCCTCGTCCAGAGCCTGGGTTGTGAGAAAGTATATCATTAGCATTGCAAGAATTTTGTCACAAGAGAATAATGAAACTTTGGCACTAAGGGAGTAGAAAAGAAAAGGAGGGGAGAGGGGATTCTTACCTCTTCCAACAGTTCGACTAGCTCCTGAGGATGCCCTCGTTTCCGAATATGCTCCTCAACCACGTCGACCAGCATCTGCTCCTGGACACCAAGGTACTCCATAATTTTCTTCTCAACAAATGGCTTAAGTTGCTCTCCCCGAACGGATTCATCCACAAACTCCCAATTAACTTCCCAGTTCCAAAGGCCATCTTTGTCCGATGGGATATCGGCAGCAAGCTGCCTTGCTGCCTGGGCGCGCTCTTCATCCGTAAGACCGGCCGACTCAGCCGCTGTATCAAATTTAATAGACGTAAGTGGCCGTCTCGTGGCGGCTCCCGTATCCTCCTCATCCTCAAGGAGGCCCTCGACTTCTGCCACAGTTCTCCGCGCCGTAGCTTGGGCCTTCTGTGCTGCCGCACCGAGAGACAGCTTAAAGCGTTGTGGCTCTCTTGGGGCTTGGGTCCGGGATTCCAACTCTTCGGCCTGCCGGGCAAGGAAGTCATCCGCCATGCCACGAGCTTGTTCTTCTTGTTGCTGGGTCCGGGCATTCTCACGCTCTTCCGCAACACGATCCGCTTCATCCATGCTCACCTCTCTATTTCTAAATGCAGCTCTATTTCGTATCCAGACGCCACGATCAGCGTAGTACTCTTCGACTTTTCGGCTAGCTTCGAGGTCATCATTCCATTCTCGCAGGCGTTTAGCCATAATTTGCTTTTCCTCCTCTAGGCGGATATCTTCTTCCTTGTCACGATTTTTCTCTCGCTCTACGGCTGCTGTTCTGCTGCGTTCCCGATTCAGCCACCGCCTTTCTTGATCTAAATATTGCTTTTCCGCTTCAACAGCTTTCTTTTCCTTACGCCTTCGTTCAAGCTCTTCATCGCTTGCATCAGTATCCTCGTCTTCATTGGCACCATTTATTCCACTCCCGTTCACAAATGATACTCCCTTCTGGTAGTCCCTTGGAATTTGATGACCAAATCCTTTCGGAGCCGAAGGCGCCTTTGGAACACCCTTGTCCCTGGGTCCTAGAGGGATGCCATTCGCACCTCCTGCAGGGCCACTTGGTGCAGTTGGGGGAGGCGAAGCTAATCTGTTTGGCCTGGGAGCACTCGCCCTAGCCCTTTCTAAAGACTCGAGTTCTTCCTCTCTCTTCAGTCTTTCAAGGTCGCGACGGTTGCTTCTTTCACGGAAGGCTGCGATTTCTTTTGCAACGGTTTCTCTCATTTCAGCAGGGATATCTGACAACTCATCCTCAACGTTAATAGGAATCGTAACAATTTCAGCAGGGTTCCCATCCTTCTGTCCGTCTACATCTTTCATTGGCGTATCGCCCTCGCCGTCAACCGCGTTTGAAGTGTCGTCCGGTTTTGCGGGGGCTGGTGGGTTGGTAATCTCGGAAAGGACCTTTGCTAGAGCTGTTTTGGCCCCATCCAACCGTGCTTGCTCGGCTTCGGGGTCTCGCTGGGTAGTGGACTCAAACTGCTCGAGGTATTTGAGAGAGCTGTCGTCGAAAACCACCTATTAAACGTTAGTTATTTCAATATAATAGTAATAGAAGCAGCTTTAAAACCATACCAGTAACTTGCTCTTTTCAACCTCTTCCTCATCCCCTTCGTCCTCTCTCACTGGAGTCGGCTTCTTCACGGGCACTTCAATATCCTTTAGCACTTCCACTGCAGTGCTTAGGCTTTCAGGGTCCTCGTACTCTGCAAAGCCAAACGTGCATGGTTTATCATCAGCATCCGTAGCGCGAATCCAGCGCTTCAAATTTCCCGCAGTCCGAAGTATCCGTTCTATGGCTTCGTCACTGCTAACTCCCTCCGTTATGCCACCAACAAATATAGTCCGCACAACCTCCTCTTTCGTAGGCGGTTGCAGTTGTAACATAGCGTCGCGTAAATTCTGGCGCTGTGACTCCAAGGAGTGTTGCCCCTGGCCGCCGCGTCTCCCGCCAGACTCTCCTCCACGTTCCCGGCCACTTTCCACAGGAGCAGCTGATTTAGATGCGCCGGAGGTACCAAGGCGGATAACGGGGGCGGAGAAATTAATATTCGGCATGTTTGCGGGGGGTTGAAAGTTCGGAGGGAATCCACCTGGTCGGCCAGGTTGCTGCGTATTCGACTGCTGCATGGCAGGTGGAGGACCGGTCCCAGGTGCTGACAATCCTGGAGGAGGCGCTGGAGATTGCAGTCAATGTACACGTACGGTATGAGGAGTGGGGTAGAAGGGGGTTTTCATACGCATGCCCGACGGTACTCCAGGGAACGCAGTAAACTCCGGCGGTCTACCAAACGGTGCTTGTGCTAAGAAATTTATCAGCATCAGTTGAAATCCGCGAAGCTCTAAGAAGACATGAGCATGCGTGCTAGAGTGGAGACTTACTCTGGTATGGGTTGTACATCTTGTGCTGAAGAGGTTCTCGACAAACTGATAGCTTTTCACAGGTGCAGGCGCAGGCTCGGGGCTCAAAACTTTGCGATTCTGAGGGTCGGATAGGAAGAAAAAGTAGCTTTGAGGAACGACAAAGTCTACCTAGAGCGGTCAATAGCAGTCAAGCGGGACTACTGTAACGTACAATGAGATGCGCGAGTTCCTTCAAACGTTGCTGTCTCCAAATTCGGCTTTTTTGAGTTTGTTCGAAGAGAAGTTTGGTTGGTCTGTGCTGGTGCATCGGATCACGTGGTTTTGCACCATCGCGCCCAAGCACCAAACATGGGACACAGTTACGCTGTACGATTGTTAACTAGTCAAAGAAAACTACGCTGTGCTTGATGTTTCTTGAGCCCTAACCCTCTCACTGGTTAATCCCCTCATCCCAACCACCACCAAGAGTTGGTGAGGGGTAGTTAACCTTTAGTCAGTAGAGGTGAGTGGTGAGAGTGGATCAACAATATTGTCTAACTATGGGTGTATTTTAGATGGTGATAGTGCCTTGGCAGAGCTGAATCCTCTGGGCCGTGCAATTGTAACCTGGGAACATCATCGTGCGTGATTGATCTGGATGGACCTTTCTGCCTCATGGAATATCTTGCTCTGTGAGTGCCTGCGCTGCTGGCTAATCGAGCTTTGTTGTGATAGTGATCGTTGATTGGCAATGGTGAGATTTTCCTACAATATTCGGCTTGCGGCTTGCCTCCACAGGAGTCAAATTTCTTGGACGACCACTTATTTCACCTCGTTATGCAGATCCTTTAAATTAATACCAGACAAGCTCGTCTGGGTATTCACCAGCGTTGATAAGCCATTGTCACGATCAAGAATGGCATGTCGTTTAAGCACCGATTTGGCGTATGGATGGTCATGTCAGTCAGCAGAAGCCGGCAGCTACAGTAACTTCCAGCCAGCTTCACACAACAGACTCTCGACGTTAGATCAAGCTTCTTCGGTTGTTTACCTGTTTGATACCTCGTCTTAAACATGCCTTTCTAGCCTAGCGTCTACGGAGTATTGAGTATGACTATGCCTTCCTGAACTCCTCCATCCCAAATTTCGAGAGCAAGTTGCTGATCAGGTTCTCGTTGAACGTGGTAAGAAATGGAGAATCCTTCAACATTGTTTGAACTTGACAAGACGTACAGTACATACATAGAGTTTAGCTCCTTGTCTAAGAATCTTGCAATCCTTTGACAATGTAATTACTTCATCACTCGCATAGATGCAAGTATATGCTAATCATTGAAAGTGATTTAGAAGAATATCTAGTTGATAGACTCTGAGAGTGAGTGGATATAGATATTAACCGAGGTGATGAGCACTGTTGTCCGGGACGGCGGGTGCTTGGTACCGTGGTTTGAATGTGTAAGGCGATCCTAACTATGATGAGGGCTAATTTTCCAAAACCAAGTTCAACAAGGTGCCCATCGCTGATATGCTTCCGGCAGCAAGGTAGGAAATGCTGACAATGCGATAATGCGCTAAATTTGAAGTTCGAAACGCCGATCCGTTTGCAAACAAATGAAGCATGTTTCAGACCAAGCTAATATTAGGCGAATTGAAAAAGATGATAGAGTGAGTCGGTACTAGCAGTTATGCAAGGTTAAACGGATCATGAATCCTACACCCACAGATCAAATAGGGTTCCACGCCTCCAGCGCAGAGAGATATTGAGTTGTGGAAATCCAACTCGATAGTTCCAAAAATACGAAATGCAAAACTATGCAAGCCAGTGCCTATTCAGCTAAGCGCAATCGAGTTGCGCTTTTATCTCCTGGCTGACTTCTATCGCTTGGCCCCTTGATTATTTCCATTTGGTCGATCGGCCAATCGAACTTTGGCGCGCTATAAGGAGCGACACGACATACGAAAGTGTGGCCCCATTGGTTCCTACTAGGTTAGAAGATCTCTTGTCCTGTGCTGAGGAAATTGCGTTCCTTTGACCTGGGAATCTATGATTGGGCGCGATAACCTCCCGCGTGCGGACTAGTAGGGACAAGTCGCTAGTTGTTCTGGTTTATGCGACGGTGGTCCGAGCCCGTTTGTTGAGACTTTTATTGTATTGCCTGCAGCTCTGTGGATGGGTTGGAATGAATTTTTTCATTGAACTAGAGTCCCGCGTCTCTCGCAGTATGGCGACTGTCTTTGATCGAAAGATGCAAATTCTTTCAGCCGACTAAAAAATGTAAGCAGACGTATTGCTGTCTGCGAAGGGCCGAGCCGTTTGTCTGCAATATCCCCGCCATGACATCCCACCCTGGAAGATTATTTCGGCATGAACTTTCAAGAATCCCTGACTATTGGCTTCTGTCAGCGGCCAAATTATTTCCGCCTTTTCAAGGTTGTGGTGGGCTTTCTTTTGTGTCATCCCGCATGAGGGCTAGGTGAATGGAGCGATGCCCCTTATATTGGAGAGGGCCCCCAATTTCTCCTTATTTCCCTTGGCTCCTCCCAACCCATTCAATTTTATCTCACTCCTTTTTGCCTTCAACTAAAGGATATATCTATATCCAGTCGCTCGTTAAAGCACTTGTTGTCATTCATTCATTATTCATTCACGTCGAAGTCAGAGGGAAACACTGTGGAAGTTATTTTCTCGATCACGCCCGACAATGCGCACTCAAATTTTTGCTGCTGCCGCATTACTTGCGAGCAGCGCTGCGGCCACCAACACATGGACGCGCATCGACACTTCTCCTGCTGATAGCTTCCGCTTTCTGAGAGCCCGCCAAGGTGGAGAATCATTTAAGCCAGACCAAACCAATGGTTCTGGCGAAACCTGCGAAGATGCTTTCGGCGCTGGCTACATCCAATGTGGAACAACAGGCAAAGTTTGCTTCAATCCCAATATCGGGCAATCATGCTGCGATGGATGCATGTCACCTCTCACTATAACATATCGCGAGCGAGAATATCAGCTAACTTGTTCCACCCAGATTCCTGCCCAAGCGGTTCTGGCTGCCTCACTAATGGCTACTGCTGCCCAGATGTATGTTTTTTCCTGACATTTCGACTCACTCGCATCTCAATCAATATACTACGAGAATCATTCCCATAACAAGATTGGAACTAACCCGTTCCTTGTAGGACCTTGGGCCCAAAGCTTGTCTTGAGAAATTAGGCATGAGCAACCTGCCCCCTTTTCTTCCATCCGCCACTGCCATGCCATCTGCGTCTACCCCCGCCAACACCCCGTCAGAGACGCCGTCAGAGACGCCGTCTGAGCCTCCTGCGGACAAGACCCCATCCGAGTATCCCACATCACCTTCGGCTACTCCCTCTGCGGCTCCCACTGCCGCTACTATAACCCCGATCTACCCAACTGCCTCCCCATCTCGATCTGTCTGCACCGCAGCTAACACCGCATCTAACAACAAAATTTATCCAACGGGCACTCTCCCAAGTCAACCTCCATCGGAGAGTCCACCGGTGTACGGTAATGGGGCCATCTCAGCGGAGGTCGCCACTGGCGCCGTTGCTGTTCTCGGATTCCTCAGCTTCATTCAAAATCTGTTGTAAACCGTTTGTTATCATATAAGTACACGTCCCTTCTCTGTGTTCCTCCACCCAGGACTACGCGCTCTGCATATAGTAGGATTCCCATCAGCAAACTTGCTTGTGATGTTTGCTTTGAATATGCCCCGGGGAAATCCCCCATCTGGAATATATCATGGCTCTTATATATGGGGATTCCCCGGGGTATCAATTCTGTCCGGCCCTTTTCTGGCGCGTGGATATTCTTGGCCGCCATGGGATTTGTACTTTGTCTGATTCCGGTTTACATTTTTTTTTTTCCAACGAAATAAATCACGCTGCGGGCTCAGCAATTGGCGGATGTGCTATTGTATTTTAGATACTACTCTCTGAATCTGAATAACTATGTTTAGAGCAAACAGCAGCGCTCCAATAACAATCTAGCCAAAAACAAAAAAAAAAAAAAAAAAAAAAAAGCTGTCGAAGGTTTTCCGTAGTCCAAACTAATGATGAATTCAATTAAACGCCATGAAAAAGTTCTCCACATATCATGCATGCCATATCACCACCTCCATCGAATCAAAGTCAAGTACACTTCCATTTCGCGGAACAGAGTGGGGTGGGGGAGATTTATTATTGAGCCCTGATCCGCACAGGCCAGCCCACCTCCCCCCCAGCGGCTTTTTAAATTTGAATTGGAATCTCATTTTTTGATGATCGTAACACATTCATCGGCTTTTTCTCATCCATATCTGACCTGGTGATTAACGGGGGGGCCTGTTGTACAGTACATAAGCCCCAACTGCTAATATAACTAGTTACCACGTTCGCCAAAGACTAATAATAAGTTTTCACCCTAGATCGGAGTCTAGAAGGTGCTAGCTAGAGTGCCATTTGCTTATTGATGTTTCTTTATATAGTTAGAAAGTTGATCGACACGAATCCACTTGCTTGCTATCTGGGGACTATGAGAGATGGTCAAAAGAAACTCGAAAACGGCCGCTTATTTATATCGCTCGAAAGCAAACATATGGGTTACTGGCTCATTACTCCGTGAACCTGCAGAGAGTGTTATGAGACAAAAAAGTGAAAATGAAATCTACATGGCCCGTTCAAACAGGAGAGAATGGTAAGAACCTGGATGCTTCAGGTAACCTCGAAATAAACGAACCAGCTACGGGTACAGAGAAGGGGTTGCACAATCGCCTCACAAACGACGGCAGCAACATCGAAGTTGTCCCGGACAGCACACAATAGGAAGTCTCCTACAACCACCCAGACAACGCGCACAAGGGAGCCCACGTAGACCGCAAGGTGCCTCAAGCAATGTCGAGATAGCCAACAGACCAGCTACATACCGCAAGTTCCAAGTCTGAAAGTCCAGCGCGCTCAGCTTGATCCTTCCGCTCAACCTTCAACTCACGATCTACAATGTAACCAACGGCGCCCACTCCCCTTCCTTCGTCATGACGGATATGCATTGGGTAGATGTCTTATCCGTGCTCCCGCCACTATTTAGCATTTATCCAGTATCGAGCGCTGGCGTCCCAGAGCCTGTGAAGGGATATTGGGGGCCGGACTGTGAATTTCTGCCCAAGGGGGTGGCAGGGTTTCACTAGTATGAAGGCTCATCTTGATGTTGTAGAAAATGGAGACGTAAGACTCCCATCGAGGAGGTGGAGAATCACTCGCAGTGGGTGGAACAGACAATATAAGATGGGGGAGGCGATACCAGTTGGGCCCGTAGCACTAGGTTTTTCCACCACCACCACCACCACCACCACCAACCGCCCCGCAATGGAGTTTGTATGGAAAGGTTCCATGGGAATCCTTGATCGTTTGGACGATACGGCGCCGAGGTGTATGGGAATCTAAAACTGGAGATGCGAGATAGCAACACGATCTTGGTTGCGTGGAAGCAACGACTGGACGACCGTATGATGGGGTCGTTTACAATATTTGAGGCCGCAAAAGACCTGATTCCTATTGAGGTTATTGTTGGCTCGGGTATTGATGTTGTGATGGCAGAACGGGTCTCCGGGGTTACTTTTTTCGGTGGAATTGGGAAATAGTTTTATCGAGTTTTCTCTTCTTTCGCTTGAACTAGAAGCACCTTGTTTTGGTAAAATGGCCTGTCATCCTCGCGACAATCCCAAACCGTTGACAAAAACCTTCCACCCCGTATAATGTTTCCAGACTGCCTGTAGAATTCCGTTCCTATTTTGCCCCATTGACTCACCAAGTCTGGTCACCAAAATCATCGATTGAGAGAAATATGCCGACACTGACGCCTGATTTGCAAATCAGCGAGGAAGAGAGAAGAATATAGATGGCCTCAGGATTTAAGGCGACGCTGGGTGAAGCCCCTCAATGTCTATCGAGGCATATACATGGATAGATAATCCGTATCCCCACAAATGCTACCATCTTTGGTACATATTGGTTATATGGAGTAGATGTTCTTCACTTAGACTGAAACCGCGAAATGAGACCTCTTGCTGGCCCCCTCCTTCTCATAGTGACAGGTCAAAATTGCTTGCAAGCAGATGTGGAGCTCATTTTATTTTGCCTCAACAATGAGACAGACTTAACGGCAAGGGTGTGAAAGCACACTGATGATTCAATGCACCAAGCATGCATACAGACTGAAATATTAGCGCCCGGATAAAAAATAGTGGGACATTTCTCACAGTAATCAAGTGGATTTCTCTTGACAGCCTCCCCAGTGGACCCACCTCCATACATGCTCTGGACAGTGACCCGGGATATTTACCCGGCAAGGCAGGCCCGCAAAGGGAATTCTGAGGGAATTCTGGCGCCCTTCTTGCGATTTTATCCTGGGCGAGAGAAATTTTCATTTTCCTTCGCCCTGGTAACTTCAAGATAAAAGCGTATTCATGTTGTCTGAGGATCGCTAGTAAGACAATTCGCTGAGCCTTGGAAGTCCTTCTGTTATAACACGGTGCAGAATCAAAACATCAGCTGTCGCTCCTAGTGTATCAAGAGTCGGATGGAAGTGGGCAACATGTTTGTTAATCATCCTGCATCAGCGATTACGCTAATCAAGATTTCCTTCCTGGGCACGAAGGATCACCGCGGAACACCCGGCTCAGAGCCCAATTGCCCATGCCAACAGCACGCGGCGTAGGAATCCGCATCTATTTAAGCAGACATTGTTGCCGTTGGTGGTGAGGAAGGGAGAAGAGACTCCAAGGTTGTAACTACTGTTGTTGTGCAAGAGCTGACGGAACCAGAACCACAACCCCGCCATCATCATTGCATCATTTGTCACCCGTCCCACCGTAGCAGTCTCAGAGCCGCCGCTGCCCCACCAGAACTTTTTCTTCCTCAACCTGTTGACAACACCTTTACCCAGCGCAGAGATTGAGCGGATTCTTTCTCATTTTCATTTCCGTCTTTGCGCACTTCAATTGCTGGAGGCAGTTCAGTTTCTGCATCTCCATCCTGACCCGCACCCCGCCAACGCGTTACCTCTGTAACAACACTCACCTACAAAACATTCAGCAATGGCGAGCTTTTCAGAGGCCAGCAATCTCAATGCGTGGAAAGCTCTTCAGGAGCATTACACTACCACAGGCCGCAATATTGCTCTAAAGGACCTCTTCCAGAAGAATCCCGACCGCTTCCAGAAATTCTCCTTCTCCTTCAATAACACCGCGGACAAATCCGAGATTCTCTTCGATTTCTCCAAAAATCTTGTCACAGATGAGTCCCTCACCCTACTGATAAACCTTGCCAAAGAGGCCGGCGTGGAAAAGCTCCGTGACCAGATGTTCAATGGCGAGCCCATTAATTTCACGGAGAATCGGGCAGTGTACCACGTTGCCCTGCGCAATGTGGCCAACGAACCCATGCAGGTCAACGGGAAGAGCGTCGTGGAAGAAGTCAATTCCGTTCTGAACCATATGAAAGAGTTCTCTGAGCAGGTGAGAAGCGGCAAATGGACTGGGTATACCGGAAAGAAGATCAAGACCATCATCAATATTGGGATTGGGGGGTCGGATCTGTAAGTGCCAAAATACGGGTTTAATTGCAATCCTGTGAAAATCCCCTGCATTTAAAAGTCACACATATTCTGACACTGCTACAGAGGTCCTGTCATGGTAACGGAGGCGTTGAAGCCCTATGCTGATCGGGATCTGACTGTCCATTTTGTTTCAAACATTGATGGCACCCATGCCGCTGAAGCCCTGAGGAACTCCGACCCAGAGACTACTCTCTTCCTAATCGCTTCAAAGACATTCACCACAGCAGAAACGATCACCAATGCCAACACCGCCAAGAATTGGTTCCTGAAAACCGCAAAGGATCCTGGTCACATTGCGAAACATTTCGTGGCACTCTCCACGAACGAAGCGGAAGTCACAAAATTTGGCATCGATAAGAAGAACATGTTCGGCTTCGAATCATGGGTTGGAGGCCGATATTCCGTTTGGAGTGCAATTGGCCTGTCAATTGCTCTCTACATTGGTTTCGATAACTTCCACGAGTTTCTCGCAGGCGCTTATGCCATGGATAAACATTTCCGGGAAACCCCCCTCGAGAAGAATATACCTGTTATCGGAGGACTGCTGAGTGTCTGGTATAGTGACTTTTTCGGGTCCCAAACCCACCTGGTTTCCCCGTTTGATCAATACCTGCATCGCTTCCCCGCCTACCTTCAACAACTTTCCATGGAGAGCAATGGCAAAGCCATCACCCGCAGCGGAGATTATGTCAAATACACCACGGGGGCCATCCTATTTGGCGAACCTGCCACCAACGCGCAACACAGCTTCTACCAGCTCCTTCACCAGGGCACGAAGCTCATTCCCACAGACTTTATCCTTGCAGCGCAATCGCATAACCCCGTCGACGGCGGCAAGCACCAGACCATGCTTGCATCTAATTTCCTCGCCCAAGCCGAAGCTCTAATGGTAGGCAAAACACCCGAAGAAGTCAAGGCAGAAGGCGCCGCAGAGAACCTCGTCCCACACAAGACGTTCCTAGGAAACAGGCCAACGACTTCCATCCTCGCGCAGAAGATCACACCTGGTACTCTCGGTGCGCTCATTGCTTATTACGAACATGTCACTTTCACCGAGGGTGCAGTGTGGAACATCAACTCGTTTGACCAGTGGGGCGTGGAACTTGGGAAGGTTCTGGCAAAAAATATTCAGAAGGAGCTGGAGACTCCCGGCGCTGGAGCTAATCATGATGGTTCGACTAGCGGATTGATCGCTGCGTACAAGAAGAAGGCCTCGCTTCTGTAGATAAGACGGCGCGGCGTGGTGGTATCCATGGAGCAAATGGAATATAAGCCGATGTGAGGTCTGGGATAGATTCAAAAACTGAGGCATTATTGGCAATTTGACACATGGGAAGTTATTCTTTGATGGCGGAGAGAATGATCATGACGTGGAAAATGTTCAGGAAGTAAATCTAACCAGTTATTTTGACATTCTATGTATCCTTTTAACCACAGCGTGGATGGAGGTTCAAAGCTCTATTGCGCCTATAACTTAGTTGACGTTAGCAGTAAAATGGTAATAAATATAAAAACCAAAATAATAAAGCACATATATATATATACATACCCCTATTCCACCATCCCTCTCGATGATCCCCGGTTGGGTGTTAAAACGATCCAAGACCCGCGTGCATTTACAGCCAATCAATGGGATAGCTGCGCTTCCTGGCCATAGTCTGGCCCAGCGCCGTGGTTGACACAGTTGCATTATTCTCCATATAAAGCCCGCTCTCCAAACTTATCCCGCAAGTGTCTATAATGTCGTCGCAGCCGCCAGGAATTTCCTCCCTTTGCCGAAAATATATCCTTCCTCTGTTCCTGGTGAACAATGTGCTTGGAAACAGCGGCGGGTTAGCGGCGGCGGAATCAAGCTCAGGCTATGCGCATGGTCAGAGTGTGCCAATTAGTTGTTTGAACAGGGACATGTAAGTTTTCTTTTCTTTCACCAATTTACCAAATCGGTACGGGTTGGTCTAGATATGCTAGGACTGCTTTTGCTAATGGTTGTTGGTCATGTAGAGAAACAGGAGAACATGTATGTGTCGAGAGAAATCCACCCAGACAGATGCATAGCACATGTTCATTTTTCTAGCCAGAATGATTTTCAGGGATCAAATTGATATAATATAACTACATATATAACTTTAGGCTGACGCACTCGCGAAACAACCTTCTAGACCACAGACTCAACCGGAAAACTCCAATACATCCCCTTCCCAACCTGCAACGAGACATCCGCCCCGCTCTCTTTCCGCTACGGCATCTCCGAAACGATAACTTGCACCATTCTCTCTCTCCCCGACCCTCTCTATCATCTGCTTGAATACTACGTCCACGCCGACGTTCCATTAACATGTCGCGTACCTACTTTCCCGCTCGTTGCCTCCTCTGCACCCGGAGGCACCACCAAATCTCCAGACCGCAAGCCGCGCAACGACAAAACTGGAAGTGAAGGCGGCAACGGTAGCGAGGAGGAAATTTCCAGGAATAATGGCCTGTTGTCATCCGCTTCGCAGCCGCCCTTTACGCCCCTGACGATTGCGCTGCAGGGGACCCTGCAACTATCCCACCTACACATCTGGACGGACATGAATGTGCTCATGCACCAGTCTGCGCGGTTATCTACCGCGGGCTCTGGCTCTAGTTCAAAGAAGTCGGAGAAGTCAAAGAAGGGCAAAACGAAGGGGGAGGGGAAGAAAGGAGATCGTGAGCATAATAAGGGGATGGATGCAATCTTGATGTTCCCGCGGGGACAGATTGTGGCCGGATCAGCATACTCAATGCCGATGGCTGTGGACGCTACCACTGCGGATGACTACGATGTGGAGGATTGGGATGCATATGTCAAGCAGCGGAGGAAGGAGAGAGACATGTTGATGGAACCCTGGGCGGCAGAGGGGGGAACGAAGGTCATTCGTGGCGAGCCGCTTGTGTTCACGTTCCGTGTTGGATGGGTTTCTAGCGGTGATGTACTCGGGCTGGTCCATGCGGAAGAGTCGCTGTCGAAGTCGACGGCGCTGGTGGCTGCTGGTGGTGGGTTGTTTATGCGGTTGGTGTCTATTTGCTTTTGGGTTGGAGTTGGACTCGGTTTGGCTGTAGTTGTGGAGAGGGTGAGACATAGAAGGGGTATAGTGAGTGTGTATAAGGGGGACGGGATTTTGGGTCATACGCCCTTTTTTGGTCGGTTTAGTCCAGATGTCGGAGGGAATGGAGGGGTGAGGTTTGGAAGTAATAGGGGGAAGACGAATGGGTATGGATTGGGGTTGAATGGATATGGCCATGGGAATGGGAATGGAGGGGGGTATGGAGGGTATGGAGGGTACACTACGGGGAAGAAGGACTGAAATCGATTGTGTTTTATTGCTTTTCTTTTCGCTCTAAATTTGTTCAATTTTCAGGGTTTCAGGCGTTAGATTTTTGATTATGGTTTTGACATCGACATACAATAGACCTTGATCTTTTCAGCATTTGAATATGATGAATGACGAAGATATCCACCACAATTACAACTTGCATTTACAAGCCATCGGTAGTATATATCAACGAGGACGATTTGACTGGTACCCAAACTTATGTCAAGCACAACGCAAAATCTTATATGCACCACGCAATGAAACAAGGGAAATGCAGTTGGATGTTCAAAAAATGCTAGTAATACATGAGAAAGTATGCCTATACACGCCTATCTAAGATGCCTCCGATCCGATCCTATCGTATCCTAGCCTCTATAAAACACACAGCAAACCCACGTATCCAAAAAAAAACGGAAAGGGGAAAGGCCATCAGCATTTTTTCCATCGCTCACTGCCATAAAAGCATACTGCTTTGTCCATACCGCACCCCCCATACCCCAAGACCCGCTACCAGCCCTGCTTCCTCAATTTCTCACATCTCCTAACCGTGTGCTGAAACGACATCTTAAACAACTTCTGCCACCTCTCCATCCTCAACTGTTTCTTTAATTGGCCCCTCCTAACATGAAACCGCTGCTTCATCATCATCGACTTGACCTTATTCCGCCTAACCCTGGTTTCCATCATTTGGAATGCCGTCGCTACATCAACGCCCGCTTTCGGGTCTACTGCGACGGTACGGCCCAGCTCCGGACCCAGCCGCATGTTGACAGTGGGCACTCGAAACTTTTGCGACTGGCCCACTGCCTCGCGAACCTGTCTGTACATAGCTGCGTCTTGCGATGTGCGTGGTTGGAAAGGATTGTTGGCTTGTCGCGGCTGGTTAGAGCGCGGGATGAAGTTATTCAGTATATCGGTCACTTTGGCGAGGTTGTCATCTTTGTTGCTGGTGCTGGTGCTGCTGTTGCGGAGAGTCGGGCTTTTAGATGGTCCCTTCAATAAATCTCCTGGGGACCAAGGTTTGACTGGCTGGTTTTGTCGAAGGCGTGGTTGTGGTTGCAATTGTGATTGTTGCTGTGGAGAACCTGATTCGCCTTCTGGCCCTGGTTGGGAGGAAGGAGGAGGTTTCTCGGAAGAATTAAGGGGTGCTGAGGTGTTTATTGGTCTTGCGATGGCGGCAATTGATGCTGGAGAGCGGGATAGGGGACATTGTCGGAGGATGGAGCGGCGAGAGGACGAGAGGAGATTTATGGACCGGACGATACGGACCTCCATGGTTGTGAAATTCTAATGTAGCATGCAAAATATATACATTAGATGTCAATTTGAAGTGAATTGAAAATGTGAGAAGGTTGGCCGAGGGCTCTGCCGTTGCGAGCTGGGAGTTTGTCTGCCGATGTTAAGGATTTGAGAAGTGCGTCGGCCAGCATAGCTCACGTGACGTCAACCTCCAACATTTTAATGAACCAGGACAACAGAGCTCATGTTGAGAACAGCTAAGTCAAATGCCCTCGTTCTGCTAGATTTCTTCCTCGTCCTTATTCTTTCATTGCGATAGACATATCTGTCATATATTTCATCTTTATCGACATCCCCATTTTCTTTTCACGACAAATGTCGGGAATCACAGTCGCAACCCTCCCCCGAATGAGCCGCGAGACCCTCGCGGCCATGCTCCTCGCTCCCACCAACCCCAATCAGCTCGCAATAGTAGATGTTCGGGATTCAGGTAAGTGCTGTTCCAGCCACATTTTCTGTCTTATCCCACAATAAATCCTCTGCAAAAAAGAGGAATGTAACCCCCCCATCTACCCCGCGATACCCCTCCCTCGCCCTCTCTAACAGCCTTGTTCAGATCACATCGGCGGCCACATTTCTACCTCGACCTGGCACCCGAGCTCGACTCTCAGCAAGCACATGCCAGATCTCATCAACAAGCTACGCGGCAAGGAGAAAGTCGTCTTCCACTGCGCGCTGAGCCAGGAGCGCGGACCTTCCGCGGCACTCAAGTACATCCGAGAACGAGAACAAGTACTCGGGAAGGAAGAGAGTGCCAAGCAAGCCGTTTTTGTGCTAGAAGGGGGCTTCGTCCAGTGGCAGAAAAAGTATGGGGAGGATAAAAGGTTGACGCAGGCATACGTCAAGGATATCTGGGAGGAGGATTGAAGGGGGCCTATAAAAAGGTTAGGAGGTATCTTGTATGGAGGGGTTTTTTTTAACCGCAATAAATGGCTTTGATATATGGTGTTTTTTAAGGTTCAATTCTGGGTTTCATGGGATATCTGGTCTGGTGTCTTGATTTTGATATAAACATGGATTTGGCTTGTGCGCGTCTAGACTGGCTGAGGACCGTCATGTACGGAACATCGGTCCAGAATAGACAATGGACGATGATAGATGGTTTAGAGAGAACAGGCACGGAAAGCGGACTATCCTCGTTTCCAGCGTTTCGCGGGATATGTTGTAAACCTCTCAGGGGTATCATTTACCATTGCGGCTTTGTCTCCTGGATAGAGACTCTGATAGGTAGTCGCAATTGCTAACTGTGAAGCTATTCCCTCGTAAACAGAATTATTTAATATTATAACATACCAATTCTTCCCACCCCTATTTCATCAAAAGACCAGAGACCTAACAGTTTCTAACTCCATTTACATACATCAAGGACATATTATACACACAAACTAATGTCTAGAAGTACAAATAAACGCTTTAAAGAGATTCACTCTACCCCAAAACACTCCCCCCAAACCCTACCGGTCTCCGTTTGCCCCCACTCTCCGGCACAACAGCCAAAGCTTTATACAATTTTCCCATCCCCCCACCGCCCCTCTCCACCAACCGCTTCCATCCACTCTCAATCCGTTTTCTCTTTTCCTCATCCCCCTCCCCTTCCATCCTTCTTAGCAACTGCGCCGCCCTCTCCGATATTCCCAACGCCTCCAAAAATGGCCCCTGTTCCATCGGTCCATACACCTCCACGCCAGGACTAGCATCAATAGCCGCCTCCGCTAGCGCTGTGAAATCGACATCAGCGCTAATGTCAACCTCCCCGGGTGCGACTAAGGGGGAAACGAGCCGGTGTTTCCGGATGCCGCGCAGGGAGTTTATGGGGATTGTTGAGGTGGTGCCGTAATCAAGGATTAGAGCAGCGCCGGAAGGAACTTTGTTCTTCAGCGTGTCCGTGACTCCGGGGGAAGGCGCGGAGACGAGCCCACCTCCTCCTCCTCCTATCCGCCTTGCGATGTCTTGGACGCAGGCTTGGCTTTCCGGGCTGATCTCGATTGTGGACCCTGGAGTGGATTTCAGGGCTTTGTACCGCGAAGACATTTCGGGGAGGACGAGGGATGATGGCGTAGATGCTTTGGCGAGTGAGAGACGGAATTCGGGCTCCTGACCGCTCTTCACTTCTGGGGTTTCGGGGTTAGGGGAGACGACGAGTTCTCTCCATTCAGTGGTATGGGGGGAGGAAATGGGTGGTTGATGGAGGGTGGTGGGACCAGTGGGCGTATTAATAGTGGTTTGGGATGGGGCGGGTGTTTGGATAGATTGGAATGCATGTATGGGTAATGCATCAAAGAATTCGTGGGCGAAAATGAAAGGGGTTTTGTCCGATTCTAGGCGGACGATGGGTGGAAGGAGTGAGTTAGTTATGAATTTATACATCTATAGCCATATATGGAGTCGAGAAGGAGTTGAGAGCGGAAGTATTCTTACCATTCGGGAGGAGCTTGATATGCTCTGTCCAAATGACCGGAACGCCCAAGTGTATACTCGTGCTCTTATACCCAACCTCAACCTCCTCCATAGGCGTATCTCCACAGAGCAATTTCCGCTGAACCTCCCGTAGCACCGGACTGGTTTCTACCAGATAAACAGCCTCGATCGCGGACGCGAAGCTCTTGAAATTGCGAAAGGACTGCTGTCATTAGCAATCGCCCACGACCAAACTGGCCCCAAGATATCCTGCAGAAGAACCCAAGCAGAAAGAAAAAAAAAAAACCCACCCTCAACATATCCCCCATGAGCGTCCCCTTGCCTGGTCCAAACTCAATAACCTGCACCCCACCACTCTTCCTCCCTTGTCCCATCCACTCCGTAACAGTCCACACGCCCAACAGCTCGCCAAATATTTGCGAAATCTCTGGCGACGTCACAAAATCCCCCTTGGCACCGAAAAGCGCCGTGTCTTCATCCTCCTGGCCGCGGGAGGTGTAATATCCGCCATCGGGCAAGGTGAGGCATTGGCGCATGTATGCAGCGATGGATACGGGGCCGGTGACCTGCGGATTTTCAGAACCTGTCAGCGTGAAATGCACAACTTCTTCTCTTATCAAAAAAACGTAGAAGATAAAATTATACTATTTCCGGAGGCAATACACACATTTATGGCCTCAGCAATGGATTTCGCCAGTGGTGTAGACCATTGACGCGGAACGGAGCTGCCAGCGGAGGTAGAAGACCATCGTGCGGCAGTAAAAGGATACGGAGGAGCCAGTCGAGGATAATAACGGGGCCCTTTTCCTAGGCGCATTATGAGCAGGCGAGCGGATCCATTGCTCATTTTAGATGCGGCAAGATTGCTTTCCCGTAAGGGAATATATGTACTAGTATATCTTTTTTTATGGCGGGAGGACGGAAGAGACTCGGAGTTCGTAGCTCGGAGGCCCAGACACGGAAGATGCAGTAGCCATCGCGAAACCTGACACCGCAACAATGGCAATTACATACTTCCGTTCGAAAACACAGAGAGTGAATGCACTATGATTTCCCCTTTATTGATTAATTGTGAGTTATGTTTTACCTTTACAATCAGTACGAAAAACCAGTGCAAGCGAAACGCCAGTAATTCTATCGCGAAGGGGGAAAAGTAAAATAATGAAATAAAATTACAACAGACAGGACAACAGAGTTTTCAAGCAAAATATCCCCAAAAATCCCAGCTAATACTCTAAAAACCCAGTTGATTGAAAACGTATCTAAAAAAGTCCTTTCTCCTTTTCCATGCAATAAATAAAACAGAATGAAACCTTATCTATGAACCCATGACCAAACCGAGAAAACGAAGCTCAATCGCAAATATCACCTCCCGCCCTTTTATTAATCCGTTTGAGTCTTCATAACCAGAGGATATACCCACGCAATTTTCATGCCCTGGAAAAGAAATAATAGTCCCCTGATACCACGACGAAAGCGTAGACCAGCAGATTATTATCAGGTACAAACCGTTTCTGGCAACCGATAGCAAGCCAGGTTTCTACCTCCCGCGTCTCCCGCGGTAGCGCGACTCGCGGCTCGGTTCATCAATAATCATTTGGTCACTGTAGAGTCCCGAATTGTCATTCCCCATGTTTCGGTTCCTCCCCGATCCATTAACACTCCCTCGCTGACCTCCGCTTGGATGATCACTGTTTGAACGGGCTCCATGATGTTGTGGCGGCGGATATAGATCATCAAACCCGTAGCGGCCGTCTTGTATATGAGGATCAGCGTGTCGTAGCTCACGACGCTCACGGTCTGCTTGTTCGCGCAGGCTGTCGAAATTGGAATGTGACCGGCGATGGCGGAGTCTGGCTTCGGAGAGTATCTGTGCAGGTAGTGGTTCCGGTTTTATCCGAAGATGGAGGATCCTTCCATCCGCCTTGAAGGATATATTTGTCAGTCGTCCCAGTGCAAATAGAGCTGGTTCAACGCAGGGACACTTGCTCGTACCTTTTGATTATCAAAGCGGGCGACTACGCTCTCAGCATGACTCCTCTCCTCAAAAATCATCTCAGCGGTCACCTCTGGGTGAGTAGACACGATCCTGCAACTCAGCATAGCACCTCTTACGGGTTCCAATGCCGACTCAATATCTGCAGCAGTGGTGCCGGGCGCAAAGTTACTTCCTAGTACGACGCAAGGTCCCGACGCGCTTCCTTTGATGCTGATTCCTGGGCCCTGGTCCTGGACAGGTGCTCGATCATTGTTTTGTGTAATGAGATCGGAGGACATGCGGTTCTGTCCGGCGGGACGGGTGGACACAGCGGCGCCAGGATTTCTCGTCGACGCGGCTGCAGTTGATCTCTGTGCATCGTATATTAGCAAAAGGGTTGTCGAATGGATGGTTTTAATGTAAAGACAATACCTTTACAACACCCAGTCTGCTTGCAAGGCTACCCGGCACAGCAGATACTCTGTTGGCCAACGAGCCCGCACCGGCGCCGCCCACACCAGACCCCGAAGCCGGAGCCGGAGCCGGAGCACTTGAACGTCTTTTCGCATCGAAGAATTTATCAGTCAAAGCCTGTTTCCTCCGGCGCGTGCGGGCTAGAGGGTTGACAAGGAAAATCTGTTAGTCAACAAATACATTGTCTCCACTCCAAACAAAGAGGGTTTCAACAGGATAAATAAAAGGGAGGTGCATCATTTACCAGCCTGGATAATCTCATTGAATGAGACGGCTTCCTTGGCCGCGGCCATCGCAGCGGGTAGCTGTTATATAGAACTGGTGTTCCAAAATAAAGTGGAGGTGTTGGGCTGAGTGAAGAGACTAGTCAACCGATTTGCGACAGTATTTCCTGGCGAATATTTGGTCAAGCCGTTGGAGGCGCGTCTTGGAGTTCAAGTAAAACTTCAAGGTTGGGCTTTGGTGGATGAAAGGAGAGAACCAAAGACGCTGGATCTAAACCGTATTTGTCTAGCGGGGGCCGGTGCCATCCAAAAACCTATTTAAGGGGCTGGGATTCCCCGAGATGTGAGCAGACGTTCCTGTGTCTCATCGCGAATCGTGGATAATATACAGGCCACGATATTTGCTCGAGATGCCTCCGGACTAACCCTAGAGTTCTCTCGCAATCCGCGGGATAGCCATTTACCATTTGTATTTATGGTGAAATGTAGTGCGGTATGGCAAGGTACCGCGGCATGCATACCGATTTGTGCTGGTGGCGAGGTACCAGGCCATGTGCGCTCTCCTCTTTCCTAATCGAGCACGTCCTGCTCGTCCTGACCGCGGGCCTTGAGCCTCATCGTCGTCGTTTCATCTCTTTCGCTTTCTCTTTCGCTGTTCTTTATATCACATCGACTGTGCCTGCTGTTCTTTCAGGAACCGCTTTGTGTCCTGTCTCTCTCGCCTGATACCCAGAACTATAAAGGGGCTCGCAGATAACCAGCTCCTTGAATACCACATTCGGTGCCTGTGCATCTACAGCTTTCTTTGTTGTCTCCTATTTCCGTCTATTCGCTTCGTGCATGCACGAACAGATGGCGGTTTAATTGACCTATCTTATTCCCTCCAGTTTTGCCACCCATATCAAGGGGAATATCATCTATGGCTTCCATTTGGAAGCGACTGACACTCAGCCCTGAAGGTCGATTTGGTGAAGACGCGTCCAGAACGCAGCCCTCCTCGCTGAGGTCGCGACGTGTTAAAAATGACCTCCATCGTCGTCGAAGCTTAGCTGGCCTCTTTACTACTTCGTCTCCGTCAAAGGAACCGTAAGTGTCCCCTCAGACATCATCTCGATGTCTCCTTCTGATGTCTGGCTCGCAGGGACCAAGACATAACCACCATTACATGCCAAGAAAGGATCCATTATCCGCTGTACAACCCTCTTGACCCTAGACATGATTTAGATGCCCTTGCCTATGAGGGTAACGATAAGGGGTTTTGGGCTAGCTATGGCCGGTCCATAAGGGCACGGTTTCAGGGTTCCACCAAGCCCGGAACTGTATCTCCAAACACCCAAAATCAAAAACCTCGCAGAAGCATTAGGTCCAGCTTCGCGTCGTTCACTGGCTCATCAAGACTCCTGAAGCGCCTCTCTCGTTCAGAAATCCCTTCCAGCCCTCTTTTGAACTCAATTCGGGAGCCCCTAGACGTGAGTCAAATTGAGCCCGAAGACAAAGCAAGCCATCTGCTGCCGGACAGGGCCGACGGCTCCCAAACCTCGTTCTTGCCCGAAGTCCTGGATGTCCCGCGGCAATACTATTTACCGTCACTTCCGTCAATGTCATCAGGCCTGATGTCCCCATTAGAATTGGAAGCTTGTACTGCTGGAAGGTATGCGGAACAGGAGACACCCTACGTTCAAAACTATGAATCTGCGCTCCACAAATTCAGTCGACCAGTCCAACCCTTCAATATTCTGCAGAATGCAGTGACTTCCATGCCTGGTGGCCAACCCGCAGTTCAGCGGCGCCAAGGATATACAAATAGTTCAAATACCAGTGAGCTTTTAGAGGCACACATTCCTTGCATCCAAGATGATATATTATGCACTAACGGGGTTTCGGCTGCAGAATCAGAGAGGGCGAGCCTACCGATCCCAATCACGTCAAAACACCCACCGTTTAACCGTCAGCAAGCTCGCGTGTATCGGAAAGATAATTCAAACTTGTCAACTTCCCGGCGTAAACAGATGCAGTCACACCCAGCTGCCCTTGACAGCCGAAAACAGGAGAAGACCCAAATACCAAAAGATTTAGCCAATGGAGCGAAGCCTCAGTCTCTTTTAAACCTTGGAGAGCAATGGCTAGAAACTCGAATGCAGCCACCACGCGCAGCTAGTCCTGAAATTTCAGAGCCTAGCACCATCACAGATTCTGAATTTGGGGCGGAAATGTACCGCACATGCGCCCCGCATCGTTATGCTTCGACTACAGAGAGTGATGCGGTTCTCAGCTCCTGGCTATCTTCATTATCTAGCATTTGTCACCCGCGCGACAATACTGATATTTCTGGAAGCACTCTGTGTCGGTCCCAACCTCCTTCAACAAGGCACCCAAGTGACTTATATTCTGCATCAGTTTTACGGCGGCCATATGGACATGCTCAAGCTTCCTCTAGATCGGAGACACTGCAGTGCAGTGAGCTGGGGATTAGCGATGCGGACACAAACAAGCACAAAAACGCATTCGCTTCTAAATCCAATTCTCCGCAGCAAGGAATAGCTCCTGAATTTGCGAAGCTGGAAAACTTTAGTAATCTCAATTCTGTAAGAAATACCCGGCCAGACGTTGGCGGGCCTTATGAAGTGCCGAATGACCTCCTTAACCTAGGTATCAAATCAACAGATACCCCAAGTCAGTTATCAAATTCTCTCAGAAAACAGTTCTGTGAGAGTGATCTTACAACCGGATTTCACGAAGGAAACTTATGGCCTGGTTCAATTGATTCACGTATTGGAAATGACCACCTCAAACAACTTCACAAAGAAAATAGGCCTAATCCCCTGGTCTTAGATGGACACGACTTAGAAGGTCATGGTAATGTTCAGTTTGGTGGCGAATACCAAATCATATCAGCTACTCACCCTGCAGGAAATCAGGCTCCTGGTTACAGTGGAAATACGCGAGCACAAAGCGGTTCTCAGGATGCTACAAACGGGAAAATTATCCCCATCTTCGAAACGTCTTACGGCCTTTGCATAGACACTTCAACAAATTGCGGCCCTGCGTCAAGGGGAAAATCGGGAAGTCAGATTCGTCCCGACCAGGGTTCCAAATCCTCCTGTGGTCGCAAGAATGGATCAAGTAGTTGCAGTGGTTCCGGCTCTGGTGACTCAGGCCAGAGTGATCCACTGACCAATAGCACGGCCGGGACAAGCGTTGTTGACTTTGCAAAGGACCATAACTTGACTACAAAGGCTAAAGCGGAGGAACGTACCACTAGCCCACAAATGAACATTATGGCTCTCCCATCAAAAATCGATGATGGAGCATTGTCTAAATGCTGATGGCTACAGGTGCTATAGCCGGGTATCGTCAAGGTTTTGAGCCATTTGGAATCGAGAAATGTGCGTAGAGATATATCACTTCATGCTCTGCATTCAATTACCACAGCTAATGGCTGCCGGCGAATTTTGCTGCTGTAATTCTATACCCCTTTCTATTCTCTTTTTTTTCGACTTTTCTGCCTTCTTACTTGCTTTCACACTTATCATGTTGCTTTTGCACTTATCATGATGCGGACACATCCATGAGTCATCCAGTTATTATTCTGTTTTCTTCTTCAGCTTTAACTTTGTGCTTTACCCTTTCTATACTTACTCTTAATATTCTATATTGTTAATTCCCCTAGCGAGCGAGCGAACGAGCGAACGAATGGCCTAGCAAATTGCCCTCTAGGGATAAGTGGATCCTACAAAGCTGCGATTTTTTTATGAACACGATGATGATGGCGTCTGTATCTTTGTCTGTGTCTGTGTGTCTGTCTGTACGCATGGTATGCATGCTCGCAGCATGCTCATGCGATTAGTTAATATTTGCTACATCGTGTAGTTTAAAAATATATATCTAATCCTGTGCGATGAGAAGTCGACTTTGTCAAGTAGGTTGATTCATGTACTCCCAACTTTCACGCTTCATATATATAATATATATTTATACACCACAAAGGAGGCCCGGTAAAGTAGACTTTTGTCAACCTGAAACTTTGAACCCCGTGCATAGCTGCACAATAAAAAAGTAAAATGTATGTTGTGTGCGACAATTGGGAAAGGAAAGTTTCCTTCAGAAAAGAGAGAGAGAGAGAGAGAGAAGAGAGAGATTAGAGAGATTACACAATATAAAATCAATTAAAATAACCCCGAAGTGATTTGAGTACGTTAGTTAGCTAGTTAGACATATTTAAGAAGATGAAGAAGCAGGAACAGCAGCAAGCACAGGGGGGGAAAAAAAAAAGAAAAAAAAAATTCAATACCTAACAATGAAGGGCAAAAAAGACAGAGGAGGGAAGGGGGAAGAAAGGAAATAGAAAAAAAAGCGAAAACAAATAGAATTACTTGAACGGAGGGGAAAAAGAGTTAAAAACAAAAAGTATCACGGAATTCAGACATGGACTTGAGATAACATTTGGAGAGGCACATACAGACGCAGATTGGACATGAATAGATAGAAAAAAAGTTATGTATTTTAATCAACCAACTGATTGATTCAAGCGAAAAGTGAAGGGGGAAAAAACTGTAGTTAAGAGAGAAAATAGAACTTAGAAACATCACCGTGCAAATGCATAGCACGTAGTCAATGTAGATGATCAAGGAAGAAAGGAGAAAAAAAAAGGCAAGGAATAGGAAAAAAGAAACAGTTAGAAAGACAAGAAAATGGGGTACGGAAAATAATAAAATGAGGAGTTGGAAAAAAAATAATAACAATAAATAAAAAAAATAGAATAAAAGAAAAACAACGCACACAACTTTCCGGGTATTCTTTCATTCTTTTGCCCTTTTGCTCTCCTTTCCCAGTTGAAAAGAGATATTAGGAAAGGGAAGAAAAGGTGTTTAAACACACATAAAAAGAAAATAACAGGATTTTTCCACCACCGCACCTTCGACTCTCACCATTTCCACCAAACCAAATCTGTTCGTCGCCGCCAAATGATTTGGACTTTTATAGAATGAAAAAAAATTGTGGTTCTTCATACCCAGTCTCCTCACATCTCCTCTCTCGCTCTATATTTCTACTATATCCCATGGAAAAGTCCCACCCATGATTTTGATTCTCATGCTCTTCCAGCTTTTGTTGTCCATTTTATCGCCCGCCCAAGAAACAATGTATATCACGCCGTGAACGGGTTTTCTTTTTTTTGCTTTCGTGAAACCAGGAAAAAGTATTACAAGGTTGTATCGTCTATGAAATTGGTTTTTTGAAGGGTTTGAGAGATGCCGGCGGCGCATTGGTTGAAAGAGATTGACTTCCCCAGGTAAAGGGAGGGAGAGTCAAGATAGGATAGCGGGCCCAAAAGATACACCTTAATTTAACAAAGGTAAAAAAAATTAAGATGTACTTCGGCCTTCCTGCTCCTTTGCTGGGGGTTTTGACAGCTCAATGGTTGGTTGGGACTTGACCATGGGAGGGGAGGATGGATTCGATGGCGGCGATGTAGCCAGGTTATCTTCATTATTCAAGGCGGCAAGAGCACTGGAGCAGGGAAAAGAAGAGACGGAGAGGGAACAAATTAGCCATTCCAGTCCATATATGGTATGTAGGAAAAGCCCTAGATGTGGATCGTGCTGTATTGCTTGGGGGGCTTGGGGGTCTGCAATCCTCACCTGAATGCATTTACTGAGGATGCAGCCTCCTTGTCGTCCTTTTTATCCTTACCGCCTGGTGGAGTACCAGTACGGCTGCTTGCGCCGCTGTCTTCGCCCCCACGGACTAGGTTGCCGCCAGGTCCAAGATTCTTACGGCCGCTGCTGCTCCGGGAACCAAACATGCTGGAAGGTCCAAAGGACATCGGTTGGTTCGTGTTCCTGGTGGTCTTCAGTCGGCGGAGATCGTCGCTGCCAACCTTGCTTGATGCAAAGTCGGGAGGAGGAGCTTGACTTCCGTAACCACCAGAGAAGTTCCGTGAATCTCCTCGGCCCATTGGCATCCGACCACCTCTGCTGGCCTGTTGGCGCAGGCGTTCCATTTCTTGTTCTTGCTGAGCACGGGCAGCCTATAAAAGACAGGTTAGCGGGTGGAACTTTTTTTGACCCAATAAAATATCATACTGGTGATTACTGACAGCTTCTCTAATCTCAACGATTGTCTTAGGACCCTTATCGCCATCTTTCGACATCCACCCAGCTTTACGTAAATCGACAATGTCCTGAAAACTATTAGCATCCGACTCCATAAGAGAAGGAGAAATGAATCTTCCCCGGGATTGCGAAACATACCATAAGCATGAACTTAAGACGGCTGGCAAGGCCAGGAGTTTCCATCATCATGCTGATCCGCACGAAGTATGCATCCATCATACCATGACCCTTCTCAGAGTTGTCAAGGCTGTATCCGATCGTTCGTAGCAGACTCGTCAAGCTCTCCACTTCGGCTTCCTCAGGAATACCCTCATAATCAACTAATTTCTTCACACACTGGTGCATGATTCTCTCAGTTAACATGCCGAGTTTGTACAATTCACCAATAAACTTAACCAAGCCAAGACCACGCCGCTTGGCGGCAGCTGCAGCATAATATTCATCAGACATCATCGCAGCCTCCTCGGTGACACCTTCAGGCTTTTCGGGGAGATTTATTTTCCAACCCCGCTCGAATTCTTCTTGGCAGCGATTGAGAAGGTATTTTCGGAACAAACTGCCACCAGTGACAACATTGCCTTGTTTATCCCTGATATTTTCGTCCTTGATTTCAGGGCTCATGGAATCCAGCATACGTTTGCAGAATTTAGCGTACATTGGAGCCCAGTGGGCTTCATCTGTGGCCTTCTCGAAGGTAAGTTGGATTACTTGTCGGAGTGTGCGCCCATCTGATTCATCTTTGGACTGTCCCACAATTTCAAGTATCTGATCAGAGATACGATCGAACTTCTCGGGTGTCATCTTGTTCAAATTAGCTTTAACCTTCCGTTGCACAACATCTGGTGGCATGTGTCCATCGCCACCAAGAGCAGGGCCAGAAAGGCTCTGTCCAACGCTGCGTGGTTTCCATCCAGTCTGAGACGGAACCAATGGCTTTATGTCCAAGTTAGCAGTGAGTGGCATGGTCTTGTTATTGGTTTCTTCCTCCTTCCTCGACACTTTATCCCGCTTGCTTCCTGAGCGCTGGCCTCGGTGACTGCCAGCGCGTGGGGATGGCATCTGTTGCATAGTCGATGAACTAGAACGGCTCATAGGCGAACTGCCAAGAGGAAGGCCACCGGGGCCACGAGAAAAGTGACCAAAAGGATTTGCCATAGATGGTCCATGGCCTCCAGTTGCCATAGGGAACCCATCCCGACCAATACCTGCAGGGGGCAAAGTTTGCGAACGTCCGGGAGTTTGGGCAAATTTACCCATGACGGCGTTGGGGAAAGAAGCTTGGATTCCTGGACGAGAGGCGGCCCGTCCACTACCTATGATTGGAGTTCGAGCGGATCCGGGGCGCGAAGAACTATCTGTACTATCTCCAACAGTCTCCCGAACACGGCTGTCCCAATCGATTGATGGTTTCTCTTTGAAAACGGACTGGAATTGGAGTAGGAATTCTTTGTTATACTTAAATTTACGGTCGACTGGAGCATTTGCGTTCAGAGCAGGATTAGGAGAGACGATTGCGGGAGGGTAGGTGATCTTGCTAGGATCCTCGAGGAATCGGGCAGTCTGGAGGGACTTCATTGCTGCGCTTGGCTGGGGTGGCTCGACAGTTTTCGTAGTTTCCAGCTTCAATGCAGCAGGCTTGTCCCGCTTTCCGCCGCTAGCAGGTTTGGAGGGCGGGCCCATGGAGATATCTGATACGGGCGTGGCAGCTCCGCTTTCGGCAGGGGTTCGAATGATGGGGCTCTCGGTTGCGGAAGGGGGAGATTGAGCGCCCTTATTTTTGAGGGAAGCAAACAAATCTGTCCGCTCTTTCTTGGCACCCTCCTCCTCGCCCTGTTCGAGTTTGCGGATTCGAGCTTCTTCCGCGGCCTCCGCTTCTTGTTCAGCTTTCTTAAGGCTGGCGATGTAAGCTTCATTGTCTTCTTTCTCTTTGCGAGCTTTCTCTTCCTGCTGTATCCTCTTCTTTTCTGCATACGCTTTCTCAGCTGCAGCTTCTTTCTCAGCTAACTCCTTTTCCAATGCGTCCCAATCAATCTCATCTTCGGCTGATGCAGCTTCAACAGGAGCCTTTGGAGCTTCCGGTTTGACTTCTTTGGCCACTGCTTCTTGTCGCTCTTGTTCCTTTTCCTTCTCTGTTGCAGCAGCCTTCTCGGCCTCCTCGGCAGCCTTCTTTCCCTCCGCCTCCTTACGAGCCTTGGCTTCAGCTTCTTCCTTCTCCTTCCGTTGCATCTCAGCTTTTTCAGCTTCTTCCCTCTTGCGAGCCTCAGCTTCAGCCCTGACCTTTTGAGCGATAGCGTCTTGGAAGGACTGCTTTTTCTCCTCTCCTGTCATGGACTTCGAGTCTGACCTTTCATGTTCAGCACGGCTTCCAGTACGAGGAGGCGGGGTCGAAGCTGGTGTATTACCACCTAGCTTGACAGGCGAAGGCGTTGTCCGAGGTTGGGATGTCGATTGTTTGAGAAAGTTCATCTCCTTACCGCTATCGGGATCCTTAATGACAACAGAACTCTTCTTGGTTGGTACTACAAACTGAGATTTTTGCACTGGACTGCTAGTGGATCGAGTCGCATTGAAAGAAGGCCCTTGTGTCATTGGTACGGATTGTTGGGCCGGTCCTAGACTTGAGCCTGGCCGATCCGGGCCGGAAACCTGCGAGGGAGATCGTGAAAGTGGGGTTGCTTGTGGAGGTGGATGGCCTTGGTTGCTATATTGGGCCTGCATGTAAGGGGCTTGGGGTGGGTGCGGTACATTCATAGCGGCGCGAGGCGACGGTGGGGCTATGTACTGGTACTGGCCTTGAGGCATATTATATGGCGACGGTTGGTAATAATAATTAGGATCATAGCCCTGAGCAACGAATCCCTGAGATTTAATCATTGTCAGATACTGTTCAAAATGGCCACTCTCTGGTGACAGTGTCGGGGGTTGGGGGTACTGAAATTGGGCTTGGGGAGTAAAGTGTCGTTGAGCATTTTGGTGTTTAAAACGGGGGCCATTGTGTTTATGGGATAAAGAAGAACGACGATTAGAATATTTAGGGGGGTAAGAAGATTGTTGCTTTACTTGTTGAGGGCCCATATGAGTAGGGTATCCGCCAAAATGCTGGGCCTGCATTTGCGTGTTCGCCATGGGAACTTGGGACATTGGGGGGGTCGCGGGGTTCACGTTGGAAAGGGCAGGGCTTCGGGCAGCCTGACGGGGCGAATGTGGGAAGGGGCCTAGCGATCGCTGGTTATGGCCATGGAATCCCATATTGGGCCCGCCCCGTGGTTGGTTGGGGGTCGACCTGTACGTCGGGCCTGGAGAGTTATATCCCATTGGTTGATGGGGTTGTCCGTAGCTTCTTCCTCGACCACTATGACCGTAGCCACCGCGTCCTGGAGGACCCCCTGGCATACCATGATTTCCCATGTCGCCATGTGCGGAGTGTGTTGATTCACGTCGAAAGTGGGAAGACTGGGCATTTGGACCCATAGGGCCCTGAGGAACAGGCCGCATATTCGGCCGCTGAATACGCAGTGTCAGTATAAATCCTTGTTTGAACGGGGCAGATCTTGTTCAAATAGATATAAAAGCAAACAATGAAATCGATCGATCTTACGTTCATATCACCCGGTTCGCTACCAAAGCTGCCAAAGTTAAGATTATTACCTGGCCCTTGTAGCGACGATGGTGGCCGTCCGCCACTCGCTATAGGTTGAGGAATGGGGGAGGGAGATGTCTGTGGGGAAGTTGTGCGAGGATTCATAGATGGATTAACACCCAGAGTAGACTGGGGTTGGTTTGGAAGCGATGCCTGATTGTTCATAGGAGCTCCCTGGGAGTCCATTGAACCGAATCGCAGATTATTTGCGCGGCCTGAAGCGCCGGCCGGGCCTCCATTCGGGATTAAATTAGGATTGATAGTGACAGAAGTTTTCCTGTCGTGTAAAGACGGGTTTGGAGCGGTGTTTCCGTTGACGATGGTCAAGCCACCGGCGACCTGGGGTGCTGGATGCTGCATATGTTTTCCGTTCAGAGAGACAGAAGGCGACTTTCCATGCTGAGGCGCTTGAGTAGGCGCACTTCCGCCAATCGTTGAGGTTGCCGCTTCGACGGTAACGGTCTGCGGAGAAGATTTCTTTGTCGCGTTAGCAACCTGTTTACAAAGCATGGGAAAGAATGGTGTTCAAGAAGAGGGTGCAATAGTCTGCAAAATCCATTTCACTTCCACAATTTTTCTTTTCTTTTCTTCTTCGTTGTCCTTTTCCTTTGATTTTCAACTCACCGATGGAATGGGAGAGTGACCCTGGGAGACGGCCGAACTGCTGGTACTCTGTCCCTGTGGTTGAAGGCCTGATGTCTGTGAGATCGATGTCATTACACGGTAGTCTGCGCAAAGAGTCGCCGGAACAAGGTGAAATAAATGAAAATTATTAGGCGTAAGAACCGTTCAAGAAACAGGCCGGGAAGGTATGCGCCCAGCAGATTCCAGATCCGGCTCGAGACGAGGGGGGGAAATAAAAACAGCTGTTAAAATAGCAAATCGTAAAAACTGCGCGATGTAGCAAAGACGATGCAACAAAGTCGATGAAGGCTAAAAAAAAAATAGATATTGCCTTGTCGTAGGAACGTGTCAACCAACAGAGGATATGGTTTGGCACACAAAACCTAACCCACACAAAGCGAGCGGAGAGTCAGTCTTCTTTCTTTCACTGAAGAATGCCCAGAGCATCCGAGCACACGGATTGATGAAAAAATCACGAGTCGCAGTGCCACTGAGCATCCTTTGAATCGACCTGCAACGGGCAAGGCTGAGGCACAGAAGAGAAAGAGCAAGTACCTGGTGAGATGGATCAGCGAGACACCCGAATAAAGGAGTGGCTGTAAAAATCCGCACACCACCACCGCAAAGCGGAAGACGGGATTTTCAAAAAAGCGACGGATGGAACAGAGGAGACTGAACTATCCGCGATCGTCCTGCTTCAGAAAAAGAAGAGGATCCGCCGGTAAATCAAAATTTGATGTGTTGTGATGATGGGGAGGGGGTTGAAGGGTGGCAAGAGGAAGAGGAAGAGGAAGAAGAAGAAGAGAAGACCAGACTTGAGGTCGTTGCCAGAAACGAGAAGGTTGGATTTTTTTTTTTTCGTGGTCTGGTATCGAGGATGTACGGTCACGGTATTGGACAATACAGCCGCTCGGGTCTGTGGGGGGACGACCCAAGGCCAGCCGCTGCCCACGCCAGAAAAGAAGAGGGCCAAAGAGGGCCAAAGAGGGCCAAATGGGCCCAGAAAGGGCATCTAAGCCGCATCCGTGGCGTCATAACAGGGCCTGTACCAATACGCTCCGTACTGTACTCTCATTACACGTTCTCACAGCGGCCCGAAGGGGGATCCAAGTGAAGATACAAGGTCATTACCTGTATATCGTATTATCGATTGTCACAAACCAATGAGAACAATACAACAAAAAAGGCAGCATTATTACTGAGAGATTCTGTATTTATTCAATTCTTATTGGCAGTAATCCGTATATCATTATTTGTTAGGTCCTGTGAATGTGAAAAGCCCCATAAAGAAAGCTGCCTCTTTTATTGTTTTTATGCAGAGGCCGAGATGCGCCCATTGCCTTAGGCCCACAGTGGCATGAATGTTCTGATTATGAGGCTGGAATTTTGACGAAATTTTGAAATTTCTGAACGTATTTGGCATCAATTTGTCATGATTAACTACTAGGTATTGTTGTTTATTGAAATTTCTCCGATGATTCTGATCTGATATCATACTGCCTAGGTCTCAACCACATTCGATGCATGCAGCATTACTAGCTCATAAAAGCGTTTCTTCAAATCCGCATGTCGGCCTTCATAGAATTGCTACATATAACACACATATAGCTACTGGTACCAGTATCTGTCTCGAATTTCTGATACTTGCCTTGCTATCATATTATATCTCCTGCCCAAGCTTTCAAAAAGCACTGGCAAAAAAGCAAAAATGGCCAAACTTAAAGCAGGGGAGGAGCCGGGGGAATAAATAATGCAGCCCTATTTTCCTTTCCCTCAAACAGACACAATACAAATTAGGACAATGGTCTATTTAACTCCCTTTCCTTCCTTCCGTATAGGACTCTGCTTAGCCTCCTGGCAGGGAGGACAGTAGTTTCGCCGACCATCAAGCCTACCATCGGCTCTCCGTCTGGGAAAATAATGAACATTGGCTTCTCCCATTTGTCTCCAGCATCAGGAATGATATGATTGCACATTCTGTGGTTTCCAAATGAGGGCGCGACGATGATGCTTGAAAAGACGCGTTTCCCCCCTTGAGAATCTTCGAGAGGAGGGGTGGGCTTGAAATGAGGCGTGGGAGCTGGGCGCCTCAACTTGGAGAGCTTTGACATGACCCAAACAATCACCAACCGGGGTTACGTGATAGGGATGTTGAAGAGAATAGCGGAGGTCCCCGATACGGCAATCATGAACGGAGGTGAGAAAATGTGAGCAACAGCTGTTATATTTATCCTATAGTTGGCTGTGAACCGACAGCTCTACCTGACAAGATGATGCAATTCATATATATATATGTTTTCCTATCCGATGATCTTCTCAATTAGTTCTCCCGGGATATCCCTACACTTCCACAAATATTTGCACAGCTACTCTCGTACATTAAATTGAAAACAGAGACATGTGTTTTAAAGTTCCGGAATTTTCACTAGTAGGCGGATAGCTCTCGAGGAAAGTGGGTCGGCAGATTTCATGTTATGGAATGATTTTGTGTTTGATCTTCACGGATCTAAATAAAACCACCGGAGATTTCCAGCAACTTCACTCTTGGGTCCCAAATAAGTTGCAAAACAGGAATAGATTTATGCTTGCCGAGCTTGAACGCTATATGCCACGAATTGCAAGGGAGAAGTAGGGAGATTGCCCGTCCGTAGCTGTATATCAAGTCTTGTATGACAACCTCTCAAGAGCAGAAAATACTAATCACGTTTCCGAAAGGAAATAAGTTAACTCGGGGGTGATGCGACTTCTTCTCATGAGGGCTCTCTGTTCCACTTTTATCTCATTGCCGAATCATCCATTGGTTTCAGCAACACAGTTATCTGTCTTCCTAAGCAGATGGTGATGAGGGATGCCAATAGCTAACTAGTTAGGAGATAAACATCCCTCCCCATCAACTATTTATTGCCTTAACTTCTTTTCGCTTTTCTTTTTCACACAAGCAACAGAGAACACCGCCACACTTCACCCATTTTCGATTGGGATGAGCACAAGCGGATTCATTTTGGCCCTTACACCTTATCACAAACATATCCACGTCGTGGCCGCAGCCGCCGATGGATATAACGATTTCACACATGGCTCCTGAAGTAGATGGTATGGCTGGATGAAGGGGCTCTTATCCGGGCGGCAAATATCAAATCGGAGGGAGGGGAATATCAGTTCGCTTGGGGGTAGTAGCAACTTGAAGCAAGATAGAAGAAAGATAGAATGTGACATTTTTTAAGAAAATGTCGGTGCCTTTATATACTTATTCTCGAAGCTTAACGTATCTCATAACCTCGCGTCTCCAACTATCTCACCACCAGCGGATTACTCCAACTATCAATAAGAGTGCCTGCGGGAGCTGCCAGCGCTTATTTAGTGCAACCCTCACTGCCTGTAACTATATAAGACCTAATATTGACCAAGAACAAAAGCTTGTGGTAGATGCCGCAGACTATGCCTTCACTAAACATGTTTATTCTCAAACCGTTAAAACACCATGCTTATAGAAATACCCTAGACTGGGTTGGGCCCACCTTACGGATCGATCCTTTGGTGCAAGCAAAAAAGACCCCCATGTTATTTTGTTCCATCCACGATGGCAATCATGATATGATTTGAACTTGTAATAATGTTGAAGGTCCCAAGTCAAGTTGCACGCATGACAATATAAGGTCAAGACATCCCAAATGGCAATTCTCTGCTTGTTTCCTTTTCCTTGTCTAATGTACGGTTTCATGCATTCATCTCCCATTTCCCGCTATTATCCCAGGTTAAGTTTGTAGGTAAGTGTATGTACATTCAGGGTATTATCGCCAGCTTTTGGGAGCATGCCCTTCCGGGGGGGGGGGGGGGGGGAATGCTAGTAACCTTAGGTCCTGCTCCTATAATAAAGTTCAAAGATAAAAAAGGTGCGGGAGAAAGGTATTAAGAAATGAGGTGATGGGTAGAAAGGAGATTGATCAATCCACTCATCATCACAGTTACAAAAGCACGTTAATGAAAGGTGGGAAAATCGCACATTGTTCTGACATTGTTTTCATAAAATTAACAAAAAATTTTCTTTTTCCCCCTTCGTTTCCCCAGGTAAAAACGGAATTGGCACTACCTCCCGTTAAGAGGCTCCAAAGGGAAGAAAAATCATGCCGGCAAAAGAGAAAATAAAGTGAAGTAGTTTTTTAATTTTGAGAATTTTTTCCCTTTTCAATTTCGATACTTTTTTTTTCTTAATAATAAAAAAGAAAAAGAAGAGCAGCAGCAGCAGTAGCAATCAACTAAGTAATAGGCTTCGATTTTTGGCAGACTTGGGACTTGGGACTTGGGACATTGAATTTTGATTTGAAATAGGGTGTGAGGAGGGAAAATATTTTGCTTTTGGTCTGTCTGTCTGAATGTAGGTATGTATATTCGTTTGATGGGCGGGAGGTTTGTAAGATGACAGCTTGAGAGGCTAAATGGGGCATACTCTATGAAAATCAACCAACCAATCAATCAGATCGTCCAGGTCGTAGAAATGGGAGGAAGAAAATTTGGATACGTAGAGAAGAAGATGATTGGGGGAAAATTGTTATGAAAAATCATGTAGTTACAAGCTGTTTTCTCGTAGTTTTGATTTTGGTTTTTTTCTTTCTTTTTATTGATTAAGATATATAAAAATAAAATGGAAAGAAAAAAAGCTTCACACCCTTCCTAAAAGTAAAAACAATAGCTGCAACAACTGCAACGACAACAACGAAAACCTAGCATCTCTTTTAATAACAGAAAATAAACACACACTAAAGGTAGAAAGCAAACGCAAATCCCCATACCTTAGAAGCACTTGCGGTGGACGATGGAAGGTCCGGACTCGTCGTACTCCTGCTTCGAGATCCACATTTGCTGGAAGGTCGAGAGGGAGGCCAGGATGGAACCACCGATCCAGACGGAGTATTTACGTTCAGGCGGGGCAATAATCTTAACCTTCATCGACGAGGGTGCGAGAGCGGTAATCTCCTTCTGCATACGGTCAGAGATACCGGGGTACATGGTGGTGCCGCCAGACTAGATCAGTTAGTTAGTATTATTGCTAGCGATATATGTAATAAGGTATATATTTATATAACTCACCATGACGATGTTGCCGTAGAGATCCTTTCGGACATCAACGTCGCACTTCATGATGGCGTTGTACGTAGTGGCGTGGATGCCGCCGCTTTCAAGGCCCAGGACACTGGGTTGGAAGAGGGCCTCTGGAGCGCGGAATCGCTCGTTGCCAATAGTGATGACCTGGCCGTCAGGGAGCTCGTAGGACTTCTCCAAGCTGGAGGATTGAGATGCAGTCTGTATCTCCTGTTGGAAGTCGAGAGCGACATAGCAGAGCTTCTCCTTGATATCGCGGACGATTTCACGCTCAGCAGTGGTGGAGAAAGAATAACCACGCTCAGCCAGGATCTTCATAAGGTAGTTAGTCAAATCACGGCCAGCCATGTCGATACGAGAAATAGCGTGCGGAAGAGCAAAACCCTCGTAGATTGGAACGACGTGGGTCACACCATCACCGGAGTCGAGAACGATACCAGTGGTACGACCGGAGGCGTAAAGAGAAAGGACGGCCTGGATGGAGACGTAGAAGGCAGGGGCGTTGAAAGTTTCGAAGACGATCTGGGTCATCTTCTCACGGTTCGATTTGGGATTGATAGGAGCCTCGGTCAACAGAACAGGGTGTTCCTCAGGAGCGACACGGAGTTCGTTGTAGAAGGTGTGATGCCAGATCTTTTCCATATCATCCCAGTTCGTGACGACACCGTGCTCAATGGGGTATCTAAGGGTAAGGATACCACGCTTGGATTGTGCTTCATCACCAACATAGGAGTCCTTCTGGCCCATACCAATCATAATACTGCGACGGGGGTTAGTTTCCTTTGTTCCCATATTTCATTCGCTTTCACAGGAATTGGTAGGATCCGCGGGGAGGAATAATATTACCCATGATGGCGAGGACGGCCGACAATCGAAGCTATTAAGTGTCAGCAAGGAAATAATTCCAAACGCAACAAAACGTTAGGGTAAGGACTTGGGTGGAAAAGACTTACGGAAGACAGCTCGCGGAGCATCATCGCCAGCGAAACCGGCCTTGCACATACCGGATCTATAGTCAAGGTTTCTTAGTTAGCATTGTAGAACTAGATCCTCTCGCCCACCTAAAATTGGAAAGCAGCCATAATTTCCTCAAGCCCACAATCCATCCCCTCCGCAAGACACGGGAGAGGGAGCAAGCTGTGTCAAGTAACAACAAGGTTGAGGGGGGGGAGGCAGCATTTCGATATTGTGGACTGGATAAGGGAATTTCATTTGTGTGGTGCGTAGTGCGCAGTAGTGCAAACTAGAGGGGACGTGGACACAGCAACACGGAGGAGGAGAGTTGAATCCCGGGAGGGAGGGACAGGAGGAAATGGAACACATACCCATTGTCGATAACGAGGGCAGCGACTTCTTCTATACGGGTTCGAGAGAGAGAATATTAGCGGTTTCTTTTAAAGAGTGGAGATCAGGGAGAGGCGAGGAAAAGGGAGGAGGGGAAACTGGAGGGTTGACCAAGCGTGAAACTTACCCTCCATTGTGGGCTACTTAACGAGGTGGCAAAGGAGACAGTATAAAGCAAGTAGAAACAGGATACGTTGGGCGAGAGAGGAATGACACGGGAGAAGATGAGGATAGGCGATGTGGATGGGAGATGGGAGATGAGAAGAGGATGTTGGAGGAAGTTGGGATTTATGAAGTTGAAGATGAGAGGCGACGAAGAGGTGGAAGTGGCTGGGGGAGGATGTGGTACTGCGCGGTAATATTACGGAACAAGGAGGGACTGGTATATATGTGGTGCCCTAAAACACGGCTGCCTTTGGGTGAGACGACGACGAGGGAATGCGGCCTCAGGGGCGGTCATGACGAATCTATGCAGGGAATGCCAGTGCCTACTTCTATCCCTCCAGGCATACACATCTGTACATGGTTTTATTATTTATTATTTTTGCATTTTTATATCTCCGGATTGTGTGGACTGTGTCCGTGTTATAATGCGCTGCCCAAGTGGTATCCGTACAGTTATGATTTTATTACGGTATCGTCCCAGAGGAAGCGTCGCGGGGTCAAAATGGAACATCCAGGGTACTTCTGTCCCCATACAATATCGGTGAGGATGCCTTGTATCAGCTGTGTCAACATCCCCTCTCGCTCGCCAGTCGAGATTTATCACCAGCTGAACAACGTATGAACAATCGATCTGACAGAGACGCCGGTTTGTGAGTTCAGCCCAACGAAGCCACCGTTTTCTTCCCGCACTCAGTTGACTCCTTATCACCAGCGAGATCTCATCCCATCATCACGCAGGTTACCCTCTCCAAACATTTCCACAAGGCAACCGCCAAACAAGGCCGCGCGTTGTGTGCGGCGGCGAAAAATGAATAACCCAAAACCTTATGGAAATGCGGGAACCTAATCTTCTCTCGAAAGGCTCGTTGGAAAACACAGGACTTCTGCGCTCTCCCTGAACATGAACTGTAGGGTTACTAGGATGATATCCAACATGTTGTGTTTACGCGACGCTTCCTTGAACACATCCATCCAATGACCAGTGACTGGGTGCAACCTCCCCTGCATCATTTTTCTGCTATCCATCCAGAATAAGATCTTTTTATACATGGCAACATTGTCAAAATTACGCCAATGCTCTGGGTAAATCACCCACATCTGGCTGTCCTCGCAACCGGTTCTGGAGCTGTCAGAGCTCTCAACAAGGAGAAACAAATGGCAAGTCTGATATCACAACAGGCATTATTTATTTAAGTCTTCTGGGAATATCTTCGAGCGATACCAGTTATCTCGGGCATGCCATAACATGAACGCCAACTTGATTGAATAGGACGAAATGCGTGGACGAGTCAGCCAGTCAGCCATTCAGCCAGTCAGCCAGCCAGCCAGCTATTCAGCCATTCAAGCAAGCAAGCCAACAAGCGGTCAATTTAACCAGAAACAACATTGCTGCTCGCTTCTTCATCAACTAATGATCGTGCATCGGGCGGCTGATTGAAATTAGCTGCCTCTACGTAACCGCCTCTCCCCTGCCATGTCTGATTCCTAAATCACCTTATCGGGAGAATCGAATCGAAAGCCGATTGTTTCATAATGGTAGGAATCCGAAGTCCGATGTTCTGATAAACCCTTACATGTCCCCTCAAAAAGAAAGAAAAGAAAAAAACTCAATGCCGAAAACATGTCTGGTAGGACTGGGTACAACTTAAATCAATGATAGCGAATATTTTATCTCGGCAAAAGTGCAGTGCTTCCTGAATGAATTGCTATCAGAGAGCAAGCGGCATGTAGAAGCTAAGATATGGTCCTCATGCGCCTGCACGCCATCATTCGAAATCATTTGCACATATACTGAGGATGACAGTGGATGCTGATCGAAACACTAAGGACATATATATATGGCATGCTTACCTAGAGTTGTATCTTATTTGGTAGACCTTAATGGAGATGATTACATCTAGGGAGCGGAAGAGAAGTTAATAAGTTTTTATATTCATTTACACATTCTGCTTCCCAAATTTCACCGATTAAGCGCCTAAGAAAATAAATAAGAATCCGACCACCATAAATCCCGCCCCGCCAACAGCATATTTTCGGTTGGTGATGCTGCGGCGGAATACCTTGGAAGCTTCTGACAGGCTTGGCATCAGAATTATTTTTCTTTGAGCTCCGTTTGCATAACTAGTAAATAACTTGCAGTGAACGGAGCGGAATTCGTAAAATATATGATTTAAACTAACTATCTCATCTCACACTCCATTTTACAGCGTAGGGCGGAAGACACAATAACAATAACAATTAAAAAAAAAGGGCGGGGTGAGAGCAGAAGCGCCAAACTCCATTCTTCCCCCCGCTCCCCATTCCGCCTTCCTCTCCGCTCAACTCCCCCACAAAACCAAATCTACCCATAGTCACATACACAATGGACTCCTCAATGAACAACCTCCTAAAATGGAGTATCGAAAACTCCGCGCCAACGACAACGTCAACCGATGGCACGACGCCAGCTCCTGCCCCGCGCTCCCTCTCTCCCACAGCACTCCATCGCCTCCTCCTAAACGCACCTTCGGACGCCGAACTCATGAAAAACGCCATGGCCGCCATTCGCTCCCCCACCACCACGCTAGATGACAAGCTCATCGCCTTTGATAACTTCGAGCAACTGGTCGAGAACCTCGATAACGCGAACAACCTCGGCGTGCTGGGCCTGTGGGAGCCGTTGGTGCAGGAGCTCGAGGCGGCGGAGGCGGGGCGGCGGATGATGGGGGCGTGGTGCATCGGGACCGCTGTGCAGAATAATGCTGGGGCGCAGGAGATGGTATGTTTGCTTCTTTTATCTTTCTTTCTTTCTTCTTTCTTTCTTTTCTTTTTCTTTCGTTTTTTTTGCTCATACTTTCTTCATCAACGCTGTTCCTTCCTCTTCTTCTTCTTTTTTATCTTTGTATACATATATATATAGATTGACAAATCGACCTCCGCATACAGCTCCTCTCCAAATCCCCCACTGCCCTCTCAACCCTTTTCGCCCTCTCGCAGAACGATCCGGACACCTCCGTGCGACGCAAAGCCATCTACGCCCTCTCATCCGCCATCCGCAATCACCAACCCGCCATGGATGTATTACTAGGGCATATACCTAATGATGCAAGGGAAGAGATAGGAGAGCACGTTGACGCGAGCGACATGGAGGGGGTGGATAAGTTGGTTAGCTGGTTGAGACGTGCTTTGACCTAACCCGGTGGAAAATACATTTTGGCATGAACTGTACTCCCTCTTCTTTGTTTTGGGTTCTATGCTTTAATGGCTAGGATATATATATGATGGCGTTTTGCGGGGATAAAAATGGGCCTCGTTCGCATTTATTTTATTTTTTTTTTAGCTCTACACTATCTGGCACGTCCGAAGCAAGGTGTTTGATCGTGTTATATAAATGCTTAATACGGTATTGCCGAATGGGCTCGCTTCATACATTGAATACTGTCCGATTTATTATGAGATAACTAAGGGATAACGATAACGAAATAGGATCGGTGCTCTCAACCAGGTGAAAACAGATCTCAGTAGAGAACCCCAAAAGGAAAAGAAGGGTGAAAAAGACAATAATGAATCGTAGACGCCGAGAAAAAGCCAAACTTTCAAAAGTATAAAAAAAGGGGCGCCAATTCAATCGGTTCCAATATAACGACAATTAGATACAACGGGCAGCAGAATAAAAAAGAAAAGGTAGCTGGGTTATGCGAAAGTATCTAATCGCGATCAATAGATTTTTGTGCCATACCAATCGGATCGGTAGCCTTCTGATGACCATGGAAATCCGCCTACAACGTCAGGCTGTACGTATAATCTTCTTCCATGTTCTGTGATACCCATAGAACAGCAGAGCTAAAGGCGGGATTAATACCACGCATCAGCATATACCCATGTTCCAGTAGGGGAAGGGAGCAGCCCACCTCGTCATGATCATGGCATTGCAAAGCACATTAGCAATCCCAAAATATACCGTTTGCAGCGGATAGTCCTTCAGAACGTATTTAAGAACCAGGACAGTCTAGCAAAATAGCGCATGTTAGCCATATCTCTCAAATTCTCCATCCAGGCTCCAATCCACTCAATATCTCTATATTTGTCAATTTGCAAAGGGGAAATAAATAAGTAAAAACAATATAACATACTACACTCCCCGCCAACCCCCCCGCCAACAACGCAAAGCCTAAGAATAACACAAAGCGCGCTTTCCAGGCAACTCCGCTCCCGGAATAACTGTACGTATCCGCGCTCAGCCGCGACTTCTCAATGGAGTTGATCACCAGCATCCCCAGCGCGGAGCAGATGCCTGGGATCCAGTCGACGAACTTTACGTGGACGAAGCCGCCGTTTCTGGGGCTGCGGGAGAAGGCGGCGGCATCGATGAGGAAGAAGAAGCCGATAGAGAACTGGTTTGGACGGGCAAGAGACGAGTCCCTTCGTTAGCTGGCGGACGAAACAGTAAAGATGAGAGGTATGAGAGGGGTCTGGAGGGCTGGCTGAGGAAAGATACGTACCAGAGAGCCGGAAGCGTAGATTCCAGCCGTGCGTGCGTTGGAACTACTTAGCCATCGCGGTTTGGTAAAGCGGAAAAGGCGGTTATCCGAGTCGTCCATTGCGTAAGGGAAAATATTACAGGCTTTCTGATAGTTGATGTAGTCAAGATACAGCGATCGGTAGGTCAATATTTTCATCTGTTCGTTAAAGAGTGTAAAGGGAAAGATTGGCCACCGAATATAGTTCCGCCCTGGTATCTAGTTTGGATTTTGGTTCAAGCAGGAAGCCGCTGTTACAACACTGTAGTCTGTGGATGTTTTGTGTTGGATATCTCCTCCACTTTGTCCCCAACCGCCGAGCAGCGACGTCAGAAGGAGCTTTAGTCATGTGATTTGGCGTTTACAGCGCCAAGATCTGCTTCTATATTTAACTAAAGATTGCCCAGAGAGCAGCATGGAGATATGCACAATTTCGTACACAAATAAATTTAAAATGAAATCTCACATCGATCCCTAGGTTAGAAGTTACAGAGGATGGGACTCCTAAATGGTTTTCCAAGTTCCGAGCATCAAGCCCATAAATATGCTCCAAATCATCCACAGGGGATCCTATTTCACTATCTTATATATTGCGAAGGGTGTACAAGCAGCGTGCCACACCTCTTCGTATTCTAGTCATTGATAAGAAGACATGGCTCTTCAAAACGTGGTGTCTCTCTCCGCCATATATACTATGCCTCACAAAACAACCTCAATAACCCATCCACAAGATCCGTAGCTTTCTCCCTCTCTAAAATCGGCACACTCGCTGCCGTCACTTCATGAGACGCCTTGATTAGTCCGTCTTCTCCCGCAACCACTGAATTCCCAGTAGCTGTTGACCCATTAGGAACGTCCTTCAAATACCGCCTTAGGGCGAACGACGCCGCGCGATACGTAGCATGATACATAGCTTTGAAATCATCGTCATCATCTATTTCGGGGGAAGCAGCGGCAGGTATAAAGATAGCTGTTGATGGTCTTGAGTGCGACTGAGATTCCTTCGGAATCATCGCCGGCTTCGTCGTGGGAACAACTAGGGAATCAGCATCCGCCGTCTCTGCTTGCGAGGGTCGTTTCGATTGACCAGTGGCGGGAACTGGATTGCTCGTCCGCGAATTTCGATGGAACCCATATAAACGCATGCATGTTAGAATAGTTCGTGTTAATATTGCCTTGTTTGTGGCGATGATTTTAGTGGGCGACGCGGAGGTTAGCTGTGGTTGGGATTTCTGCGTATCCTGCTGTTGCTGTTGCTGTGGTGGAAGAGTCGCAGGCGTGCTTGTTCGACTCGAGACATTCGCCGTTCGTGGTCGTGCACCGATGTTCGAAGTGGAATTGCGTGGTGTAGCAGGTGAAGGTTGCTTGGGTACCTTCATAATCCTGCTGATCGACAGCGTTCGAGGTTTATGTGCAATGACCTTGCTAGATATGTTATTATCATTATAAGAAGATATATCCGAAGACTCCTTCTTAATCTTCATATTTGCAGAATTCGGCAGTTGATGGGCTGCTACCGCCGCCACTGACGACAACCTGCGTGACATGAGCTGCGCAACCGCCTCGCCGCCTTTCCGTCGAACCTTTTTATGGTATTCAGTCGCCGCGTCGAAAATGCTGGCCATCCGCTTCCGATTGGGACATGGAGATCGATGTTCGAGGAAGAATTCAGCAAATTCCTCGTTACCGTGATCGTTATTATTGTCATTATCATTACCGTCATTACATGCGAAAGGACCTGGCTTCGGGGTAAGTGGGGGAGATGGTAAAGCTTCAGCCTTTGCAATGAGTCCCGAACAAAGCATGACAGCGTAAATACGTAATTCCCTTTCCGGAGTGCTGGCTTCATTGTCATTCGAGGCTCCCAACTTTTCGTTGGGGAAAGCAGGGGATGGCAATGGAGGAGATGGTGACCGCTTTGAATGCGGAGAAGGAAAACAAAGCTCCCCATAAACAAGGATATCCGTCACATCATTGTCAGAGCCACTGGCAGCGCTGGGACATCGTTGCGGTTCTTCAACTGCCAAAAGCATCCCTGTTGGGCATTGTATAGGCAGCGAGCCATCCAGGAGACCGTCCTTGTCCTCGTGCTCATCATAGACACCTTTTAACAGTCTGCATTTCCACCATTCTATCATTTCGGAGTCTTTGACGCAAACCTTGAGAGCGGGGCCTAATCGTGCGTAATAAGGAATAAGGAAGGGGTTCACAAAGGCGCGAAGTGAGAGCTGGGCATCCTTGCGCAGTGGGCATTGACCCGTCAAAGGTGGTTCGACCAGGAGTGAGATGCCTGGCAGATAAGCGTGGTTAATTTATCAATTCTGTAGATAGAAAATGAAATTTGATTTTGAACATCACACATACCTTTCACTTGGGATATGTCCCCAACGCCAGTGATTGGACCTGACCAGACCTCCATTTGCGGGCAGTAATAGTATCTTATCGCGTGTCTCACTGCATACGAAGGAAATTGGGTGGAGTTGATTTTATATGAAACATAACTCCTATGGATAGTTATATCAGTTTATTCCATATCTACCATATATCGGGATGACCCAAAGTCACACAGCTTGTGGACTTTGAAAATTTGTTGAAGTTGACCTAAATAACTTTGCGACATTCGACCGCGACGAGATGGAATGACGTTGACTGATGTAGACGCGATATCACGTGCTTACGGAAAACTCACCCAGCGCAAGACAGATGTTTGACGAGAGGGATTGATATTGTACATATATAAAGTTAAAAGGCAAACGGACAAATGATCAGTAATTAGACAATTGTACATAATAAGGCTGCTATGGATGTTTCATGTGAATCCAGGGCAAGGGTCATTCTGCTGAAGCACATCTGGGCGCAGCCCCGAGACAAGTATATTCAAGTTGGTATTAGCATCCATATAGCAGCTCGAATATGATCTGCCAGCCTTACAATATAATCTTAACACCAGGAGGAAAAGTATCGCGTGCACACATGCTCGAAGAAAACGACAATAACAAAGAGAACTGGCAGTAACCAAGACCCTCAGTCAGAACAATATCATGAAACGCAGGAGACAGAAGAAAAGGGCAAAAATTAAAATAGCCAAATCACCGGCTCCTGGACACGTAGGGCAGATAGGACGTGAAAAGGTCAATATGGAGGAAGTTAATAATACCGAGACAATAGCGGTAGAACAGGCGGCGGCAACGAGGGGAACCAACAAAAAAGTTAGAGTCATGATTCTAATTATTTCTTAGAATTCCTCCTGCTCTTGGAAAAACATTGAGAAACTGATGATGGTGCCGTATATCAACAGACCGCCTAGGATCGACATGACCATCGCGGACATCTGGATGGCGCCGCTATGTGCCAGGAGAGCTGGGAGAGCTATTATTTGTATTGAAACAGATACGTTTTCAGTAAGCAGGTGTTTTGCATACAGTCGAGTTTTTATAGGGGTCAAAGCGGAGGGCGGTTGAGAATGTCTGCCGCTGGAAGCACTCTTATGAAGGGAAGTCGTAGATATTAAGGGAAGAAATCGACCCACCAACACCCATCACAACCAGGAAACCAGTACACCACCTCCCAAAGTCAACCACAGCGCTCCCCGCGCTCTCCATGAAATCATCCGGGTTGGCACAGCGGCCGCATATCCAGTTCGGTAGCGGGGCTATCACATATGTGGCAACGACGAGGAGGGGGAGGAAGTTATGCCACAGAGCGGCGGATAGGATGACGAGGAGGAAGCCGATTGCGAGGATCTGTTTGTGATTCGGAAGGGGAGGAGCGGTTAAAGATCTGGAGCTTATCAAATGGAAGTGAGGAGAAGAGGGTGTCGTACGAAAGAGAGGGATATGATGGTTTTTAGCCCTGCCGTCATGATGTCTGCGAGGATGAGGGTGGGATGGGGATGCGGGAGGAGGTGGAAGTGGTGGACGATGTCAAACCCGATCCAGCTTCAATAAAAGCATTAATGGAGCATCCCACAGCCAGGGGAGGGAGTGCGAGTATCGTTAGAAGTAAATAGCGAGCTTCTGGAGCAATATCTCGGTTGCGGCAGAGAAGGTCAAGTGCGGTTGTTGAATACTTGGGGCGGGCAACTAAGCGCTGGCGGTTTGGTACGTACGAAACATAACAGGCTGCAGTGGCACTGCTGCTGTATTGTAACATTTATACAGTAACATAAATATTTACATCTTAATTTTCCATACTCCCACTTCCAATACTATAGGATGGAATGACAACTAGTTAAGGTTAAGGGCCCTGAGAAAGATGAAATCCAGAGCCCTGATAGGGGTAGGATAGCCAATATATGTTATTGACGAAAATTCCCGTAGCTTTAAAATGATGTTTTACAAAAACGCCACAGAAAGGTATTTGTATAGAGTCCTGGTTTCTCCAGCCAGTAGAGGAAGATACCTCAAAATATGTATCTATTTCTTCAGACTACATAGCATACCTGCATAGAGTTGAACGGGGTTAGACTTGGTTTGTTACACGCCTACCCATTTCAAGTTGTGGTCGCGCGTATGGCAAGGGCGATTTTTATGTCTGTGCGATTTCGGTTGCTTGGAAGTAAGACTGCTATTCAAGATCGTAATCGCCCTGCACGGAGAAGGCATCTTCTCGGAATTTTGAGGCCAAGGAGGAATGGCTCTGTAAATTACTTGATTCTCTCCAGAGGGATTGAGAACAGCTTGATTCCGATCATAAGTATATTGGCATTGGAAGGGATGGCCGGAAGTGTCAAAGGAGGATTGCAAATCGCGAACACTGCTAATATTAGAAACTCTGGCATTTCGCAATTGGGAGCTGCTGTGAGAGGAGTTGAAACGAATGCCTAACATTATACTGCTGTTGGATACTTCCGTTGTTGGTCAATACAACCACTTTCCAGAGTTGAGAGACAGTCATCAATTACATAAACCAGTTACTATCGGCCTAACCCGATCTGGACTCAAGCTCTCCAAGTCCCTCGTCACTTTGGCTCTGCCTGGGAGACATGATTTACTCCCTCCGCTACGCAGCAACATCTAATTACAAGAGGATATACCTGGTATAGCTGTTTTACTCCTCTGATACCAATCTACCAGCTGCCAGTATCTATTCGCCATGTTTAGAAACAACTACGATAACGACTCGGTGACCTTGTAAGTCGCCAGACACCCAACTGCTATTTATCACCATTCGATAGACCCAATTCCACTAACCAGACAATGGATACTACAGCTCACCGCAGGGCCGAATCTTCCAAGTTGAATATGCTCAAGAAGCCGTAAAGCAGGGCTCAGTAGTCGTCGGAATCGTCAGCAAAACACATGCCGTCCTAGTGGCTCTGAAGGTAGGAAGGGTACTCCAATCAACAAATCACCCTAGACACCCAGCACTAACCTATACATGTTTGTATCTACATAGCGCAACGCCGAAGAACTCTCCTCCTACCAAAAGAAGATAATCCCCATAGACCAGCACCTAGGGATTGCCATCGCCGGCCTAGCCTCTGACGCCCGCGTCCTCTCAAACTACATGAAACAGCAATCCCTCGCCTCAAAAATGACCTACGGCAGACCTATCCCGCTCGAACGCATCGTCAGCCAGGTCGGCGAGCGTGCCCAGACAAACACCCAACTCTACGGCAAACGGCCCTACGGCGTCGGCCTTCTGGTGGCCGGCATCGATGACGCGGGGCCCCATTTATACGAATTCCAACCGTCCGGGATGACGCAGGAGATGGTTGCTTGTGCCATTGGGGCACGAAGTCAGATGGCGCGGACGTACTTAGAGCGCCACTTGGAAAAATTCAATGATTGTGGGCGGGAGGAGTTGATTCAGCATGGGCTGAGGGCGTTGAAGGAGAGCTTGTCTCAAGATAAGGAGCTGACGGTTGATAATACGACGGTCGGGATTGTCGGGACTGGGACTGGTGTGGGAAAGGGGAAGGTTGATGCATTTAGGCTATATGAGGGTTTGGAGGTTTCTGGGTTTCTAGAGAGTGCGAATACTGACGGGCAACAGGCGGAGGCGGAGGGAGCAGAGGGGCAGTCGATGGAAGTTGATTCATGATGATGTGATGATGATGGATGAGACTGGTTCTTGATTTCTTTTACTTGAATACGATGTCTATTTTTGATACTCCATGTTTTCCAGTCATGCTTTGTTTATCGGAATAGATTACGTTTTCTATCACTTCCCCCCTCTACCCCGAAACAACGCCATAAAAATTCAACATTCTAATCTAATAATAATAAAAGAGCGCAAACCGGGGGAACGCAAGGAGTCCTCATACCATCTTCACTTCCCTCATGCTTCAGCTATCCCTTAATTGGACGTCCAATTCAGCGAATACCTCTCCTCGCTAAGCCTATACCCTCTCAACGCCCCCAGAACCTCCTCTACGCTGCGACACTCAACCAGAATCCCCTTGTTCGCATGGCTCACAAACCCAGACTCCACACTCTTCTCCACCCACTGCAACAACCCATCCCAATACCCATCAATATTCAGCAGCACAATCCCACAATTGTGAATCCCAAGCTGATTCCACGTAACCATCTCCATCGCCTCCTCCAGTGTCCCAAATCCGCCCGCAAGAACAACAAAGCCGCTCCCCGGACCCCCATCCATCACCTTTTGCGCCATCGTTCGCTTACGCGTATGCATATCCGGCACCAGCGTCGTGAGTCCATACTCCGACTCCCCCATCGATGACCCCGCCTCCGCCCCGCCCTGCGCATTGTCATCGCTCATAATAATAACCCGCTCCGGCTCCTTTCCCCCATCTCTAGCCGTAAGCGATGTCCGATAGCCGTTCTCGATCTTGACGAGGGCGGTGGGAATCACGCCGTGGACAGCCTTGGGACCCGACAGAGAGACAAGGGTACGTGCGAGCTCACCCATGATGCCGCCCGTGCCGCCGCCGTAGACGAGGGTGATGTTTTCTTTGTGGAAGATGTGGGCGAGGGCGCGGGCTGCGGCGAGGTGGGCCGGGGAGTTGCCGCTGTATGCGCCGCAGCTGAAGGATGGCGGTTAGTGTGTCATATACAGAGAGGATTTTGGTTAGATGAAGAGGGAGATAGATGACGATAAGGTATACTTACAAGACGCAGATTACAGTGGGTTTATCCGCATTTGGCCGTGCAGTGGTGGCCGCAGTTGTAGCCATGTTGGGCGAGATATATTTAGCAATTCTAGATATTGATACGAGCGTGTGCCTTTACGCGTCGCGAGGGGATGGATATGCGAATAGTTCTTCTCAAAAGTCAAAACCCGGTATCTATGAACTACGAGCACCTGAGTTAAGTAAAGGGTGCCGATGGTGAGTGTAGGGAGAATTAAATATAGAGGGGCAAATTCCCAACTGGTTTCAGGCGGGAACACGGAAGTTCGTCGCGGACGTGCGCCGCGGCGGATAGCTAAAATTATTCTCCTGAAACGGACATATTGCAGTTAAATGCTAATGTACTTTACAACTTGGCCAACAATATTGGCCTGCCCCTCCGTATGCGCCATAAGTTGCTAACTCCTTGTATTCCCCCCCATATACCCCACAATTTGAGTGTATTGAAAAATAAAATTAGAACAACAGCCAATCGTCAAGTGTAAATATCCAATCCATAGTACTCATGAAACACCAGCACCAGGCCCCGTGGCCGAAGAAACCACCGCAGTCGATAATATCTTACTCTTCCTCCTCTTAGTCCTCTCCTTCATCCCACCTGGCGTAGTAGGACTCTTCTCCCCTCCTTTTCCCGTCTTCCCTACCCCAATCGTAGCCGGATCTGTCTTAATAGCTGATAGTGCTGTTGTTGTTCCGGTTGCCGCTGGTGTGCCCGGTTTGCTCATACTGCCTCCTACACCAGCGGGAGTGGGGGCTTTGGATGCCTCGCTATTCACAGGCTGGCGCATTCCTACAACAAGCGGCTCCGTGGATGTTTTCCCGATGATGAAAGACCCTGGCTCACCTAGTAAAGGCGCGTCGTCCATGTATTCATCGCCGTAGCGGGAGAGGAGGTTGAAGGCTTCGATGAGGCTGCGGGAATCTTGCATTGTAGTAGATGATGAGGTTAGGGGAGATACGGACGTAGAGGCGGATGGCTGCTCTGCTGTTGATGATAGGGCGCTTGCGTCCTTGGATTGTAAGAGGGCGTCGGGCATGGGAGTATCGGCGACGCTCTGCTGGTCGGATTGTTGCACACCTGGGCGCGATGATTCGAGGGCTTTAGGAACGGGCGGCATGTACGTGTGGCCGTATGAAGGGGAGAAGATGGGTAACGGGGACGCGGCAGAGAGGGCCTTTGTCAGGGATGTGACTGTTGACAGCTGCGGAGTTAGGTGTTGTTAGTACTATCGCGAATAAGGAGAAGATAGATGCGATAGGTTTTCCGGAGTTGAATGCATACTATCCGACTTCCCACAATCTTCAACACCGACGGTGCCATATACACCGAATCCCCCACGACAAAATACGTTGCGAGAACCTGAATCTCATCATCACTACCCGCAGGCCCTGATCCCAGTCCCGCCCGCTTCTTTCGCATTTGTTTCCGGATCACCCACACATTCGACGGCTCCTGCTGCACCCGTTGTTGTTGAATCCCGCCCGCCGCCGCAGCCTCCTGCAACGGATCATGCACGACCATGAACTCCAACCCTTGCATGCCCTTCAGTCGGCCCTCAAAGGCCTCGCGCGTCTCGAGGAAGTGGCGGAAATTCTCATTATAGGAGGCTTGGACGGCGAGGGAGGCATTGTTTGAAGTTTTGTCGAAGAAGGGCGATTCAGCGAAGTAGAAGAGGACTGTTTGATATATTAGTCTTTAGCGCCCCAGTTTTTAGAGATACAGCGACCTGGATATGTATATACCCACTGTTGTTTGAATGGAGGTAGCCGCCCATCATCTGTACATGTTGCGGAGATCGCCAGGTGATTTCCTCCAGTGGGACTTCAGGCTGCGCGGCCATGGTGAGGGTGACATGGGGATTTTAAAGAGGAAAAGTGAGGGGAGAGCTGGAAAACTAGAATATATTGAGTAGTGCCATGGAACGGGCTGACAATTGTTTCTCGCTCATCGAATCCAAAATCCATGCATGATAGGTAGGAAAATGAGTTCGTTCCGGTTAGTGACTAGTGTATCAAATTTCGTCATCTCCGTGTTCAGGAAAATTACATCCAGATCTACATGATCCACAGCTATTTCTTCAGCCCAAAGTGGAATAACTAAAAGTAAAAAAAATAGAACGCTATCCATAGAGTGAAGAGCCATATCAGGAGCTCTTTGATGATAAGGCCAGACATTGGGGCAAGGGATATTAATTGTGCGGCAATTGTAAAGAAGTGATCACTGAAGCAGCTTAAGAGGAGAAGATGAAGAGGTTGGTTGAAATAGCTAAGATAAAGCAATTAAGCCGCCCACCCAGCCATCGCCAGCACAAATGTAAACAGAAAAGAACAAAATCAATAAATCGGCCCACGCCTGCTCTACGTGTACGGCGTGTCTTAAACTGCCTCCGCCAACACCGTGTCGAAGTGATATTCGATCTGGCGATAATCGCGATTTGTGCGAGTATCCATTCCGTTTCGATATTTCAGAAATCCATCAAATAAAAGAGAAGTGAAGGAAAGAGAATAACAAAATCAAGAGAGAAAAATATATCGTTGACCCCTTCAAAACTGTGATCAAGTCAGCCCCGGCAGATCCTACCCCCCGGCTTTACTAAAACGGCATAGTCCGCTGCAACTTATCGACCTCTTTAAGACACACAATAGCCGCAATCCACGGGAAACTGAGTAGCCTGTGCTTTCTACCTTGTTTATCCGCCCCGTAGCCATGTCCCAATTGATCCTGGTGTTGCTGTTTCAACTTACGATAGTGACGAGCAACAGACGAATCATGTTTAGGTCCAGAGGCAGTCCGTGACGAGTGGTTATCCTTCTTCTCTTCTTCGACAGCGATGTAAAGGCAGGCTATGGAACGCTCGAGTGATTCCACACCGCCGGCTTCACGGTCTTGGATCATGGCGGTGACGAATTGGACGAGGTCCTCATATTCTAATTTTAACGTACGGGTTAGTTATGGAATCTTATAAGGGATAGCAGTGTATGCAATATAGGAAGCCAAGATGTGTATTATTCTAATTAAGCATGGAAACGTGCAGGTTATGCATGGAAATGAACTTACCCTCCCTCATCTGCTTCGACGAGTCCTTCTGCCGCTGGGAGAGTTTTTGTCCATGGCCCAGGATAGTGCCAACGAACACTTCGTACTCGGTGATGGAGCTCTTCCACGGAGTGGAGGAGTACCGAGCCATGATTTCCAAGAGGTTATCTTCGTAACTAAAACAGGCAGAACAGATAAAGCTGTCAGCGAAAAGGGAGAAAAGGAGAGAAAAAGAGAAGAAAAGGGAACAGCGATCCCAGATCACCTACATTTGCCGAATATCCAGCGCATGCTCAATATGGTGATCCCATAAAAATCCCTCTGCTTCCCTTTGCACAAACTCCCAGACGCCTTGGAGTACACTGGGAGCACCCATCGCCGACGGCAACTCCATGGCACTTTGCCGATGTTGAAGGAACTTCACCTCATCAATGGACCGGTATAGTTTGCCCAGAATATTTTCACTTTTGTAGAATCTTACAGCCGGGCGTTCGTCGTCATCTTCATCGCCACCATCTTGCACTGCATCCATATCTCCTTCCAGTAGAGATAGATTTTCTGCAATGCGGATGCGGGGACTGGGAGCCTGGAAATCTGGACGGCAGCTAGGGAATTTGGGGATACGTGCTAGATCAACCTATTATTTCGTATAAAATATGGGGTCAGTATATAACCTAGACATATGTCGTAAAGCCTCTCAAATATGCATTGAAGGGAATGCTGTTATGGAACGTACTGGAACCCCAGTCTTTGAGAAATCAACGGCGGTAGAATGTAGCTCCGCAAGCAATAAGCATTCCGGATCAAAGGTCCCAAGAGGCCGTCGATCGGCAAGCGCCTGATGAATTGTAGCAATTCTCCCCAGCTGATCCTGTTGCATGAACGTCACGAAAAAATCTATAATATCCTCTCTAACGACTGCGCGACCAAGCACTTTTTCCTGGACACGAGGATACTCTGCCGGTCGAGCGATTCGCTTCGGAAGTAATGTATTATCGAATATGACGTTATACAGATCACCGTCTAGATCACCGCCGCTCAGCATGCTGGGGAGATCGCGATGGCCGTGCTGGCTGAAAGCGATACAATTGTGGAGTTGGCGTAGAGGAGAATCGGCGGGGACATCGACAGCCCTTGCGATTTGGACGTCCCCGGGATGCATGGCCGGCGAACGAGTCACAACGACCCTAGGATTCACAAGCACCTCCCTGACTCCTTTATCGGACAAACTTGTACAGAATACCTCCCCTTCCTTGAGGATCCCAGTCTCATCCATGATACCGAAGAGTGTCACAGCATTGGGCACTCGGATTCGAGCACGATATTTTAGATCTCGCAGCTTGATCAGAACAGCAAGCTCCATCACTCGACGTAGGAATTCGTCGTTTGAGTGACGGAGCCCAAAGCCTTCCAGGATATTAATAAGCCACGGTAGCCCTACTGACTTTGCTATATTTGTGTCTTCTAAAAACCTAGCAGCCTTTGCCGTCGAGGTCGCCGTAGCACGGAGTCGTGAAATCTCATCTGCCTGCAACCTCAAAAACACACTGTCGTCAACGCCAAGATCCTCGAGAATCTTGATCAGCTGGGCATTGAGGAAGAAAGGTAGCGGCTTTAGTCCTGATCCACATATTTCGATATTGAAAGCATTATACGAATGTGGCAGATGGAATTTGATCATGGATGGTCTCAGAACCAGCGATTTACCCTTTTTTCTGCTATCAAGAGATATCATTCCTTTAGCACCTGCATTTAAAAGAGCCAGTTAGAAGAGGAACAAAAGAGGAATATACACTATAAACAAATTTCAAAGGTTCGATGTGACATGGAAAGGGAAATAAATACCCGCAAGCCTAATTTGAAAGACAGTAGGTTTCACCACGGTCCGTAGCGAATGGTCCTTCCAGATCATATACATCACGGAAGGTGATATCGTACCGACGCCATCACTAAAGACCCGTCCGTTCCGTTCCACATCTTTTCCTACTGAAATATACTTCTCCGATATCGGGATGGAAGTCAGGGTATCAGAGAATGTCTGTCCAATTCTCGCAGCCTGCTTTGCTGGAGATTGTATATGATCAAACCTCCCCAGGTTCTGAATGATAGTCGTGGCATTGTATAGAATTCTATCCTTATAAAACGGGGCGACGAACCAGCACGTTTGAGAGCGCAGTGACGAATGAGAAAAGCCAAGAAACTCAAATTTACGACCGGCTATGTTGATTCCTGATTTCAAGACCGTTTTGAAACGAGATTCAAAAATCATATCGATAGATGCGCGAGGGTCATATCGGACAGGGTCACCGGTTTCGTCCACAAATTCAACCCGGAGGAAATGGTCAACATGGCTAGAATAGTGGCGCAAAACTCGATTCTTTGTTTCCGCGTGAGGCCCATCAAGGTAGGTACCGCAAGGGGTAATCTGAGCACGGTGGATCGAGACGTGATTGGGGTGCATGGGGCGGTTGGAGCGGGTCATCTCGCGCTCGCGGGCGGTGCTCTCAAGGGCATTTTTGAACACCTCCACCAGCGCGGGCACGTCAACCTCTGAGGCTTCCACGTCTGGGGATGGCCATTTCACGTCGGATGAGAGTCTCATCAACGCTCGAACGACAATATCCAGATCTTCAATGACTAGCGTGGCTCGGACACGGGATGCAAATGAGATCGCTTTGGCGGGAGATATGTCACCGTTCCACACCAGCTTTTGTAATTGGAACCTGACGCGATATGGCATATTTTCCTGAGATAAGAAAGCCGTGAACCTCTGCATTAAGGTGGAGTAAGGCACATCGTACTTTGCTCGATGGTCGACCCATCTAGCAATGTCAGGGATATGGCGCTCGTTGGCAAGATCTCGAACGACAACTAGATCATCCGAAATTTTCAGGAGAAATCTGTAGACAAAACAAGTACCGGCAAGAGCCTCGTGTTCACCACCGAAATGGCCAACCCTAGTTTTTAGGGGACGCCCTCGCATCCACTTTTGCTGGATTTGAAGCATATCATGAAGTCCAGCCGCCAACACATCTGTTGGATCAGTCTTGTATAATCTCGGAGCAGTATCAGCGGTGATAGTAATAGAGGGAGCGTTGATCGTGCCCGTGTAGATCGATCCGAGGATATTAGAGTAGGTGAACTCTAAGTGATAGATCACATCTTGTGCGGTTTCTAGTGCAACCCGAACAGCAGTTTTACCAAACGCGATCTTGCCATTCTCCCCACAGCGATAACACTCAATAAACACTGGATTGCCTTGGTGATAGTCCCACATACCACAGGACATTGCGGTGATGGAAAAACTCTTGAGTCGTTTAACAGGCGGCGCTTGATGACGATTCTGTACGTTGTTGGATATTGCTCCACGCGCAAGCCTAGTTTCTTCCTCATTCCTTAATGAGCGAAGCAGAAACTCGTCTGGAGAATTGCGGCCCTGTTCTATGACGATGACCTGCCCAAACATCCTCAGTTGTTGTCTGGGAGGTCTTCGCGCCCTCCCCGGGCCACTGCTCCGACCGTATGTAGCAAGCAGCTTTAAGGCCTTACTAAGATCGCTAATAGTCAAAATGGCATTGCGGTTGGGGAGCTTGCGGCAATGGAAACAGTGGATGCCAAAGGGTGCAAGTACAGGTCTGAATTGTCGCGTCAAGTGGTTGTCCTGCACCTGATCTGGGACATTTCGACAGAAGATCTCCATCGCACAGGAACAGGTAGAAGTTGAAGTATTCAGACCAAGGGAACCTCTATCCTATTTGCGATATGTCCTCAAAGAGAGAGACAAAAGCCCCTTTAATTGGGGAACAAGGGACACATGGTACTGTAGATAGTGACAAGAGGAGGTCGAGTCGAAACACATGAGAATGGAGGGAAAGTAGGCAAGAGAGAATCCCAACAACAAAGAAAAGAGCAGCGTCAACACCAATATAGTAAATGCAAGAGAAATAGACAATAGCACATGGAGCCTTGAGGCCTCCAACAAGAACCTAAGATGCCCAACCCGTGCTGGGATTTCCTCTGAAAAACTACCCAAGCCTGCAGCTACTGTCAGGCTGCATGCTTGGACCAAACGGAGCGTCAAGGATACTGTGGGTTGATGATTGAGAGAGCGTGCAACGAAAAAAGATTAGAATAATAAAGAATAAAACAGAATGGGCGGCCAGAAAGTTCTATAGAAAGAGTCCTCGAGAGCAGAAACGAACGCCGTCGATGGTGGTTTTGTGATGTGGGCCAGTTAGGTGCCGGCTCTAAAATGCACCCACATTTGCACTCAAATTCCTATTACTAATACGCTGTTGTCAATGAAGTCGTTTTTAAAACCTGACAGGTCACAGGCTTATTTGTAGAGCATATCATGTGCATGCGGCCTACGGAGATTGGTAGTCTATGCAAAGGCACAGTTCAAACGGCGGGGAGTGATTGCACGCATAGGCAGTTCAATGGAAACTTGAACGTATTTCGATTATGGTGATGGTGGTGAACACGGATGAAGTGCTCTGTATATAAATAAATGTCCGTTGACGTATCTAACCCACGGCTGAATTGACCAACTCGAATCACAATAGCAGCTTGAGGACCAGCAAAATGGGAATCCATCCCTTCTATAGTATTCCAATGGGGGTTGTGATAGTAGTAATAAGCGCAAGGAATGTAAAACCCCAACGTGTTGAAACGCTTCGATTGTAGAATTTCTTTAGAAAACTAGATAGAACACACCCAATCCAAAGAAGAAAAAAAGGAAAGAAAAGAAAAGAAACATGCATAATTCGTTATTCATGCGATGTCATATGGTTTGCCTAATGATGAAGAGGTAGGAGGAATATCAGTCGGTTGATCAACCATATAATCGAGAAGAAGGAAGAACAGTTTTTTTGAAATATTGTACAGTGGGTAATTTTCAAAGCCACCCATCTTGCTTAACCAGTTGTGTCACTGAACTCCACTGACAAGCGTCGTGGGCTACTCTGGTTGGCAAGGGCCAAAGAATCATCGTCCTCGCCCTGAATCGTTGTTATGGCGTTCACCTCCAGCAGCGCTTGTGGGACAATCGGTGAGTTTATCCTGCGTCACTGGCAATTCTCAGCAGCATTTCCATTCATATCCCCACCGCCATCCGCATTTTCATCGGCCTCTGCTGAACCATGGAATATTCCCAGTACCGTATCCAGCTTTGTGATCATTTCATCCCATTCCCCCTCTGGTGTACTGAGTGCTGTGACTGCTCCTCCGGCTCCAATGCGCCACACCTCTTGCTTAGTCGCCGGGTTAATCCAGCAATAAGCCGTGCGGATGATGACAGAGAAACATGACCGACCCCCAGCGTCAAAGTAGCCCATGACTCCCGAGTAGATGCCTCGTTTCTCCCCTTCAATCTTCCGTAACAGTTCACACGACCGTTTCTTCGGCGCACCGGTCATGGACCCGGGGGGTAGACATTGCCGAAGAGCGCAGTAATCATGTGGGTTGGCCTTTTCTTTTAACCGAACAGGGTTCCGCGTTTTCCCAGCTGGAGGAACAGACTGCGGAATACCTTTAACATGGGTGACCAGCTGGTAGACCCGAGGATGATCTTCCACTTCAAGCAATTTATGAACAGTGACGCCACCAGAGTTGCACACATTGAACAAGTCATGTCGCACCAGGTCTGCAATCATCAAGTTCTCGCCCATCTCTTTCGGCGTGTTTAAAATTTCCCTGGCCTTTTCCAACGTCATGTCTTCGCTTTTCTTGACTGTACCCTTCATCGGCTTCATGTGGATTTGGCAATTCCTGTCATATTCAAGAAAGCATTCAGGGCTCCTGCTTATTATTGCGGCATTCCCGATCCTCGCGAACGCCCCATAAGCTGCCGGCGTATATTTCCGGAGTCGCTTGTACAAGATCCAGGGGCGGATGTTTTCCTCCAGAAGGTATTGGCACGGGCGAAGGACGACACTCGTTTGATCCGTCAGGCAAAGTTCGTACGACTCGCCGTCACGAATATATTCCTGGCATTTTGCGATTTTCTCCTTGTAGACCTGTTCGTCAGGCTTGATGATTTTAGATCCTCTAACCATTATTTCCCCCAGTTGCTCATCAGAATACTTCATTCGTGAGACGTTGTTGCTATCTCCCGCAATACGATTGGAAGCAGCTGTGAGATTAAAGGCGATATCGTCCCCTGATTTTTTATCCTTGAGTCCAAGAAGCCGATTCACGGTAATATCAATCCATTCACACGGCCGCTCATCAAACTCTCGCATTGACTGAACGTAAATTTTATGTGTTTCCTGGTCGACCACAATGCTTCGTTCAACCCATAGGAGACCTACGTCCCTGGTGCCGTCGTTGACCGTAGTTATCGGAGTAGCCTCTTTATCCAGGTTCGCAAGGCCCATTTCGTAAGAGAAATAGCCCATAAAACCGCCCCAGAAAGGTAGGGAACTGCATCCTGTCAGAACTTTCTTTTTAGAGAGGATGCGAGTCAAAAGTTCCCAAACATGGGAATGCTCATGGCAGTATTCCTTGCTTGACATTGAACCGCATAGGCGAGAGATAGTGCTTTTCCGTGTGGAAAGCGAGTACTCAAGTATCCATGAGCCAGGGCTGGGAACGGAAATAATGTTGTATCTCGCGTTTGAATCTAGAACGACACATGGTGATTTTGGGATATCGACAACTTCGCATATTTCCTCTATTGTCAGGGAGCCACGGTCGAGAGTTCGATATGATGACGTGCTTATTGACGAACTGCACCACTCGAGGATCTCATCACCGGTCTCGAGAAGTACATCGCTTACTGCTCGAGGGTCATGAGTTTCCACCAACCCCCTGTTAATCCTGCGAAACTGGCGGTTATGCTCAAGCACAAACGTCCACCAGTTCTTGATCATCTTACGAGAGGCTGGATCAGACTTGCACGATTCAGGGTGGAACTGAACACCCCAGAAAGGCTTGCTGCGATGGCGGACAGCCATCAGGTTGGCTTCACCAGGCGTCGCACTATCACGGAACCACGCGAGAGGTATCAGATCCGGACATTTTGAACTTGCAACCCAACATAGCTCACTGTCAGCGACATCCCCGGACGCTTCCACCTCATGCCCCAAATCCACTTGCAATGAGTGATACAGTGTAACCTCAAAACTCGCCGGCAAGCTATCAAAGATATCCGTTCCGGAATGCGTAAACGAAACCACTTTACCATGGCGAGGTTCGGGGAGCTTGCGGATGGATGCACCAAATTTCACGCAGAGACTTTGAAATCCAAGACAGACACCGAAAACAGGAATATTATCCAGCTCCCATATGTCACTCATAATGCCCACATCCTTCGGATTTGTTGCTGTCCCCGGCCCAGGGCTAGCGACTATCGCATCGAATCCGCTAAGAAAGGCTTCCTTGTCCGCTGGCCACTTGCTATCGATCTTGACAATCGTAACCACAACATCTAACGTGCATTCGATCAAATCAACGATATTACCAGTAAACGAGTCGTATGCATCAATATATAAAATATGCCCCACACCTTTCATTCTGGAACGGCTACACGTCATGGCTTCGGATTAAGAGGGGGCTACAGGGGAAACATGCGATGGCAAAATGATAGTGAGATCAGTCAAATGCAAAGATTACAACAGCCCAAAAAAGGCCAATTCGCAACATACCCCGTCTCCTTCCAGAAAGAGTGAGAGAACAAGACCAATTGTATCCTCGATATGGGTAAAAGCTCGTTTGCCTCTGGTCCAGGAGTTGACCACTCTAGATTCGAAACATCTGAGACCCTAGTATCTGCTCGGATAGCCAGTTGCTCAAAATGGAGTGGACAGCTCGCAATACAAATTGAAAACGCACAGAGAGTGGCTCCCTGGTCGGACGAGCTCTAGCAGTGCAATGAGAAAAATTAAAAATAGTTGATTTGAAGTAAAAGCGCTGGGCCAACTCTGTCAAAAAAATAAATCAATAAATTAAAAAAAAAAAAAAACTTTTGCATCCCTGCTGATGCCACGTGACCACACCTATTTAAGTGGTACTGGTGCATCAGAGTTACAATGAACCAACCCTTCCATCGCAAGAAATATAAGTAACTGAGAAAGGCGCTGAATCTAGGAGAAAAAAGTTGGAAATTCAAATTGCCTCCCCGCCGCAAGGCATGGATAGAGTTTAGCCCCATGTCCTAGTTTTTTTCTTTTTTTTTTCCCCCCCTTGCTAACCACGTGCAACAAGGTGTCTGCACAGGCAAAGAAAACAGCATGGACCCTGGGATGGATAATACACTGCAGCAGCACGTTGAACGGATCGTAATTTTACTATTATATTCAACGAAGCTGGTGTGGTTTTTTATTTCTTTTTGACGCGGGGATTTAGTAGCGGGGAGCAAGCAGTTTCGGCCAAAATTTATAGTTTTCCACAGCCAAAAGTGCTGAAGGACTCCGTCTTTCCTCTGTCGAATTATCACCATTAACACAAGTCCTATACATACATACATGCTACCATGCATTCCAGAAAAGAGCCATCATTTGTAACTCCACGGTGTCCAACGCCTTTAAATGGGTCTATACATATCTAGATGCATTGACTGATGCCTGATTGTAATGCGCCGCGACAAATATCTAATCTACAACAATGACAACGAGAAGGGAAATAAATGAAAGCAACCGAAATTATCATTTGCCGGTAGCAGCGGGAGAAGAGACGCCTGGGGGTACCGCCGCAGTAGTCGAGGACGCCGTGTACTCCACTATCTTCCTAGCAACCCTGGGGAAATATTGCCCCACGAAACCCTCGCTGATAACCAGTTACGAGTTAGCAAAAGAGACCTATACATTTTTATCTCATAACAGCAAAGCCGAACTGAATTCACAATTGGTAAGCGGGAGAGAGGAAATAAATAGGATGAACTTACGTATAAAAACTATGATCTGAGCTATGGTCCTCAACCAAATTATGAGCCAGCTCATGACAAAAAATTACCCACCAGTACACCAACGGCTCATCGCGACACCCCGGCCCTCCGCTCGACATCCGCGGCTGATGCAGCAGCTGGAAGTAGAGGTAGTTGCAAAAAATGCTGCCCTGGCTGTTAAACGCAATCGTCTGGCCAGCCGGATCGTAAAATATGTTGACACTGTCTAGCCGGAGTGAAAACACACTAGCGCAATCTGTCAAGATCGAGGCGAAGGCGTTAAGGCCGTTCGAATTCGCAGCTAGGAACGTAGAGCGATCGTTCACTGTTTTCGCCACGAATATCCGGATGTTAGAGGTAGAATCGGCCGCAAATACAAGGTCGTGGCTGGGTCTCTCGTCGCAGTATGATTTGGTTTCCACGACTTTATTCTGTTCGCCACGGCTGTAGAGCGTTGTCGATCCGTGCGGTCGACATGCTTGGATGGCAGACATCAGGTTTGATTGGAGTGCATGGGGCGATGTCACTGGTTGTGGATTGGGATTCTTTGTCGAATCTGGTTCGTTAGTAGTGTACGGCGGTGGAGGGGCGTCAGACGAGGAGCTAGGTTGGTGTCTTCTGTCACGGAGACCTTGCATGGCGGATTGCACGGGACTATTCGATCGCGCGAAATCCTCTAATCCGAATCGACGAGTCAGGTCAGAGAAAAGTCCTCTTCCGCTCTTTGGACGGGTAGGTGTTGCTTCTGAAGATGCTGCGTTATGGCTCGGCTTCCTTTCATGAGGTGGGGACGAACTGGGAAAATCTCCAGGCATCAACTGCTGTTCGTGGTGATCCTGTGACTGTTCAGATTGCTGGCCTTTTCTCCAAGCAACTTCATTTTCTTGGATTTGTTTTAACTCTTCTTCCAACTGCTGCTGCCGTTTGATTTCCTCCATCCGAGCTTCAGCAGCCTTTTGGCGAAGGATACGCTCGACATTATAGCCTCGAGCACGCAGCTCGAGGAGGTCGGTTTTGAGCAACATCTCCAGTGTGAGTGTTAAGTGTAATTTCGGTCTATGGAGAATGAGATGAACAAGTGCCTGACTGACTTGGTATAAATTTGGTCGACCGGCAGCCATCGATAATACCCAGCCGGTCTGGGTTTGCATGACAACAGCGCTCCGTTGTTCAACATGTGAAGCATGATGGCCCTTAAGGGTCCGTCTCAAGGAGATAGACTGCACAACTTGAACTGAAAGATTTCGCTCCAGCCACTTGGTATCATGTTTGATCATATCGCGAGGCAGGTCGTGGAGAAATAAGCGAGACCGCTCATAAATTTGCTTCTGCAATTTTACTGCAACGCGCTGATCGGGTGCCAGACTGCCACACCGAGCTTGCTCCTCCACAAGCTCGCTCAAGCATGGTGTGCCTAGGGCAACATATAGATGTTCAAGCAGCTCCTCTTGCGGCGCAGCAAGGATATTTTGCTTAAACAAGCTAAAACTGGAATAGTCATCGATGATAATAGCATCATGAGCTTTTACTAGTTGCCATTCCTTAATGGCTTGCGTATCGTCTTCATAAGTTTCATCGTCAATATCAATTAATTTTTCGTCCGGTTTGCGAGAAGCAGTCGGTTTGGAAGGCAATTCTCTGCTCGCGAGTAGGAATGGTGCTGTTTTCATCTCCCTGAACAAATCTCTGTTCTTCTTTAACAATGGAATGCTTTCGGCGAGACTCCGCAAGAGATTCAAATATTTTTCAGGGGTTTGAAGCTTTGCAGATATCATAGCGGGTTCCTTGACCAACATGCTCGCAACTTCAGTCTTGGTCGGTTCCCGCTTGGAGCCACACGCAAGGAGAAACAGATTGGCTTCTTGTCCAAAGTCAACAAAATCAAATATGTTTCCGTAGTCTTCACTTTCGCCGAGATAACAATCTCGTGGTGCAATATGAGTGACTGGTGAAGACTTGTCCTTCGGGAACAAGTTAGAATTGGACGTCTTTCGGATTACAGGGACTATGTGTGCTTGACCAATACGCTCTGATCGAGGTGAATTGATCTCTCCTAGACGTTTGGCGAAATATTCAAACAAAATTCTGGCCTCCTTTTTCGAGGGAGGAGGGTTGCTAACAAGAATATCAATACAGGCACTGAGCGACGGATGCTGGCTGACACCAAATTTTGAGGCATGGGGCCAAAGATCTCTTCTTAGGAGATCAAATCCGAATAGGGTAGCTCCTTCATCGGTGAAACAATGCTTCGGTGTGCTGAGTTTGTTTTGTCCTTCAATTGGAAGATATGGCATGTTAACCGTGGATGCATCAAAATTGACATATCCATTGGAAATATGGTGGGTTATATAATACGCCATCGCCTTATCTCGGAGTTTGGCTTTGTCTGCCGTGGCTGCCCAAGCCATAAGTTGTAATACCTCTTGAGCTGCTGGAAAACTCTTGAGTCCCAGCAGCGACAAAAACCGCCCCTCGGGGCTACTTGGTGAAAACTTTCCCGGCCAATAAAGTATCGGCAATTCAAGAGCCTTCAATGACTCATCCGGCACATAAAGGTCGCAAACTTTATATCGTTTACCATCCAAGTTAGGATTTTCATTGGCTACAGCGGTGCATATTTTTGCTTGTTTCAGTTTTTGAATATCTTCTGGTGGAATATCGTCTCGAACGGAAGTCAGGTATTTGATCAAATCTACGTGACTCCACATCTTGAGGGTTGGGGTTTTCTCGTCGGTCGATTTATCATCCTTGTTCAGTAGTCTTTCAAAAATCACGTTGAGTTCAACGGTCTTCCGAACACCTAGAGCGCCGAGGAATTTCTCCTTGACGTTGTTTAGCCCTGTCACGACAGGTAAATCGTCAAATAGTCTTACAGACGGGAAATACGCTTCAGGTGGCCGTTTCATCCCAGACTTGGTGGGGATGATTGTAGTATTTCGCAGAAGACCAGTGAGGGTACCCTTTGTGGATATATCTAAGCTATCCCATTGTTTAGATAGCACAGGGAGCACCTGGGTAGCAAATGAGGCGGCCTGCGTAATATCTTGGTCTGGACGAAGCAAGCCCCTATTTTTCGCATTTTCTACCAGCCATGTAATCCAAGTAGAAATCTGCAGTTCTTTCCATTGCAAGGCCTCCAGAGAATGCCTTGGCAAATTCTTCGTATATTTGAAAGGCATGACGGATAGTGGCATGGGCAATTCCGCAGGAATTTTATTCGGGTTCACGAAACTATTCACATCACTGAGAACAATAACATGGGAGGAAACGCCACCAGGAGATTCGTCATTTGCGACTGCCACTCGTAGTAAGGATCGGACTGTCGGAATGTCAATGTCACGGGTGGAAGCTTTTTTGGTCACCCAAGACAGGAATTCTTCCAATTGCTTTGAGGTCAGAGGATGAGACTCCAACTCTTTGATAATATCTGAGACGTTAATGTCGGTGACAAGGCCGAAATCCGCCAAGCGCTTCACAAAATCCTTTGCTCCTGTCATAAGCTCGTCTGGTATTACCGGTATGGAACCCATGAAGCTGAGATCCTTGTGTGCAATTCGCACCTGGTGACACGGAAGGATCCCGGAAGTAGATAATACTTCAATCGTTGCATTTTTGCTACAGGTCCAGAATGAATCTTCGATTACCTGGCCAACCTTCGATGTTGGAGTTGATTCACGGAAGACAAACTGGTTGAAAGTATGCACTGCCTCCGGTAATAGATGGGTTATGTCCTCCATCCGAATGTTCGACCGACCAAGCTGGTTTACTCCAGCCCGAATCCGGTTATTGAGAGACGACATCTCAGCGGAGAAGGCGATCCTGCAAACAATTCCTGCAGCTCTCAATAATTCAAGGTTCCAAGTGCGAACCCACCAGGCATTGAGATCAATGCTTTCTCTCTCCACTGTCGGGATTATCGACGGTGCAGAGATATGTGCATTTAAGCCTGTAGTCTGGTGCGTGGGGAAGCCAATAAAGATTCTACCAGACCTTGAAGGCAGGACGGAGGCAAAGATATCTGCATTCTTTGAGCTGTTGTTTTCTCCAGGTTCCTGGGAGCTATACGATGTCGTTAAAATTGCAAGAGTCGTCATCTTAGGTGGGGGTTTTTTTGTCGCGCGCTCAAGCTCACGAGCAAACGACGAAACGATGGAGGTGTTGATAGTGGCAGTGTTGATGTGAAGGAATACAGATGATGTTCTCGTGGAGATAAGGTCTTCCTGAGCTTCTTGATTGCTCGCCCTCCCTGGGTTGAAGGTTTTGGCAGAGTGGCCAGTCGAGGAAGAGCCAGTCAGGCGGGAGAAAAAGGATTTCAAAGACGATGTAGGGTCATAATGTCTGGAGCTGTCGAATCGAGACGTGTTGTTTGGGGCTTTCCACGAGACTGCTTCCATCCATGTTGCATCCATCTGAGCAACTTCCTGTATCACGCCGGATACTGTCATATGACCCTCACCAGTTTTGGTCTCAACATCTCTGGGTATTTTGATTTTAACACTTGGGGCAACTTTTTTAGAAAGATGCAGCAGTTTCCAGCCATCAAGCCAAAGCTCCACAGACTTCAGCCCAACAAATGTTAGGGCACTGGCGAGAAACTGGCATAAAGGCAAAAGAGCTGGGACTGGAGATGTAGTATTTCTATAATCCAAAACGAAGTTCGTATTTGGGTTTGAATCTGATTCCCCTAATTTTAGCCGACGGGTGAACAGGGCATTCTCCTTCCAATAAAATGCGATAGCCTCCGAGCCTGAGGATACGAATGGCTCTTCGCAATCAGAAAATACACTGTAAAATCCGACTCCAAATGCCCCAATCTTGGTTTCGTCCGGATTCCCCTCGGCGATACGCTTAAGCCGAGCCCAGTCGTTTGGGGAGAAGGGAGTTCCATTGTTGGTAAGTATCAAACGTTTGAGGGTGTGGTGAGATATGACATGTTTTAGAGAAGCCGACGGATCAGCCTCAGTAGGGGCTGGGACACTTGTTGAAGGGATGGTCTCGAACTTGATAGTAACGCTTGAGGCGCAGGCGTCAGCTGCGTTTTGGAGTAGTTCTCGAAGGACGGTCCTGGAGGAACAGAATCAGTCAGCATGTTGCATGAGGAAAGCAAGGTTACGCGGAGGGGTTAAACACTCTGCATACCATTCACCAGAGTATCGAGCCAACACCTTATCTATGAGTGCGCGGGTGTTCACAGTTACTGCCTCCTCGTCGTTCCCGGAGCCCAAAGTCCGCGCCTTCAAGGCATTAAAATCGATATCTGACATGATGACAAAAGCGAGTGCACGATCAGAGTATAAGAGTGGAGCGAGAGTTCAAGAATAAACCTTGTATTAAGGGACTCCAAACAGCTAATATTAGATGTGTACTTTCATTTGAGTTGCAAAATAACGGCGAGTATAAGCTCCAATATCATGCAACGGGTGTCAAGGCCGCCATACGAAAATGACGTTGATGGATGTTGTTGACTGAATTGCCAGAAGCCAGAAGGATAAGCCCAGGGCGAAAGAGGTGAATAAAGGAACTCCGGTATGGCCCTGGTGCCCCAACCAGCGTATTATTCCAAAAACACGAGCCTCCCTGCCCCGAAAGTTGTTGTTTGAAGAAGCAAATCCGAAAGCAACGGAACTGCCCCAAGCCTGCAGAGTTGGTCTGCGGAGGAAGCTGTATTTCACGTGACAAAGCGCAAGAGCCGCTTCGCCGCAAAAGAAATAACGTTTACAGGGACACTACGCAGTATACATGATATAGGAACAGAAGGCACCTCATGTATTTGGGCATCCCGTTGTTTGCCTATAGCTATTCACTCGGCGACCATTGGACTCTCGGCGCGTTATCTGCCACCCGCAAATTGACCCCGTACACCATCTATGACTTCTAGCTCCCGTTTGTTGCGTCCATCTCAGGGAGCGGTCTTGTGCGCATCACGGACTGCCTCCTCTGCCCCTTATTCCAGATGTCAGCATGGCAGTTGACCCCCTTTCTCCTGTCGCGCCGGCGCGTTTACGAGCTCTACTGCTACCAGTGGGAAATATCAAGCGATCCCGCTTTTTAAACCTTGTCAAGCGGCTTCAGGATCAAAATGTCGTTCGGTTGGGGGATGTTAGCCCTGATTGCCGCCCCAATAGAAGTATGCGCAGTGGTTTGACCTTTATTTTATTTCTGTAAATTGTTGGCCCTGCTCTTACAAGATCTCTAATCGCTGGCTGTAAATCCAGATGCGTTCTCACCAATGGCCTTTCCGACGGGCATGATAGTTTACGACCTTTCCATATCTGTTCCTCCAATTTCCCACCTAGACCTATATCCGTTCGAAATATTCCGAGAACCCCTTGTTATAATAGCTATTGCGGACGGAACGGAGTTACCTGGCCCGCCCGAAGGGACGGGAACATACTCACAAACTCAGTCGAATGGAACCAAGCCGTGTAATTATCCCACCGTAGAGGGGCTCCAGCTACTCCAACAAGAGTTAAATACACTCAAGGACAGCCATCCTAAATCACTAGTTCAACAGCTACTAGTATTCGACTATGCTGCCGTGTCGAAGCTTGTTACAGGCCCTGACACGGTGATATGGGTTCCCCGCCCTGAAGCCGCTCGATCAACAACGGTGAAGACAGTGATGTGTGATATCACTTCGCGACTACTCGGGGAACTATCCGGACTTGCAGAAAGGATTCAAGAATGGCCAACAGTTGAATCCCCAAAGGCCTCATCTTGGGGTCCACGACGAAAGCCCGAAGTCCGTCCACCAGTGTCTGAGAAGTTACAACATAGAATGACTATGCCTGCGCAATTGCCAGGGGCTAACGGAACTTTCGTCGATGCCTCTGATACCAATTTCCAGCCGGCGGAGCATGATTCCCCAACCACTTTTGATGAAATCACCCGATCCATTCAGGTTTCCAACCGTGTGACATCCTCTATTAAAGCGTCTTCGAAACCTGGTTCAAAGGAACATAGCCGTGAACGAATGTCAGCACAAGGACTTGGGTTTGTAGCTGCAAGTGAGAGAAGCAAAAGTCGAGTTAAAGGCCGTTTGAACATAGTCATGGGCACCTTGTTTCTTCAAGCTGGTCGGTGGCCTGATTCACTCAAGGAACTGGCTGAGGGCGCGACAATAGCGCGGGCAAACAGCGATTATATTTGGCATGCAAAAGCTCTGGAGTCAATTCTACAATGTCTACTAATGTTAGGGTGGGCTGGGATGGACTTTAGGGTATGATTTTACAAACGCCGTTACGCCGTAGAAAAATTCCTGGTCAGAAATAACCGCAAACTAACAGTGGTCCCATCTTTCAGATTCCACAAATTTGCTATCCAACAGCAGATAAATTTTCAAAATCTGTTTCCCAAACACCATCTCTGAGCCACACTGAACTCTATAGTATCGGGCAATCGAATCCCGAAAACCGCAGAGTTTCACTTCAGAACCTAGCAAATCTCCTTCCCGATCTCGCAAACAATATCCTGAATCTTTACACTCGAGCAGCAAATATTACAGATGAGCCAGTCCCACAACTTGTATTTTCAGAAACCGTGATTCGACTTGCACGTATTCTCGCTACTGTTTATATTCGCGATGGTTCTCTTGATGATAGCGCACTGGGAAATATCGTCATGAATGACTCGTTGAAGTTTGTCCGTTCCCAAGAACGCCCTCGAGGTACCGTGTCACTCCGCAAGTCAGATATAGCGAGCTTCTTGTTCCGCGCTTTACCGGCTTCGCTAGGTACCGATGTTCCAATTACTGATTCCACTCCGATTTTGGTTGGTATGGCGTCCGTACTCTCCTCACTAGGTTTAGATCGGAAAAATGCGTTTGTGTTGCAACTTTTATTTTCTATCTTAATTCCAGGGTTAGTCCAGGCACGGAAAATTGGCGCTGCTGAAGTCGGAATCCATCCCGCTGCGGGCTTATCCGCTCTCAACTATTCGGCTTTTGAAATGAATGCCTTGGATGCTGGCCCAGGAAATATGGAAGAAAGCATCAGGATTTTGCTGGCTTTGGTGGGTAAGATCTACGGCGTCCCGGGCATAATGATTTGCACCGACAATCGACGAGATCTTTCCAGGCATAACTCAACTGCGAAAAGTGAAACTGTACCTGAATATGACTCCGTTGATTCAATAGTTGACAGAGCATTTCGTCATTCGGTAATGAATGGGTTTGGGGACCACACATTGAAAGTCGAAATTCTCAAGGCATGCATTAATCTTTGCGAAGCACTGCCTGACTTCCAAGGTGTCCTGCAATTTACAGTTGACCTTCTTCAAACAGTCAAAGGCACTCTCATGCTTCTTCCAGACAGCTATCTCGGACTACCTGTCATACCCTTACAGGAGCAGGTACGCTTGTTTAACAACGTGAAACGAACCGTTGCGGCTGCAAAGAAGCTTGGCGATTCTAATCTAGAGGCTGAATATTGGGATGACTTCATGGTGCGAGGTGTGGAACTTGTCAATTCCTCTGACTTCAAATCGCCCGTCAGACGGTCAAGAACGGACTTCGGGTTTGCCAATGTCGAGGAGCGCCTGGAGAAAAAGAATCCGTTTATATACAGCACTTTCTCCAAGGCTACCACAAAACGCTCGGAAGATCTCTTGATTGCTGAGGAACCTGCTACCTTCAAGGTCACTCTTCAAAACCCCTTCGAGTTCGATGTGGAAATCGAGAGTTTGCGGATAGATGGGACTGGCATTCCATTCGAAGCAGCAGCCACCCATGGACTATGGCTTGCACCATTCACTACTCAGGAATATTACATCTCTGGCGTTGCAGCAACCGAAGGTACGCTGGAAATAAGGGGATGTACAGTCAAGGTCAAATTTTGCCGTGAAAGAATATTTCCTATCTTCAAAAACTTCTGGAAGCCGCAGAAGGAACAGAAAATAAAACGAACAGGACTGGCCGCAAAGGAACCCTTCTCAGAACGTCCCTTGTCTTGGAGCTCAAATGCATCACGTAGTAGATTAGGGGCAAGCAGGAAAGGTCCAGAGCCGGATATCGTGCTTATTAAAGTTATCCAAAAGCAGCCAACAGTCATCATCCACTCAACATCGCTCTCGCAATCGGCTATCATGTTGCTGGAAGGGGAGACACGATCATTCGATATTACGCTTCAGAACATTTCGACCTGCCCGTTGGATTTCATTTCATTTAGCTTTGAGGACTCTTCAACACCCCAACTCCAATCAGCTCTTAACAATAAAGAAAACCTGCCCACCGATATGTACGAATTAGAGTTACGGCTCTCTACAAACCCAGCCATGACATGGCGGCGTGACAAGCTCCACGATTATGAGCTCTCGATCGCTCCGGGAGAAACTGCAACTTTCACGATTGACATATATGGAAAGCCAGGCCTTGATAACGCCATACTCAAGATTGACTATGCGAACGTTTGTACCTCGTTAGCAGATCTCCCGGAAACATTTTACTGTAGACAGATTTCCTTACCATTAACTGTCACCGTTAATGCAGGCGTTGACGTCACAAGATGCGATGTGCTACCATTTACCAGTGATTTTGCATGGGATAATAATAAGCTGCAGCAAAGCGAAGATTCACGCACATCACTTGGCGACAAGGAAGCCATTAAATCAATGGAGTCCTCGTCAACACCACGATCCATCACCCAATTTCGAGAAGCACAATTTTCACAAACATTCTCCCGCATTGGACTCAGTTCCTTCGGATTCGGCCATTGCTTGTTACTTCTTGATTTGCGCAACGCCTGGCCCAATCCTCTAACAGTCTCGCTATTTGTAAACGAAAATATTTCGGACGGAGCGAAAAGTCCTGATGATAAACTGAAACACAATCCTGTTGGCATCCACGAGATCTTCGACGAACTTCAGCCAGGCCATATCTCCCGGTTTCTACTGGTCGTTCCCCGTGTCTACATAGAGAACGCGCAAAAACCCATCCCGTCATTAAACGTCAGCAACAAGCGTCAATTTGTAGTCAGCGCAAATAAACTCGATTACGAGGCAGAGTCTTCCGCGAGGGAATGCTTTTGGTTTCGAGAGGAACTTCTCAAGCACCTGCGCGGGTCGTGGAAAGACGTGGCGACTGGTCGTGGGGGGGTCATTGACCTGCGAGCCATCCGACTGAACGCACGGATGGTTGACGCTCTCCGAATTGATGATGCCGACGTCACTTTCTCTTTGCGCCCGTACACAGGAGACAGCAGTAACGATAAGACAATCGAAAACGGCATCGATAGCGTCTCCCAAACCGGCCACTCCAAATTCACTGTGAAAACAAACACCTTCCTCACACTCTCGGCCACAATTATAAACCGTTCGTCCAAACCAATTCACCCGCTCCTCCGCCTCCAGCCCAGCCTGCGCCATACCCCACATGCCATCGCTCTCGATCTCTCCAAACGGCTCGCGTGGTCTGGGATGCTACAGCGCGCCCTGCCCATTCTCGAACCGCACCAGACCACGGAGGTAACTCTGGGTGTTACGGCTTTGTGTCATGGAGAGTATGAAATCGGTGCAAGCGTTGAGGAAATCCGACGCTTGAATCCCTCTCCACCAGAGGTCGCTATGGGCCAAGGAGCTACGGAAGAGTTGAAGGATTCCGCTGCCACTGCGCCAGATCCATATTTCGATAATTTCTTTATTGCAAATACCCCGAAGCGCAGACGAATATGGCATTCGCGGGTGCCATGTGTGATATCCGCTCGCGATTGAACATAATATGTATGTTTTGGCGGATCGATTTTTGGCTATTGCTTTGCAGGTCGCTTAATCCTTCCTGGCTGACTTGTTGTATTGTTTTCCAAGCCCATACTGTATACACTGCGTTGAGTCATTCGCCTCGCCCCTCAGATCTAGCGATCCATTTTACATATTTCTGAACCCAAGGCCTATGCTCCTGGCAACCCTACGTATATAACCTGAGCATCACCTTGTTCTTTTGTTGGTTCTTTTCTTCTCTTTTTTGGGCCTACCTGATCTGATTTATGTGGGCGTAGAAATGTATATTCGAACATTCCCGGTTCATGATAATGAATATAAATGCCAGCGGGTTACGAACTTCAGGATGGGGATGAATACGACGAGCCCTTTACATCGTTTTATTTTCCTTTATTAGAATAATAATTATTTCGAAATTTCTAACTCTCCCTCCCAACTAGTCATATCCACATACATCCATCCAACAAACTTCCACCCCGTTCCAGACGCGGCGTCTGCTGCCTGCATAAATCCCGAATACGAACAGAATTTGACTTTCGCAAAATGCCGAGGTCCATTTTCTCAACTCTTGCCCGAATAAATACAACGACAAAAAGATGCAGTAACATCCCATTCGTGTTGCTTGTGGCTGCAGACATCAAGTCACCCGCCAGCTTGCCGCTGCCAAAGCTGCCTCCGATTTGCTGCTGGAGCAGTCTTGTCTGTCTCTCGCTAGCCCAAGCCCGACCAGCGATCCTGAGCAACAATGGAACCATGGAACCATGGCGCTATCCAAAAATTTCAAGTTCCCAAGATTGCTTTCCGAGCTGGTCGGCGCCCGATGCCGATTTCCTTCGTTTTAAGCTCTATAAAATGGCTTGTCTTTTCTTGTTCCTGTCGTTTCCCCTTCGAAATTTAATGTAATACAACACGAATACCGTGATATAATAATACTCCAAGAGCATCACACTGCCTCCGCTTGCGTTGTTTGTCGTTCAAATTTATATCCAGCGGAAGCAGGATCACCAAGTACCTACGCTTTCGCCCAGTATCTATCTCTTCTTTGCCAATGGGCTATCTCTCCTCCCTTCTACCCAGCGGAAAGGTTTCCTTCCACTATGCGCCAAACGTTCTCCAGCTAGCACTTAAACGCTCAGAATCCCTCGCCACCTCATCCACCTCACCCATTCAAGAAGACACAAAAGAAGTCACACAAGATGAAAAAGACCAAGACCAACCCTACATCTCCCTTGCAGAACTTTGCGAAACCTCCACCCCTAAGAAATGCCAGTTAAACCCACTCCTCTTCAACGGTCACCTCCAAACAGCTTACACAGCCGTTAAAAGTGACGACATCCCCGTTTACTACAAACGTTGGACCTTCCAGTCCAACAGTGCAGCTTACAGGGGCACCTTCGATGTCGACTTCGTCGTCCCGCCCTATGAAATCTCGCTAACCGAAGATACGAACCGTGGCGCCCAGGAGACGATAAGCAAGTCACCCAAGAATCCCGCTCCGCCTCCCCATCTCCTCCCGCCCCGCACCACCTTCTTCACAGAAGAGGAGTTCGCCTCGCTCCCCTCCACCACAGACACGACTCCTATGCTGGTGGTCTTGCACGGCTTATCCGGCGGTTCGCATGAGATCTACCTCCGCCATGTGATTGCGCCGCTGTTCGAGGCTGGGTGGGCAGCATGCGTGCTGAATTTCCGCGGGTGCGCTAAGTCGCGCATTACGAGTCCGATTCTCTACAATGCGCGCGCAACGTGGGATGTGCGGCAGCTTGTGGGGTGGGTGAAAGAGGCGTTTCCGCAAAGGAGGCTGTTTGGGATTGGGTTTTCGTTGGGGGCGAATGTTTTGACGAATGTAGGTTTCCTTTCGTTTTCTCCTCCTTTGTTAATGCTAACTTCTTTTTTCTCCTCCAGTATCTCGGTGAAGAGGGCGCATCCTGCCCTCTCTCAGCCGCCGTCATCTGCTCCAGTCCCTGGAATCTAGAAGTCAGCTCAAAAGCGCTGAAGCGAACATGGATGGGAATGGAAGTGTACTCCAAGACTATGGGCAGTAATATGAAAAACCTGTTTGAACAGTAAGCTTTATCGCATTTGGAGCTTACGTGGAGGTCCTCTCGTGAGGTGAGAAAGAATGTACAAAAGCTAACGATCGAAACTCCAATTTTAACATATAGGCATGTCGACGAAATCTCCAAACATCCGGCTGTCAACGTTGAGCGAGTTCGAAATATTAAATATCTTCATGAATTTGATAGGTGCGTGTGCATTTACTTATTTCCATCGCGAGACTCCTCAAATACTATATATCCCTATCTCCAATGGACAGTGCAATAGGCAATGGAGAGAAGAAAGTCACTATTTGGCTTCGACCAAAAACTAAACATATCTCAAACAGAGAACTCCAAGGACCCGTATGGGGTTACCCTACAGAAACCGCTTATTATCGTGACGCCTCCTCCATCGACTCTATATTCGCCATAAAGGTTCCATTCTTCGCCATCCAGGCAGAGGATGACCCTGTAAGTATACTTATCCATATATATCCGGTATGGCTCATTTTCTAACATGTGAGCCCCACAGATCGCTGTTGGTGAAGCGTTACCATATGAGGAGATCAAGCAGACACCGTATGGCGTCATGTGCACGACGTCCTGGGGCGGACATTTATCTTGGTTCGAATATGGGGGCACCAGGTGGTTTACGAAGCCGGTATGTCCAAACAAACATCACAACGTATCCCATACTTACATAGAACCAAATATGACAGATAACAACCTTTCTGACCAAAATGGCAACTAAAATCGATCTCGATGCACCCTACAATATTGAAGGTGCCGATGCCCAAGAGATAAATCGAAAGACTCAACAGCAAGACACTTATGTCGACCCTATGCCGAAATTTTTTGCCATGCGTCGGAAGATGGACTTGCCGATCGTGCATTTCATGGGGTTGCGGAAGAGCACGGGGCCCGAAGGGGATGATTAACTGGCGCAATGTTTTGGATTTGCTGCCTTACGAATAGGTAATCTGTATTATATGATGAATGATATTTTCCCCTCGATATTCTAGATTTAAGACATATATTTTGATAGAGTAGGATTGAAGCGCATGATCAACTCCATGCCACTGCTGTACATATCGAAAGGAGAATCATGCTCTTAAAAACCCACGCAAGTACCTAAGTCAATCAAAATTAAGAAAGCAAAAGAAAAGAAATGGTATCATGATTAGCATCATCCCTTCCAGTAAATAAGATACTTTTCCGTGGACTCCATTGTCAACCTATCCCACAACATATAGTTCAGTAGCTCCTTTTATGTGAACGACACCCGCTTCCGATTGGGCTTCGACCTCGATGGTTTCGAGGATGAGAACTCCTTAGCTTCTCCTGATGACGAATTTTTCCCATCACTCTTACCCTCACCAGAATCAGGCCGCCTTTTCTTGCGGAGAGAATCTTTCACTTTTTCCTATTTGGCAACGACCGTTAGAATCAAAATAAATGCAGATGTAAACATGGTGAAAGCATGACACTAGAAGAAAATGAATACATAAATCATGCGAAGTTAACATACCAACTTCTCTTTCTTCTCCATCTGCCTAGCTTCTGCTTCCTTCCTTCTCGCTTCACGGATCTCTTCCATCTGCCTCGCCTTCATCATCTTCGACTCAATCTGGCCTTCTTTCTCTGCATTCACTATGGCTAGGATAGTCATCATACTTTCCTATAGTATAACAACGGAGAAAAATATGGGGGATACCCTCCATCAGCCCACTTATCCGCCAACAGGATTCCATTCCCATATCCTTCTTAAAGCAAATTCACTCAACCCCGATTAAAACATACCTGATCATCCACAAACACTTTCCCCTTCTTCATCCCCTTAGGCTTCGTCACGCCTACAGGCGTAATCATATTCAGCTGCGGCAGATCCAGTTCCTTCTCGGTGTATATGCGCTTCTTCCTCTTTTTTAGATTCTCCGGGGCGGTGCGAGGTTTGGCCTTAACTTCCTTAGGCAGGGGACGGTGGATGGAAGATTTTGACTTTGGCTTAGAGACGCGGGAGCTAGAAGCGAGGGGTTTGGATTTGGATTTGGAGGAAGAGGATGACTTGTTTGAGGGCTTGGAGGAGGATTTGGATGAGGAGCCTCTGTTTGGCGCCATTGTGAACAGGGTAGCACGGGTTTGTACTCAAATGTGGGGGAGTATGCGAATTTTGTACAGCAGAGGGCTGGGGGACGGGTCCGGAGTCAAGAAGTGTTAGGGAGCGGATGGAACTCCGGATATCGTATTTAGTACATTTATTACTATATTCTCGAAAACAACTCGTCCCGCATTTTGAGTCGTGGTTCATAGAAACTACAAAAAATTCATGGCAATATCTTGAAGGCGGTGAGTCCCCCAGTAGCGTCACGGCATCTCAATTCAGAGAACCGAGCTCCATGTAACAGTGAACGCACTCACCACATCTATCGCGCCCGCGATTCACGTCCGGTTCCTTATAGACAGACACATACCGTCCACGATGGTACTCAATCCCACTTATCTAGCGCAGCGGACGCGGTCCTGTATGTTTTAATTCCATCCCGAGATCATCTTCCCACACCCATCCTTGTTACTGATCTATAGTCCGGCTGATGAGAGAAACCAGCTATCAACTGGCAAGATGCGAGACGGAGAGTTTTGAAATCATATCGAGAGTGGTTACGAGCGGTTAGTGCAATTTTTTTCTTTTCTTCGTGGACGTTCGACGAGCAGGTCTAATCGTCATGAGGCGTCCGCCCCGGATATTCGAATTGCACAAGTGTTCCCCTCGAGACAACTCCTATTTTGAGCTGATTGAAGTATGCAATGTATCATGAAATCGCTGACCTAACTTTATTCCTCTAATTCTAGTCGCCTGAGATCCAAAACATGTATTCCCTCAATCTCCCCGTCTCTGCTATCCGCACAAAGATCCGCCAGGAGTTTGAACGTCATCGATACGTGAACCAATTACCAGTTGTGGATGTATTGGTAGCCAAGAGCAATTCTGAGTACCAGGTATGATGAATGGCGTTTCCGCCCCTTAGTAAAGGAATCTGGACGAGATTTCCTATCCAGTCTTGGTTGACCTCGCTGGAAGGCGGCAATATTTGCTTCATATCCTGCGTATCTCTTGAATTATATAACGATAGCTAATGGCCGAATCCCGTTTATGGGATAACACAATTCAAATAGGAAACACTCAACTATTGGAAGCAACTCTCACATGTGATGAAATACTTCCGCGTCGAAGAAGACCCCACTGCAAAGCTGCCGAAGAACTTTATGTCTGGCTTCCTGGAGGTGAGTTTTGTTGAGGGAGGAAGTGATGCGATACTGCTTTGGGCGAGGCTTGCTAATGTAATAAATATCCTAGGGCCGTAATTAACTGGTTATTTTTTATTTTTTATTTTTTATTTTTATTTTTTGCTTCGTCGGCTTACTGTCTGTTGCTGGGGATGCTAAATAGAGATGTATATAGATTACTTAATTTAGCAAAATGGGAATTTTTTTCGACTCCACTTGATATAAGCACTCTTGTAGTGCGTGTTTTATTCTTGGCCCTGGTCAAGGTTGGTGGATTTGCTGGAGATAAAGGGCCCAAACACCTTTTTTACCAGAAGGAAAGAAACTGTTGAACCCATCCAGAATTGATTATGAAATAAGAAATGAAATCTTGACGAAACCAACTAAGACAAATGACCCAAAAAAAAAAAAGCATATATAGGAAAATCAACAAAAATCGATAAAGTGATAAGCAAAACTCCACACGCCACTGTAGGCTGTTCTATAAGGCCTGCCTTCCTCTTTTTTTCCATATTGACCCATGATGTTTAGCATAACGGAAAATATACAATCGAGAGCAATAAAAAAACCAAACAATTCTGTTTTGGAACAAAATAGTTATAATAATGCACAATTCACTATTTTAAATCATTGGCTCTGAATCTCTTCGAAAGCGTTCTTTGCCTCAATGAAAGTCTCCGTTACCGTGTCGCACAGATTCATGAGGTCATCGAGTCCTTTTTCTAGGACAGAAAAGACGTTTGTAGTGTCTATTTATATATTCGTTAGTCATTTAATCCGCGAGAATGACCCCCGTGTATCGCAGATGCGTCCATGCGCATGATAAAAGGAAATAGAGCATAAAGAATGGACGCAGAGGTCCGTATACACATACCAAATGTCTGAATGCGCAAGTTCATTTTAGCTTCTGACGGATGTGGCATTGTGTATCCGCAGAATTCGACTTCGGGACTGTAGAATGAGTGAGATTAGAAGCTTGAGTCGGTGGCTGCTCTATAATAAGCGATGTGCGGATCCAATGGGCTCGCTCCACTGATTACTTTTGGTCACAAGACGCCAAAAAATTAAGCAGAGGTAAAACGGATAACATCTATGGCTCACGGTTTCAAACACACCGCGTAGGGCATGGAAATGATCTCAATGATGCCCGCGTGCCTGCCTTTGCGACGTATTTTCACTGGAATAATCCTGTGATTCTAGATGGTAGAAGTTTTGTTTTTGGATACTCACTTTTTCATGATCACATATCTCAGTGCGTTACCAAGTGTATGGTCTTCTTTATCGAACTGAAATGATGCGGCTGTCTCTTCGGCCCCAGGTAACTGAAAGTAATGTTAGCAGGAGCTCAAAGAAGAAAAGAAGCACAAGGCGCCATGGGATGAGAATATGAAGTATCAAAAACAAGGCAAATTAAACGGAATAATATATATCTACTTGAGAGGGGGAAATAATAGTCGTCAAAGACTCAGAGTTCAAATATCGGACAGGCTTAGTAGCACATTAGGAATAACCAAACCTAACCAAATAGCAAACTAGGGGAGATAACAAACCATTACTTACAATGCTAATTCGCAGTCCATCAAGTTCGATCATATCATCCTCGTCCTCCACTTGCTCTTGCTCTTGAGATTGTGGCGCAACGTCCGGCATAGGTTCATCTTGGGAGTGGGCAGAAGCCGGCATCTTAATGTTTGAACCTTGGCTATACGGACGTTGGATATATCGGGTTTATAGAAATTTCAGCAGGTCGAGGAATGCTTGCGAAATGCCTTTCCCTCTTGTGTCTTGAGTCGTTCCTATACTAGTAGGACAACCACATATGCCCTCGAGGGTATCCTGTCTCAAATACCTTCTTGGACAGCCCCTCACGCCAGCAATGTTGACTCCTCGGGCAAGGATAGATTTTGGTATAATGCCGTCGCGTTTTTTCCTTTATGAAGTAGAATCAAAATCCAGAAATTTTAGAGGCTCGGGTTGGAGATAATTTAAAGTTCGTAACTGATCCTGTTTCGGACTAGTGCCATGATATCCGTCTGGTCGGATGATGTCATAATTAGAGAGAGAATAAAAGTCAATTCGCAATAAAAAATTACAGACATCAACATGGAAAGTGTGAGGGCTTTTCTCGATGATGAGGAAGAAATACATTGCGTTATCCGCCTTCAGCACGGCATTCTACAAGCCGCAAGCCAATCGGTTACATTCAAGCAACAAACAGATTCTGTTCACCTACAAGACAGTGTCCCGTCCACACTAACGGCTCCGAAGCCTGCAAATTCCACACTTTTCAAATACATCCATGGCGCATGCCACAAGGAGAGGTGATGTAGTGTGTGGAACCCACTCACAATAAACCAACAATACGTGACCAAGACATATACCGAGACCGAGGCTCCTTCCAAGGCATGGATAATATAACACATCCGAGGTGGACGCTAGTGTGTAACGCGCTTGACTATGAACAGCGCGTGAAATGGGTATAGTCGAAGAAACTAGGGGTTCGAGAAATGAAAAAGAAATAGACATAGACATTGAAATAATAAATACATATCGAATCTCTATTCGCCTTTTATCCCTTGAATCCCCGTTTCCCTCCAATCCTTGTCACATGCTGTGGAAACGGGGGAAGAGATGTTAGAAGCCCCTGCTATAGTTAGGGCAAAAAGCTATTAAAATAGATTCTTGCCCGCAGTTTTGTTTTTTGGAATCGCAGTGCAGGAAAAGCCAGCAAGTCGTACATACTGGATATAATATATTCCACAGTAACTGACGCTTCGAATTCATAAACCGTTGCTTCAGTGGAGCCTCGCCTAAGCTTGCGTGACTTGGCTTAAAGTGGGAGTGTTGGGAGCGGCGTCCGAATGAGAGCGAACATAATGGATTTCCGTACTCGGGCCACACGTCATGGACGATGGCTGATGCGCAACTAGGATTCCGGTATTCAACGAATCCGCTAGATCTGTTTGGCAGTAAACAAATGTAACGGCAACAACCAAGTCATTGGCTCGATCAAGGACATCTATCATGGATTTGCTAACAGGGACCGTGTGCGTTGCTAAGTGGCTGCTGAGGTTATCAAGTATGCGACGTTAACTAATGCCTGCCAGGGGGCTTTCGATAACTTTCGACCGTATAATGTCAAACCAGAATAGAGACGCTTGAATCCTTCCCGGTTTGAGTGTGCTTAACTCGTCCGAAATGACCTCCTCTCTGTCGGTCTATCAGTCGCTTTAGGTTCTTCCGTGAAACTCGATCCCAAACGCCTTCTATTCATCCACTATATCACATCATCGTACAAGAAGAAAGTCGTTCCCTTACATCGGGGTAGTGATGAAATCAAATTGGGCTATTTGGTGACTCGTCGCCCCAAAATCTCCGCGGGGCATAGGAATCGATTCCAAAATATGATGGCCAGTCCCAATGCCTAACCAGAACGTCGGAGCACACACATCAATCGTCTCTCCACTTGACAAAAACGTCATCAGTCCTAAACCGCTGCGTACATGTCGAATCCTCCAGCTTAGTCCGAAATCCACTTTTATACGCCAGTAAGCCTGCTTGAGCAATCATTATACCGTTGTCAATGCAAAATCGTTCGTCAGTCGCATAAACGCTTCCGCCCCGGTCACGAGCCATGATTCCCATCATTTCCTGTAAGCGCTCATTGCAACCAACACCACCAACAATTAAAACCTCTTTCGAGCCGACATGCGCCATAGCGCGTTCCGTAATTTCAACGAGCATTGCAAACACCGTCTCCTGAAGAGAGAAGCAGAGATCTGCGCGTGTAGGAAGGTCATCATTCGTGGCGTCATCCGGGGCTTCTACCGCTTTCTCGGCGGCATCCTTATTGGATTGATCTTCCCCACCTAACCCAAGGGATATAGCCAATGCATCCACAGATGCCAATATGCCTGAGAAAGAGCAATCCATCCCTTTGACTGTATAGGGCAGGTCTACCAATTTCCGACCCTTTTTCGCTAGCTGTTCAATATTGTATCCAGGTGCTGGGTCGTTGGAAATATGGAGCGTGCGAGCGAATCTGTCAAGACAGTTTCCAACAGCGATGTCGAGCGTTTCCCCAAATATTCGATATCGTTGGGATGAATAGGCTATGACTTGGGTATTCCCCCCTGAAACGTAGAGCACAATTGGATTAGGAGCTCCTGTGATATAACGTCCCATTTCGATATCTACTGTCTAATTAGAAAAGGTGCGTTGTGTATTTATTTTTCAAGTAATCCCCGAAATTCAAGGGTTTAAAAAGGCCAGCTGAAGCATGCTCCCGCACAAATTTGTGAAATCAAGAAATCGCGCAATAGGGATAAAAAAACGCAGAAACGTACGTCCAACACAATGGTTTACTCCAACCAATTCTTTTCCCCATAGTAAGCTTAACATCCTCGCAGCGACTGCTACGCTCTGTAAAGGGGCGCCCATCCCGGGGCCTTTTGTGTAACATATACAGTCCACATCGTTCACTGTAACTTGAGCTTCTTTCAAAGCACGCTTCACAAGATTCACAACCCATGCGCGGTGATGCTTGGCCGTGTCCTTGGGCAGAAACCCCTCACCCGGGGGAGAAACGAAGGTATGGCGGATGTTGGAAAGGACTTGCGCCGCACCACCATCGTCAGGATGTAGGATCAGCCCAACTCCCAGTTTGTTAGCGGAGCCCTCAAGGCCTATAGCAATCATGGTGACAAATCCCTGGCATTTAAAGCGCTAATTAAAGCTGCGAATTGAGGAACCTCAGTCATGGCAATTTGTCGAGTCAACTTTTATGTTGAGGTGCAACTATATAAAGTGGGGTAAGGACAATCATGATCACGTGATGTTCCTCGACGGAATAATTGGCAACAGTTTATCCGAGCGGACTCCTTCGTCCACGCGAATAACACTGAGGAGTTTTGGAAACTATTATATCTGCAGGCTAAGTGTGATAGCTTTCATCCTCTTCATCTTGTACTCTCCCGTATCGTTTTTGCCCTTATGTTTCTTGGTTAACCGATTTCCACGTTCAAAATTCGCACACAATGTCGGATTCCAGTCATTTTGGAGAGTGCGATAGGTTTTCGCAGTTGTCAGACGAATTTATGTCCTGGTTAAAACAGAGACCTGGAGTCAAAGTGAGCCCGAAGATTAAAATTGCAGATCTAAGGTCTGAGGGTGCCGGAAGAGGCATTGGTATGTTTGTTCAGCTTTTATCCCTTTTAAAACATTTAATTGTTGCCTTTATTTGCTAATGGTTCTTCTGGTTATCCAGTGGCCGATGACGATATAGGCGAGGATGAAGAGCTTTTTGCAATCCCACAAAACCTAGTGCTTAGTTTTCAAAATTCGAGCCTAAAAGATCTATTGGATTTCAATGAGAGAGATTTTGACCCATGGCTTTGTCTCATTGTTGTAATGATATACGAGTACCTCCAAGGTGGGGCATCGACGTGGTCACGATACTTCCAACTGCTTCCCACAAATTTCGACACCCTGATGTTTTGGACGGATGAAGAACTCCGGGAATTGAGTGGCAGCGCTGTGTTAAACAAGATCGGTAGATCAGATGCAGAAGCAAATATTCTTCGCAATATTCTTCCTCTCGTTTCTGGAAATCCCTCCCATTTTCCACCAATGAGCGGTGTGGCATCCTTCGACTCGCCAGAGGGCAAGGCGGCACTACTCTCTCTTGCTCATCGCATGGGCTCATTGATAATGGCTTACGCCTTTGATATTGAAAAGGGAGAAAACGACGGGGGGGAGGGCCAAGATGGTTATGTAACGGACGACGAGGAAGAGCTATCCAAAGGAATGGTCCCTTTGGCCGATCTCTTGAATGCGGATACAGATCGAAATAATGTGAGTATTTTTGCTCTTGATAGCATCATACCTACATACACGTGCTAACTTTGAGAAAAGGCACGACTATTCCAGGAAGATTGCTATCTCTCTATGAGATCAATAAAACCCATTCGAAAAGGGGAGGAAATCTTCAACGATTACGGCGAACTGCCTCGCGCAGACTTGCTGAGGCGGTATGGTTACGTCACTGACAATTATGCCCAGTACGATGAAGTCGAAATCTCGATGCGAACCATTTGCTATGCCGCCGGGATTCCATCCGCGATCCCTGGCCCAGAGCACCCATGTGTATGTCTCCGCTCCACCGAGCTTTGTATACTCAAGTACATGACTGATTCTGCAGTAGCTGGAATTCTTAGAAAATATGGGAGTGTTCGACGATGGCTACAGCATTCCTCGACTCAACCTCAATACACCACTCATGGAAGTGCTCCCTGAGGAGCTATTGATCGCTCTCAATGTCCTAACAATGCCACCCGATCAATTCAACCAACTAAAAATGAATAATAAGGTTCCCAAACCTAGGCTAGGGGTAACGGAAGCAACTTTACTTGCAACCGCGGTGCAACAGACACTGGGTGATTACACCACAACGCTCGAAGAGGATAAAGATCTTTTAAGTTCAATTTCCAATATCCAGGAATCGACTGACAGCACAGCATCGGCGAGGCGATTGAAGATGGCGCTGCAAGTCCGAATCGGGGAAAAACAAATATTATCACAAGTTCTTACCGCTCTTGGAGATTTCGATGCGCATCAAGGTCAAGTATTTGACAACTCCAAGAGGAGTGCGGAAATCGTTACGCCTTCGGGCGAGAAGCGAAGGAAGCTATAAGTCGATGGAAATTAACATAGAGAGACGAGACAAGATTATCTAAAAAGGAAAGACCAAAAGAACGGAGATTTCGAGCCTTTTTTACAATCTTTCCATTTTTTTGTGGATTTTAGCTAATTTTAGCAGTAACTATTATACATGGCTAGTAACGATACTCTTTTGGACTATGTGCACTAACGTATATAGAGGTTGGGGAGGAAGACTCAACTTTCTTCAGGCCACGGCAGATTTATATCGCCTGGCTGGATGCAAGGTGGAATAAGTTTGTGTATTCAGGATGACAAGGGAAAAGAGTCAAGGTAAAAAAATGCACGAAAGTCCAGGATCCCTCCCAAAAGGTGATTTGTGTGAGTGAGAATTTCAATATGAAGCCTGACCAACTCCTCTCTAGATATTTCGACGACGAAACGCGATTTGAAACACAGAAAACCTGAGAAACCGAACCATTCACAAACGCCGACCATGCTAAACGGGTAAATGGGAGAAAAAACACATCAAGACGGAGTTTGAGCTGCCGGCCCCTTCAGTACTACGTTGTTCGTCCCGTTGTGGGAATTATTTGCCCCCGCCATCACAGGGGTTTCACCCTGTAAGCGCCGTTGGGCTTGCACATGGGCTTGAAACTGGGCTTGCGCTGCCGCCTGGTCTCTCGACTTGGCTGACAGATACGCTCGATGCTGCATGATCTGGATGTCAAACTCATCCATTTCATATATCGGATCCATGTCCTCATCGTCTTGATCATACTTGAACCGCTCGAGTTTTATCGGATCAGCCTCCGACTTATTTCGGAATGGAAGGTTGCGGCGGTCGATCATCATTCGCCCACCCCGTCCTATGCGACGCCGGAAGGATGGCATGTTTCTACTAGACTCTTCGTCTGAAGGGATACACTGTTGAACCGTCCTCGCGAATTTGGTCAGCGCATCGAAACGGCTAACCTCTTCCAAGGCGTCTCGAGAATGATCCGAGGACTCCGAAGCTGGAGGCGTGGGGAGATATTCTGTGGTGATTGCTGGGCGGAACTCAGCATCGAAGCTATGGTCTGAAGTTGGAGTAAGTGGTGCTGTGGTCCAATCAACGTATCCCTCATTCCATTTAGAATGTTTCGCAATGTTTTGCTTGATTTCTCGCAGAACTTCGCTTTCTTTATCTGCTTGTACATCTTCCAGCAGCACCAAGTCCTCTCCTGGCTGTCCACTAGGTCGGGGGGGCATGCGAAGCTGTGTGGCGACTGGACGACTGCTAGCTGGTACTTCTGGCGGCCGTTTCTTTGGCTGCTGTGATGGGACATTAGCAAGAGGGATCTCAGGTCGTATGCGAAACACAATTCTTACCCTTTGGTTGACGAGGTCATCATCATCGTCCTTGATACCAAGTTTTCTTTTCATCTCCTTTACTTCAGCCCGTTGGACAAACACTTGTCGCTCAGCGACAAGCAACTCTTTCCTTGCTAATTCGCGTTGTCGTACCATGGCGACCAACTCCCGAGCTTCTTCCAGCTCCTTTCTCAGTCGCCGCAGCTTCTCGGCGCTCTGGGCATCCCTACCACGGGTCTTGCGAATTTGTCGCACTTCCCTTCTACGGAAGCACACATAGGGATCTCCATCGTCTGTTTCCTGACCAGTCTCAAACTGCGAAGTTCGCGTCAGCGCTGGATATCTACATTTAATGCATTATTTGCAGTACTTACTTTGAGCCCAGTCTGCAGGGGTCGATTTCCACATTTGGTTCTCCTGGATTTCCAATGTTCATATATATCCCTGGCAAACCTCCTTGCATTTTCGTCTACGAGCCCGTCAAAGCAATGTTCCATTTCAGAATATGAGAGAACTGGAGGGCTGTCGACCGATGCAAATGGTTGCTTTGTTTGGGCGGTCTCCTCGAAGAAGGCCATGAACTCTTCGAATTGATCCTCTGTACATTGCGTGGAAGCACCCTTCTTCTGGTTCATAATCTTGAGAGCAATATCGTCCTCTTCGACTAAGTTATAACTACACCCACTACAGTCTTCCACCGTTGACGAAAAGCGGATGTACGTCGCAGGCTGTGAGAATGTGGGCCTGTACAGAGTATCATATTTGATAGAGCTTGTTACAGTTTCAGGGGTAGGGATATGCGCCTGTGCAATGTTCCCGCGGGCAGCAGCGTTTATTGCAGCTTGGAGATGATATTCCTACAGAAATACAGAAAGGAAGAGCTGTCAGCGCAATTTCCAACACTTTTCGCCAGGGGGTCTATTTTCATCATTATGATTCCTCCTTGGGTGTTGAAGTTTTTTTTTTATGAAAAAAAAACACGTGATCTGGTAACCAGGCAACGCTGAAAAACCGAACAACACCAATGGGGAATATGACTTACGGTCTCCTCAGCCTTCTCAACACCAGTATCAATGGCCTGTAGAGTAGTTTGGAGGTCATCTTCGATGATATCGATTTGATCTTCACGGAATATAGGGATAGGTTGCTTGGAGGTGAGTTTCTTTGGACGCGTGGAGCGCATCATTCCCCCAAGCCGGGACATCACTCTGGGGCGAAAATATCCGGGCTGTCATAAGCAACCCTCCCTAAAATTGGTATCAATCGATAGGCCAGGTCATGCAAAGTCGCGTAGAAGTATTTTCAGGACGATCGAGGGATGTTGTGGTGAGATAAAGCGGTTGGCGGTATGGTGGCGAAACAGTGAATTCTTGAGTTGACGTTGCCTTGACCCTAACAACAGGCCTGTTTTGAGCATCCGACCGCCTCAGGGGCCCGCTTAGGTTGCCGAATGCGGCTAGTGCGGGGAGAGCCAATATCAAAATGCCTCATCGACGCTAGCGTGCCTATTCGGGTTTAGCGCCTGTTTCGTCATCTTCGATTTGTTGGAAGCGGAAAATGGCTTCTAACAGCCAGAACTAGAGGAAGGATATCTAAACGACATATCTCGATATCACGGTATTCAAATGCCGTTGCGCAGATAATAGCGGGCTTCTCATTCTTTTCCCTTCTTATTAGGATACCGATGATTTAGATTTCATATTTCCTTGCAATTGCCCCCTTCCACGTATATTCCTTACTTCCCTCCTCCAACTCTCATCATGGCCACAGAACCCAATAACGCAGCGATGTATGACGCAAGGCGCAGAGAGCAGAACTCGGGTTCAGAGGTTTTAGAAAACATAGTATCAGCTTCCAATTGTGCGTAAAAAACAGTGTCGTTGCAGACTCGATCTCCATATTCTATCCCCGCATCCAGTTAACCCTTGATTTTCTTGATGTCGCCAGTCAATCGAGATGAGGTCGACAGACTACGGAAACGGTTCATGAAGCTGGATAAGGGAAGTCTCCACTGCTGATATGTTGTCTACTTTGGGTGTGCGACGGCCGGCGCCGCAGCCCACAAAGGTCGTCTCATACGTGCTAATACGATTGAGTGCAATACAGGATAACTCCGGCACAATTGAGCGTGATGAATTCCTCTCTCTTCCTCAAGTCTCCTCGAACCCTCTTGCGACACGGTAAATCTCCCCCCTCCCCCAACGCCCCACTCGATCCAAAAGCTTCGAATCAACGAGAATATCCCCTTCATCTCTGTCAATTGTGAGCACTCACTTATCCGCCCAATCATACACTCAGAATGATTGCCATATTCGACGAAGACGGAGGCGGCGACGTGGACTTCCAAGAGTTTGTCTCGGGACTATCAGCCTTCAGCTCGAAGGGGAATAAAGAGGAGAAGCTGCGCTTTGCCTTTAAAGTCTACGATATCGACCGCGACGGCTACATTTCGAACGGAGAGCTGTTCATTGTCTTGAAGATGATGGTCGGGAGCAACTTGAAGGATATGCAGCTTCAGCAGATCGTGGATAAGACCATTATGGAGGCTGATAAAGATGGCGATGGGAAGATTAGTTTTGAGGAATTTACGCGCATGGTGGAAAATACGGATGTCAGCATGAGCATGACTTTGGGTATGTTTTGAATCTTCTCTTTGCTTAGGGAACGATTGGACCCGTGGCGTTGTTTCTCCCCGAGCCGTTTCGCATTTTTTGAGTCAACCTCGCTAACTCTTTGAAACCACAACAACAGATCAGTTCTAATCATACTTTTGCTATCATGACTTCGTTCTTGTTCTTATCCTGATTCCCTCCTGCTGGTCTGATTAGCACCCATTTACAATTATTATTTCTGACTTCCCTCTGCATTTTTATTTTACTTTTTTATTTTAATTTTTGTTTCATTCTCAAACCGCTATGCAATACCAGAAACTTGTGATGTAGAAATTGGGGGGGCCACTGTTCGAACAGCCAAAGAATTTACAACCATCTTAGCTTGCAACTAACCGCCTACCGCAATACAGTGACCCTCGGTGGGTGAGTTCCTGAACATCTACAATTGGAACCGACTTGATTGAAACCCTTTACATTTCATTTCTGCATCACCTGGCGCAAGTTTACTAGGTCCATCAGGACCGTACGGTCGCTCTTCACCTTGTCTAGCTCGTTACATTCCACAACATCGGTTGATCCGAGAGTTATGGCGAAGAAAGGGTTTTCGTTTTAGTGGGAACATGTACAAGTTAATCAACAAACGTCACATTAAACATATATTGAAGCCAGCAGTATTTTGACACCCAGTTTATGGAATACCATCGTTCCCTCATAGATATAGTCTTTTTCAGCCACCTAAAATTGTTTGAAAACAGAAGGAGAAGGAGGGGCGGCCACTCGAATGAATGGAGGAGGATAAGGGGAAAGGAAAAAAGCGCGAATGGCCACCAGTTTGGCCCCCTCTGTCTGATTGATAGCGATATCAAAACCATTCATTGTTCGTCTATATGTAGTTGCCTGCCTACGGATTTCATATAACCAAGAAAGACTCATTAGCACTTCCATGTCAGATGGAGCTCAGCGTTTGATTCACCAACCGGGATCCTCGTCGCTGTGGCTTGCAGTGCCTGCACCCTTTCGCCAAGTTTCTATCTGCCGCCGAGATCAGAAATCCCAAAATAATCAAAAGCCGGGATTTAAACTTCGCCTCCGAGTAACCGGCAGGAGTGCAAAAGTCTCTGGCCATCTCGTCGTCCTGTGTCAAGTTCTGATCCAAACCAAAAATTGAGTCCAATCAATCCATTACATTAGTATGCGAATTTCGCAAACCCGTAATGGTCGATCGATTCCCACATAATCGATACGAACTTTAAGAGGCGCTGGATCAAGAACATTCCACCGAGTCCGAGTCCGACTTTGGGGAACGCGGTTGGTTTCCACGGCGTCATCTGCTGTCAGACTTACTCTGGCTTCCCGCAGTTCCTCAGCGTCAGGTCAGATCCAGCCGCCACGGATGTGTCAAACCCCCTAGCGAAAGAATCTCCCTAGGGCCATTAGCGGCATGGGGTGAGCCCCCTTTCGTCCCGGGGGAAGGGTACAGCCGAGACCCCCGAGTCACTTTTCCTCACTGGGTGCTTCAGGACAAGCTTGTCAGTTTGGTTTTAGCTGGACGAGTCAAGCAACTATTGCTTCTGCTCTGTTGATAATTGAACAGCCGCGAAAGGCTTTGGATCCTCACATGGTGTGATGCTGAGAACCGCGCGCCATGATTAGCGCAGGAAATTGATTCTCGCTCTCCACTATCGAGCCACCAACAGCGACAATTGCTGCGGTGCAGCGGTCAGCATCCTGGCTAACCAGCGGCCGCATCCTCTGCTTCTCACCTTTAAGGTTTCCCCGATGCCAGGCATGGGCGAACATTAATGTTACCCCGACAGACGGGTTATGATCGCTGAAACTTCTGATTCACCAGGATACCTGTACCCACCATAGCACTAAAGAGACCATAGTTCGGTGACTTTCAGCATACTAACGCCAGATGGAACGGGGCCTCTGTATGACAGGTTTAAATTGCTGTTTTGCCACGTTGGTTTGGTGATGCTTCCGCCATATTTTTCAACCGTCCTTGCTTTTCCTCTCAACTCGGTATTTCTGTCATCGAGGACCTGGATCAGAAGGCAGGCATTACATGTTCATATATATATATATATATTTAGGCTGTATATATATTCGTAGCGAAATCTCCTTCCTTTCTCGATGCCGAATTTATCACGAATCACACCAGTCTTAGCATCGCGGGACATTGACGTCCAAGCATCCTAAAGAGAGAAATACATATATCAGACCAATTCTACGCAGATGTCGTCGGCAAACGAACTACCCCCTATCTCGATTGATTCTGAGGTGTGTGCTGTGTGTGGTGGACTCCCCTCTTTCAACTGCCTCACCTCGTATTTTGGCTCCTTTATATCATGTGCAAGCATCATTCTGACGAATATCCCTAGTGTGATACCTGCGGTGACCCCATCTTTGATGACGACCTGTCAGTAGATGCCGCGCAAATAACGACATATTTTACATCACAAAGTAAATGCCTTGAGAGTGTTGCTGATTTCCTTGATTTTGTGCTGTGAAAGCTCGTCGTTTGCACAATCTTTAGCTTCAACTATTGTCAACGAGACCTATGAAAATGGTATGTTTTCTTCTGATGTAGTGTTTCTCTATGGAATAGGAGACACAATGCCATGTCAACAGAATGTTTACCATACCTTTTCCGTCACAGGAAGAAGATACCATTCCTTTAGAGAAGGCGGCAAGTACCATTCTTCTGTTGTTGCGTGTTTAACATTCGCATATTGAAAATTGCGTAACTCGATAACTTTCCTAATTGAAAACCGTTTCGCCAGCATACGTCTTTCCGAATGACGAGGTTAGTCGAGCCCATCTCACACATTTATTATGGACACTTCGCTCCAGATTATAGGTACCGCTTCTCTGACGGACAGCACATTCGCTTCCAACAGAAGGAGAGCAACAGACTGGATATTGTCCATTATATGACAGTTGCACTCTGCGACGAGAAGCTTCACCTTGCACCCATTGGCTCAAGCCCCCAGAACATCCTTGATATTGGAGCTGGGACCGGCATTTGGTGCTGTCAAATGGGTGCGTTTTAAAATCTTATTTCCCTTATTTGTTCTACAATCTCAAAGTGCTCAAAAAATTTCCCAGGTGATGATTACCCGTCTGCACAGGTATGGCTATGACATCCTGGCAGCAAACGCTATTGTTTCTGGCCGACTAGACCAGCTAGGAAACTAACAATCCCACGATCATCATACTCATCAGATATTAGGCGTGGACCTAAGCGCAATACGGAACACAAAGTTGGTAGCTAGCCTTTCCTGCCCAAACGAACAGAAAGCGATCGCACATTCACGAAACAAAGTAGAGCTTTTTTAACCTCCACCGTGTTGAAGACATGTCACTCCAGAAAACGTGAGATTCGAAATCGACGACATCGAAAGCGACTGGACTTTTATAGACTCGTTCGACTACATCCACTGCCGTTACATGTACGCTGCAATACGAGATTGGCCGAAGCTGGTTGAAAGATGCTTTAAGTGAGAACAAGTCTTTCCGTCTCTTAACTGGATGCTCATTCCTTCCACAAGCATCCATACTGATATACATATAATTATGTATATGCATATGTGGGAGGACATGTACTGATCTCAGACCTTTTTCCTTTCAGCCACCTGACACCCGGCTGCTGGGCGGAATTCCAAGACTTCGATGTTCCTTGGTATTCCGACGATGGAACGTACGACGCCGAATCATCACTTGGTCGATGGTACAAATTATTCTATAAAGCCACCCGCCAACATGGCCGAGAGCTGTCGCCTGGCCCTAAACTTGAAGGGTGGGTGCGCGGTGCTGGCTTCACCGATGTGGTTGTTAAGAAGATGCGGGTTCCTGTTGGGAGGTGGCCAAAAGATCCGAAATTGGTGTGTACATGTCCTTTCTTCCACACCCTAGCCTGGTATAATCGGAAAGAAAATGGGAAGGAACTCAATGCAACGCCACTTACTAGTAGGCTAATAAATAGGGACACAGAAAACGGTCGGGACCTGGAATCTCCTGCAAGTCATCGAGGGCATGGAAGGGTTTTCCATGGCCCTCTTCTCGCGTGTGTTAGGATGGTCTCCTGATGCCATCCAGGCCTTCGTTTCTGAGGTAGTGAAAGATCTCCGCAATCCGAAAATGCATGCACAGTTCGACTTGTAAGTGCACATACCTTCCCTTCTTTACTCATCTTCCGAGAAGTGCAGCCGCCCCCAAAACCCCAAGTCCTGCGAAAAAACCAACCTAGTCATGTGTATGGCTAATTAGCCGTTGATCAGGTACATTGTTTACGGGCGAAAACCTGAAACGAGCAAATGAAAATGATCTATCACCGCGACTAGGGAAAATTCGAATATCCCTTTGGAAAAGAAAAGTAAGTTAACTGTAAATGGCAGAAAATAAAAAGAGGTCGAATTTAAGAAATCATTGAACAATCTTAACTATCTTGAAGCACACCCCGTCCGGTTCGAGTTCCGGAAGAAAAATGTCCAAGGGACCGGGGGATTTACGAAAAGAGTATCCGTCCACCCTTATTCTTCGATTCGGGGTTTTTTTTTTTTAAGGGAAATGGAAAGAATTATAACCCCCGCATATACGAATAAATATATACAGCCCAACACGATGTCTACTAGGTATAAGGGTGAAACATTTTCACTGTCAGCCAGCATCTGCGCTTCTGGTTATACTGCATGAGGATTGGTAGAACAGAGCTCGTTCGTATGTTCGTATATTAACTCACCTAACCCTAAACCTAGAAATGTGTATACGTTTTCCAACTCTCTGGCCTGTAGTCATTGAGACGCGATAAATGTAGACCGATCCTCAATGCAGATTCGCAGACAAAGAAATGGGAGGTAAAAATGACCTATGGCGCTGGTGATTGATTGGCTTGAAGTTTTTAGCTGTAACTATGCAGGCTTAGTAGGGGGGAAAGCGGGAGGATATGGGAATATAAAAATATCAACAAAACCAAAATTGTGGGACGCAATGCAGCGCATGAACCGAGCAAAAGAGAAAAATTACATTCCAACGGCAGCCTGTTTCCCACTTTTTTGTTTCTGGTTTTAATTAATTAATTTTCGAGAAAGGGACAGCTAGATAGTAGAGGTGTAACTATATGCATGATACGCCGGCTGCAAGTAGCCGGTGCCTATCACCGCCAAAGGAGCTATAATAAAGCATGAATGAGTTGTAGAAACCAAAGGAGAAACGACCAGTACAACGAATTGTTTTGCAGCGCGGATACACGTTTAAAAGATGAGGGGGAGGGGGAGATTGTCACTTAGCCTCGAGGCAAAAAACATAGATCTAACTACCCAACACCTCGGAACGCTATAAGAAATGACAAATTCAATGACTGCATGCCAGACTCAGCTTAGAATGCCTGCCTAAATCGAAATGCAACACGGAGGGGCCAGTAACTATGCGATACGACCCCTATCCCTTGTGTGCGATTTTGTGATAACCATCCGTCCATCTCCCTGGATTTCTGAAGACTCTATCGATAGAGGCAGGCCCCGCGTTCTAAGCTATCTAAACAGACATACAGACAATTTCTATAGCGAGCAGTAAACAGATACTCACGCCCAGCTTCCAAGAAGCAATTCGAGCCGAGTCACGGGAAATAAAGCATATATTATGGTATTGGCGCCAGTTTCGAGAAAGTAGGGGTATATGCATGCACCTTGGCCAAAGTTGGAAAAAAACTGGGAGATGAAAACGGATCCGAATAAACCATGTACAACGTGCAGCTCATCGGTTGTGGGAAGATGTAACCACTTGGACTAGAACGACCGATAAAGGAAACACAGGATTGAGAACAAAAGAAAAGGAACTTCAAGACAGTATTAAAATGTATCAAAAACAGATTGCAAGCCATGCCAATTCCGTTACCTGATCTATACAGTTATGCCCTCTAAGCGTGAAACTGTGAAATATGCATGAGAATTCGTTGCGGCATTCCACCAAAAACAGAAAAGAGAAGAAAATGAAAGCAGAACAAAAAGCTGCCTACGGCGCCGTATGCGGATTGTGCAACTCAAATAAAGGGGCAATATACATCTAGTATGTAAGGAAAAATTAATGGTAAAATACACACCACCGCCACAACTAGAATTTCACATCCTCAAGCGGTTGCAATCAAGTACATAAAAGGAGAGTAAGTAGATGGCGAATAGCGATAACTCGCCGGCAAGAAGTATTAGCCTTTAATGGTAGGTAATCAAACTATGTATGTGGACGGCACTCGGCGGATTTCTTGGGTCCGGTATCCTAACGATTGTAGTGCTTGCTCGTTAATCAACCTGCAGGTTTCGCCTCATGCAGATGTAGAGGGAGAACCAATCGGCATGCATTCATTCATGTAGGTATCTGCGATGATCGGGTAATGTGGACCGGCCCACTGCGGATCGAGAAAAGGGGCAAACGTAACATGAATATGCTCCATCGTCATGAGGTACTGTATAACACGAAAAAGGTGCGTCGAAAAAGAGAACCGTGGCAGTCGTCAGACGAGCGGTGAAAGGAGAACTGGGATTGATCATCGTGGAGCTACGGAAGTAGTTGTTCTGGAGGAACTTCCTGCCGCAGGAGTGTTCTCGTTTCCTTCGAGGAGGTCAAGACATTGGCCAAGGACTAGGATCAAGCAATCAGATCAGTTGAGAGACCCCCGAATGTGGCAAAGCTGGCCGAAGCGCGGCAGAGTGGCGTGTGTTAGGTTCAACTACCCACCGCTTAAAATTTCTTCCTCCCATACACCCATCTGGTAATCTACCAGCCCATGCTGCTCCATTCGATCACATAAGCGAACCAGTTCTCTTCCCATCTTGTTTAGGGTCTCTTCTGTGAGAAGGCTTGGTGGGCTAGTACCGGATCGGGACTCTAACATCTCCTGAGTCATATCCTTTTGTTTCTGGCATACCGCAAGCCAGCAAATATTAAACTCATTCCACATTTTCAATCGATCCGAGTGCAATTCTTCCTCGTCGCGAGCGAGCCCTGAAATCAGCTATTAGCTCGAAAGGTGTTGCACCGCCCAGGTGCCACATGAATCAACGAGGGAGAAAATCAGAATTTACGGATCGTACATACCAAGTTCGGTCGCATTCCCCAGAAGCCACTCTGATATCTCCAATAATGATTGACTTGCGTCTAGCAATCTGCCGGATCGGGTATTTTCGAATGTCTCTCTGAGGGCTCGTTGGTATTGGATATAAGCATCATCGAAACCAGATGATTGACGAGGAAATTCCGAATGTTCGAGGCCATCAGAAGCTGTGGAAGCGGGGAGGCCAGCCATAATTTCGGGCAATGCCGATGCCGTAGATGCACGCGGAAGAGCAGCCGGCTGTGAATACGGCGTCGTCTGAGCTTGGGAAGCAGTTAAGTACTTATCAGATCCTCCTGCAACTGCTGGTCCTCCCTCTTGGAAATATTGTGGAACACCAAATTGAGTTGCTAGCACTTCGATAGCGGCAGAATGTCGTGGTTGGTAGTGTGACACTCCTTCATACTGAGACTCTGGCTGGACTTGAGGGGTGATACCATAAACCATATCGCCCTCATATTGTGATAACCGCTGCTGTTGTTGGTTAGGATGCTGGTTTCTGGCAGAAGTAGAGGCAAAGTTCGACTGGTATTGTATCCCTCCACTCTGCAAAGTCCCGCCCTGTAGCGGCGGTGTATTGTAAGGCAGTGATTCTGTATATCCATAACTACCATAGGCCGAGACTGAAGAAGTCCGGTCTTGAGATATTACTCCATCAGTACCAGGTCCTCCAGCTGGTTCCGGCTGTTGCTGTTGTCTAAAGCGCTCCGAAGAGCTTCCAGACAAATTGCGAATAGGATATGGCCCCGCGCCAGAGCCTGTTTGGTAGCTAGAAGGGTCATACTTCTTTCGTTGTTGACTATTGCCATCCATCCCCTTGATGTCGTCTGAAAAGCTCCCGCCCCGCGGCGGATCGAGGTAAGATGGCCGATGCGCCGGAGGCGAGAAAAGGGGATAGCGTCGATTTACAGATTTTCGATTTCTGTCACCCGTTTCCAAGCCAATACTTACTCTGTACGACAAAAGAGCGTTTCGCGCTTTGTGGGGCCTTGTTGGAAGGATCTAGGCTATTTGGTTAACAAACAACCGTAGTGTTAGAACAACATGTTGAAGAAGAGACCGTCCTCACTTAACCACAACGAAGTTGAATCTGGGTGCTGCAACAGTGGATTGGGTCCGATTAAGTTTAGTGGTTCACTTCGCAAGAGGGAGTGTGGTTTGGGTACTTTTGCTGAGATAGGGCGACAAGAGGACCAAATCAATTATCAAGCAAACCCCACCCCCAAAAACCGATATATTGAAAAATGGGGGCTTGTAGAAATAATTAGTGGAGAAGCGCAGCGATGCCGATTAAGTGCCACTCTGCTTCGCGCTAAGTTCGGAAATAGGAAGGATAATACGGATAGATAAATGGTTTTGATCAACGGTCAACGGGATGCTGCGATCAAACTGAAGCTAGCTAGGTCGACAGAAAACTCTGAGGAAATAAGCAGGGGCTACCCTTGCTAACAAGCCAGCTGGCAGCGCCCGAGTCGCATAGGGCTTGCATCTGGAGAAACACCAAAAATAGGCGGGGGCTGTCCTAACTCAGGTGTTCGAGGACGAGAATGGCCGCGCGCAGAATTGGAGCATTCGGCCCTGGGGCACTCCTCACGGCTATATGGGAGCAAAGAGTGCCTTATAGAAAACGTCTAGAAGACCAAGTCACCCAGTTTTCTGCTGAATAGCGAAGACGTAGGCCACTCGAGAGATGAATGGAACGCGCGGACGTAACTTCGACGAAATATACATAATTTGTTAGTCAGGAGATGTAGAGATTGTAAAGTTCCGGTTCTGTTGTTACAGCAAGTTATGACCGGTTACCATCGTATCTGCTCAGCACAGCGTTTTAGTTTACCACCTGATTTCTTCAATTCTTCAGGTCCTAGCACCCGGAGTCTATGCTCGCGTGTTCTGACCTGACTGCAAATACTGCCTGGTAATGCAGCATTAATAATTAATGCCGGCTGGGGTTGACTAATGACATGACAGTCAAAAAGTAAATAAGCATAGTAAACGAGCAAATATAAGGTTTAGCCAGGAGCATCCAGGCTTACACAGTGCTCACGGATGGTGTCCAGGACGATAGCACACTTGCCGACCCCTTGCTTGGCTAATGGCTTAGCCAAGGACGGCAATGAGTGTCTTAACAATAACGTTAGCTATTTGGGGTTTTCTACTTCACTGGGGCTGGATAGTTTCGAGCGACTGGAATACCGAGCAAGACTTTGGTGCTCCAGCTTCCAGCATCCTGAGAAGACAAAATAAAAATGGTTAATATAAAATTTCTCAGCAAGATGCTTCTCGAACATTGCCCAAAATGAGGTTACGCCCTGACACATACTGTTGTCAGATGTGCCTCGGCCCTATCGTTCAAGCCAAGAGCGAGGTAATTCTGTTAGTTTTTGCGTGTTTTTCTCATTAGTTTAGACTTACTCAAAACCTAGTTTGATCGGAGCAGGCATCAAACGAAGATCAAGGACCTGTCATAACAGGGACAGCATGGTTGACCACTTGGCCTTCTGGAATATTATCCTGCGCATATGGGATATTGTGGACGGCAGCATCTCATACCAGTGGAAAATATATCTCGGTATGCATGTTTCAGGGTGCACAAGAGACTTCCGCATCGAAACACCCGTGGGAGCTTCGGGGTTTGTTCATCATCCTTTGAGCAACCTACGGCCCGCTTGCTGTTGATAGATATGAAATTTGTCTCTTCGCCAAATGGTTGGCAATAAACCTTCCTAATATTTTTCATGCCTGCCAACGTTGCTAGAAAACCCGATGCCTGTCGCAGAATTAGCGGAAGGGACGATCGGGAGTGAGATTTGCAAGAAGCATTGGGCACGAGCAATGGGTCGTGTGGGAATTCAGACAAGGAGAACGAACACCAGACACCAGTGCCGAAACTGAATGACTGTAGCCTTTCCAGAAACATGCTGATCCCTGAAAACGAGAAGGGGTTCCGTTCCTAGCGTGCTTGGCTGGCATGTTACGTCTTGATTGGAATAATCGTCGAGACTCCGATTGGAAGCATGACAGCAGGTAACTAGCTTGAATTAGCAACTATGCATGCAATGGCAAAATCGCGTGAATCGTCAAGATTACTCGGGATACAACCTGCACTTAATTTAAATAAAGTCTGCCTGATGCATTAGGCCTGGAGTGCGACACCGAGCACAAACCATTGCATGAAAGCCGACTTATCGCTGTGATCCTGTGGCTCCAGCCTAGATTGCCGGTTGCCTCAGCCATTGACATGCAGGAGGTCTGTCTACAGTCCGTGGTTTGGCTAGAGGTTGGAGCATGGCTTGGATGTTGTTGGGGCTGACTAATCTGGCGCAGCCGCTGGTTGCCATTCCCGCAGAGCCACCGCTGCACTAGTATACATATCTATGCTGCGTCTTGAGGGCGACTACTAGTATATACATACTATCATTGTCTACCAGATCATATATCGGGTGCTTCAGAAAAGTGAATCGCAAGAGGCGTAACCAGACCTCATCACCTGTTATGTGGATACCGATTATGTCGATTCGCAAACAAGATACTTCTTTACGAGTTCATTAGTGGAAGACTGGCCTCAATTTGTCACCTAAAGGTTATCTGGGTTTGATGGGCGTGCTGTCGTCGCAAATGGACTCGATCTCTGGCTGGAATTTGTCCGCTAAAATGTCAGTATATCCTGCCCAATATCCTTGCCAGGGAATCTATTCTGATTTTGGATTGGGTTTCCCCTGCGTTGAAGGACCAAACGCAGTATAAGTGGTCTCCATAATTATATTTTCAAGAAAGGAGAACATTTCAGCATTCAATGTATGTCTGTCAATAATAGCGGCAAGGATACCCCATGGAATCCGATGTCTCAGACGGGCTGGGCAAATGGGATCCTCTTCATGACGGTTGAAATATCCGAGCATCGAAAACGGGTGAAGGAAAATGCTAACTAATAATATTGATGGGCTCCACCCTAGCTTGGTTCCTAATAAATCAGCCCTGTAATTCGAATTTGAGTGGTAGGCCCTGGAGTAATGCAAGCCGTGATGATTTTCTTTTCAAACTGGAGAATCTGGGGTTCAGATCTGCCGCATCCCTCGATGGCTCCCCAATGCAACACCATTTCCACCACCATTTCACTTTAACACCTTGGACCTCGAATTCATGCAGCATTATTACTCGCGAGTTTCAAGCCACTGTCTGAGTTACTCGCTACCTGGACCGTCACACAGCATCTCTGTATATCGATTCTCCAATGCCGGAAAGTTTGAGAACAAAGGGGCCATTTCCGAGAACCTTTGGGGGGCCATTACTCTTGACATGGTAGTTAGTTAGCCTTGGATCGGCCACAATCTATAAATTTGCATTTTCCCTGTACTCTAACTTTAAATCTCAGCAGCAGCGACAAACAACTGAGCTTGAATGGACGCCGCCACTGGAAACGGGTGTTTGGATTGTTCCTCTCGTATCCACCTACATTCTCGAAAGCACTTGGATTTCACAACGATCTTACTTTGGCATGCATGGTATTGGATTTAGTTTCGCGAAATCTACTCTATCAAGAAGGACCGCCGCCAGCTGAGCCTGGAATAGAATTTGCCTGCTCTGAGAACGGATAGCACAAAATTTGATGAATTGAAAGAATAGGGGGTTGTGAAGATTACATGCTAGAGCCAGAGTTGACGCAACAACCTTGTCATTGCCTCGGGGCATTGCGACGCTTGATTTCCTCAAGGTTGCTGAGCATAAGCCGTCCAAGCTATTGTTGGAAGTACCCATCATTATCTCCCTCTGGCAAATGTTGCCATCCATCACAAAAACCGCCATTTCCTCTGCATCATTGGTTCGTCTTCTAATAATGCCGGAGATCACGTCGTTGCAACCTTGGAATGGTGGGCTGGAGGTTGATGCCGTCACATGATCGAACCTCCAAAATTCTTCCAGAAAGGAAAAAGGAGTCGCTAAGCCAATCAATGTCAGGTCAGACCTCAGCCGGCTAAGCTGCGTACGGAGAACCCGCTGTAAAGTTTCTGCAGTTTTGTCCTCTTAGCGGCGGCCGTCATCGACTAGCGCAGTTCTTTGCTCGCCCGCTGGAGTCCTCACCTTGGCTGCTGCCCGCTAATACGTCAGATCGTCTTCTGATACGCTGAGGGTAATTTCAAAAGGTTTTATAGCTAGGCTGCAAAAACTTGAAATCGGGTTTGTTAACTCGTTAGTGGTAAGCAGACTTATCAAACCCCTGCACATGGGACTTCTCCTGACTTATCTCTTTATAGTAAAGTGACTAGCTGCTGTGATCTCCTCTCAAGGATGAGAAGCCACGTTGATAAGGCGGTGAGATGCATATCATCTTCCGGATTTTCAGAGCTAACTTCATGAAGAAGAAGAATAATCACAAGAGTGGTTTCAGCCCAATGAAAATACGGTGCAAGTGGAGGGGATCGCGTTTCACGCATACGAAAATATTAACCTCTTAAAAAATGTTTTCCACAATCAATCTCGGTTTCTGGCATCCTTGCTCAAACTCTCATATTTCTTCATCTACGCCGGTATTTTAATAGCGATGAAAACTTGCAGGTAACGAGGAAATTACGACTAACCACACAGCGTCATCCAATGCTCGTCGGCTGGACGATCCGACCAATCCCGGAAGTTACACCGTATATCCAAAACAATGAATAAGTTACACAGAAAAAAAGTGGCAGCACTTGTCCGCTCCCAGGGTTTCACCACCTGATTTCTCCATTTTATTTATTTCTTTTGAAGGCGTCTGGCCTGCATCAGGCACCGAAAGAATTCCGTTCTGCAATCTGTCAGGGGAAATTAGTGTTTACTTCCTCCGAGATTCATCGCAACATCTGCCAGCAAAACATTGATTGGCCAGTCGATGTTCAGACACCTCTATGCCGGGAGGCCCACATCTCAACCGCAAAGCCTAGTACAGGAATCAAGCAAGGCCTCTCTTTCAGCCGCGAGGGCACTTTCCATAGCGTTGTCTAGCACAATCGAGGGGTTTCGGTGCGTCAATTTTGATGCTTGGCCAATGTGTCAGAAGCGAAAGATAGGAGTGTATGAATTAATTTAAAGGCTGTTTAACTCGGCTATTTCTGCCATCCGGCCTTAGCCAACACACGCGATGGTAAAGTATACTTTGAATTTCAAATACTGGACATTTTCTACTATTACTCAAGCATGGACTCCGTCCGTACGGTACAGCCCATGCATCTACTGACATTTTGAGCCGTCTTGGGCTTTAACTGTATGGTGTTCAACCGTTATTGCTTCGTTTTGACCCATCTTTATGTTGGGAGGTATTCACGTTGAGAGGGCTATTCACTGAGTAGCACATAAGTGACTGAAATAGGTATAAGCCTCGCTCTATGATTAGTTACTATTACATGCAAAGTCGTCTATGCGAATACACATGGGTACAAGGGATGATCAGATATCGGAAATACACTGGGTGAAGTTGAAAATTGACAACGGACTGATACCTCGCACCAAGGGGAGGTCTTTTTTAGGATTTGTGATCGGAATCCGATGTTCTGACTTGAAAGTATATTCCCCTGGCTTCTAGGCAATCGATTTAGCAAACTCAGTCTTTGTGAATGACGACGACGTAGCTATTTTCGGGCCCGAGGAAGTACGGGGGGACCTTTGAGTTTAAGGGCTTTGGTTGATAAACCGTTGGCATCCAGAAATGAAACGCGCCTCCATACCTCATGCACTTTGCTTTTTTCCCGTTTCGATTATACCCACGGATATACCTGGCAGCATAGTAAATGTTTGAGGGAATAGTGGACTACAGCTTGGGCTGCGGTTTTGTTAGAGATGCCGGCTCGGCAGGTTGGATTCTCATCGATAGAGGTCTCACCACGGGCAGCGGGATTGAAGTTATAAAGTCGATGTTTACCTTTTTTGACGAGTTTCTCGTTAACCGTGTCGGATTAAAAGTCGTGGTGCTGCTGTAGTAGGATATGTCGATTGAACGACAGGTCCAGTATCCTTATATATAAAAATATATAAAACTTGGATCTGTATGAATAGGGAGTTTTGGAAAGCGAGATGCAATACTCAACATCTTGATGTCATTCAATATGGCGAACTCCCAGTCCCAATCGCAACCCCTTCCCCAATAGCGCATTAGATCATCATTTTATTGAAGCTGCCACTGCGAACCAGGCTCAAAGAGAACGTAGTGAAATGCAATAGAAACCGCGCCGCCGAACTCTTCTGCGTTTAAAACGGACAGCACGGATCTAGATTACATGAAATAAAAATGTATGTATACGGAGGTTAATTTGCGTAGAGAAATATGTGTTTGTCGGATTCATCTTGTCTATCCGACCTCATCTCACACCTTCTCATAACTAGAAACAAAGAATACCGGGCACGCTCCCAAAAGGCGATTTCCATCCCAAGTGGCAAGAATATACCAAGTAGGTTGAATAGACATCTACATTCCGAAACATTCGTCTGTCTGATCAAATTAACATAGAGGAAGTGCTCTCTCATGCCCTGTCTAGGAAAACGAACTCGTCCCCACACCAGTATGTATTGCGAAGCTATTGTGGAGTTTATTTCACGGAAAGCAACCGAGTTCCATGAGTAGGTGACATTTTGGCGACTAGCCAAGATTCGCTCGTCCGTCCGAGAGCGGGCCTCTGTGGATAATGTGGCTTTATGCGCCGTCAGAGGACGATTGTGGCATTGCTTTTGATCTAAGAAAGGCCCGGTAGCAGTAAACAGATTGCAATCCTTCGGGCAAATTTTTGTTTTCATCCTGTCGATAGGGTACAGATGCCGGGTTGACGGCAGAGTATACATACCGTGTGGCGGTTGGTGTGCGATATTCTTTGTGTGAAGCGGGATGTGTACGCAACAGCCGATACCGAAATGGATGTGAACTCAAGCCGAATGCGCGATGTCGCGGGCATGTTCAATTTGTATTTCTCTTGTCGGTTGGTAGGATGAACTGAGATAAAAAAAAAATAGGCTTCGGTAAAAATGTAGGAGAAATGTAAGAGACGAATTTAGGATTCCGCGGAGCCCATGCTGGGTTGGCTGCTCTCCCACCGCCCGACCCTAGAAACCGAAAATATGGCGACCGGAATATGCATGAGGTTATCGAGAGAGAACAATGACTAGCATACTCCAAGCATGATGCTCGGCACCTCAAAGAAAAGAGACTCGGAGGGATTAAAAGGCTCGGGGATATGTAGGAATGTAAGGGAGACATTGGGGTGGGTCTGAAGACTCTTGAGGGTTTCATGACAAGATGTGGAATGGGCGAGAGGTTCTTCAAGATAAATGATCTAGAGACAGGAGCGCCGTGGCTCTGACGCCGTCGATTTTGGGACCAGAATATCGTCATTTATGCTCAAAGAGTCTGTGAGTCCGCCCGGTTGCTTGTAGATCTGTTGCTGTGGGAATCTCCAAACGAGGCAGATACAGGTTCCAATTGTAATTCAAAAAGATATACATCGAGACAGGCGGATACCAATTCGGAAGGATAGGGCAGACATGGAATGAAACATCTTCGACCTGGGCTTGGTAACTAGAAGTTGGTTTGTCAGTTGGTTAAGGATGGAAAAATGTTGATACATATTGTGGCTTGATATTTGCATTTTCAATGCAGATCATGCGTGAGGATAAAAGGAAGTGGCTGCGGAGGAGAAGTGAGGTATTCAAACCCTTTCTGGAATTCTCTGTGAGAAAATCACAGTGGCATTGCATAATTGAACTCTAAATTCTAGGAATAGCTATTCTCCAATATTCCTGGGAGGGCTGTCCCCTTTGTTTTGGAATCCTCTCGTAACATCATCCCATGTATGATATTATAGTCATCGAGGAAAACAAGAACATTTGTTGATTCCACGGTTACGTGGTAGGTTTGGGAATGGAATTATTCTCTATTGCTCTCCGACGCCGTCAACAAGCCGCGCGTAGGTGGATAAGAAACAAAAAAAAAGTTATATAGAAAAAGTTTGATATACAGGTTCGCGCTAAGGGAAAAAGGGGGGAAGGGGGGTAAAAGTATGAGGCTAATACAGGAGAAAAGAGAAGTGGAAAAATGTGCGACAAACGGTAACGATTCCTTCACCGTCTGACCCAGGCGGGCATCTTTCTGGCTTTCAAATGACCATGCTTCTTTCTCTCGACTTGTCGAGGATCCGTCGAGATACAACCGGCTAAATGGAAAGTAAGCAGTCAGCGGAAGGGATTCCAGCCCATACAGCCATGCAAGGATGGTTAGATAATGTATCAACATACCTTTCCTCAGGATTGGCTTCATTGCTGGCTCATGAACCAATAGAGCCTTTCCCAGAGCAACGGTAATAGCTTCTGCTTGACCCGTAACACCACCACCTCGCGTGACAGCAAAAACGTTATATTTGTCCAACCGATTCGTCGTCCTTAAAGGCCAGAGAGCACTCTCCCTGTCGTGGACGCGAGGGAAGACCTGGACAATGTTTTTGCCATTGATTAGCACTTTCCCTTCGCCCTCAACCAACCACACTGTCGCATGCGATGTTTTTCGTCTGCCAACGCCTCTAGCCCTGCCCATCTCATCGAGCTTCTTGGGTACAATTTTCTGCTGGTAGGGATCGCCAGGTCGTGTGAAAGTTTTGAGGATATCTTTCACTTCCTGGGGCACCTTGTCCGGTTGGATCTGGTTTAATCTGGAGAGAATCTTCTGGAGCTGGCGATATTTGGCAGCAGGCACCTCCTCATTTATTGCATTTTTGTAATCTGAGTGTTTAAGAAACGCCGTCCGTGGTGCTTCACCTGCAGGGACAGTAGGTAGCATGAAGTATTTACTGTGTATCTGTTCCAGCTTCAACACATGGTCGATAAATTTCGGAGTTCCGGTGAAATAGGCAGGCGAAGCAGGGAGAATACGTTGGGGGGAAGTTTTCAGTTTCGTCGTATCAATTGGAGGAGCAGCGGTGATTTCAACATGTTGCTCGGGTGATGTCGATAATGAGCGTCTTTGGGACTGCGGATGTGTCGTGGTCGCGGATAGACATGTTGTGCGGGAGAGGTGAGCTTCCCGTCGAAAGCTATTCTGCGCAGATCTGAGAGCGCGAGCAACACAGCTCGGCCCTTGCCATGCCATTGTGGGGATCGGCCTGGGAGAAATTATATTAAATTGTTATTTGAAGCTGTCCCCCTCCTCCTCGTTGTTGTTATTCTCTTCTTGGATTTTTTCAATCATCGGAAGGAGAGTATATCACGTGTTTAGTAGCCGCAAATTTAGTTTCTCCGCTCCGAAGGCGAGCCCAAACAGGCAATTTTTTTCAACACGAAAACTTTCTGCTTTTCTCTCCACAACCAACACCAACCTCCTCGTCTCCTCCCTCCCACTGCAGAACATTTCAATCCTTCTGTGGTTTCCAAGATGGCTTTCGGCACAATTTATGGGTTCGCTGTAAGTATTATCCCTGAGCCAGGCGTGCTCTCCTGGCATCTACCCTTGTGTGTTGTTGCTTGCTGGAGCAAGGAGGGGCTGTTGAGCACCACAACTGAGTACCACAACTGAGCACAACTAACAAGTCTTCGCCTCAAGGACAATCCTCGCACCACTGCGTGCCGGATAGCAGCCAAGGCTAACAACCTCGACGTCAAACTCGTTGAGAAGACATCTGTTAAGCCTGCTGAGTATGAGAAGTTCAATGCTCTGAACAAGATCCCCACTTTCGTGGGCGCCAATGACTATGTCTTGACTGAGTGCATTGCCATTGCTATTTACCGTTTGTATCCCCCGCTCCCCACTTGTTGCGATTGTATAGATTCCTTCCCGAGTATACGTGCATACATACACACAGACATATCTTATATGATGAGTCATATTATCATTCAGTTATCCCTGACAGAATTGTTTTGCTGTTGACTACTTTGAACTCTGATCCCACTTGTATTTTTTCTTGTCTTTAAAAAAAAAATATGTGCAGCCTATGTCCCTCGGATTCGTATCCATGACTGACATTGCAAATTACTGTAGTCGCATCCCAAAATGAGAAGACCACCCTTCTAGGCAAGACGAAGCAGGACTATGCTTCGATCCTTCGCTGGATGTCGTTCGCCAACAGCGAACTTGTCCCTACTCTTGGTGGTTGGTTCCGTCCTCTTGTTGGACGTGACCCATACAACAAGGCCTCCGTTGAGGCTAGTTCCAAGGCTGCTCTAAAGGCCTTTGCCCTTCTCGAGAAGCACCTTACCACTAACACCTATCTGGTTGGCGAACGTCTCACTCTAGCTGACCTCTTTGCCGCCTCGATGGCTTCTCGTGGCTTTGAATTTGTTCTTGGCAAGACCTGGCGCTTGGATAACCCAGCTGTCACTAGATGGTATGAGACCGTTGTTAACCAGGACGTTTACAAGGCTGTTGTCCCCAATCCAACTTTTGTTGAGGAAGGCTTGAAGAACGTTCCCCCCAAGAAAGTAGAGAAGGCCCAACCTCCGCCGCCTGCTGAAGAGGAGCCGAAACCGGCTCCAAAGCCTAAACACCCTCTCGACGCCCTCGGCAAGCCAACCATGATCCTTGATGATTGGAAGCGCAAGTACTCCAACGAGGACACCCGATCAGTAGCTATGCCATGGTTCTGGGAGCACTACAGACCAGACGAATATTCCTTGTGGAAGATTGAGTACAAGTACCCTAAGGAGCTCAAGTTGACCTTTATGTCGAGCAACTTAGTTGGTTAGTCCCATGCGCTCATTCAGGTTTCAGTTCATCATCACTAACATCCCCCGTTATAGGCGGTTTCTTTACCCGTCTCGAGGCCTCCCGCAAGTACGTCTTCGGCGCTGTCTCTGTTTACGGAAAGAACAATGACAACGCAATCATGGGTGCCTTTCTCATCCGCGGCCAAGAGGCTGCCCCTGCTTTTGACGTCGCTCCTGACTGGGAAAGCTACACTTTCACCAAGCTGGATTCCAACAACCCGGAGGACCGCAAGTTTGTCGAGGACCAGTGGGCCCAAGACGTTTCCATCACTATTAATGGCACGGAATACCCCAATGCTGATGGTCGTGTCTGCAAATAAAGAGTGAGCGGATTGATTATTAAGTCGATTACGTTTTGCCACGATGCTCTCCACAGCACCTCTATTAATTTCTTCTCCCCTTTCTGCAACGCGAGGAGCTTCGGTTGAAGATGTTACGACGAAATAATATGATAATGATTCGATTCAATGAAGTTAAAAGAACCTGATTACAAATTTCGAAAGGCCTGTTCATATCAATTGATCTTTCTCATCAAGCTCTATACGTGTAATGATTTTATTCTTGCCACAATATAATCCTGAATGTGTCACTAGCCAACAATGTAGAAAAGAGGATATCACACCCGCCACCTATTTATTACCTTATCCAGGGAGCGGCAACGCAATAAAACTATAACCCTGAGAAAGGAAATAAAGTAAACTATTCCACCCCCCTCCGCCCCCACGGCATTTCCTTCCTTTCCTTCCCGGCAACCTTCTTCCGCCTCCTCTCCAACGCCCTCTGTTTCTCCTTTCCACTCATCTCCGTGAACCGCTTCGCAATGACCTCCCTCTTCACTTCCCCCTTCTTCAAAAAGTATGGCTGACTCTTCTTCCCCTCGCGAATCAACTCCTTTTCTCTTCGCCGATGCTGCACCAACACCTCCCTCTCCATCTCCTTGCGCTCAAACGCTCGCTGCCGATCACTCATGGACGTAATCTCTCGCTTGAGACGCACGATCTCATGATCGTCACGCTCTGTCTTCTTTTTCTTGGTTTGTAATGCCGAGACCTGCTTGCGTAGCTCCGCGATTTCATCTGTGCGATAGTGGTTGAGGAAGGCGTAGTTATTGCGCGCGTGGATGTCAGCGTTAGCCGCTGTGGATGGGTCGCCGTTGGTGCTGTGGCTTAGGACGACGGAGTCGAAGCGCGGGTCGCGGGGTTTGGGGACGGCGAGCGGTTCGAGGATGGTGCGTTTGCGAGAAACGGCGTGGCGGGATGATTGGATTGTGGGGGCGTGTTTAGAGGTTCGGTGGGTGAGTTTTTGAGGAGGTTTTTTGGCATTGGAGGCCAGGTGTTTTTGGAATTCGGATAGTCCTTGGCACTGATCATGTTCTTTGTTGGAGGAGGTAGAGGGAGTAGGAGACTGTCTGCTGAGAACTTTTGTCCTTTTCGGTGTGATGTCCGTTGTTGAGGTGGTACGTCGTTTTCGCTTTCCTAGGGCTGCTTGAGCTTTGGCGAGTGCGCCGAAGGAGATTGTGTTTAGCGAGGGGTTTATGTCAGAGATCTCTGTATGTCCATCATCCTCCGTATCATCATCATCGGTCTCACGCTGGTCACTGTTATCTTGCTCTGTGTCTTCATTAGATTCCCCTTCGTCTAACGCCTCATTTGAAACTGATTCGTCCGAGAAATGCTCAAAACCATCATTTTCTAGTCGAGCTCTTACCCGCTGGTTGAGCGTACTTGAAATCGGCATGTCTGGGTATTTCGGGATATATACAGCAGATAGATATTTGCTGCGTCGAATTGTGTAAATTATTCTGCCCTAATATCAAAAGCGGTGAAGGGTAAAATTCAGAAAGTTGTCATGTGATTATATTGACTCCTAGAAAGAAGAATTCCAGGTCAATGTGATATAATTTATGATTTACAGCTAATTCTATAGAAAAGTTATTTGATCTTTTCTGTAGAATTAAGTTCTGTATAGTCCTATCCGTCACCTATTCGCTCTCGTCAAATTTCATATATGATGGTCCCATTGCGACCTTCGCTCTCTCAAGTGCCCGTACCTAGACCTTCCAAGCCATCACTGACCACGACAAGAACGCCAGTCCGCTATATGGTGAGTATTTATACAATTATTCTACCCGCTTTTGTCAATGGTGATTTTCAGTCATCCTCTTTGTCTAACTTTTCTCCCGGTCCCACAGCCCTCTGCTGCCACGATACACCCTCACTCCCCAGTTCAACAACCCACGAATACTAGTATGAATGCTCCAAACCCCACACTGGCGCCCGAGGACGACCAACGCATTAGATCAAGCTCACAGAGACCTTATGATTTCAAGTGGGCGGCACATGAGCAGAGCGGCAGTGAATTGGCACAGCCCTACGAACCGACATCTTCAAGGTACCAGGGAACGGGTGTGCCTACATACCATTCCCTTGCAGTGCAGGACTCCCTGCAGGAACGGGGGTATGTCCCTGTGCCTCAATCTGTATATGCGCAGACGGCGTCGATGTGAATATTTACTTTGCCTTATCTTGCGAACCATTGCAAACGTTTTGTTAATTGTGACACTCAGACCAGTTGCGGGCGCATCACGACCACTACCATGGGTATTACCAACTCATTCCCATCATCAATATCAACAGCAGCAATATCAATCCCCACCCTTCCAACACCGTCTATATGCCTCCTCATTCACAATCCCATTCACACCTATAAACCGCTCAACAATTGCTGCTCCCCGCGCACTCACATTTCATCAACTACAGCAACACCACCACTACCACAATCATTTCAATTCCGGCCCACTCCAATCCCACAGCTCCGGCTCCAACCTGCGCTCACAAACCTCCACCAGTCCCCGCTCAGTCACACCTCCAACCGCCGCCAGTGCAACAACCGCCTACATTACCCAATCCTCCTCGCAACCAACCATAACAACGGGCACCCGACCTCTCCTCATAATCCTCGATCTAAACGGCACTCTGATCCATCGCATAGGCCGGCGGCCACTCCGTTTCAAGACACGCCCAGGCCTATACAACTTTATCAACGAGCTCTTCGAGAACTACACTGTGATGGTATGGACGAGCTCACGGCCACAGACGGTGCGAGAGGTACTGGAGAGGACATTCGTGGCGGAGGAGAGGGAGAAATTTGTCGCCGTCTGGGCGCGGGATACGCTGGGGTTGAATGCAAAGCAGTATGCAGAGAAGGTGCAGGTTTACAAAAGGCTGGATAAGGTGTGGGGCCACAAGGGAATCGCAAGGTCCTACCCGGCAACAATTGAAAATGAGAGTAATGGAAACGACGAGGGTAATGCTACTACTACTACGTCTACGACCACGGCTACTCCTGCTATGAGCGGCGGCGACGTCAGTGTGGGGATGAAGAAGAAGAAGAAGAAAAAGAAGAAAGGAAAAGACAGGAGGAACCAAGAGTCATCTGGCGACACACCCTGGAACCAAACAAACACCCTCCTCATCGATGACAGCGCCCTCAAAGCCCTCGCGCAACCGTACAACATCATCGAAATCCCCGAATTCGCAAACGAGCACCCACCCGCGCATGAGGAGAAGGTGCTTGACACCGTCCTACGGCAACTACGCGTGCTATCGCGTCATGCGGATGTTAGTTGCAAGGTGCGTGAGTGGGAGGAGCTGAGGAGAGGTTTGCAACGGCAACATCAACGGCAAGAGGGGAAAAGTGGAGGAAATGCCCAAGAGGATGGGAATGGGCATGGGCATGTGGAAGCGCATCTGCCGAAATCGCATTCGCGAGAGGATATCGAGAGGTTCTGGGATTTGCAGTTGGCGAGGGATGAGGAGGCTATTAGACGGATGGATGGACGGAGGGACGAGGACGAGGACAAGGAGGAGGGCGGCGCTGGCAATCTGCATACTGTGGAGACCGATGTTGAGACCGCAGCCATATCGATACCCCATCGTCAAGGTGGTGGGGAGGGTTCTCAAGGGCGAATCCAGAAGAGTTATGGCGATGAGCGAACGCCGTCGCCGACGCAGCGCGAGCATTCACGCATCCTCTTGACCGAAAGGCGTCTTCAAATCCACACGGACAACGAAGAAGCAGGAGTCCTCGTCGAAAAGAAGAACCACGTAAAGAAGCAGAAGAAGGCTGCACGGCGCGATGTGACAGCTGCTACAGACGCCATTACTCTTACTGGCGAGGAGGGTATATGTGGATGAGAGCGGGACGGAGATAGCGAGACGGATGGTGGTGTTGCGTTGGGCTTGAGTTGAAACGAATTAAGGACTGCGTCGCGTTCCGAAAACTGAGTAGCCGGCCGGCTACGTGAGCTTTGGCGAGTATGAAACTGGGAAGTTATAATTATGACGCTATTTTTTTGCGTTGGGCGTTGGATTTACGGGCTGCATTTTTGCATTGGGGCATTGGGGGGCAGAGTGAAGTTTCTTTTTCCTTCTGACCTACCCTACCTACCCTCTTTGGGTATTTCTTTCTCTTTTGTATCATAATAGATATAACTCTAGAACCTACGTGTACTTTCCCCTATACGTTGATACCCTGTAGCATAACGAAGAGCCGAATATAATTGGATTTGATTTTCAAACATCATCTATACGCCGCACACATCCTACTTATCTTCTTAGCCGGCTCATTTTCAAATGATTGTCCCCTTTGTCAATGCCAAAATAGAAGAAAGGAAGGAAGAATACGAAAAATCACTACGCAAAATGCCGTGTAAAAGTGAGTGGTGAAGAGAGAAAGTGGGACAAATCATCATAGCTGGTATAAGCGACCGCACTCTGCATAAAAAGAACCCTATATACACCTTTTGTCTCTTTATCCTTCTACTCTTGCTCATGTACAGAGTATATTGAACAATATTCTCAAGCTTGGAAAGTATTACCACCTGAATCTATAAATGAATCATATGCCCAGATGTTTTAAAACCTTTTTGGACCTAGTAAAAATTTGCTGAGTCCTGTAAATACCCTTCTCATTAGATATTAAATAAACACGATGGTCTGTCAAAAACAAATCCAGGGGCTAGAAAGGGTTGATAATGAATAATGAGGAACGGAACAATTATCTACTGAGAAGTCAAAATCAATAATCAATGAGCTTTAACTGGATGATATGTAGAAAATCAGGCATAACAGTATCCAGATGAACAATTGAACAGGTTAAAATACTGAGATGAAAAGGGATATGAGTAGTCGGTAGATACATAGAAAGAGATGAAAGTAAGTTCAAAAATCAAAAGGCGAAGAGAAATCACTATTCACAGAAAAGTTATATAAAGAAGTTATGTCTGATTCACAGAAACTTTGAGAAAAGAAATGACAAAGGTGCACCAGACACCTTTCGGCCGACAACAAAATACCAAAATAAGAATCAAAAAGCCCATCTAGGAAAAATGAAATAACTGAAAGTTAAGTAACAAAACATAAATGTGAGATATCAACAAAGATATGAGTAGAATAGACTCCAGCCAACCTTTCCACTGACACAACAAATGGATAGCATCAGTTCAAAAGTTTGGATATGAATGCAACATTTGAGAACAAGAGACAGATGAAGCAATGGAGTATCTTGATAGGGGGTATGTATGAAAGCTGGAAGATGAAAAAAAGTTGGAAGGAATAACATAAGCGTAAATGAAAAAAAATGAGAAGTTGTGGGTGGGCAATATATAAAAAGGTGAGAGCGCAAAGGAATATAAAGAGAATAAACCCCCAACGATGAAAAGAGGAGGATATGATAAAAAAGCAAGACATAACCGAAACATCAACAGCATTATCAAAAATGGAAAGCAAAACTCGGAAGATCGGGGCATTACAACGACCATGTCCTTGAAATCCAAGCTATCGATATCGACACCAATACCCATACCAGCATATCCACGCAAATAGCAGATGGATCGCATAGTACAGCATATGGTAGAAATGAATAGCAAAGACAAGACCATGCCCCAATCCTTCCACTAGCGGCAACGAAAGCCAAAGCCAAAGCCAAAAAATCAAGAACGAGAATCAAAAAGAAAATACCAAGGCGAAACACGAAAGGGGTCAGGTACCATGAAACCGAAACCGAAACCGAAACCGAAACCGGAAAAGAGATATGGATGGAAATAGGAAGTGAAAGAGGAACGAGGACGGAAACGGCATCGATCAAAGCAGAAGATCAATCAATCAACAATGAAGTTGAAGAACAGAGAAAACATCAAAAAGTGAGCAGCAAACAGCACATCCGCCCTCGCTCCATCCATCCCAGTGCCCACAATCTATTCCAATCCCCACATCCCTACGAATGAAACAAATCCCATGCCCGTGCACACAAACCCAAAAACTCTTCTTTCTTCCTCCTCTGCGTCTCCGGCGAATCTCTTCCTGCCCCAAATGGACCCCCTCCATACCCAAACGTACCGCCAGTCCCTGAACCTGCACCGGCGCCACCACCTGTAGGATAGCCAGCACCGCCGCCAGGACTCCCCCCTTGGCCTCCAGCAGTTCCACGAGATGCAGCAGGTGTGGGGCCAGGGACAGGTGCAGGCGCGCCGCGGAACCTCGTATCTGGCGGCCCGGAACCTAGCGGTGGACTGCCGTTATCGCGCTCATATTCGTTGCGCGTGCGGCGGCGGCCGGCGGTTGAGTGAGGGTATTGTTGCTGTTGTTGCTGATGCTGATTGTGGAGGTGATGGTGATGATGATAGTGGAGCGAGCTGGAGGTGTGTTGTTGCTGGATGCCATTTGTATTGGTGCTGGGGAGCGGTGGGGAGACAGGTTGGTGACGTTGGTTGGTAGTACTGCTTTGCTTATTATTGGTGACCGTTGAGTTTGTGTTACTGTTGTAGTGGACAATTCGCGGAAGGAGATCTTCGCGGCCACCAGCGAGTTCATGCACGGCTTCTTCGGCGGAGCGATATTCACGGGGACGTTTTGTGGTTGATGCGCTGCCACCGGTGGTGGTGGTGGTAGTGGTAGTGGTGGAAGATGTGCAGGAGGACGTAGGGTGGTTTACAGGAAGGGAGGGAGAGGGCAAGGGTCCTATATTGTTATTATTGTTGTTGTTGCTGCTGGTATTAGAATTACTGTTAGGTTGGTAGAAGCCGCCATTGTTACTGTTGTTTGGATTGTTGCTACGTCTGTGCGTGGTGTTATTCCTGTCATCGCGATCCCATTCACGGTGATCGCGTTCCTGATTACGGGGGACGAGGGTATCAGAGCCGAAAACGTCGGCAATGGGTGGGAGGCGATTGTTTGTCTGATTTGCTGGGGCCACATGGTGGATGGGGGAGTTCATACGATGGTCTGAAGGGTGGTTTATAAGATGGCGGGTGATGGGGTGTGGGTTGTGGCGGCCTGTGAAGGTCTGGTTTAGCGGGGCGGACTGGATGACTCGTTCATTGGCGAATTGCGAGGCTGATGGGGGAACAATCGACAAACCCGGTGGAGGGCGTTTCTTGGACGAAGACGGGGTTTTGAGAGAACCGAACAGATTTGATTCTGAGGGTTTGATGCCATCGGGACCATCGCCCTTGGCTGTTTTCTGCAGGCGAGATTCGATTATCGATCTCTGTTGGTCTCTGACGGAGATGCTACGTTGAAGCTGCTCGTGGATGATCGGGTCTTGGGTCTGGAAGCCTGGAGATAGGCAAGCTAAGCCAACATCATGCATAGCAGTCAATCCACCTTCCCTTGCAGTCAAAGGACCGCGCGCTGTGGAGGAACCGGATTGTGCGGAGAGGGTGCTGGAGGAGAGATCAAGTTTGCGTGGACGATGACGGGAGCTGGAGTGGAGGCTGGGAGAGGTTGAGGGTTCCTTTTTGACTGATATTTTGGACGACCCAGCGCCCCCGCTTCGAGAACTATAAGAGACAAGATATTTAGCTTCCAGAGGAAAGTTATAACGTGTGGGTGAGAAGATAGAAAAACCTACATGTTTGGCGAGCGTTTACCATCAGGGGGGGTGGTTTTGCCGGACGGGCGATCCGTGGTAGCCCGTAACGGTGTGGAAGTGGTAGCAGGATGAGAGGAAGAAGACATGGGAGGAGCAGGAGCAGGATAGGAGTTGGAGGAGGACGATGAGGCGGAGGAGTCGTTGACACGGCCAAGGGCAGTGAGACGATCTCGGTCTCGGTCTCGGTCTCTGTCGCGATCGCGGTCACCGTCGCGGTCACGGTTGTGGTCACGGTTGTGGTCAACCATTGGGGGAAGGGGAGCAGCGGTGGGTGGAGCAACCGCGGTGGACATATCTAGTCTGGTGCGACGGAGAAATATATCTGGTGGTTGGAGGCGAGAATGGAGGAGGATGTGTGGATTGAGTCCGTCGTGTAGCCTCACTCGACCTCACACAAAACGATATATGATTCCACGATGATTACTTATCCAAGAAGGGAGCGACAGACTGGTGAATAATGACAAATAAATGAATGAATAATGACTTCTTATCCCCCTTCCTCGATTCCTCCTCGGATATTGGCCTTGGGTTTCCCACGGGCTTCAAATCGAGTAAATGAACGAAACGAATGTTGGTGCGGACTGTGATGCAGTTAGCCGCCAGCTCGTGTGAAGGGAAGGGGTGACGAAAAGAAGAGGTGTGGAAGGGGGTTCAAACCAGGTCACCAACAATCAGGCAGTCAGACACATCCAGGCTGACAGGCCAGATGCTTGTTGTTGCTGGGGGGTGAGAGACGAGGGAGCAGGTTGGCGGGTTGGTTGGTGGTTGGTTGGTTGGCCGGTGGCTGGCCGGTGGTTGGTGGTTGGTGGGCGATGGTTGAGAGGTCGCTAAGCAGGTGGCGGGGGGGTTGGGAGGAGGATGAGCAGGACGAGCACTCGCAGCAAACGCCGTCCAGGAGACGCCTAGATAAGAGAGGGAGAGGGAGAAAGGATGTTGAGGATAGAAGAAAGGAAGAGGAGGAGCAGGAAGGATGAGGCGGAGGGAGAGGCGGCTCTTTGTCTGCACATCCCTCGTTTCTGCTCCTGGCCTCAACGTCCATCTCCTCCGCCGCCGAGCGTTTCAACCCGCGACAGAACACAGGCGACGCTGTTTCAGCCAGCTGCCAATCACACTCCCCGCACCGTGGTTGATTGTCTCAGAGATCGGGTCAGTGCTTGATTGCTTGTTTTGTTTTCCCTTTCCACTCTGCTCATCCGGACGTCTGGATCTACAGATGTATGTCGACTAATAAATATATCAACAATATCCAGGCAGGCCTCCGCCGCATATCACCCAAATTAGTTATCTTCAGTACTGGCTTCTCTGCCATCTGGTCAACCCACGCCATGCACACACATTGTATACCCACTTGCTCTGTAACCGCCCTAGCCTGCTAGCACAAACGATGGTCGCAGGCCCGCGGCCAGTCGACGGCTGCTCACTGGCCGGCAGCAGAAAATCAAAATCCACTCCCTAGTCCACTTGCGAAATATTTTCCCAGCTCGGCCCTTCAGGCCCCTCAGGCCCCTCAGGTCTAGCCACGCAGGGACTTCTTGACTCCCGTGGAGAATATAACGTGTAGCTACAGTGTTTCATATCATCCTCCTCGTTCGTGGGACAAGATGGAACCCACCCTGAAGAAACATCGTGTTCGCCAATATTACCCTTTCGTAACTAGGGAATCAAACAATATCAAATCAACTGAACGGGAAATGGGAGCGTTAGCAGACATGCGTTTTGGGGAGCTCTTGCTTCAATCCCACAACCGACAAACCGTTTACTTTGATTCTTCGTTTCTTCAGGGCTCATCGTTTCTGACACCTCTAGCAAAACACGGCGCAAACCTAATGAAACGAACGTTGAACGCACTCCAAACAAAATATTATGAAACAAAAAACGAAATATCTTGCGAGTGTCTCACCAAAGAAGGAATGAAAGAAAGAAAGAAAGAAAGAAAGAAAGAAAAAATCCCCACCGAAAATAAACTCAAATTCAGCGAAGAACATGTTTCCATCTCAATGCCCGAATGTCTTCAAGGGAGCGAAATCCATGCTAAAGCGTCGAATAATTCTTCCATCCCAGGAGACATATTTATCATAAATATCTTCATCTACCCCCTTTCTACACGTAATCTGGTTTCAAACTCTTCAGCCAAACCGCACAGTCAAGCTGGTAACAAGGAGCTACCTTAGAAAACGGACGATCCCCTGTAAGGCAAAGCTCGAGACAAGCAATGATTTATGTGACCTGGGCAGCATCCCTCGGCGATCACACTGACAAGGAACCGTTGCGACTGTCAAAACCATCGATGGTCATCATTCGATATTTCAGGCCACTCAGATTTGTCAAATGGCAGCTTCAATCTCTGTTTGAACCCTCAGTGCGCACAGAAACTAACTTATAGAACACACACACGCCAGCAAACGCAAGCAATTTAATGTGCTGCTATCCCCCAAGAAGATTATGAGGGTCTAGGGGCTTGGGGCCGACCATTGTTAATCTTGGCTGTCAAATCGGGTTGCTTTCTGCCCGCTGAGATCAGACCATCAGACGCCCGGAGATTTCTATGTTTTTCTTTCTAGCCTGTGCAAGGGGGGTTTTGGTTCCCCGCCTCTGAATTCGAAATTGAACCCAAGGAGGCAAGACTGGTGGGACGCCAAAATTGAATGATACTTATCCATGTCCTGTGCAATTGTGTTCTTGCTAGCAAATATCCTTGTCTACTTCTCCGTACGGAGTTAGTGATTGATGCTATTGATTTCTGATACGTCCTAGCTAATAAAGATTAAATTTTGTTTGAGGGTACTAATCTGTGGTTTAGCATCATTCCATGGGAAACGGTGGATACACAGCTCAACTCTGCCAAGCCATTTCCACCCATACAGGAGCACACAAATGGGTTACAGGGCTCGGTTTTTTTTTTTTTTTCTTTTTTGGCACAATTTTGAGCGCTAACATACTCATCGAGTTTACACCAACGGAGGATATTATTCTTGTCACAGACTTCCCGGAATTACGGGTGCACTCTGTGTTGAAGATGATGAGGATTCAAGATGGGTTAGAGTTGGAATTCGAGGTTAAAGAGATTTAGGATTGGGGTTAGTGTTAGAGATTCGAATCTGAGAACCATAAAAGAAAAAAAAAGGAAAACTCACCCTACTAGTTACTCCGTACACTCAATTAGGATTGGAGGCATCAATCCCTTCTGATCGTTGGGGCATGCCAGGCTCGGAATTGGATATGCCAAGGAAATCCGAATCCCGTTCAGCTGAACTGCATAGTTAGCCCTCGGTGCAGCGATCACTGATGCTTTGCAGCAAGGAATGTACAGTGCCTCGCAATAAGTTTGAAACTATTGTGACTTCTCATCAGAATCCACTAGTCCAAAAGTAGTTTAGTAGTTGTATTGTTTATTGCAAAACTAGTTCTGATTGATCAAATTACATCTGGAAATCAAATATTTCCACTCAATAAAGAAAACGTGTGAGGAAGAAGATAGAAAAAATGAATAAAAAAGTAGAGAATGGTGTAGATGAGTGGAAAAATAAAGGTATATGGATGCATTTGTGACACTATAACTACAACTAATTACTACAAGTTAAACTACTTTTGGACTGTCAACTCTGTGCCTTTGAAACTAGTGATGGATGAATGCACATTGTTGACATAATTCCATATTTCTAATTCTGTAATCCTTTTACACGCAAAAGAGTCTCTTGGTATTCGGTATCGGATTTAAAAAATGAACGGGAGAAGGCTGTCCTGTCCGCCCATTTCATAACAACGCCAAATAGCAATTGACTAATATTTGCATCAAGTGGAATGCTGAACCAAGAGGAGTACATTGAGAAAGGTAATAAAGGAGCGTGTGAATGAAACTCTAGAATACCCCCGCGTATCTACTGGGGACAACTTGCACTTGAGGGGTGGTCTGCCGGATTGCGGATTGCGGATTGCATCCGCCGTTGCCAGGTGTAGTCTGGCTTTGAGCTTGATGGAATCACGAATTGTCTTATGGCCGAATATCGAAAAAAAAAAAAAAAAAAAAAAAAAAGCGAAACGTCGCGGGGGACTCGTTCCCAATCGAGCTTTGAGTTGATCTCGGCCTTGCAAAGATTGGATATAGATATTATAGATATCATAGGATAAAAGGAGGTTGTATCACTTACTCAAGGGTAAAAACTGAAAGTATGTTTGTTTCCATAGAACCTGACGGTTTATATAATTACATATAGTGTTCGATTAACTAACTAGCAATAGATTGCTCCGTTATCCCCAAGGATGATATTTTGCTGCCAAGCGTGTCATTCTTTTTGAGGTGAAAAAGCATGTCAAAATCAACATTTTATTTGGACCCATGGATCTAGCATGCAAAACTGGAATTTGCGTCCACGGATTGCCTGACGCCCTGTCGAACCAAACATCGGCTCTCCCTCAACAGCCTTCTGAAACCTGGGGCTACCTTAACCTCTAACGGATCTTCTGTGGGGAACTCAAGCAGCTTGTCGGCAGCTAAATAGTCAACTGAGCATCCCTATCTTCACATAGCATCAGTGAAGAATCAGAAGTGCAATGTGATAGAGCACCTTTGAATAACCACAAAAGAAATTGCAAAACATTCCTCAAACAGTGGAGCCCATGAAATGAGACCAGAGAGGCCAGTGAAAGAACCCTCCATTGTCCACGACATGGAAGAAACTCAGAGGTGCATGAATACTAATTCTCTGGTTGAATCGCTGCATCTTCTGCTTGGAAATTTTGAACCTATGAGGGGCTTTCCACAGCCAACATTGAAGTTCAACATATTGAGAAGGCGGAAAATGTGGTAGACATGGTCATTTTTCTCAGTATTACCATTCTAGCCACCATGGAATCTGCTTTTGATACTCAACAGGATCACGAAGGCGCCATCATGATGGCTTCCTTGTCCTAGTGCGCCCATTCCTCTCCAGTCGCTAGGATAGCCGATGGCTCCAATGTTTCTTCTGAGATCTCCACACTTCGACAACGAATCGACGTCGATATGCTGTTGGGAACTCAGTGGGAACTAAGTTGACTGTATGCAGGTTGGACGTTGACTTGTGAGTCAAGTATGAGAGAGTTCAGAACCGATAGAACTGCAATCTATAGCCTACGATCGTCTTGAAATCCCGAAGAAGTTGTGCTATGCGGATTGGACGAGTCTGCATCTAACAAATCTCAAAGCTGTTGTTCAAGCCTATAGAAATGGTAGGTTGAAAGTTGTGAAAGGCGCAGTATCCCACTGGCATAACGGACAGATGAAGATTGGCCCAACTCTGGGGAGTTGCTAAAATGGAGAACAGAACATGGAGAGGGGGGACATTGGATACGTTTCAATCTGCCATTTTGGGGCCTGCAAATAATTTTGGCATTGAAAACTAAAATTCCAGGTCTCTGCACCGGTTCCCCAACTTGCTTCTCTTTCTGTTTATATTGTTTCTATATGCGCAAGAGTAATTTTAAAACCTTACTCTGGCGTGCGTTAAAGCACCCAGGATCTTTCTCTCTCTCCACTTTCTTCCTTTTCTTTTTTTCGTGTTATTCTGCTTGATTGATCGATACCTGTGCAGTCTGGCGGATAGAATATGCCCGTGGAGTGTCAGGGGCTACAATCTGCTGGTCTATTCGGGCTGTCAAGGCTTTTTCACCCCCCCTTTTTTTTCCTTTGCTTATATTTCCCCTATGTTTGAAAACCTCCCAGCCCCGTGGCTCCTTTGCAATATCCATTTGAAATTTCATTGAAGACTAAAATGTATTATTGTTAAGTCGCAGCCTGGAAGACGGGGCCATGGCCACTCAGAACTAGCGTTGATGGGTTGGGAGAGGAGTATCTCATTGCGCTCTGAGGCTTCTTAGGCCCCTATATCAATGCGGGTAGTTATTGCTCTGACACACCCGAGAGGTATACACCACATACATGTTTACATTAAAACATATCGATGCATCTCAGATGCATCACCTACCTCCCTGCAAAAATTGAAGTTACTGAACACATGGCTCGGATGTCTAACTATTATATATTCTGGCTCTGATCTCGTTCTGCCAAGCTATGAATTTAACAATTTGACAAAAAGCGCTGACTTCTACTTCTGCCCTTACAAGTGATTCACACTATTTTGGACTCATATGAACAATCTGCCGGGATACTTGGGCGTTTATCAGAAAAAGCAAAGCATAACACCCCGCGTAGCGAACAGACCCTTATAAGATATTTAAGTGGCTTCTAAAACGCATCAGTTTGCCAAACCTTTTTTTAATTTGTATTAATCGGAAACAGGATGCTTTTCTTTTCTGTACGAGAGAGATCGATATGAAGGTTGTACAGGGCCTGTGGGAGCAGGCTCGTATCTTCCCTTCCACTCTGAACAAAACATTATTTTGACTATTTGATTTCAGTTTAGCTTTAATTGAATATTAATGCGGGATTTCTTCTAGACTCCATAATTCTCAATTACGTCGAGGCTGGTGTCAAAAGCTTTGACTGTGTATGTCAGCATTAAATACGAGTAGTTATATGCCTTCCATATCTTAAACAGGGAGATATTTGAGGGTAATCAATGTCGATGGTTTTGCTCACCCCGGCTGTAGCTCTTCAACATTGCCCGGTATTCCCAAGCCAGCGGTCCTTTCACAGTAAAGAGACTTCAGTTTAAATTCTTAGACGTAAGTCAAAAGGTTTGAAACCGCCCTCTGCAGAATGTCGTTATTGCGCATACACACAAACAAAGGTGTATATATTAAATTAGGGGAAAAAAAAAAAAAAACCAAAATAGAAACAAGTATCGGAGCATTTTGCTCGCTTGGTATATAGCGTTCCTAAAAATTCCCTTCTATTCAATCATCACATTTCCCACGCAATCTTTTATCCCGTAATATCGCCGGTCGGCTTATACACGATCGTCGTAACGCACTAGAGACAACCAGTGAGACAAGCACCTAAAAGATGGAAATACAATAAGGATAATATAATTGCTAACCTTCGTCTTGTATCTCGTTGTCACGCTTGTTGCCAACACCCCGTTTTTAATACTACTCGTTGCCAAATGATTTAGCACCGTATGATTCGGCACATTTAGCACACTGCTATCATCCTTCATGGGCGTCGCACTGTTCAATATTGACCGCCCAAGCAAGAGCGGCAGCATAGGAGGTACGGACGCGTCGCCAATCACATTTGCCGCCTGCTGGTAGCGGGGCCCGTCTTCGTCGCCGTCTATATCGGTTAGGAACGGCGGGATAATGGTTCGGAAATCGCCAAGCGGGATCTCTTCCTCTGGCGGTTGGCGTTGTTGTTGGCGTTGCCGGTGTCGGGAGGAGGTGTCTGAAGAGTCAGATGCGTAGTCGCGGTCTGAGTCGTGGTCCGGGTGGATTTCGAGGGTCTCTGGGAGCACTTGGGGTGGGTAGAGGCCAGGAGGTATGGCGTATTTTGGAGGCCGGTCGCGATCGGATTCGCGGCGAGGGCGGGGGAGCTCTTCGGGCTTTGGGCTGACTTCGATGTAGTTTACTAGGTGGTTGGTGAAGTCGACCGCAGTGGGGAGTTGGTCGGATGTACTCATTATGCCGTCGACGATGAATTTTAGGTGGTGGGTTCCCGGACGTAATTGAAGGGTGGCTGCTTGGACGCCATCTTCCGTTTCGCTGTATAAATCTGTTAGTTTATAATAGCAGTAGGGCGTAGTATATAGATGGGACTTTAGCGACAGAAAAACATACCTCTTATGCAATCGAAATTTCCTTTCCCAATTCACGAACGTTCCCGTAACATACACCTTCTCTCCCCCACCCCTCCACTCAATCGTCGTCGTCACCGCCTTATTAACACCCACCCCCCCAACCCCAACACCCATTCCCGCATCCACCTCCAGTTCGTCAATTATCTCCTCTTCTTCCTCCTCTTCCTCCCCCAACCCAGCCGCACCGGCCCGATCCCTGCCCTCCCCACTCCCTGGCAACTCCAACTCCGCTTTATCAACCAACACAGGGACTGCCGCATGTGGCCCAGTCATCGACGATGGCGCCACAATCGGTGAACCGGGTGCCGTCATCGCATCGCCAATAGGCAACGGCAGCCGCGGCGGACGTGACAGGTGTGCCGATGCTCCATAGTAGGCGCTCGGCGTTGGACCAGAAGGTTCTATGGATGTGTATTGCTCATGGTGCCCGTCAGTATGGTGACGAGCAACTACATTGATAACGACGCCTGTATTGCTGGCAACCCCCTGACCCCTGTCCGGCGGGGAGGAGACGGGGACTGCTTTAGTGGGTGCTTGGGAGGGTTCTCCCTGGCTGCGGGCAGGGAGATACTCGCGCTTATCGCTGTTTTCTCGCTGGTGTCGTTTGGAATCTCTATGCCGTAATTGCTGGTGCTGGTGGGAGTCATGTCTTGGGGAGTCAGGGAGGTTACGGGACTGCAACCAGTGTTGGACAGGGGCCTGCTGTCGGTGCGGGATCGGATGGCCAGTGGCACTTTCGCGAGAGGCAGACGGATCGGCTGCGGACGATTTGCTGCCAGTGCCTGTTGTGCCTGAGAGGGCATGGATGGAGGTGCAGCGGTTTACACGCCTGTCATTATATGCATTCTGATGGCTGCCCGTCGTAGCTGGATAGGTGGTGTTGATGGAGTCCCCGCCAGGTGGGGTTTGTTTGGAGGGGCTTGCCCCCATTTGCTGGGTTATTGCCCCACCTCTTCAATCTGGCATATAATCAAGCGGTGACAGGAGGCTCAAGTAGCGACGTGCTATGAGCATTGGCTGCCCACCGTGACAATGTATAGAGGAATATCAGTTGCATAGATCTGCCACGATGCAGTCAAGCGTGGCTGACCAGCTTCCAAGGTTGGAACTCGGGAAATGCGGCTGATTAGGGTTTAGGGCTGGCGCACGGATCATCAGTGGGAACCTTCCATCGCGGATAATGCGACATCATGCTGGCGTTGCGATGGTTGATCACCACGGTCTTGTTCACTAACCACAGCCAACACCAGCGATCTCAAGGTACACTTACACACGCCATGCCACGCCTGGTCGGCTTCGAAATCACATCCACTCACCGTGCAACCACGCGGGGGATGTCGCGGTAGACTCAGCAATCAATCCATCCCTGTCCAACTCCCTCCAAGCAATGGGCTTAATTGGCCGTCTCTTAACCCGCAACATCCACCCGCAAACTCGGCCAGATAGACAGCACAACGGCTGTGCTGTGACTAAAGTGGATACAGCAAGCACAAGTTCTCATTATTTTATTGATTAACTTATCAAGGCAAGCGGAAAACATGTCTTGGGCAAGTGCCCTCACCAGCGTCGCCTCCTACGCAGTCTCCCCCGTCATCCTAACTATCAATATTCTGCTGGCCGTGCTACGAGCGCTCGCAACTCCCTGGATACATGTGGTACACTACATATTCCGTATTTGGGTCCTCTTACCACTGCACATCTTGTCCAAATTCGAGGTGAATACTCATCCATCAAGCAACGCCCCCGTCCCCACCTTTTTTTTGCCACGGCCGTGACTTTTTTTAAATGTTTAATATCCGAATTAACAAGCCCCAAATTCGCCCAGCCGCTCTTAATCTTCCTCAGCGTCGCTGGTGCCCTTGGTGTCACGGCGGGGATATCTCTACATTTCTCGTCAGGATATATGCATCAGCTGCTTGATATCCGTACTGGAGGCGAGGACAACGACTACACAACCAAAAAGGGAAAATTTGTAGTTGATAATGGTAGCAGCAGTAACAACAATCTAACCCACCCACGCCAAAATCCCAGGGACGGCAGGATGTATACCACTTCGGCGGGCTCTAGCAGGGCATCCTTAAGGGATATTATGACGGCGCAGAATAAGCCTTGGCTCGCCAGAAATAGGAATGAAGAGCAGACCGCGATGACGAGCTTGTGGCAAGTACCGGCGTTTAAAAATGAGCGGAAAGAGGAGACGAAAAGGGATGATGAGAGCGAGATAGAGAGTGAGCAGGTACCTAGGGGGGAGAGAGATAGGGAGGACTTACTTGCCACGATAATTCTGGAGGAGGAAGAGGATGATGATTATGGTGAGGGTGAGGGTGAGGGTGAGGGTGAGGAGGAGGAGGAGGAGGATAATGAGATATAAGCCGCGTGAACAAATACCCCCATATGTTATTTCTTACTGGAGATTCCTGTTGCATATAGTTACTGTATAAGTATTACATCATTCGCATTCTATGTGATCCTTTTGACTTGATAAATTCTTCAGTAGTTAACTATTTAATTTTCAGTTATTCAGTGTCATCGGTTATGTTTAGGTTTTTCTTCTTTTTTTCTCTCTCCTTACAACCCACCTTTTCCACGACAGAGTAGAGTATCAGCTTAACCATTTAATCTCCGGTGCCTTTACCCATGGTTATTGAATAAGACTTGACGTGTTGTTCATTGCCAGAACGGGACAAATGCAGGTCTCGGGACCATTTCCAAGAAATACCAGGGGGTGCTGAACTTTACATATACAGGCAGTGCCTTCGCGGCCGAGGCAAATGAGATTCTAAACTATCACAAAAAAGGAGGAGCGTAAAGGGAAGTGACGAAGGTAATCAGAGTAGGGGTAAGGTTCTCCACTACGATATCTGATTATCGTCATATGTGCATCAGCCGGAGGAGGCTGGTTACGGCGCCTAAATGACGTATCTGATAAGTTTTCCTGGAAAATGAGGCATCCGAAAACATTTCCCTCCGTTTAAGTGATAGAATAGGCAATTTCAAGAAGGAATCCTGGAGGCGAGAGGTTTTGGGATCCGCATATTTACTCATACTGAGCGAGAGAGAATAGGGCTACGTCACTTTTTTCTTTGCCTATTCTTATGCATTCGCGCCGTGTATGGTGATAGCCGAAGTAATTAGGTTCTGTTTGTAGCATACAGATATCACTCAGAACATACCAATTGATCTGAACGAAATAGAAGATTGGGTATATGAAAATTGATATTTATACAGATAGTTAAGCGAACCAAATACCCACTTTCCAATACAATACAGTATAGACCAACGTGAACCAAAAAGCTGCGCTCCTTATCCAGCCACAGTTCTCCTCCTCAGGCCGTCAACTAGCTCCTCTCCATCGCCCACGAACACCTCATCCCCATCAACCCATTCCACCTTCTTCAATGCATTCTCAAACAACTCCTTACAGCGTACCCGGCTCCCCAATCTAGCACACAGTAAGAATGCTCCACTCAGCTTCCGATGCAAACTGTACGTTTCCTCTGGAGGCGGCGCAAGCCGCTCACGAAGCATCAGCGGGATCATCTCGCGCACTCGGTCCGTGATGGTCTGGTCGCTGAAATCATAAACGTCCGGCGACGAGGCCATGAAGGGCTCCGACAGCGTGAGGATAGAGGTAATATGCGCATTGACCATGGCTTGTGATTCGAAACCAGTCAGGTAGCCCAGTTTGATGGAGAGGTCGCGACAGGTTTCGCGGTCATTACGGGAAGCGGCCTGGAGGACGCGGAGGTAGGTGGAGATAAAGGAGCCTGGGTAGTCTCGGGAGGCGCCAAAGTCAAGGAGCTCGAGTTTGTTAGTGGACGCGTTGTAGAGGAAGTTAGTCCAGTTGGGGTCTGTCTGCATGAAGCGGAATTCGCAGATTTCTCGTAGGGAGAGCCTCAAGATTTGCGTGCCTATCCAGTCCCGTTGGGCCTGAGTGAAATTCTGGACACGGGTGACCGGGATACCTTCAAGGTATTCCATGGTGAGAACTTGCTTGCCAGAAGCGGGGTAGATGATTTCTGGGACCATGAAAGTTGCTGTGTCGTCTTTGAGAAGGGTACGGAATCGTTCACCACACTCAGCTTCTCGGATGTAGTTGCACTCCCAGGCTAGTTCAGTACGAGCATTGGCAATTGTTTTGTCGAGGAATAGCCCTTTGGGTAGCAAATGCGAGGCAGTTAGTAAAATGGAGAGATTGCTAAGATCGGAGTCGATGGAGTCTGCAACGCCTGGATATTGAATTTTGACAGCAACTGGTTTACCCGTCTCCTTTAGTACTGCTCTATGCACCTGGCCTATAGAAGCGGCGGCTATGGGAAGCTCATCAAAGGTGTCAAATAAATCCCTCCAATTCTCTCCTAGGTTGTTCACAAGAACAGAGTCTCTCTGTTTTGCTGGCATATAATTTGCTTGATCTTGAACCCGCTGAAGGATTTCGTGAATTGCTGGCGGAAGCATTTTCGCATCTAGATGCAATATTAGAAACCCTCTAGATTGAATTAAAATGTATATATTTGAAACACAGTTCTAACCTTGGAAACTCATCAATTGCCCTAATTTGAGGGCTGCACCTCTCATCTTCGACAGTTTTGAGACGAGTCGTTCGACGTTCTCAGGACTGAATATCAAGGAGCCGCTGCTTGAGTCAAGGCCAACGGTTGCGCGACGAATGCTTTGCCCAACAATACCGAAGGCCATGGAGGTGGCTAGTCCTCCGTACTCCCATAGTCTGCCTAAACGGGTTGAAGGAACCCGCGATTCCACCATCTTGTATGCAGGCGTTGCCGGTGTTTTACCAAGGATATCCTGTGATTCCGCCTGCTGCGCCGGGTTAGCATATGAAAACGGCAAACGGGATTATGGTGCTAATGTACCTGCACATTCACAGTGCTATTCGCAAGGTCAGCTCCCACTGCACTCACATCCCCTTTTTCTACTTCAGGAGTGGCAGATGGTTCTGCCATTTCAGGTGCTATAGCGGTTTTAATTGGCGGTTTATTCAATATTTCGGGGCGCGGCGAAGAATCTATGACTGGTGATCTATCGATTTTAGTTGGCTCCCTATTTCGCTGGTTTACACCATATTTGCTGTCTTTTGTCAGTATACTTGCAACCCTTCGGCTTCGGAACAACTGTCGCATGATAGCCTCCGAATGCTCATCGCGGGAAGCAGCCGTCGTTGCATCACCAAATCCATCCTCAGCAGGCATAGGAGGTGTATGAGATCCTGCCAACTCAATGGGGCGCCGCGGCCCCTCTGGCACAGCGTTTAAGACGTCCCCAGCTCCCCCAGCTGGACTCTGTGTGCTCAATGTTTCCCGCGGCAATTCGTCCCCGGACGTACTTTCGATCCCTTGATTTATATCTGCCTCTCGGTCAAACTCCGTTTCTCCTTTCTTAACCGAAAAGTTCTCGTCATTTTGTTCATGTCGACTCCCGCCGATATCACCCCGCTCATTGGAAACCGTTTCACCTGAGTGCTGTAGGCGCGAGTTATCAAACTTGCGCGATAGTTCCGAGGCTGCCTGGAGCGCGAGGATAATATGATCAAGTTGCGCGTTTGCCTCCTTCGTCAAGGAAGACGTGCGAATATGTAGATCCAACTGCCGTTGTTGATGAGAAATATGCCTGCCAGCAACACCGCGGGACGCATTGAGGAGTAGAAGAACATCAAGGAGACGCCGCCGCGACATAGCAACGTGCACAGAAAGGAGACAAAAAGAATGGTCACCGTAACGAGGACATTTTAGCTGTGAAAGAGCTTCATTAAAACTAGTATCAAGCTATATCAAGCACTCTCTGGAATGATTGGTATTTTAAATAGCGGTGTGAGACGGCAATATTATAGATTAGATCTAAGAGACAAAAACGTCAACTGTCCTCTGCTACATAATTACGGGAAATTAGCGAACAATGCAACACCATAATGGGTCTGAATCCAATGTGAAAAGCATCCAAGAGGAGATATATGACCTCGAGCGCAGGCTGGAAGATGCTAAACAGCGGCTGAACCGTGCTCAAGAAGCTCTGTCTCCCACCGAAAGCTTATCCCCTCCAGGTACTAATATGCTTACCAGCGCCCCATTGATACGATATATGCGAAGAAAAACTCAACGAAGCTAAACTCTCGCAGCTAATGCGTGTTCGTAGGTCCTGGCTGCCTGTCAATCCCGCACGCTCTCCTACTCCTATCTGATTCCGCCCTCCCACTCGGCGCATTCGCCTACTCCAGCGGCCTAGAATCTTACCTCGCGCATAATAAACAATCGCAATCACAGTCTCAGTCACCATCACAACATCGTACGAGTCAAATAGAGTCCTTCCACCTCTTCCTCTCTTTCTCACTCGCATCCCTCGCTAGCACAACTCTCCCCTACGTCCTCACCGCCCACAGACAACCCGACCAACTGAAAACGCTAGATAATGACCTCGACGCATCAACCCCATGCACTGTAACACGCCGCGCAAGCATAGCGCAGGGCCTGGCACTGCTGAGTGCCTGGGAGCGGGCATTTAGAGATGCATACACTTCCAGGAACGGCAACCCCACCGCAGACACAAAAACCAACGTAGCAAACAGTATAAATTCATCAACAAATCCACCGACCCCTTCCGAAATCGCCATAACTGCTCTATCTTCGTTCTCCGCCACTCTCAAAACGTCCTTTCCAAATTCCTCCTCTGACCCCAACAATCATCTAAACGGCCACCTTCCTCCGCTCTGGGCCGTCGTCTGTGTCGCCATGGATATCGACATAACTTCTACCGCCTATGTCTACATGCTCAACCACGCGAAAGCGGTGTTGAGCGCCGCCGTACGCGCGTCCGTGATGGGCCCCTACCAAGCGCAAGCGGTGTTGGCCAGCCGGTGGCTGCGGGAGGTGATAGAGTGGCGAATTCGGACACAGTGGACTGTGCCGCCTGAGGAAGCAGGACAGGTTGTGCCGACGATAGATTTGTGGGTGGGAAGGCATGAGCTACTTTATAGTCGCATATTCAATTCATGATGTGATTATTTGTCATATGGATATTTGATCTGGCGCTTCCTTGTCTGTGTGCTAGGAAGCTTGGGGGGAAGTGACAAGGTGAATGAAATCATTCTCGTATATGTCTGGATATATCATATCTTATGTTAGTTTTTTACCTATACCCTTCCGTTGATATGTTTGTTAAGATCCTCTTTGGAGTCTTTTGCGAAAGGATAGAACGCGGCTTTGTTCTATCTTCCTGTAAATTTTGTAATAACTAATAATATAATATTGTTGTTGTCCTCCTGACATGAAATAAGATTGAAATGAAATCTACCCTAATTTTGCAACCGATACAAGTGAGTTAATTACCAACCAGGTTCGCAGAAAATCGAAAAGCCCAAGGACAAGAAAACACAAGGAATTGTAAAGGTAAAGGTACATTGCGCAAGCTTCATCAGTAACCAGTAACTAGATGACCATCCAGTCATCCAGCCAACAACGCTTAGCGAAGGGTAAGGTGAAATGAGAATAGCAGCAACGCAAGTTCCGTAAAGACTCCGTCTCCAAGATGTATAAAACCCAGAATAAGGAATGAACGAACAAGCAGACGAGAGACTAGAGGACGTTTAGTTGACCAAAATAGGAAAACTGAAAAGAAGAGAGAAGAAAGAAGAAAGAAAGCAGGGGTAGAGCGGACGAGAAAAGGAATGAAGCCCTGATTAAATTGTTACATCTCATATCACAACTCACCTGACCATGAGGTACAAGTATGGAATTCGCAAAAAGCCGTAGTTGTAAAACATTTAACAAGACGGGAAACGAGGATTTGGTGAATATTGGACAGCCCTGGGGTGAAGGGGAAAAAGAAAAGGAAGTTGGCCCTATCCAATTGCACTGTAATCAAAACGTTAAAATGGAAGATTTGCGTGTAGGCAGGATGTATGCAATTTTCCCGCCTTCCATTTCTTCCATTGTAATCCTTATTCTTGCACCCTGCACAAAGATGACATAACACATATGAGAGAGGATTCAAGATCACTGGGACTGGTAACGTTCGTAAGAGAACAAACGAACAAAAAGGATATAAGAAAAATATTATCCTGGAACCACAGACGTCAGGCGTAAAACGTGACTGGCATAAGAGGGACGAAGAAAGCAAAAACAGCCAGTGTTATGAAACGAAGACCAGAGAAGAAGAGGAAGAGGCTATAGTACATGAATGGGGAAAATAAAAGCTCTTGTGTGGAAAAACGATGCATCCACAAGGTAGTATAAATTACTCAGGGACGTCTGTGGATCACCAAAGAAAATACAAAAAATAAAGCACACGTATTAAAACTTGTTAAAGGGTGATATGCATGTGGTCGTTGCTTCCAAATGATTTATTGCAATTGGGACATTTCCTCGACCGGGATGTCAGCCGCTCTTCCACACACTCCTTGCAGAAGACATGTCCGCAGGTTTTGATAACTGTGTTTTTGAAATTTCTTCGGCAGACAGTACATAACGCAAGTGACTGCAACAAAATTAGAAGAATGATCGCTTGTAGTGGATGGAGCAGACACGAAACTCACTCTCAACATTTCATATTCGGTTGAAGAATTGCCCAGTCCTTTATTCCTCCACGATTCCAGGTTCTTCTTAGTGTCCGCTAATGTAGCTTTAAGTCCCTCGACTTCCGTCTCAGCTTTACGGGATGCATTCGTCGCCAATGAGAGGGAAGAGTCTTTGGCGACAATTTGTTTTTTGAGCTCCGTTACTTGTGAATTTAATCCTTGGATGACGATATCTGCTTCCGCGAGTTGTTGACGAGCTCCATGGTATTGCGATAAAGTGTTTGTGAGAGTTTCTTTGGTTTCGGCGAGTTGTTTCTCCACGTTGGACACCAAGGAGCGAGTTATAGTTTCTGCGTCTTTGAGCTGAGAGACTATATCCGAGCTTTTCATATTTTGGATTCGCAAGGATCGAAGTTCAGCATCCCGGGCCTCTTTGCTCTTCATTGCCGCAAAGTACTTTTGATCCGCCTTTGATTTCTCCGCTGTCAAACGCTGAACCCTCTCTTCAAGGATATTGAGGTCTGCGATCTTTTGCGAAGCTAATTTGGATGTTTTCCTAAATGCAGTTTGCATAGAAGCTAGCTCGGTGTTTAACAATTCGTATTGCTTTTCCAGCGTTTGATACTTGGCCCTTAGTTCTTCCAAAGGTAGGTCTTCGATTTGAGGACTGCCATCCTTGACTCCGTCCAGCTGGAGTTGTAAACGTTGTATTTCTGACTCCAATGCGCTGATTCGAGATTCTTTTGCATCGAGTAATTCCCTTGTTTGGCAGATAGAGGTTCTCTCCTGTTCCTGGGCAGCCTTTCTCATCTGTTGGTCCGCAAGAAGTTCATCACGAGCATTTCGAATCCGAGCTAGATCTGACTCTGTTTTGGCGAGCTGGGCCTCTTTCTCTCCAACCGCAGCTTGAGACTCATTTTCGATTTGGATTCGATATGCATTCCTTTCCGCCTGCAGCTTCTCCGCTTCCTCACGAAGTTGCACATTGGTTGCCTCGAGATGGTTTATTCGTTTGATGACGTCCTCATGCTGTGACTTTAATTGTTTGAACAGGTCCGTATGGGCATAGTCTTCATCGGATAGCTTCGAGAACTGTTGTGTTGTGTTAAATTATGTATAGTGGGGTCAAAACATATGGAATTATGCTCACTTTTATATTTAACTCTGTGATTTGGGTTAACAGCTTGGAATTTTCCGCTTCCAATTTCTCTAGCTGTTCCTTTTGTTTATCCGATATGGCAACGGCTCTATTGCGGCCCTCTTCCAGTTCGGTGATTCTGTCAGACGGATCTCCAACTCCATTGGAAGAAGAGATATCTTCTCGCTTATACGTTGAATTGTCTCCGCTAGGTCTTTGCGCTCCAAGGATATATTGTTTTTCCAAGCGCGCTACAGTCATACTTCTAGCCCGGTCAATTTTCTTTTCAGCAACCATATACCTTAATGACGCAGCATCTAGTCGCTCTTCGAGCTGTTGCTTATCTATAAGGCTCTTTTCTAATTCCGCAATTGTGACTTTTTCCTCTGCAAGCTTCTTGGCGAGCCGACCTTGAAGATCGATGACTTCAGCAGAAACATTTTCGGAGCGAGAAAATAGTTTAGAAATAGTCGCTTTAATATCATTGGAGCGTGCTTGTAAATGTTTTTCGAAGTTTTCATGGTCCGCGAAAAATAATGCACTAGGGAAAGATTGTTTATCTAAGGAAATAAGCGTTAAAAGAAGTCAAGATGGCCATGACGCGAATGTCCGATTGCCTCAATAGACTCACCTTGATTTTCGTCAGCTGGCGAATTGAGTAGAATTTTGACCTCATCAATTAACTTGAAACAAAAGATGATGTTAGCACACTCAACTGGTCGGAAGTCACGGGACACAATATTTCGTTGGACAAAAACCCTACCTGTTTAAACCACGCATCAATTATACGAAGGTGATCGTTGTGATATTCAGTTGCTTTCGTCAATTCCTTTAATCTCGTTTCCAACGAACTCTTCTCGCGTTTGTATTCTTGCATCTGGCGCAAAATGGCATCTTTTTGAAAGCGCTATTTTCCGGACAAATTCGTCAGCATCTTAATATTCAATCGGCAATGTTGAAATGAGCGGACGGAATACTATCAAATTTTTACAGGCCCAACACGGGAGACGAGACGGTAAGATACTCACTTCCAGGTCATCTTTCCAGGGCATATCGGAGTCTGGGTGAGGCTTGGCACCACCATTCAACGAGGTAGCCTGTTTCTTCAAGGGAGGGGTAGATTCATTTGGATCGTAAGCAGCAGGTCTTTTCCGATCTTCCATTCTGACGACGAGGCCGGATTCGGCTAAAGGGACGGTTGACGCTTCGACGGCCGGCATCAGGGCATCAGGGGCAACATGCAATCTTGTTGATCACCGCCTACACAGCCACGACAACGACGAAACAACCGTGACAGGAGCAGCGATTGGGAGAAGAATCGAAAGACAATGGATGTAATATGAGAGGGAAGGTTCGTAGAGGTGTTTGAGAGGGGGTTGAGTGGAGAGGGAGAGAGAGCAAGAGAATCAACGAGTGCGGTTGAGGAGAAACAGAACAAGAAGAAGAACAAGAGTCGATCCTGCGCCATTCCATATATGGTTTAGTACAACTCCGGTACGCCTCTCACGTGATTGTTTCAAATTTAACCTTCCTTTTTCAGTTAGTCTCGTCACAGGATCTCTATCGCATACAACCACCGAACCATTGAGCGTTATAGATGACAATTCAGAGGGTTCACGGCTCTCTAACTATGGTATACAGAAGCGAATAGTCTAGTATTGCGTCATGGTGTCCTTTTCGAGCTCTGTGATCAGTAAGTGCGATCTGCATATAATCTATGCAGGCACAGTTCTAACCAATGTGGTAGATAAGTCAGGGAAGAAGTTTGCGCCCAAGCCCCCCGCCCGTCGTATTGGTGCTATTTCAGCTGGTACCCTGTCTGCTAGAGCCAGTGTAGAGAGACAGACGACCTCAAAAACTCCTCAATCTACTCAATCCGCCATATCGCCTGAAAGCTCTGCTCCAGTTCCGACTGCTGACCCCGCCAAAAGTACCCCGCAGCGCGCCGAAGAGTCATCTCAATCACCATTACCACCATCAACACCACCACCGCTACGAAAGTCACCAACACGCACGCAATCGCAGCCACCGCCCCGGCCATCCACCAGTCAATCCAAAACCAAATCTACAGCCATCCCAATACCTACTCCAAGACGGAGGCCATCGATTCCTTCTCCTCAAGGGTCTGCATCCCCCCACACCGTCACCCCCGTTTTAGCGTCCACACCGAACGCGCTCCCGTTAGAAACAACTTCACTTGAACCAGCAAAACCACAGCATGATAAACACAAAACCCCTCAAACACCTCAAAATGTTGCATCGAGCCCCAAACGGCAACGCATCGAGCAGCCTGTTGACAGCCAACCAGCAAAACGCACCAAGACCGTGCAGCCTATTACAAAATTTACATCTACCTTGCAAGGGGAAAACCCACATCCGAGGTCTAGCTCTCAGGGGCCACATTCTCAACCTGAAGTGACACCCACAACAAAGACTGTTGCTAGGAGAGTCGCCAAACCGCCCGCGCATCGGAAGCAATCAGCTGAACAGATAGCAGAGAATGCCATCGCCGCTGCAGCAGAAACAAGACCCCGCTCTCGAAGGAGACGGCAGCCAACACCGGAGAATGCAGAATCCATAGAGATTGCTCCCACCGTCGTGAAAATGTCAGATCTCTGCCGAGATCTCCGTACCGGGAAAAAATCAAAGCGAGAGATGGAACTGCAAAGCATGGATCTAACGGAACTTGCAAAGAAACAAAAGGAGCGCGAGGAGCGGATCAGAAATGGAAATAACCCCCCGAAAGCTGGCTCAACTGAACGACACACGAGCGGAGATGAACCCGGTCGAGACGAAGCAGGAGATCTTGGCGGTCCGAAGATGAGAATTGTAAATGGGGAGATCGTCATCGACGCTTCCTCCCTCCAAATAGACCGCCATGCAAACGCAGCCAGAAACGAAGGTGACTTGGAAGAGGTCGAAGAAAACCGGCTGACAAAACGCATAAACGCGGCCTCTTTCGGCAAACGCACCAAAGTCGAGTCTTGGGACAAAGACATGACCGACCTTTTCTACCGCGGTCTGCGCATGTTCGGCACGGATTTCATGATGATTAGCAAGATGTTCCCTGGCCGTTCACGACGACAGATTAAGCTGAAATTCTCAAACGAGGAGCGTCGATATCCGCAACGAATCAAAGAAACCCTCCTCGGACCTCGTGAAGCTATCGATTTGGCCACGTACTCAGAGATGACGAATACGACATATGATGACCCGCGTGTCATTGAGCAGGAACTGTATGAAGAGAAGAAAAGGATCGAAGCAGAACATGCGAAAGAGAAGGAGGCGAAGGAGGAACTTTTGCGCAATCCGGGTGGGGTGCTATCGTCGTCTGTAGCAACGGCAGCTGGGCTGTCGGGTTCAAATGTGTTGCCGAGCATTGAGGGTGAGGGTGAGGGTGCGGGTGGGGTTGGCAATGGGGGAAGAAGGGAGAGGAAAAAGGGAACGACGGGTGTTCACAAGTTCGGTGGGGGAACGGAGGAGATTTTGGGAACAATTGATGATATGCCTGTATCTGCGTAATTCATTCATATGCTTCAGACTGCTGCTGCAGGACTTCCACTTTTGTAATATATGACGAGTTTCTTCTCAGGCAAGGCGGGGTTTGGTTATGTTTACGTTTAATGATTCTTCCATAATGTATGTATTTAATCAAGCAATTTCTTCTCGTTGAAGAAGGGAAAGGATCTATTAATAGGTCAATGTATTGAACTATTAGCTGCATGTGGTGTACTGGGTTTATGTACAGAGTAGTTACATCATATGAAGCACACTGACACCCCAATGCCCGACAAAGTGTATGGATCTATTTGAATATGGACGTATATTTGTGATTAAGCCACATTCGCGCTTTTGACAAGCATATTCCGAAATATGTATTTGTCGCGACTTCTCCAGGGTAATCTTCCTTTGCTCAAACTTTAAGTGCTGTTTTCATTCAATTGTCATTCTATCAAAAGCGGGTAAATTCATATTAAGTCGCGGGAAATGATAATACACGATGTCTTGCCGCTTACAAATTTAGCGCGTCGTTTTTATTGGGCGTGCTAAGCGCCCAAGAGTTTCTGAGTTTCTTGACGCAGCTCGTTGACTATTGTTGTTTCGAAGTTGACAACTAAGCTTCAAAAATTTGTCTGCCTAATGATGTTTTTGTCACGAGCAGTAAAGATTTATTGAGCCGGGCGCACCTCCTAGTGAAAGCAGCCTTTATTTAACCCGGAAACTAACCTCTGTAACAGCTCCAGTTTAGCAGTGCTCTCTATCAAACAACACTTACCATGTTCACCACCCAAAAATGACACGCATCTACACAACCATCGTTCCCCTCCTCTCCGTCCTCCTCTCCCTCCTCCCCGCTCAAGCCCAAGCCTACAATCCCTCAAGAGCACCCGCCTCCAAAGATGCCGTCCTCCTCAGCGCCATCCAATCCTTAACCTTCCACTCGAACCGCAAAACAACCCACCGCCGCCTCCCCGCCGTCGAACAACTAACCTGCATCGGGCCCTCGAAGAAGATATGCGCCCTCTACACCCCAGATACCATGCGCTGCGTGAATCAAGGACATGACTACGACGTGAATGACGTGCAGTGGACGTGCACGGCGCACTTGCCGCCGGAGTTTAGGCTGGGGAGCACGGATGTGGTCTGTGAAGGCTACCGGGATAAGGAGGATCCGTGGGTGTTAAAAGGGAGTTGTGGCGTGGAATACCGGTTGCTGTTGACAGAGAGGGGGGAGCAAAGGTACGGGGAACTCGTTGGTGGGTATGGGAATGTGCGTAGCTGGTTGGAGTCCCTCTGGGAGCTAATTTCCTCCTTGTTGTTTTACGGAGTCTTGGCTGTTATTTTCCTATTGGCCTATGGTTGTCTAGCTAGCGGAGCTCGACAGAGGAGAGGCGGCCGGCCACGGTGGGGCTGGGGAGGTGGATGGGGCCCTGGAGGCGGTGGAGGCGGAGGATGGGGAGGATGGGGAGGATGGAATGATCCGCCACCCCCATATGAATATTCGGGATTTAGGAAGATGCCGTCGTGGACGCCTGGGTTTTGGACTGGTGCAGCGGCGGGGAGCGCGGCGGCATATGCTCTGGGCAGGCGGGGTGGGTCGGAATCAAGATCTGGGTGGGGATGGGGATCGGACCGAGCAGAAAGCTCAAGAGCAAGATATTCTAGGCCGGCATTTTCACCCTCTGCTTCAACGACGGAAAGTACTGGATTTGGCGGTTCTAGGAGGCGGTAATGAGAAATTATGGAGTTTTCACCAACTCTCGCATGGCTTGTGACAACTTTCAGTGGGAATGTACGGCCGTCCTTTTTTAATCCTTGGAGATACGACAAAAATTGTTAATATGCTTTTATGCTCTTTTATGACAAAATAGTTCCCCATTTCTAGACTACTAACATCACTATTCTTGCCGCAAAGTTGATGATAGAGACTATACGTGCATACGTTGGCATGGTTCCATTATCCTGTGCGTCATTCGTGGGATGCTAGCACCACCACTCCAAGCTTAACGAAAAACCCGGTAGGAAGATATATCTTTAGAACCATTGTAAAGTCCACCTGTATGCCTATGTCTTCATGGGCTTCAATATTCCATGGAATGGAACACAGGCCGAATATCATGTGACTCACTGCTTTTTGCCAAGCGATAAGATCGATCTGATATCGTTCTCCACTTCAACTTCGCAGTTTTGCGTATATTCAATTCAGTTGATGGCAGCTATCAGTACGAAACTTCGCTTTGGCTCGCTTCCAACTACGCGTTGCGATATGGAATCGTGTACCCATCAGTGCCTGATGCCCCATTAGAATGGCAGGCCCTTCAAGTTTGTCCCCGCTGCGCTCCCAAGCATTCTCCCCCAAGCTAAGCCTATCACCACAGATCAGACCCAAGCTCCACCGCCCGCTTTGGCGCAGCCCTCGTAAGTCTAGCCTCCCTGTCCATACTACCTATAAGGTCTCTCCAGCCCTTCTAATAACTTCTGATATAGTCTCTCTTTTACACAAGGCCTCCTTGTTGGCCAACTGTCTGTTGTCCTACTGATCGGAGCCTTCATCAAATTCTTCATATTCGGCGAAGCTCCTCCACCTCCGTCCCGGAGCGGTCTGTACAATCGTACGAGTTCCCATCGACGATCGTATTCTATAAATGCAATCTCTACAGATTTTAGTCCGCGAACACTAAGAGAGAAGCCCTCAACGTCCAACATACTCCGGCCTGTCCCCTCGTCCTCTACGAACACCCGCTCCATCCTTCGAAAGACATATTACAGTGCCACGCCTACAAATCCTACTTCCAAACATGGCCGATCACGCGTCCACCATTCCTCTCATCAGCCAGAATCTCTGGACTGGTTTAATGTTCTCATTGCGCAGACCATCGCCCAATATCGACAGACAGCATATATCCTCAAGGACTCGCCCACGTCGTCCATCCTCGCTTCTCTCTCTGAAGCGCTAAACAATCCAGAGAAGAAACCTTCCTTCATAGACACCATCAAGGTAACAGACATATCGCTTGGCGAGGAGTTCCCCATCTTCAGCAATTGCCGCGTGATCGCCGTCGAAGATCCAAACTCTGACGGCGGCCGCCTCCAGGCACTCATGGACGTCGACCTAAGTGATGACAACCTTTCTCTGGCCGTCGAAACCTCCCTCCTCCTAAACTACCCAAAACCTTTCTCCGCCGTCCTCCCCGTCGCCCTCGCCGTCTCTGTCGTCCGCTTCTCTGGTACATTATGCATCTCCTTCGTCCCCGGCCCCGGCACCTCAGATCAAACAATGGGCCCATCCGCTTCTCCACCGAACCAAAGCACCAGCACCGAAACTGCCTCCATCAACGACCAAACTTCCGAAGGGCAGAGCACTCAACGGCATACTTTTCACCAACACAAGCCTACTAATTCCACCCCGACCGCTGCCACCGCCGACGACGCACACACCAAACATGCGCATGGCATCCCTAAAACAAGCCTCGCCTTCTCCTTCCTACCAGACTACCGCCTCGACCTCTCCGTGCGCTCGCTCATCGGCTCTCGCAGCCGCCTGCAAGATGTGCCCAAGGTAGCACAACTGGTCGAGGCGCGCATGCAGGCATGGTTTGAAGAGCGAGTCGTCGAGCCGCGCGTGCAGGTTGTGGGGCTACCGAATATTTGGCCTCGGATGGGGAGGACGGGGGTGAGGGGCAGTCAGGAGGAGGCGGAGGCTAGGGCGGGAGTGGGGTCTGTACCAGTTGATATTCCTGGCACGGCTGGTGGGGATGGGATGAGAGGAAGGGGAGGGGGAGGTGGAGGTGGGGGCCTGAGAGGGAATTCGTCAGGGCGAGGGATGGGATATGATGGATTGCGGTATCGACCTAATGCGCATGGTGATGGTGGGACCGGCGTTGTGCAGGGTCAGGGTGCGGGCGGAATATTCTGTGAGGCCGGTCCACAGAATCAGAACAGAGGAGGTGACGATGGGGAAGGGCCCGGGAGGCGTAGCGATGAGCGGTTTGCAATGCCAGGGTCGATGCCGGACTCGGTGGCGGTGACGTAGCTGATAATAATTCCAGTGAAAGTGGGCGGAAGAGGGGTAACTTCTTTTTTGTATGCGTGTTTGGGTATTACTTTTTGTTTCCTATTTTCCATAGTATCCAAGATGGAGTCAGGTATTTGGTAGCATTTCCATACGTATAGTTATATATTCTTCTGTTTCTGTATATCTATCTAGCGGTTCGCGTTTTTGTTTCTAAGATTCTGTCATATTATATATGCCACCCCATCATCCGAACCGCAGGCAACAAAAATCATGATATTCATATCTCAAAATTCCATTATATCTGCAATAAAATAGCCAAGTCAACCAAGTCGCTTGTGTCAACTATTGCATTCTTTAACAATGAGCGAAAAGGGTAAAAAGAGAAAGAAAGGAATGTAAATGCAGTTATTACCAAGGGGGGATATCCGGTCTGATAAGAAATGGTAAACCCTGCGCGGAACCCCCAATTTCCATCAAATAATAAAGAGTTGTCATCAACCATTAACATCATCGCACGTTCACATTAGGAAACTCGACGACTAGGACGGCATACATATCACCCATCCATTCTATCCACCATGCCGAAAGAGAGAGAGATATATACTAACAACAAGCCACGTTAGATGCCTGTAGAATATGTAGGCTGGGATGTACTCGAAAAATCGTAGTAGAGATCAGGGTGTCCATGTTGTCATAGTTCACTTGTTCTGAATCACAGAGGAAACCAAATGTATGAGAGTGTGGCCTTTCCGGATTGCATCGATGGACTAAGCGGTAGAGGAAGAAATATGGGATTCGACATATGTTTTGCGATGCTGGTTTGCATCCAACTCTGGCGCGCGGTTCAGAGGCGTCCATTTTGGCTCGTCTTGGAAGAGGCGCATGGCTTTCACATACTGTTTTATCGAGGTATGATCAGCATGTGTGTAAATCAAGCAAATCAACCCGAGCCCACTCCCCCCTCTCCAAATCTCCCCAAATTCACACACACACACACACACACAGAAAAAGGAAAAGAAAGAAAGACTCACATTATTCTCATCCGTTGTAAACCGATGATAAATGCCCGCCGGCAACACAATCAAATCGCCTTTCCCCAATCGGATGCGCACCCACTCGTCATCTTTACTACGGACATCGAAGAACCCTTCCCCGTCAACTATATACCGAATCTCCTCGTCCTCATGCAGATGCTCATTGAAGAACATCCTTACTTTGTCCTCGTACACATCACCCATCTTCTCGGGTGATATGATGATTTCATCGCGGTTCTTGTAGCCGCGATCCCTGGCTAAGTCGTCGACGGCGGATATAGCGGGACAATGGCGGTAGAGCACACCAATGGTGGCGAGGTAGGATGCATCGACAGTGCGGCCGGAGTCATGGGGAAGACGTTGGTCGCCCTGTGGAGGTGGATGTTAGATAGATGTTGGCCCCACTACAAGGGAGCTCTGGTGGGGTATGAGGGGTATTAGGGAGTAACGCACAGGGATGTTATCGTACCAGTAGGCCTTCATTTTGGGCAATGTTGGAGAGACAATGTGCACAGTATCTGCAAAAAGGGATTATGGGATAGTTCAATATAGATGGCGATGAAGAAGGATGGTGGGATGGAATTAAGGAAAGCTCATGTTGTATCTAGATGGAAAACGTGATTGATAAATACGTCTTGAGAAAAATCCACTAGTAAAAATCACGTGTTTTGCATTCAAGCTTCGAGAACATTTTTTATATTTTTGATATGAATGGTAGTGAGAACAGCGATGTCTACTGAGGACCAAATTCTGGTAATACAGAATATATAACTACTGGGATATTGCTATGCATTTGAGAGCATGGCCATCTGCAGCACTACGCTGGGCCCGTGTTTCTCGTCAACGGCCGTTTCGAACTGTCAGGACATTTGCAACCGTGAACTCTGATGCCCAGTCAGTTTCCCAATTGATATCCCGGCGGTGGGATTGGGAGAGTTTTTACTAATATGTAGTCTCCCTCTAGGGCTTATGATGTCGTCGTCATTGGGGGCGGTCATGCTGGCTCGGAAGCTTGCGCTGCTGCCGCCCGGTTGGGAGCCAGGACAGCTCTCGTAACCCCCTCTCGGTCGAACATCGGCGTCTGCTCTTGCAACCCCAGTATTGGAGGAATCGGCAAGGGGACCATGATACGGGAAATCGATGCGTTAGATGGGGTGGCGGGGAAGGTTGCCGATAAGGCGGGGATCCAATTTCGAATCTTGAACAGGTCCAAAGGGGAGGCTGTTTGGGGCCCCAGAGCTCAGATTGACCGTGTGCTATATCGGCAAAATATGCTAGATGAATTGAGCAATACACCTGGATTGAGCATTGTGGAGGGCAAAGTGGGGGATATTATTGTTTCGAAGGATAATTTACCTGCTGGGTCGCAAGGGAAAATAGTAGGCGTGCGGCTGGAATCCGGTGAGGTGATACCGACTGGACGGGTGATAATCACAACTGGCACGTTCCTCGGCGGGGAGATACATATTGGGCTTGATGTGTTCCCCTCAGGTCGTCTAGGAGAAGCAGCCACGTTTGGGCTAAGCAGGTCTTTAAGGGAGGCTGGGTTCCAGCTTGGTCGTTTAAAGACAGGCACCCCTCCTCGACTTGACAAGAAAACGATTGACTTTTCGAACCTCGAAGTCCAACCAGGAGACTCCCCACCTATTCCATTTTCATATCTAAATAATCGAGTAGATGTTGACGACGAAGACCAGCTCCCTTGCTGGTCTACTTATACCAACGAGGCAGCTCACCAGATTGTCAGGGACAACCTTGACAAATCCATCCACATTCGCGAGACCGTGAAAGGCCCTCGATACTGTCCGTCTCTTGAGTCCAAAATTATCCGATTCAAAGACAAACAGCGACATATGATCTGGCTAGAGCCGGAGGGTTTCGAGCCCGACGAGGTGATTTACCCAAACGGCATCTCAATGACAATCCCTGCCGATGCGCAACTTGCTATGCTTCGAACGGTTGCCGGGTTGGAAAATGTCCGTATGCTCCAAGCCGGTTATGGGGTAGAATACGACTACGTCGATCCACGCTCTCTTCGACCAACACTAGAAACCAAACTAATCAGCGGCCTCTATCTCGCTGGCCAGATCAACGGCACTACGGGCTACGAGGAAGCCGCAGGGCAAGGAATTCTGGCTGGTATCAATGCTGGTTTAGCCTCCAAGTCAAAACCTCCATTCACCCTTTCCCGTTCGGATGGCTTCATCGGTATCATGGTGGATGACCTCATCACCAAAGGCGTGTCCGAGCCCTACCGAATGTTCACGTCTCGAAGCGAGTACCGCATCTCAACCCGCTCCGATAATGCAGATCTGCGCCTCACGGCCCGAGGCCGCGAGGTTGGAGTCGTCGGAGATAAGCGCTGGGAACATTTCAGTCAGGTCCAAGCACAAATCACAGAGCTACAAACGCTGCTCGAGAACACCAAATTCCCATCAGCCCTGTGGTCACGCAAGGGCTTCGGCGTGCACTACGACAACAACGTCCGTTCCGCCTTTGATCTGCTCCGTCTGCGAGACATCTCCATCGACGATATCATCCCTCACATAGAACCACCATCGTCGTCACGGAGTGGGAAGGCATATACGGCCTCCTCATTTGCGTCAGAGATTAAACACCGCGTCGCCGTCGAGGGGCGCTATGCACCCTATGTAAAAATGCACGCAGACAGGACGCGCAACTTCGAGAAAGATGAGGCCCTCCTGCTCCCGCCGGATATCGATTATTCGCTCATCACCGGCTTGAGCGCTGAGGAGCGCGCGGCGCTGGAGAAGGTCCGACCGGAGAGTATAGGCATGGCCCGCAGAATTGAAGGGATGACACCCGTTGCGGCTTTGAAGCTTTTGGTTTATGTCCGCAGAACTACCGCCGGCCAAGCGCGCAAAGGTTCTCAACAGTGCGTTGGACAGGACCTGGATGTCTCTGATGAAGCGACGAGGGTCGCGTCCTCGATATGACTTTCCTGCCGGATCGTTTAGGAGGGCGGGATGGAGGTGTTCCCTGGCTGGCACGTACCTCTTGTATTTTTATTTACGTACATGTACCGTACAAGGCGTCCTGTTTTCTTTTTATCATTCTTTTCCTATATGAGGTGTGAGAATTTTTTACCATCTTCGGAGCGTGTTCAGGACTCCGCCTTCATGGAGGAGGATGTATATTACGACATTTGCCCTTTGGGAAATCTTCTGGATATAGGTGTTTTGGGTTCAGACAAGGCGTTGAATTAATCATCTTTGTGTATGCATCCCCATCTATCTGGCCTCTATAATTTTCTGACGGCCTGTTTCATTTCAATACTAGTACTTAGCGGATTGGTGTCTGGATGCCGCTGGATAAACATATTTATTGTTTTGTTTTTGAATATCTGGTCTCAATTTCCACCATAATTAACCTAAAACGCGGTGGTGAATTATGATTCTTGAGCATTCGAAGCTGGTTTGTAGGAGTTTGACACATTATGTGAGGCCTCGATGTGACTGCTGAAAAAGGGTCATAGCGCACCGAAATATACTACTGCTGAATGTCTAGATAGATGGAATTCAAAACTACTATACATAGAAAGGTATATATATGGAGTAGGGCCATAAATTTTCCCTTTCGTGCACGTTCACTGCACACTGCCTGCTAAGGTGAAAACACGGGACCCATGTCCGCATACCTAGCCAAGTTCACTTGGTCATTTATTTAATTCCGCTCAATCTTCTTCATCCCTTAGTCCTCAAGTTTCCGCTTCAAATCTGCTCTCTTTTGAATCTCCTCCGCTGTGAGGATCTTCACTGCGTCCTTGGAGTAGACGTAGCTGGCACCTGACCAGACCGTTGTTCCAGCGACGATATATCTGTTTGAAGGAAAAATATTCATTAGTTTCGCTGATACCAAAATCGCAAAGCTTAAGGGAGGAAAAATGGCGATGTAGTTTTTTGGGCTTGATTAAGTAAGCGAGCAAGAAACACGCCCGCAACGAACAATGGGAAGAGAGAATAGAGTAAAAGGTCTCCCAAAAAGAGAGAAAGACGACAAATAAACAAAACAATAATAAATAAATAAACAAATGGAGAGGAAAGAGAAGGGTTGAAAAAAAAAAAAAACTAGCAAAAACATACAACAGCCGGGATTCGCTGGTGGTCACCCACCCAACTACTAACCGGCCGGCGAGCGGCTTAAGTATGGCTGAGCGGACGGGAAGCCCTGTTTTCCACTCCCTATGGTCGTATGTGCTTGTTTCTTGATTGCCAGCTAATTTATAGCGCCTATTCCAACATGATTCCCATGAAAAAAAAAAAGAAAAAGAAAAGGAAAGTTAAGGAAAATAGCAGCACAGGAAATGCAAAGGGAAAGGGAGTTAAATCCAAAAACCGAAAAAAGGCGAAGGTTAGGGAAATAAGGTGGGTTTGGGGGACGACTTACTGTAAACCGGTCATTCCTTCATGCAAACTCCAGGCCGCCAACATTGCCTCTGGCACGACTGGCATAGCCATGGCAGACCCAATGAGAAGCAGTTGAAGCGCAGTGTTCACTTTTGATATCGCCGTCGGCTTCACCTCAGCCGATGGGAGCGAGAAGTCCCAGTATCTCGCCATTGTCTTGGGCGGAGGGAGCGAGATCCATCTGTAATAGATAGCGGAAATAGCCAGTCCAACGTCCCGGGCAAGAATGAGTCCGGCTAGCCACACTGTGATTTTTTCATGTTAGTGCTTTTCTTTTATTTCTGTAGGATCAACTCTAGTCTGCCCGGAAAGGAGGGCGATGTTGAAAGAATACCGGGAATGGATGACTTGAGGGCAAGACAGACAACCCCTATTGTCATGAGAGTTTTATCTGCCATTGGATCAATGACAGTCCCAACTACCGTTTGCTGGTTGAATTTTCTAGCGATATAGCCGTCCACAAGATCGGTGACAGAGGCGTAAGCAAAAAGCGAAAGCGCTAAGATATCGTAAGAGTGTAGGATGCAATATCCAATCACTGGTGCAGCAGCTAGTCGGGAAAAGGTTAAGATATTGGGTATCGTATAGATATTTTCGTGAACTGGGAGGGGGAGACGAGAGAGTAGGCGAGCAGTTTTCGTGGACGGGCCGCTATAATGGATTAGGAGAAATCAGGATTGTATAATGTGAAATGTATAGGGAAGGCATGGTATTCGAAACATTGAAATAGCGATTACAATTGATACGCTCAATCATATCAGCAAAACGCTAGGCGTGCTGAAACGGCAAGGATAATATCTCAAGAAGGGACTGCACAGCAATCCAAAGGGAAATCCTGAAAAACATCAAGAAGGTTTCTTACGTGTTCTCTTTATTATCGTCGTTCCCTTTACCTAGTGGCGGCCCTGTAGTTAAAAACCTACGCCCAAGGAGTGTCCATCTCAGCGAAGCTACTCGATCCCAATTCACCACTGTGGAAACAACGGTCGAACATTTTCTAAGGCTTATATTAGATGAATTGGGATCAAAGGGGCCAAGTACGAAATGTACAATCAATGGCCATTAACAAGGGTATGGCCCGTAAGATGCTTCTGGTTCGCTTTAACTTACCTTGACATTGGGGGTTCTCCTGGATAGCCTAGGGGAACTTGGGCATGTTTGGAGCCCTTATGGAAGTTGGGTCTTGGGCATGGCGGAGATGAACAATAACTCCGAATTAATTGGTCAATCGCGCGTGGATGCACGCCCTTTGATTCCGCAATACCACAAAGGGTAGACCCCGTCCTGCGAAAGTGATTGGGTGGCCGTGAGCCGATTCGAGAAGCCCACGAAAGGGGAAACAATCTCATGCTTGCCATCGGCGCAGACTTCTGAATAGTCGAATATCCTAGGAAACTTAACCCCTGGCGGGCGCTGGCTGGGTGCGTCGGTCGTTCTTCCCAGCCGTCCTGGCTTGTGAGCCTAGCAGATAACCGAACCGAGCAGTGCCACTGGCAGGCCGATGACTGCTATATTGAAAGAGCGGAGAGTAAATATCTCGGCTCAGAATAGATGTGAATGCGTAAATTCTGTTATTGAAACATGTTCCGCTCGTTCTGTGAGGATGTAGTCACTTATTTTATTAAGTCCGTCCACTATCCTGATATGGAAAACTGATATCACAAAGAGATGCGAACTCGGCCGCGATTGAAATGGTAGAAAATAAGCAAAAAAATGCAAGATGACGAAAACAGGAACACCAATGGTCGCTTGACAAGCAAAAGCCAAAAGGAAGAGGCCAGAATAAGAGATTTACGCATAAGGGGTTGTTTCGACCTGGGAATTGAACTAGGTGCGTCCGCAACCAGTTGATTCGAGAGCGGAATCTGAATCGGGATCGATGCACAATAAAGCCAAAATAACCCGGTGCTTTGGAACCAGGAGTAATTCCCGGGCCCGTAGGCAGTTATTCAGTGGACGGGGAGACAAAAGATTTCAATTGGTTTCCCTCAACTTTTTAATCGAAGCTTTTTGGAGCTTGGATAGAATCCCGGAGGTTGGTTTTTCCGGAACCTTGGAATCGACCGCAATCACATGATTGATTCTTCCGGAGGACTTCTATTGGCCATTTGACTCCTTCTTAGTCGAGCTCTTAGATCCTTTATTTTCTATACTTATCAATTTCCATCAATTATATATAATCTTGCTCCCATTTTCTAAGAGTTGCTCTGTTTGATAACTCGTCGCTTGATAAATTCATTCAGTACTGGTATTTAATAATGTTTGAAGCTGTGCTTCTTACTATTCATAACAGCTTTTCAAAGCTTTGATATATCCTCTTACCTAAAAACGTGAGTAAATATCAGAAATACAGTGTGAAGTAGTATCAGACTATTAAGACGAACATTCTATACATATAATTTACAAGATATGAAAGATAAAAGACTCTCCTCTGAGTTATCTGAAATTGTAGTAGTCATTGATGTTTCTCGGCTTTCCTATCTATGTCGAAAATTCTTCATCCATTTAAGCTCCTAGGTAGTGCTGATGAGCATGAAGTCATCAAATATCAGAGATAAAAAGTGTCATACTCAGCCTTGAGCAGCTCACTGTCCTAAATGAGTGTCCGTTTATTCTCAGGGTTGGAACATCTTGACTGCTTTGTCAATAAAACCCCTTAAATCGGGGTCATCTTCTAGGCGTCTCACGCAAGGGCGACCCCGAGCCACTGGCGATAGCTGGCGCTCATACCTGTCCCGATAAATATTCAGGTTTAGAAACGCATGGCTTGGATTAAGCGTTTTGACCTCGGGTCGGCAGATAAATGGTAGGAGGTGATTCGCATCCGTCTGATGATTTGCCAGCGATGAGAACTGCTCGATCTGGGAATCTATAAGTTGAAATATATCCGCTGGGTAGGAGGGATGAATATAGGCGGTGTAGCACTGCAAGACACAGGCAATTTCATCGCAGGGTTAGTAAATCTGTGGAATTTCCCTTGCTTGCAGTAACTAAGTATTCATATGGCGGAACTGACGTTTCTTGCTCCTTCATCGGCACCCCGATCAAAGACCACGACGCCTCCAAATATATGAGTTTCAGCCCAGTACCCAACAACGTCATTTACACCTCTCGGATACATATCGCTTCGGATATAGCACATTGTCGACAATGACACGATGCCTTCTTTTTGAACGCCAGCCATGGCGACCTGTTCCCGGCGAGGTTCTCCATTAGGATGAAAATAGGCAAATAGGTTTGCCGCCATGTCATGAACTGCCACCGCAACCAACTCGAGAAGATGCATGTTGAAGCTGTGCGAATAGAGTGGGGCCGCCTGGTATAACTGAGCAGTCTATATGGCGAAATCAGCCTATTACACTTCAACAGAAAAGAGGCGATGAAAGTGAACAGACTCTTGCATTCAATTCCAGGTTATCAAACATCTCAGAGGAGCTGCAGAACTGGTCAGAGAGCACTTGAGACTGTTGAGAGGCTTCTGTGCGTGACAGGAGTTCATAACGCCGAGTCATTGTTAACTCGTATGTTGATTTTACGGGTAAACCGTCGATAACCTGGGCAAAGACATCTTTCGCAGCTCTGCTATGTAGAACGGTTGAGAGCACCCGCGTGAAAATGCCAGCCTTCTCGTGATCAAGATCTGCAAGCCTTACAATTGCGGCGGGCGTGAGAGCCATATTGAGTAGATACTTAAAGATATGGTGAGAAGGTAATGCCTTTGGATTTCAAACTTGGAAAACCGAACCTGGGTGTGACATATTTCATGGATATGATCTGGTTCTAACTCAACATCCCACGGGTTATTGCTAGTGAGACTAGTAATCCGACAACTGTCGTCAATCGACAAACTCCCCAAACGTTTCCGGAGTGCAGACGAACCGTCCAAAGGTCAAATAAACGTCCTGGCACTCATCCGACAACCGACATTCCGTAAAAATTACTGTGACTCATTTGCTTTGAGTCCACAAGGCTGTGCTCCCGTCCTGCCCACTCGATCAAAAATCACTCTGACTTTATGACTTTGCTTAGCTGACCACCAAGTGAAAGGATAGAACGCCATCTCATTAAGCTTCTTGTGAAACATGCATACTAGTATATATATCTTGAGGAATAGGCTCCTCCTACCTTAAGGACTGATCCCTTCTAGTGTAGTGGTTATATCCTGGTGTGGTGCACTAGCCTGTAATAGGAAGTCTAGGGGCCCCACCATCTTATCGATAACATATCTGCCGCCCGTTTTTTGTATGACTCCGACTTCCTCACACTTACACCCCACTTCAACCACCTCCTCTACAGCACTTCCTTTCGCTGCGTTTAAAATAAATGCTACATTAGATTCAAGTGCTGAGGCCGTTTTATTTCATGTTTCATGAATCATATTGGTTAGTTTGGGTAGACTGGAAAACAATTGAACGTGATGCGTTGCTGATACCGGCCTACTATAGTACCAGTTATACCACCCTGTTGCCAATACTGGAGCTTTCTTGACCGATAAACAAAACCTAGAGATCATGGACACTACAGTCGATCTTCCTGATCGCACAAAAGTGCCGATGAATACCCAAAGGCCGCGCAAAGAAAAAAGCCCCAAGCCTCCCAAACAGCCCAAAGGCGCTACCCCGCCAAAGACAAGTAAACCTGTCTCCATGGCCTTCAATGAAGACCCAGACTCGATGTTCAAGACTGGCTTCCTTGCCGACGTTTACAATGAGAGACCAATCGGTTCTGCGCATGTTCAGAAGGTTGTGACCCGTTTCCCACCCGAACCAAATGGCCACCTTCACATCGGCCACTCCAAAGCCATTGCGATAAATTTTGGTTTCGCGCGATTCTATGGGGGGGATTGCTATCTTCGATTCGACGATACGAACCCTAAAAGTGAGGAGGAGGAATTTTTCATTGCGATTGAAGACATCGTACGGTGGTTGGGGTTTTCACCGGTCAAGGTCACCTATTCCAGTGACAATTTTGATCGCCTTTATGAGCTGGCGGAAGACTTAATTAGACGAGATGGCGCATATGTTTGCCACTGCAACAGTAAGCATTTTTCTCTTCGACCTAATTATCCTTTCCTTCGATGTGAATTCATATTAATGGAGAGAAAAAGGGGCCGAAATCCAAGCTCAGCGAGGTGGAGGAGGAGGGGAAGGCAAACGTCGATTTGCGTGCGCACATCGTACGCGTCCCATTGAGGAATCACTTGCGGAATTCAGAGCAATGCGCGATGGCAAATATGCAGCAGGAGAAGCCGCATTACGCATGAAGCAGGACATAGAAGATGGTAATCCCCAAATGTGGGATCTCTTTGCGTATCGTGTCATCGATGACAAGGATAGACATCATTTCCGAACTGGGGATAAATGGAGAATATACCCTACGTACGATTTTACCCACTGTCTCTGCGATAGCTTTGAGGGCGTCACACACTCCCTTTGCACCACCGAATTCGAGTTGTCGCGGGTGTCTTACGAGTGGCTTTGCGACAAATTGGAAGTATATAAACCGATGCAAAGAGAGTCAGTTCCATATCGTTTTTCTGACATTTTGAATTCTTCTAACGGTATTTCTAGATACGGCCGTCTCAATGTTACTGGAACCATTCTGTCAAAACGTGATATTCTGAAACTTATCGGTGGCAATCATGTCGGAGGATATGACGATCCTCGCCTGTATACACTTGTCGGTCTACGAAGACGAGGGGTGCCTCCCGGAGCTATCCTTTCGTTCGTGAACGAACTTGGAGTGACCAAAGCCAAGACAAATATCCAAGTACACCGCTTTGAGCAATCAGTGAGAAGGTATCTAGAGACGACAGTTCCGCGATTGATGGTCGTTGTCGATCCCCTAAAGGTTATCATCGATGATCTTCCTGAAGATTACCTTGAAATGGTGGAGCTTCCTTATTCGAAAGACCCCGCATTCGGAGTATGTTGAAACCGTTCCTATTCCTGCAGCATTTTTGAAAAACTAAGCAGGGCTCGCGCAAGATCGTTTACATGCTCTGACAGCGGTCTTGACACCTACACCAACCAGCAACTAACCCGCTATTTTATTAGGTCCACAAGGTCCCGTTTACAAGGACCGTTTATATCGAGCAAAGCGATTTCAGAGAAGTTGATTCGGCAGACTACTTCCGACTTGCGCCTGGGAAAACCGTGGGCCTCATGAAAGTTCCCTATCCAATTACGGCCACAACCTTTGAAACGGATCCAGAAACGGGTCTCGTAACCTGTGTTCATGCAAAATATGAAAAGCCAGTAGAGGGATCCGCACCTAAGAAACCGAAAACGTAAGCTCCCAATCCATTCCGTAATTTTCTGCGCAGCTAGTCTCCCAAAACAAATATGTAAAGAAGAAGAAAAAAAGCCACGAGATCTAATTCTAATAATATCTGAAGATTCATCCACTGGGTCGCTCTGTCCCCCGAACATTCTAGTCCCATAAAAGCCGAAGTCCGCATTATCAATCGGCTTTTCAACTCCGAAGACCCCAAGAGCCATCCAGACGGATTCCTGGCGGACATTAACCCTAATTCCATGGATATCTACCGCAATGCCATGGTCGATATCGGGTTCCCCGAAATTAAACGCCGCGCGCCTTGGCCTGCGAAGGAGGGCGAAAAGCGATCGAACCCGGAAAACCCCGAGAGGGAAGAATATGACATTAGTGGCGCAGGGAATGTCGGCGCCGATGGATCAATCATTCGTCCAGAAACGGTTCGGTTTCAAGGGATGCGGGTGGCTTATTTTGCGCTTGATAGTGATAGTACCGAGGACAAGGTGATTTTGAACCGGATTGTGGCCTTGAAGGATGATGCTGGGAAATAGCAAGAGATCTTTTGCCCTAGCTGAGCCTGCATCGGTGCGGTTTCCATTCATTTTGCTTGGGGAAAGGTCGATATCGTTAGTTACAGACAATCAAGCTGTTAGATGCTTGAATACGTTAGCGGTGCGTGTTGCGGGATCTTGAAATGCATAGTATGGTGATTTAGTTATTCTTTTCGAATTTGGTTAGGTGCCAGACAAGGAATGAGCAAATGCTTCTGTTGGGCTGCGTCCGACAAACTCTGCTTCATCAAATCTTCTAGTATGCGCGACTTCGTATAACTACTAGCTGCAACGAGAGTCCTAGTATGAACTACAATAAGAATGGCGATTTTCCAACATATAATGCACCCGTCCAAATGAAGGTTTGTGATAGAAGTCGGCGGTTAATTCCACATGCCTTCCGTGAGGCCACTGGGACAAAAGAGCTCGATCAACCCCAGCACCATGGTGGTATAGAGGGAATGAACCTCCAACTTTTGCAGCGATTTCACGTGATTAATTGCTTAATCATGCATGACTAACAGGATGAAGTGACATCAACGCTCAACGCCTATCGGAAGTCACCTTTAGCCATTAAACCTTTACACATATTTACCCCTTCGGCCTTCCCGATACCTAACCTGTCGCAATGGACGTCGTCGCAGCTGTGTCCGGTTACATCTCGAAGATGGTCTCCGTGGGAGACTCGGCCTCGACTGGATCCTCCACAGCTAAGATGAAGATATTATTGCTTGATAGTGAGACCGTGGGAGACGCGACGTTCTAACCACAATGGCTGGCAGGCTAACAACATTCTTAGGTACCCATCATCTCTACTGCCATGACCCAGTCTGCTCTGCTGAACCATGAAGTCTACCTGATCGACCGCCTCGACAACCAGACCCGCGAGAAAATGCGACATCTGCGATGCCTGTGCTTCGTCCGTCCTTCGGCTGACTCCGTACAGCTTATTATTGATGAATTACGGGAACCAAAGTACGGCGAGTACTACATCTACTTCAGCAACATTGTCCGCAAATCGTCGCTGGAGAGGTTAGCGGAAGCGGATGGTCATGAAGTTGTCAAGGCCGTGCAGGAGTATTTTGCAGATTTTTCTGTGATCAACCCTGACCTTTGCTCCTTGGGTATAGGGTACCCGAAACAAAGGATATGGAGCCAGAGCCCAGATATTTGGAACTCAGATGCTCTCCAGCGAGCGACGGAAGGGGTCATCGCGCTTTTGTTGTCCCTGAAGAAGAACCCCTTGATCCGGTACGAGAAGAATAGCCTTATAGCTAAGAAACTTGCCACCGAAGTCCGATACCAGCTCACACAGGAAGAGCAACTGTTCAATTTCCAAAGAACAGATACGCCTCCGATTCTACTGATACTCGACCGTCGAGACGACCCTATCACGCCACTGTTAAACCAGTGGACCTATCAAGCAATGGTCCATGAATTACTTGGCATTGAAAATGGAAGGGTTGATTTGAGCAATGTCCCAGATATCAGACCAGAACTTAAGGAAATCGTGATATCCCAAGACCAGGATCCGTTTTTCAAGAAAAATATGTACCAAAACTTCGGCGACTTGGGCGGGAACATAAAGGAGTATGTCGAACAGTACCAGTCCCGAACAAAGAGCAACATGAGCATTGAGTCCATTGCGGATATGAAACGATTTGTGGAAGACTACCCCGAATTCCGAAAACTTTCGGGCAATGTCAGCAAGCATGTGACCCTGGTTAGCGAGTTGAGCAGAAAAGTCGGAGAGAATAGCTTGTTGGATGTGAGCGAACTCGAACAAAGCTTAGCCTGTAACGATAATCACACGAATGATCTTAAGGTTGGTACTATCTACCCCTATACGAACGATCTAAGTACATGAGCTGTAGTAAACTAACTCCTGTCCTATCCAAGGCACTTCAACGCTTAATTCAATCTCCATCGGTCACTGCGGATAATAAAATCCGCCTGGTTGCATTATATGCTATCCGTTATGAAAAGCAGCCTTCGAATGCATTGCCAGTTTTGATCGACCTATTAACAGCGGCCGGAGATGTCTCGCCGAATCGAATTAATATTATCCCAAAGCTCTTGGCGTACCATCACTCACTCCAGGCACCCCCGGTTGCAGGTGGTTTCTCAGATCTATTTGAATCAGCATCGTTCCTATCTGGTGCTCGCGACCGGTTTAGGCCTCTTAAGGGTGTCGAGAATGTATACACACAGCACTCTCCGCGATTGGAGTCAACTCTCCAAAATCTCATCAAGGGTCGGTTGAAGGAACTCCAATACCCCTTCCTCGAAGGCGGTGGACACACCCGCGACAAGCCTCAGGATATAATCGTGTTCATGGTCGGGGGAGCAACGTACGAAGAAGCGAAGATGGTGGCGCAGGTCAATGCCAGTTCACCTGGTGTCCGTGTTGTTCTGGGAGCGACTTGCATCCATAATAGCGCTACCTTCCTGGAGGAGGTGGATGATGCTGTTGGCAACTGGCCGGAGCCTCCGCCGACCACAGTAGCAGGCAGGCTTCGTAGGGAGATTGGTCGTTGATTTCTATGAGATAACGGTTTGTTGTTTTGAAACGAGGGCGTTAATAATGTCAGGTGGTCAATACCATCAGTGTATTTTTTTCTTTCGCTTCATTTGATTTTATTTATTTATTTATTTGTTTTGTTTTGTTTTGATGTAGCTTACTCGTAGTAATCATCCTAGAACGTTTATCGCAATCTTTAAAGTACTCTGTAGGCTGTGAATCGTCAACTAACTTAACCAGTTAACTAATTCACATGTGAATATTCAGCTCGGCTTCCAAACCTCGGCGTCGGAGCTTCCCTGTGCCTCCTAACGACACAGGTCTACGGAGCTTCATATCTGCTAACTATTTAGCAGTGAACAGTGCCATGGTTTGGCATCTAGCTTTGGCATCTGGCTTTGGCTGTGTAATGATATCCTTTGTTCGTCCCCACAGATCCCCGTGATGGACCGACGACCTCACGAACAGCTTCGCTCAGCCAAGTCTCATTCGCCATCCGCTGCCGCAGTGCAAGATGTTCGCCTTCGTTTGCCCGCAACAACAGACCCGCCAGGACCCCAAAATCCTCCAAAGCAATTAGCATGGCTGGTAAGTTTGCCTCGACTTGATATGGTTTCCATGGTTCTTCTACAGTGCGCTGTTGAACTAATCACCTGCGTTTTCCCCGTAGATATTTGGTGCTACCGGCCATATTGGCCGCTCGCTTGTCAAATGCACCCTGGCTCACGGTGACCTCGTTGGGATCGTCGGACGCACCTTCGAGAGCTCCCCATCAAGCATGGAAGCCCTCCACTCAGAAAATAAAAACTGCATCGGCCTTCTCTGTGACGTGCGGGTCAGCGAAACTGTCCGCGCCGTGATTGACAAAACCATCGAGCACTTTGGCCGCATCGATTGCATTGTCAACTGCTCAGGCTATGGCATCGTGGGTGCCTGCGAGGATCAGGATGAATACGATATCCGAAACCAGTTCGAGACCAATTTCATTGGCACGTTGAATATCCTGCAACACTCTCTCCAGTATTTCCGTGAGCGGCGCGCGGGGAGGTATTTGATATTCAGCTCTACGTCCGGATCGCTTGGTGTTCCGGGACTGGGACCATACTGTGCGACCAAATATGCTGTGGAGGGCCTTATTGAGAGTATGCTCTACGAGATTGACGCGTTTAACATTAAATGCACCCTGGTGCAACCGGGACACATACGTCGGGACGATTTTGATCCCCCTGGAGCCCCTCCGGGTACCGCTGCTCCGGACTTGTCGCATTCCTCCCGACTCCCACTGTTCGGGCATTTCTTCATCAAGCCTGCAAGTGAGCCGTATAGCTCAGCGACTGCTCCAGCTGCCCATGCTCGACGTATCATCCAGTGGATGGGTGATCAGCAGCCTACAAGCGCGGTGAAGGCAGCCGAGTTAGTTTGGCAGCTGGCACATTGCTCGTTCCCGCCATTGCGACTCCTTCTAGGCACCTATGCCGTAGAGAGTATTAGAGATAGGCTGAAATGCATCACTGAGGAAATCGAGGAGTGGAAGCATTTGAATTTCCCGCTCGCTGATGGTGATCCACATCATGAGCATCACGCCCATACACATGATGAGGCAGCTGGAACTAATGACAATTCGAAGAGTGAGAGTGAGGACAATCCGATATAGCATGATGTGCCAATGCAGGGATAATTTATTATCAATGATCACGGCCGTCGCATACAGACGACGATAAGATGAATCCGTTTGACCCAGGGATACACTTGATAATTATGCATGACAGGTTACTCACTATAATCTGAGATGGACAAACTTTGGTCACACATGAACAAAACGGAAGTTCTAAGGAACACGAAATCCTTGGAAATTAATACCGTGAGCGTTTTTCAAATACTTTGTAAAATTAGCCGCAGCAGGGTCGTCAAAATTTTCATATTTTGCACCCAGTCGATACGCTGCAGCAATGCCAGAAATACATTCGACTTCGTGAATGTCCTGCGTCGATTCTGCCAGCGAACGATGAGCTAGCTACACTTCATGCATTTGCTCCGAGTTAGATATGATGTCACCACAAATGTCCATGACCCTGCAAAATATGTATTTTTGTGCCCGTTGATAAATCGAAACGCCGGGGTGACTCTAACATAATGCTGCCAACGGTGAGATAACTGATGCTGCCACCTCCGCTCGATGGTAGTGCTTCTCATCGATCTTATTTGCTGTCCACATATGCTCCAATTTAGCAACCAAGAAATGGCTTTGGAAAATGTGACGATCAAAAGGCAGTGCGGGTTGTCCCGATTTGATGCCTGGCTGGAACTGATACTGGAAATTCGAACAATCAAATGCCGGCTCTATCTTGTTTCTTTTTTTCTTTTTTTCTTTTTAGGGTAAGATCGGGTCCTAAACCACATAGAACCGCCTCTTCTTTCAGGGTCGCTAATTTTGCCCACAACCTGCATGCTTCGGCTGCTGGGACGGAAAAATCTTTCTGTCGAATGCCTCTGTGACGCTGTTGTGACCATGTACTGGACTACCATTTCCAGTATCGTTTGTTAGCCAACATCGCCACAACAGCGACGCCACGACGATCTCTGCGTACGATCTTAGTGACCTCGATATTCAAGCGGATCGCGACCCCCTTGGAGCATAGGCCGATTGCCCAGTCGCGGTAGAAGAGCTGCATGTTGGGGAAAGTAAACATGCTTGGAAGATTTGGTACAATGATATTGGGTCGTAATCCCATAATTTCATTTCAGGTTCATGAGGAAGTTTCTGGAGCAGACCACATGGAACCTCTTCCATCTGATTCCCCGTTCCAAGCATGATAGCTGCAAGAGGAATAACCATCTTGTTTCGGAACTCCTTGCTAAACCGGAACAATCCAAGAAAAAAATTTTAACGGGCAATATCCAAAATGCTATTCCACCCTTCAAATGACCTCAAGCGCTTTCCCAAACCTTTTAACCTCTTTTGCATGTTGCACAATCATTGCCGTTGGAAACACATTCGTCCAAAAATCTTCCTTGCCCTTCCCAAACGATATCTGCAATTTCATCTCTTTTGGCTCAAAGCCATAATCCCGCAGAGACTTGAATTCCACCACATTGGAGCTTCAGCTCCACCTGGCACACCATTGTTCAGTCAATCCGCGCCATACAAGCGTCGATCTAACAGTAACTTACGATATCACAACTCCCCCGGCGAGCTGGCGCGTTCTAAGATGATGACATCGAATTTGTTTGGGTGTTCAGCTGCAGTTGCTGCGCATGACTAAAGTGGGCTTTTGTGTGATTGAAATGTTTTGATTACTGTTTTATTATTACTGGCTAATGGGTTTGGGGCAGAGGGGGGGGGGGGACGGGGACGCGGAGGGGGGTGGGAGAAGGAATGGGCTTTTCCTGGTTGGTTGCTTGATTGCTATCTTCCTTTTGGGCTACTGGCGTACCATTCCAGCTGCTCCGGCTCCAGTTATAAGAACCTTCTACCTGTCAGTGGATTGCGTTTTGAATACTATTGCATCTTATTTCCGCACGTAGTTACTTAGCTCTATGGGGCATGGCGATGCGATTGCTTCACCGTGGATTTGTTTCTGGGATTGATATCTCTAAGTTCTCAAATCGCGATTGGTAAAATTCTGATCAGTATATAATAAGTAAACATTTCACTGTGGTTGATTCTGTTCATACTTCAGAGAGGAAACCTTAGAAGGACAAGCAATGGTCCGAGTCAGGGCGATGATGTCATTGCACCAGCCTCAAACACGTGATATCGAGTTTAACCTTACCTAGGCAACCTTTAGCTATCTGTTGAAGGAACATTTTGGAGATAAAGGGCAGAGATGAGTATGGGGAGTAATTTGGAGTGTTGGTGATGATTTAAACAAAAAATACCAAGCTTAGAGAGAATTATGTTGCCCTGATTCCCTTTTGTTTTGTCATTTTCCTGAGAACCCTCTTATTTATACCCCTTCCCAAGCTATAGACATACGCACAACGCTTCATGCGGCGCCATTTGCCGCCATTCTCTTTAGACGCATTACCAGATCTCTTATTCAAACGCTCATTCAGGACACCAACGACAAGAATAGTAACAAAACTAGCGCCACTGCTTGGAGGTAAATGTCAAAGGCATTACATGATGGATATTCATGATTTCTATGGTCATGATGAGGACGAACATATGAGAGCTGCCATCCGTGCATCGTTATCTGATGTAAAAGCACGGCCACTACCGCCGCCTACAACGGCATCCGCAGAGACAGTTTATGGCGAGTCCAATTTTGTTGATCTGACTGTTGATTCCGACTCGTCGCAGTCAGACCCTCAAAGACCAGCGATAGTCGCTACTACGGCCCCCAAGGAGGGGGTTGACGAGTCGGATGCGGAACTTGAAGAAGCGATTAAGTTATCGTTAATGAGTCATGGTTCTTCGGGAAATGCTGATGCAGAGGGGGACCAACCTTCCGGCCTGGCTGAAGGGTGTGGAAGGGCATCCAAAGAGGATGCTCCTATTTCGACAAGCTCAAACCCATTGGCGGGTATTTTGGGAATAGATCGCAAGAAGATGGAGGAGGAAAGATTGGCGCGACTCAACAGGAAGAGAAAAGCGTCGAGTACTCCCGGGTCACCTGCCTTGAAACATGCTTCAATCATGATGAAGTGCGAAGATGTCCCTGCTAGTGCAGCGGTTCCTGGCCCTCATCTACGTGCAAACGCTCCGCGAGTAAGTGGTAATGAGACGATAAACATTGGGACTTCGTCACATCCCATGCCATTGCCATCGGCTCCCTTACAGTTCCCGAAAGGTGCGGTCAAGAAGACCTGGGCGTTTGGCTATGATAGGACAGGTGACGATATTAAATTCGAGGAAGTGGTCCAGAAATCCGATCTTGAACTTGCCGTCCTAAGTTCTTATATGTGGAATGTGGATTGGATGTTTTCCAAATTTGATATCAAAACAACGAGGTTCCTTCTCATTATGGGAGAGAAGGAAGAAGACAAGGTATGGCATATATCGATGTGCAGACTCGGTTCATCCCTCCTTTCCTTGGCATCCGAAGCCAACGGCATGTTTATGCGCAACTGACATATTCAACAGAAACGGGAACTGGAAAATGACACGAAATCAATGGGGTCCGTCAGACTGTGTTTTCCTCCGATGGAACCGCAAGTGAATTGCATGCATTCGAAACTTATGTTACTTTTTCATCCGGATTACCTTCGAATTGTTGTGCCAAGTGCAAACCTCGTCCCATTCGACTGGGGAGAACAGGGAGGTGTTATGGAAAATGTAAGACCCTAGAAATACTTTATTTGTCTTTCTTCTAACAATTATACGGTTCCTATATGTCAGATTGTCTTTCTTATCGATCTGCCTCGGAAATCGCCGGATTCGGGCAACGATCCTCAGACACCATTCCTCGATGAATTAGTTTACTTCCTCCAGGCTTCTACCGTAAATGAGCAAATTATAAAAAAGATGCTTCGGTTCGATTTCAGCGCCACGAAGGATATCGCATTTATCCATACAATGTATGTATCTTGGCTGTCTTGAAAATAGTTTAATTAAGTTGATTAACTGCTCTCTTCAGTGGCGGATCTCACACGGACCCGAAATGGGAAAAAACGGGCTTGTGCGGACTTGGAAGGGCTATAACCTCCCTGAATCTTCAAACATCTCAGGATATAAACCTCGACTACATTGTAAGCTAACACATGTTTCTTTCATCTCCAATTTTGCTGTACGATTCTTACAGGTCTTTCAGACTTCCTCAGTGGGCTCACTGAATGAGCAATTTCTGCGATCTATATACCTCGCAGCACAAGGTAAACTCGCGACAAAACTGCGTTTATCAATATTTGTTTAACCTCACTAATACTACATACAGGAGACAATGGCTTAAAAGAATTAACTCTTCGCACTTCAAGAACTTTCCCCTCCGAAAAATGGGGAGTTGTAACAAATAAAAGCGATGGCGCAAAGTGGAAGGACAAATTCCGTGTCTATTTCCCATCGCTCAACACTGTTCGTAATTCCAAAGGTGGCATAGAGAATGCTGGGACGATATGTTTTCAATCAAAGTGGTACAATTCAGCGACGTTCCCGAAAGATATTATGAGGGATAATATCAGCCGAAGAGAGGGCTTGTTAATGCACAACAAGGTATGCATAGGTGCTTACCAAAGAAAAAAAATTGTATATTTTCAAAACGGCAAGTAATATGTACTTGTCTAACATATTTATGACTTCTTATGTATAGATGCTTTTCGTCCGTCCTGATAAACCCATCACCAGCGTGAAGAACAACTCCATCCGCTATTCTGGTTGGACGTATGTTGGGAGTGCTAATCTCTCAGAAAGTGCATGGTAGGTACACCCCAAAACTCTCATTTTTCCTCTCACATTAATCTACCCTAGCCACTATGAGTGCATCAATCTTCAACTTGCCAAAAGTTATTTGGAACTCTCTCTCTCCTCTGTTGTACTAACCAAATTGCCTTTTCTCCCGTTGATCAAGGGGCCGACTTGTCCTTGACCGCGCAACCACGAAACCAAAATTAAACTGCCGAAATTGGGAATGCGGCGTTGTGATTCCCATTCGCCACAATGATGAAGAAAAGTCACCGTACATCCCGTCAACTAGAGGTATAACTACTTCAGTCGCCGAGTCCGGAGGTGGGAACACCAGCGCCGGCTCTGACGACGGGTCAAGGGTCGCTAGTGTGTTCGAGCCGACGGTCCCTGTTCCGATGAAAGTTCCTGCACAAAGATATCACGGGCGTGATAGGCCGTTCTTTTATATGGAAGATTGATGTTGATTCTAGAGATTTATTGAAACTATTCTCTTCTGGCATATCTTTCCTGCGAGAAAGGTAATATGATGTTCATGGAAGGGAAACCGACGGTAAATCGTCAGTACAATTAAGTCTAGATACACAGTTTTTTCTCGTTCATCCTTACGTCGAATTGCGGAGCAGTTGGCATGACTTTTGTTTCCCAAGCAAGGTAAGGCCTTCTTCCCACCTTTTTGGCGAGGCAACCAACGAAATACTGTATCTTTAAATGCAAGGTTGCTAGAACAAGAGATTTTCTACTTTATTACTATCCCTCTCGCTTTCGCATGATTGGGAAACACTTTACATAACGTGTTGAGGACCTCAATCCAAAAATACGTATACAACTCTAATAGCAAAAAATAAAATACAAATAAAATAAAAAATAAAGAAGAAAAAGGCAACTTCGGCCCTGTGAAATCATTACTTTCCAGCCACTTCACACAAACTAGAAAGCAAACGTCAATTCACATCCCATGCACTTGCATCCTGTCCTTCCACACGGATACGGTCATAGTGGACAAAAAACATTGGACTATAATACCCCCTTAGGATTTCTGCAACTGATAAAATTGGTTCTTTTTGTTTATTGTAGATTCCGATTCAGCGTTCAAGAGTATACCAGGGCCTGTTTTATAGATATTGGATCCATTCATGGATATCCACAAAAAAGAAATCTCCCCACCCAGCTTGAAGATTTTTGGTTTATTCACCCTTTTTTTTGATCGATATGTAGTCTTATATTCGTATGTGCTCCACGTGCAATAGTTAGTTACATATCTCAAATCCTCTCCTGTCTAAAATATGTCATGTTTCTCGTTATCTTCATGTTTCCTGCCGGATCAATGGCACTAGAAAATGCCTTGAGGCAAGAAAAAAAATGAATGGTGGGCAGTATGTGGTGGAAGTTGTGCAGCGCGAACGGGCAAACACTCAAATGAACATAAAACAAAAGAATAGAAAAACGAAAGAAAGCAAAGGAAAGTAACACCATCCGATACTAAAAGCGAAGTAAGTAGTCTATCAGAAAAACATATATATGAAATAAAATAAATAAAATAAGAAGCAAAAGGAGAAGCAACAGAGGAAAAGTTATTATATGCTTGAGCAATCCCAAAATCCAAACCATTATCCTGAATATGAACAACAAAGGGGAATTAAAACTTTAGTGAAATCATCATAAACGAGGTCCTCCATGAAATACCTACTCACTATCCCCAATAACCTCTTTCACCTTTTCACTATCTTGCCCCACCTTATCCTCCTTCCGCTTTCTAATCAGCCTCGCCAAACCTCCCACCCAAGAAAGCGCCTTTTCCACGATACTGACAGCCGTCCCAAAGCCGAACGTCCATCCCCTGACCCTAACTGTATATATCATGAAATATACCAGGCCCCAGTTAATCACCACAAAGGCCAAGAATATCCCGAAACCTTTCCATTTATCCCCCTCATGCACATTCAGGGTACGTATATATTCGGCTCCATTTGAGTATGCACAGTATGCGCAGTCAGCCGTGGCGTCAGGGTTCGTAAGGTAGCCTGATCGTGCGACAGAGGAGATGAAGTTACCTGCGTAATCTATGCAGGTTTGGCCGGGAGGCGGGTTAAAGTGTGTGAGCTCATTCGGGGAGCAGATGACTTGTGTGGTGGGGAGGGTGGCAGAAAGCACGCCCCGGAACCACCATGTGGTTGGATTTACGTAGTAAATCCAGTAGCGCCAAAAGGGCGGAATGGTGAAGTAAGGGCGCATGATGCCGTTGAAGAAGGTTACCATTACGAAGAAAAACGGGAGGACCTGGTTGTGTGACAGTTAGTTTAGTTTGGAGCCACCTGGAATCTGTAAATGGGGAAAGCTTTGGGCTTACATTTCCTATAACGGTGAACGAGGGTGCGAAGGCGCAAATCCACTGTCCCCAACTTGCTTGGAAGAAGAAGAAGAGCATGCACATTAAAAACACGTAGCCGGAGGTGCTCGAGTCGGTAGGTAGGCCAGTGGCAAAATACCAGAGCAGCCAGTAAACGGCGCTGGTCACAACAGCTGCTGGAAGTTCACAGACGATATTTGCCGTGCAGAATGCAAACCAGCCGTAGATTCGGCTCGGTTGCTCACGCACTTCCCAGAGCATTCTATTCATGAAGAACTTTGGAAGGATTCCGTTCATGAAGACTGGCGGGAGCATGATGATCATGAAAATAGTAAACATCCGGTTTTGCATGCTAGATATCGTATTTCCCAATTGCCAGAAAGTCTGTGTGGTAAGTTATATTGTTAGTACATGGCCCAAGATGGTGGCTCAATTCAAAACGAAGAGGTGAACATACAAAGCCATTGAAGATACCAATGATGGCACTGATGAACAGCTTTCCATAGAGATACGATGAATCTCTCCAGTAGTTGAGAAATAGTCGTTTTGTGAGCATCGAACACTGTAGAGTAATGGACGCAGCATATTCGTATTGGGCATCGCTAGTCTCCAAAGGCGGATGTTGGCTTCGTTCGAGGTTGATTTGCTCCACATCCCTTTTTAACTGAGCAAGCTCGTCGGAATTTCGCCACTCTTCATTCCAATCGATTCGCTTCCCGTTGATCTTACGGCTCTTCGCGGCAGTCTCGAGGATAAATTCCGCAACGTTCTTAGTAGGAGGACAATCGACTCCCCTTTTCGCAAAATAATCAATTACGGCACTACCGCTCTGGCCAACAGGTCCGAAGTAAAAAGTATTTCCTTCCGGGTTTAAGGCTAAAATAGTGTCGAATTCCTGGATTAGTAGGGATGATGGCTGATGGATGGTGCAAATAATAGCTTGTCCTGCCCGAGACAGCTTCTTCAAGAATCTGATGATAGAAAAAGCTGCTTGACTGTCCAGCCCACTAGTGGGTTCATCCAAAAATAATAGCAAATTCGGCTTAGCTGCCAGTTCAACTCCAATGGTTAATCGCTTCCTTTGCTCAAGAGAAAGTGCACCGATAATGGCATCCTGGATATCCTCAAGTTCCAACAAACCAATGATCTGATCGACATAAGCAATTTTTTCTTCGCGGGGGACGCTTCTGCCTTGTCTCAAAATCGCTGAAAATTCCAACGCTTCTCTGATAGTGGCGGTAGTGTCGTGGATATCCATCTGTTCGCAGAAACCAGTTCCTCTTCGGAAATCTAGAGGAAGAGATTGCCCATCAACAAGTATATTTCCGGATACAACACCGATTCGCTGTCGCTGGGCTAAAGTGTTGAGAAGTGTTGTCTTTCCTGAACCAGACGCGCCCATCAAAGCCATCATAGTTCCCGGCTTCACGTAGCCTGTTATTTTATTGAGGAGTTTTCGCTCACCGTTCCCATAAGGCACCGTATATTCAACATCATTCCAAGTGAAAACCCGATCACTGGTAGAAAGGCTTGAAAATTCAACATCATCATTGTTCGTGGTCGCCGAAGATCCCAAAGTGGGCACGCCACCAACATCTCCAATCCGCTCGACCTTTCCTGTCTCTTCATCTTTGGATTGGCCTTTTTGCTGAAGTTTGGATATTGCTTTCGTTCTCTTGGATTTTTTGAATACCATTGCACCGCCTCCACCTGTGGCAAATGGGAAGACTTCGGCAGCGACTGCAGTGACTAAAATGTACGCAGCTGTGAAGGCGATGACGATCCCAAAGTTGCGCCAAAGATGGCTCCGGGAACTACATTTCAAACTATTAGACAGTGCACCTTGTTTTTGACTTTCTTACTATACAATGTGGGTGAGATACGAACAATTGAAATGAATAGTCCAGGTATCGAGCTCCTGATACGCTGTTGCTGCCCAACTGAGAACCAGGAAGAGAGCATCCTTGATACTGTGGGTCGATATTAGGGCCACGCGGCACCAGTTGCTCGGGCGAACATTCCATAACACGGTCCGAAAATTCATTACCCATGACGGCTTCGAATGAGTATGATAGCGGATTGACATAAAACAGCCAGCCAAACCAGGGGGAATCGTGCAGTAACGCTTGTTTTGGGATTGCCTATATAAACACCTGCATCAGTTTGTTGCCCATAACTGCAGAAGTGGAATTTCATCACTTACGTATCCAACGAAGAAGATAAGTACGTTAAGACCTTTTTTTTTACGTTGTTAGCATGAGAATCCGAGTCCAAATGAAGTCTTAGGTAAAACATACTTATTCCTCCAAAACGGACAGCATCGTCTATGGTCGCTGACAACGCTGCAAACATGCGATACATGGCGGTGATAGATATCGTGGTAACGTAGATGAACAAACAATAAATAAAGAATTTGGAAACATCAACGTCGAATCCCATGAGGAAATATCCCACCAACGCGAGTACTACAAGCGTTGCGAAGATGACGGGAAAATCAACAAGGACGCGAGCAATAACAACAGCGGAGGGGCGATAAAAGGCATAGTCCTTGTGCCTTGCGATGATCGTTCTGCCCGAAACGGCCGGCATCAACTGTGACAGTTGAAGCCAGCCTAGGAAAAGAATGGAGAAGAACAAGGCACCCCCGCGAGGGAAGGCTCCATTGGTATCAAGGGACTGACCATAGAAGAAAGAACCAACAATGAGGGAAACAGAAATGATGATGAAAAACTTGGTGTACAGAGCGGCTTTATCTCCCCAAAAAAGCCAAAATTCTCTCTTTGTGCTAGCAATAACTTGACGTGCGAATGACACAGTGTAATTTGACCGCTTCGAGACGGTTTTGCTTTTTGCTGTAGGTGAAATGTTAGTCGACTCCGGAAATGTGAGTCTTTACGGGGAGCTCTGACTTGTTCACTTACATTCTCCTACATGTTTTTGGAATTGACGAGTGTCAGCAGCATCAGTTTCCTGGATTTGATTCTCATAGTCATCAATCTCCTTCAGAATTTCTTTGTAAATATCACTATTTTTGAATGCTGCTTCCAGTTCTTCAGCGGTTTTAGGTGTCGAAGCTTCTCGGCCTGGCTGAAACCGACGAACATTTGGGTCGCACAAGGAAGTAAGAAAGTCCGCCGTTGTGCTTGTGATATGTTAGACAAATTCAAAACATATATGAACATCATGCGAGAGAAACGCATATCACTTACGATCGTTCCGGGAAGTGGAATCCCAGATCTTCAAAATAAGCTTTTGCCTGATGTGCAGGGCCTTGGTAAAGCATGCGTCCTTCCTCGATAACCATAACCTTATCCATAAGGTCATATATCCCCTCTCCCGCCTGGTAAAGTGTAACAAACGTGGTTCGATTGCTCACGTCCGTCATGACTCTGAGAGACTTGACATAGTCAAGAGCAGTGCTGGCATCAAGGCCTCGAGTCGAATTATCCCAGCAAACAACTGAAGATTTGGTAGTCAGGGTCTCTGCGATGCCGACACGTTTGCGCTCGCCGCCAGAAATGCCACGGACAAACTCGTTGCCAACGGCAGTGTTTTTAGTGTGACTAATGCCGAAAATTTTCAACAAGCCGTCGACGACGATTGGGATCGAATCCCGGTCTCGCTTCTTTGTCTTGTTCATCAGAGCAAATTTCAGGGTCTGCTCCACTGTTAAGTCTGGGAAATGTTGGTCATCCTCGGGATTGTAATTGACCTCCCCGCGGAATTGGCTGTCTTGCTCTTCCGCAGATATCCCGCCATATCTGACGTCTCCGGAAACAGCAACGAAAGATGATCGATTGTTGGCGATGGATTTCAGAAAGGTAGTACATCCCGCGCCTGGTCTCCCCAGGACGAGCATTATCTCCCCATCTCTAAGAGAGCCCGAGAAATTGTGAAGGAGAGTGCGGGTGGGGGGAGGCTTTCCGAATCTTAGTGCGGGGATGAATCGAGTAACAAGATTATAGAGATCAGGCCCAAACGTTCCCTTCACAGCATCCGGCAGCGTCTTGACAAATGACGAGGTAGCATCAATGCCCTCGACTGTCAAATTTTTGAAGACCACACCGATTTTTTTTCCAGGCCCGCCTGCCGTCGTTCTCCGTTCGAGACCTCCGCCTCTCAGAAAGTCACCCAACTCGAAATCGTCATCCTTTGAAAAAACAGAACCCAGAGTGTCATGATCAATGTCCACGTCCTTGTCTTTCTCCATTGTAACGCTGGTGGAAGATCGGCGGATATGACTTCTCCTTCCCTTCGTAGAAGACTTACTTCTTTGGAGACTCAATTTGGTCAACTCTTTCGACATTTCAGCGAACTCCTCCATTGCACCACGACGAGATACTGGGTCACCCTCGGCATATTCACCCCATCTGCTCTCGCGACTCGATTCGGATAGCGGTTTTTCTGTGTCCAGATCCGCAGGTATCTGCGAGGGGCTGGCCCGATCAGTCTCCAGTGCCACCGCTTCATCGGCACCTGGATTAGGCAGTGATGCCATTGGGGGGAAAGCTGGTCTAGGGAACGGGGAAAATGCGATGGAAAATACCGGGCCGCTTAGATGCCCTCTGCCGCAGGTAGCGACACTGATCACTCGTTGGAAGATCCAGTCCGAAAGTTAAAAGGTGCGTTTTTGATTTATCCGGACCGTATTGAGGCCCGAGCAACACGGTGACACCACAACTCACACCGCACAAAAGAGGGCATGCACCTAAATGGTATTGCAGAAAATAAAAGTATGTTTCGCAATTAGCTTCCTTTAGCTGATGAAAGGAGGCTTGTTTGTGCTACCTGTCAAGTCGTTGACAGCGACAGCGTCAATTGAAAATGGAAGAAAAACAGACGAAAAGCAGCATTCATCCAGTCCCTCCATGATCAGTCATTCGAACGTAGCTACTTATATGTGCTTCAGAATCTCCTTCCGATGAGCATGCCGACTGGTCAATGAGCACATTGCTGATTTTCCTTTTTTTTTTTTTTTGCTTTTGTGCATTTGTCAGACTGGAGCTTACTAGAAAACGAGTAAGATGATGTGATAACTCTGATTTGCAAGCAGCTACTCCGAGTGGGGCAAAATGTCCCCGCTTTCGTCCGTATCCCATATATATCTGGTGCGAATGATGGGCCAAGAAGTGCATCATCCCTGGGAACTGCACCTCAAGGGTTTTTTTGCATCGAACCTAAGATAGAAAGCAACAGGGATGTTTCAGAGCTGGCTGCGAAATTTCCGTAGGATGATGCACTGTCGTAGAAAGAACCCCTTGGCCACTCCGGCCTTGATTGATTCCTGGAGCTTGACAGCTCTCGTGGCGGCGTAAAACCGGTAATCAAAGTGTGAGCTCCATCCACTGCCCCACCACCGATGTCAAACCCGATCCAGGGGATGGGGACAGTTGACTCATTCTTCGTCATCGGAAATTGGGTGCGGGAACCTGGCCCAACACAATGCTCCCTGATGGTGTTCGTGAGATGGGGCCCTTGTAGGGCTAGTTAAGGATATCGTTGGCCGATGGATGGCTTTCAAGACAGGAGGATGTGCATGCCGTCCAACAAGTGTCCGAGGGCGGCACGTTTCGTCGTTGACTCGTGAGCTCTGGGTGACTCGGTCGGCGACCCGTCACCGGTAGCATCCCGTAAGGCTAACTCCGTTAAAACCGCCCCACAGTCATGGCCGCTAACATTGGTGCTTGCGCGAGGAGCAGCCCTAGCAGGGACTCCGGGCATGTCGCAAGTTAGTCGGCGGCGCAATTTGTAAGCCGACTGAGGATAGCTTCACACAGCTCGGAACCCCGAAGTCCATAAAACCCTCTCACCTCGCCCTTGTAACCCTTGTAAGTCTTAGCTACCCTTGGAACCGTCGAGTGAATTCTTAGCACACAATTGAATGTGCCAACGATGACGGAGAATTTCATGTTGGTGACGTTGATCCCACTGATCAACGCTGACCAATCCCCTGACCCTCCAAGGCTGGGACAGGAAGAAACGCTCTCGATGCCCAAAGACAGACCAGGCATTGACAAATCTGAGCAAGCAAGGCGAATACGTCCGCAATAGTGGATGAACTGGCGTTTGAAGCTGAGAAGACTCCTTCGCTTACGAGTATTGCACTTCAATGCCGCCCCTTGCCGCCCCTTTTCCACATCGGACAATCGCTTCGCTTCACAATCGTTAGCGGATGTCCAGATAACAATACAGTACATAGTACTATATATATACAGTCCACGTATGTACATGTACATGTACAATGTCCAATTTCCGTTCGCGCCTTGCCAGTTGACAAGTAACTGCCCATATCACATCTTGCATCTCTCAGTATATGCCCTTCGCGAAATTGTGTTAATATTACAAAGTTGAGAAACTCCCTACTTGTCTGGGGCTTGGCCCTCTATGCTACATATACCTATCATCAACAACCCATAATACATCCAGTTTATCAGGTTGCTCTGCGGGGTGGCCGGGACGGCTTCTCAGGGAAATGAACCCCTCCATTTGTAGGGTACATATTCAGGCTGTACTCTTACGTACTCTATATACCTGCATACCCAGGTCTCTATGCACAGGTCCCCCGGCCATATATGGATCTCGCAATTTATGCGTACGCTGAACGATGTGCGCATATTCCAGCGCGATCTATGTCACCTTGCTGACGTGCGGGGATCCCATAGGAAACTCCAAATAAAAAAAAAGGTATCTCGGCCAACGCAATGTTGCCGCAATGACCTCGGATATGCACGCAAATACATATATATACACGCAGACGATGCGGCGGAAAAGGTAATTATGTATCTTCGCGAATTCGTAAAGCGGCAGAGAGTCATAAGATGATGTTAGCAGTTATATTTGCCCCACATCAGGAGAAATAAGCTACGGATGGCAAGGAACGAGCCCGAATTTTGGGATGAGTGCCCGGAGAAAATCCGATCTGTTGAGATGGAAGGAGAGTTAAGGTACCAGTGCATTTTACTCTAACCTTATCGCCGATCGATGGCGAAACAAGCCCGCAGTAAGTTCCAGCGAATATCCAGATTGGTTCTATACCCAGGCTATATCTGTATGATTATGGGCTACCCGAGAGGATATCTACACACGTTCAAAGCCGGCAGCGAACCTCTTCCCCTTTATTCAAGATATGAATGACAAGCGGGGCAACGAAAAGGAAGAAGAAAAACTTTTTTTTTAAAAAAGAAGAAAGAAAGAAAGAAAGGGAGGTATGAGCTGTGTATAATCGCACATACACACAGGCCACAGACGACCCGCCGGCGATACGCATAATCGCCACCCTACCCACCAGTTGACCCTTCTCCGCCACGCCCATACCCACCAACAAACAACTCAACACCCCAACATTCAGCATCATCATCATCGTCATCACCATCACCACCATCACGAACTCCGCCACGCCACCCCTCCTCCCTTGATGTGATGTTACCCTGGACCCAACCCCCCAGCCACAATTATCTACTACTACTACTACTATCAAAACACTGACAACGCGGACACTTGACTTGACACTTGGACAACGTCTAGGTCTAGGTCCGTCCTAGACAAACCACCAACAGCTGCCGCTCCACTCCACTCCACCTCCACTCCACTCCATCTCCACCCCGCCAGGGGACCCTCCCCCCCACTTTCAGGGGCTGCTGATTCGAGGAAGGGCGTCTGGTAGAAAGCCCAGAATCGCAAACGACCCAGAAGCCCCGGAAGCTCATACATGGTAACGCCCACCGCTAGCTACTATGTCGTGAGTTGATTATGACAGATCAAGACAGCCATCGTAGACATTGGGGGGGAATTGGAAAATGTACATGGTTCACGGTCCAAAGGGAGCCAGCGCGGGTTACACGGTGGTTGTTGCTTTCAGTCCGAACGAACGAACGTACAGTACAACAATGTCGATCATATCACATCACCAGGTAAACTAGCGGTTCGAAACTAATGTATTCATCTACGTTTCAGCTATGTGACTAGAAGAGGGCGTAAATAATATATATGTAATATAGTAGATAATGACAGGCAGTTTTTCTTTTTTTAAAAAATTATTATTTCCCTTTATCTCTTGTTTTTAATGAAAAAAACATTTGATGTTGAATGGTTGAAGGACTGACTCCTCCCTCCCTCACTCCCCTTGCTCTACACACAAAAAAAAGGGGGGGGAAGAAACACAACCCCAGGACTCAACCCTCCCACATGTCAAATTAAAAGGGAAAAGGGTTGTCAACAAAGAAAAAAAAAATGAGATGAGAAAAATGATAAGAAAAGAAAAGAAAGAAAAAATCAAATCAAATCCAGAGGCAGTGATGAATAACGAATGGACGAAAAGTATAACTAAAAACCAAAAGAAAGAAAGAAAAAACCGACCCACCGTAATTCGCAGCCAAAGAAAAATAAAAATAAACAAAATAAAAACAAGAGTAGCAACAGCCCACCAGCGACCCGCAACGATTTTTCAGTTTGTTAAAAAACAAAACACCCTGGGGTAAATGAGTAATAGTATGGTGAGAAGAGGGAGACAGAACGCGAGGGGAACGGACGAAGTGAGAGACTATGCACGCGCCCAAACGGGATTAAAGAGCAAAAGGACAAGAAAGGAAATTAACAATAATTCCGCACAACCCCGGCCCCTGCCATCCAGTAAATTACGGCATTTAAAAAAAGGGGGGGCAAAAAAAGAGGGTGAAAAGCAAGAGCAAACATATATGCGAATGCGAACTCGCCGGTACAATGGGAGAGGGAAGACTAACCAAGACACAAAGAAAGCAAGAAACCAACTTTCAGAGGGGTGAAGAACAAGCAAAAACCGGAGAGACATGGTGTGAGTGAGAGATGGATTGGAATAGGGAAGAAACGCAGGAAAGAAAAGAGAGCAAAAACATCCCTCCCATCGTAAAATCAGTGGAAATAGTAGGAAATCGAAAATGACGAGTTCAATTTCAACTCGCAAAGGGGGAAAAAAAAGAAAAAACCTAACATAATAATCCGATTTATCATTCTCCTCTCACCCATCCCAGAAAAGGAAAAAGCCCCCAGAGAGTGAAAATCAGCCACCTGAAATTTAAATTTTTGGTTTCTTTAAAAGAGATGACGAAAGGAGAGGTCGAACGGTCAAAATGCAATGGCAAAAAGATCAGCGATTCAACCTGTTGCAGCCGTATTCCATGACATCGACGCCGGGGGTCCCGGCTGATAGCTAGAAGCATGCGCCGAGTGGGTAGGGCCGGAGAAATATTGTTGTTGCGGCGGCTGCGGCGGCGGCTGGTGTGATTGTTGAGGCTGTGACGGCGGCTGCGATTGAGGTTGTTGAGGCTGGCGGTCCCCGTTATAGTAAGAAACGTTGGCCACCAAGGAACTCGATTCCCGTCTCGTTGCAGGATTGTAGGGCGGATGCTGTCCAACGTTTTGCTGATCTGCTGAATCCATCCCGCCAAAGGTTCCTCGCGAGTAGGCAGAGCTGGGGTCGACGGCGCCCGAAGACGAATCTGGGGCCACATTGCGCGGCTGTAACGCCGGATTTCGGTAAAGGCCAGCACTACTGGGTTGCTGCTGCTGCTGACTCCTATCAGCAAGGACAGTGTTGAGGGAAGAGGACATCGTGGAAGCAGACAAGGGTTGCTGCATGCTGGGGTTCATCGGGTTATAGCCGGGCGGGTATGATGCAGAGCTCCGAAAAGGGTAGCTCTCTTGCTTTGGAGGAATGTCGGCTGAATTGGAAGTATTTGCTAGGTATGGATTGGATGCCGGATGGCCTGCAAGCCCTGCTGCGCCAACTGCATAGCCAGGGGGTGCGCCGTAGGCGGGTAGTTGGTAATATGACGGACCGGAACTCGGTACCGCGTACGCCTGCGCGCCGCTTAGTGTAGAACGATACGCATATAGGGCGGAAGTGGGATCTGCATCTTCCAGTGTAGCATGATCAAAGTCGTCAATTGGCGCACGGAAGCTTTGCTTGGTGGTGAGTTCTGCGCGTGGACGTATATATCTCAAACTCTCGTGCTGCATCGGGGTATGGAGGCGGTTTGACATGACATCTTCAACACTGTAGTATGATACCAGATGATGGGTCACACCCGACACCGTCACGCTCATGGTTTTCTTCACCAATCCGGAATCCTTGAACCCGTAAGAGTCCACGAGGGAGCCCACCAGTTGTCTCTCCAGCTCCGATTGCTGGTTTCGTTCTCCATATGGAGCTGCGCCTGGCGATGTTGCGGGCGAGTATGTAGTTCCATTGCTCTCTTGGGGTCGTGGGTACGGTTCCCCTGGTCTCCCAGTTGATGTTGGGCGCCGATTGCCCTTTTTCATCGCGCGCTTCTTCTCACCCGGAGGAAATGGCTTATCAAGTTCACGGTAGACGAGGAAATTGCCCAGGATGCGGCTCGGGCTCCAGGTAACACCATCCGTCCATCGCTTGATACCAGACGCATTTTCTTCGTAGATAAAAACACTACCACTTTTCACCAGTTGACTTCTCTCTCGATCGTGGGGACGTCGTGGGACATGGTGGAGGATACCTGTGAGACAGGCTTCGAAGAGGATCAGCGCATCTTGTGTCGTGGCGACATAGCCGGTGAATGTCGGCTCTAGCACTGCAGCTGTGCCGTTGCCCATGTTGTGCGACCAGCTGCAGGAAGGAGTTAGTTTCGACGATAAGGGAGGGCTAAAAAGCTAACACCGCCGGAGGTTTCTCGCTGCGGAGGAAACGGGGTAAGGTTGTCAGCTGCAAGGGTAAAGTTTTGCGCGCTGACAGAAAAGTATCGAGAGAAACACAAAGCCAAGCTTGTCTTGTTTGCGCGAAAATGCGACAGAGTTGGTGTTTATCGAAACGCAAATCAGAGGAGAGGGCAAATAAAATAGAGGGAGCGATTAATTTTATTTGATTATTATTCGTTTTTTTTTATTGAACGGATACGGTATGGGAGAAAAAGAAAAGAAAAAAATCCGGAGGGTATGTGCGGACAGCCCGTCAGACGGGCCAAAAAGGCTTATGTAGGACAGGATTAACGTGGTTGTGTGAGCTCCCAGTTTTCGAACGATTGAAAAGAAGTGATGATGGCTTCTTTGAAGAGCAGCAAGGGACCCCCCTCCCCGCGCAAAGGAGCTGCAAAGAGAGTTTGAGGGTTCTATGGATCGACAGACACAACGCGGGTCCAAAACTTTTTTTGACCTTTTTCACTTTTCGGAATGGAGGGGCTCGATCTTGAGGAAGAGAGTTTACTGCCACAACCCCAGTCGTCAGGGTAGAATGCAGAATAGCGTGAGGATAGCGCCAGGGCTTAAAGCAGCAGATAGCGCGATCAGGAACGTCAGTCAAGGGCGGGCCAATTCGACGGGCGAAACTCTATGCGGTTGGGATGGACCCAAGGATTTCGAAAGCGCTGGAGTGACGAAATAATGGGAACCGGAGCGAGAATGATGGCGTGAGGTCTAGCCCCGAATGCCCAGCTTGCTTCTGCTTGTCGCCACGCCCCGTCGCTCCTGCTGGGGTACTGGAGGGGAGCAAGAGCTGTGCGAAGTTTGGTAATGGCAGGAAGGTAAACTATTATTGGGTTTCCTTCTTCCGTTTCTCCCTCCACAGATGTCAAAGCAAGTCGGGAACTGTAAAAGCACCAAAGTTTGTTAGAAAGCAGGGAACTACGGGTGCCAAAAAGGTAATGAATAAGCAGACTCCAAATAGATAGATGGATGGATAGATGGATGGATAGGGGTGTGGAGATTCAAAACATCGCACAGCACAACAAGCCCGGCAGAGGGGATAAATAAATCAGGGAAAATAGCAGAAGAACAAACAGAACAGCGAGGGCTCGATGACAAAATAATAATGGAAAAAAGCAGCTGTCAACTCTAGCCTCGCCCCCCCCTCCCTTTTGAGAAGTGAAGAATCAAGAAATCCAAATCAACGATCATTGATGTTTTTGCTCATTCCTGCTTCTGGTCTCAATTGGCAGCTGCCATTCTGCTGGCTCGTTGTGGGGTTCTCTTCCGCTCCTCGACCTTCAATCTGTCTTGTCGTGTCTGTGCTCTTTTCTTTTTTTGTTATTCTCGCTTTGCCCAATCACTGCCGCAAGATAAAAACGGTGAGCATTCTGTTAATTTCCTTTTTTTCCTTTTTTCGTTTCCTGGTCTCCTGTTGATTTATCCAATTATTATTGTTGTGATTTTTATTTTTCCCTTTTTAGACGCCCTGTTTTTTGCTTTCTGCTTCTCTTTTCTTTCGCTCCTTCCTTTTGCTTCTTTGTTTATTTTTATTTTATTTTTTTTTTATTTTTCGTTTTCGTTTTTAGCAATGGGACTTCCTTCTCGGTGGCGGGAAAGAACGGCACACTGCGTGGGGTCCGCCAGAGACGTGGGGACGGAGGAGATCACTAGTCGATACAAGGGCCAAGCTGCTAGCAGCAAGCTCAGCATCGAGCAGCAATTGAGAGTATCAGCATCCAGCTAGCATAGTAGCAGTCCAGGTCGGATGCAGTAGTATGATGCAGCATACACATGCAGCTGGTCTTTCCAGGAGGGCCAGCATGCGCTGACGACATTGATTACTGGGTGACGGGAAAAAACAAATGGTTTGTTGGCGTATTTTGCTCGTTTTGGTGCTTGGTCTCAAGCAAAAAAACCAAAAAAACCAAAAAAAAACCCGGCCACGGTGAAGTGATAATGTAAGACACCAACGAAAAGACGAGCTGTGCGTGGGTGTTTGGGCGTGGAGTGCGTGAGCTTACAGCTGCTCGCTGCAGAACCGTGGTGGCTTGTCTGGTGGCTAGCGCGGTGGAGCAGGCTGCGCAATGAGTGGCGCTGAATCTGTAGCCGTAAAGCCCGCTAGTGCGTGTCCAGATGCCCACGAGGCGCACCTCTGGGCAGATGCAACCCAATAGGGCCCAGCACCGGAAGAGCGGGGATCGCATTCAGGCAGCACGCTTTGCCGGAGGGGGCTAAGGGCTAGGGCTAGGGCTTGGGTCGACCAGGACCGGGACCCAGAGAAACCACCAGAGACAACCACAGCACGGCTTGGTCTCAGACTTGATTGGATTTTCTGCCGTGGGCCGATAAGGACTCGGGGGCGGACGCCGCAACTCCAGGCCGCAGTTCTGGGTGGTCGGTAAATAATCCGTCACAGACTCTCTGTTGTTGGGCTGTCCTCCAGCAGCGGCAGGGAGAGCGATGGGTAGTGGCTGCAGCACGAGAAAAGCCCAAAAGGCCAGCGAATGGTCTCCAGGGGCCCACCACTCCATTGGTCATCCATTGATACCCCACCCCCGTCCCAGGAAAAGTCGTAGCCTGTGTAGGTGAAACACGCGAATCACAGTCGGATGGCTTGTCCATATCTATTCGAAAAAGAAAACATGGAATCTTCTCCGAAGCAATACAAAAAACGTCTTTCCACGCACCCCCAGTTTGGCCATTTTCCCGAGCAAGGAAAAAATTGTGTCAAAAAGGCAGTAAGAATAAGCGTGGTTTGGCACCTTTCTTTGCTTTTTTTTTCGCTGGGGCAGACGAGGCAAAAAAAACAAGGTATGTAACGCAGGAACGGGGTCTGTGTAACAGAATGACAGGTCTCGAAAAGTAAAAAAAAAATAAAAATTAAAAATAAATAAAAGAAGAAAGACCAAAAAGAAAGCAAAGAAAATTGAAACTCGAGTCCGACATCATGGTAGCAAGTATCGACAACCGATGCAAGGGCATGAAACTCTTAGAAACAGGGTGGAGAAACAAACCTACTTACTTTGAAAACAAGCTAAAACCACCCCACGGATCACAAATAAAATAAAATAAAAATTTCAAAAAAGAAACTCTCAAATTAAATAAAGTGCTGGAGCTCTTCTCCTTTGGCGCAAGGTCGATCACTAACCGCGAAAGTTTTTTCGAAAAGGTGTGATCGTTCGGGGCTGTTCACGCTTGTTATGTAGGTTGAGAATGTGGACGGGTGCTGCAGTACCGACAAAAAAGTTAACCCTCTTGTCAAGAAGAAGAATAATGCCCGATGGAGACCGGGAAAAAACAAGGTTGGCTCCGAGGATCTGGGAGGGTGTGACTAGGAGTCTTGGAGTCTATCCGGGCAAGAAAATCATGAAATCCACGTGGAGGAGTGCCAGATTAAATTGTATGTGTTCAAACGTACCAATGCGGGAATCTGAATGATTCTGAGAAGAAACAGACAGACAGACAATGAGGGGGTGGAAGTGGGCTTCGGGAATCTCGGGAGCGTGTATAAATATATAGCTAGGCAGAGGAACAACGTGAAGGTATTTCTAGGACGAGAGGGTGGTGGTGAACTGTCGGACTCGCAAGTCCCACTTGGCAGTTCGATTTGGACTGTCCTAATGTATGTAGCTTTTTTGCCGATCAACGAATAACACCTTTTCGCGAGCTTCTGTGGGGGCCTGCAAGTTAAAAAAGCCAAGTCGAAATAATAGCGTATTTTTGTTTTCTTAAAATATAAAAAAAGGGTTGAGCTGAGTGAAGGAAGGTTGGGGGATAACAGGAGACCTTGACAATCACAGCCCCAAAAGCAACTGGCGCAATGGTAATATATATATATATATAAGCCGGCAGAAGCCTCCTGCAGCTGTTGATTGAGCGAATCTCTGCTGCTGGGAAAGACCCTTTTCGGCTCTCCCCCACTCCCGCCATTTGCCAGGCTTAGAATAGAATCTCTCTTTTTCCCGCTTGGTCGTATTTTTTTTCTCCCTCTCCCTCTCCCTCTCTCCCTTCTAACACGCCTTGGCGGTCAACGGGCCTGCAATATCAAATCAAATAAAGACGCTCCGTGTTTTGGGGGCCGAAAAAGCGCACGGAAAGAAACAGAGTAAACAAAAGGCGATAATCGGCAGCAAAGAAAACGTTGAAAAAAAACAAAAAGGGCAGAACGCTGTGAATCACGTACCTTTCCCGTTGCGGATAGGTGAATAGAGTATCTTCAGGATAGCATCTTCCTGCAGCCACTCTACCAGTTCTTCCCAGAGCGGAAGAAGGGAGAGGTCTCCGTGTATATCATTCGCGATGTGCAGTTGCCAGTCCGGACTCCTGATTCGCTGATAATGGTGAAGCAGGTCCCAGCAAAAGGGAAAAGGCCAAGCGCAATCGCCTCAGCCCGTTCAAACAAGGGGGAGGGAAAGTATACAAAAGGCGGACCGAAATTAAAAAAAAAAAAAAAAAAAAAAAAAAGCAACGAAAAACGAGCACGCAAGTAAGAAAGTTTAAGCTATAGTTATCAGCAATAACAATAAATGCAGGGCTGTTTAGCCTGTAGCAGAAGCCGCACAAGCATAAGCACCAAAAATATCGAAACTAAAATAAAAATGGGGAAAAAAGAGAATGATCACCCCCTAGGGGCATTCCAGGGGACCCTTCGTTTGCCCTGCTCTGTCTTTGTTTTTTCTTTTCTTTTCTTTTTCTTTTTTTTGCACCCCGGAGTCTCGAAATGGTGGCTTTTCACATTTATCCTTGGCCCCGTTCAAGGGAAAGATCGCAGCGTATGAGAGCCAGAAACGAAAACTTGACTGCCAATTGCAAACTGAGATACAAAGAGGGTGCGGACTTTTACGCGGGAAAGCAAACAGACTGCGGTTGTAGTAAAAAGAACAATAAAATGATGTTGTTTGTGCTTTGCTGGAGGCCCCACTCCCCGGGTATTTCAAGAGCCAAGGTTGGCAACTATCAAGTAGTTATCAAGCCTCAGTACGGAGGAGGAGGTACCCGTCCGTAGACGAGAGATGGGGTTGGTGGGAATCAAGCAACAAGGACTGCGGCCGTCAAGTGCGGCAACGCAAACCAGGAATACATCATCATCATCCTTGCTTCCGGGAGGAGAAGAGAGACGACGAGTCGATAGGAAAGATGCGCTAAGACCACATGAGGGGCGCTTGAACAGCAGGCCTTTTCCTTCTCGGTAGCTCTGCATGCCTTATAGCAGAATGGCCCGCATGATGGCGCCCGCATGGACAGACAGACGTATACGGAGTGTATGTATACCAGTAGTATCGGTGTGGGGATGTGCAGCTCCTCGTGTCCACCTTGTTCGTTTTATTCCCTTTCTGCATTCCTGTCATCAGCGATGTCGTCTGCCGGCGGATTCCTATCGCCCATCCCTGTGCCGTGTGCGTTGTACGGTGGTGATGGGCTATGGAAGCAAGGGCGTATACGGGTTGAGGTGTTGTCCAGATCGAAACATGCTTGGTTCGTTTTTCGCTTTGTTTCGATGTTGACTGCACCGTTCCTGGACGTTAAACTAACTACTTATTTCTTTATTTATTCCCTTGAACGGTATTATCATCGAGCACCGAGATAAGAGCTGCTTCTTAAGGTACTCTACATACGTACATAGTAGTATCAACCTTTGGTATAAGATCAAGTCCTCCGCTCTGTTCAGCTCATCGGAAGGTTTGCAAAATAGTTAGCCTTCAGGTGAGATCTCCTCATCATCAGCAAGGCACCAGGATCGACGACCAGTAAACCTAAATCAACCTGAGCCAGGCACGCAGGGATTGAGCTTCGTTGACGCCGCCGCTAAATTAGATCGAGCATAGCGGCAACATTCAACAATACAGCAGCCGGCTCAGTGTTCTCGCTCTACGTATGGGATCATATCATGGTCTGTCGATCCGCGTGGCTAGCTTTGGATAGTATATCTATGGCACCAGACAAAAACCCGCAACCAAGAACAAAAACAAATCCCTTTTATATGACCCGCGACAGAGAGAAGCGGGAAATGAAAGAACTTGAAAAGAAAAAAAAAAAAAAACACAGAAACACAGACGAAGGGAGCGGGAGAATCCGCCCGTTAAAACGAGGCATTTTATTTATTTATTTCTTTTCTTTTCTTTTTCCTCTTGTCTTTCCTCCACTTCTGGACTAGGAATGCATTTCCTACTTGCAGACGAGACGAGAGAGGGAGCATCATTTGTTGCTGGATTGACGAGCCAGCCGCTTGGAGTAAATCCCTCAACGACGAGCTCCCGCCCGCATATCTGGATGATCATGTTACGAACAACCCTCGAAGCTTCTGCTCACACAAGGCCCCAAGTACTATGCAGGTTTATGGATTCCTAACACACACAAAACCTAAAAAAAAAAAAAGAGAGAGAGAGAAAGGTTCAAAGATCAGAAATTAAATACATAATGAGGGAGAAAAGACATGAGGGCCCCGGTGAGCACGCCGGTGAGTGCGGGGAAGAGAAAAAGCATGGCGAACTTGGTTCATGATGGCCAAATCATCCCCTTATGTGGCTTTTACTTGGCATGGATCACAACGCAGAGAGAGATGTGCTTGTTCTTCTCATCTCGTTTATTCCTTCTAAGCGGAGAAGTTGCAGGCCGGGCAGGGCATGGAAAACAAAAAACAGATCAAAGGATCAAAACAAGATAAAAATAAATGGCCTGTGCTTGCATCGAATCACAACGCAGAGGGGCGTTGCAAGCTACGGATTACTTTCCACTGCGTATGTAGTTTAGTTAGTTAGTTAGGTAGGTAGTTTAGGAGTGATGACATCTCGTTAACTTCTGTACTGCACATGCGTTATTCTGCATGTGCCCAGCCAGCATGCACGATGGCGCTTGGATACTAGTACTGCAGATGAGGCGAGCTGAATACAGCGAACAATTGCTCTGATAGGCGAGCCTCCTTTTTTCGAAATATCGGTTGGGTCGACATGCGGTCGATACATGAATATACGCAGTAGTAGTCTACGGACTTCGTCTTGCGGAGCCTCTGTCTGTATTTCTGTCTGTATGTCGCCGGAAGAAGCTGATAACGGGCGAGTGGGCTGGCTGGCTGGCTGGATGGCGGACTGGCTGGGTAGTTTTGATAGATTCAATGTGTTAGGTGGTGCTTTTGTTCGTTTCTCGTCTTGTCCGTCCCTTTTGACGACGATTGGAGGTTCCTTTGCTTGGGTTGGATGATGGATCATTGGCTCCACTCTTCTCTCTTGGATACATACACCCTTACCTGCATACGTCCATGGGTTAAGTTTGCTCGTCCTATGTGTATAAAAATCTGCGCATAACAAGGCCTTGCGGCAACTCCAGATAAGCATCAGAGCCTGACGAAATCGGTCTCCACACGGCCGGATTTACGGGGCTGTGGCCACCGAATCAACTGCGTAGCAGCCAAACTTTAGGCATCGAGCTCCTAAACTCTACAACCCCCCCCCCATTCTTTTGTTTCGGGTGGGGTGTGGATGAGTGGGGTTGGGGGAGGGACTCAGCGCGGCAAGCTGGTTGCTGTCGTAGAAGCCTCTTGGGAGCTCCAAAGAGTTCATCAGGATCTGACTTTCATCTTTCATTCTAGCATCCACGGATGACTTTTGGGTGTCCCTGGCCAGCCACAAACGGCGGTTGAAGAAAGAGGCTAGCAGAGTGTTAAAAAAAAAAAAAAGAAAAAAAAGAAAGGAAAGGAAAGGAAAGGAAAGGAAAAGGTGAGCATCCACTCATCCGTTCGGCATGGATGGAACAAGCGAGGATATTGAGTCGATCGGATCAGTGGCGATCGTCGTCGGATATTCACCGGGGATGCGCACGCTGACGCAAAGCTGCAATCAAGAACGAGTCTGAACGAACAACGAACAAGAACGCTGATTGTGCACGCAGCGTGTGTCTACTGCTGGGTGTTGTTATTAATTACCGAGGGCTCTGATTTTTACCAAGCCTCGCTGATTTCGTTTTTGAGAAACGATCAGTTGGCTGTTATATCGTATTCACCTGGTTTTTTTTATATATATATAAATGTTTTTATCGTCCTCCGATGCCCATGGCCAGTAGAAGAGGTAATATGGCTGGCTATGTGATAGATAATTTTTTTTCTTCGGATATTCGCAGCACCATGTAATTATGTATATTCAGATATCCTTCGAGCGGTGGATAAGAATTATATGAGCCGTTACTGTCCTTACCAACCCATCCCTGTTCCTTTTTGGAAAAAGAAAAAAGAAAAAAAAAGAAACTACGCACACATAGCGCTCCCCGAGAGAAATGGGCTGGATCTCGAGACAGTTTTCAACACGCTGCTTATATGTCCGAAGTAAGCAAGGGGCTTGCATGGGGACAACAGCTGTCCGTATTATTATTAGAGGGAAGCATGCAAAATGGTTGTGTCCCATAAAAGGAAAATGGGTTGATAAAAACGAAAAGGGAAATAACAAAAGGTGGGGAGGAAACCCTATATACTTGTTAGTATGAAAAGCGGTGAGTTTTCCGGAAGTGAATTCAATCTTACCTTTTATTTTCAATCTCAATTCCCACATTTTGGTGTTTAAGGGTAACTTCTGCGGGAGCAAGAAAGGCCCGTCTTCTTAACTCCAACATGATTTCCACTAAGGGGAAGGACAACCTAAATACGCACCAGGATTATCAGATCTTAACCCTCTTTTTTTATTTTTATTTTTATTTTTTGCTTGCCTCGCCTACCCTGACTTTACGCTTAATTCTTAAAATCTGTGATTCCCGCTCCCCGGGCTGAGCCTAAAGTAGATATGATTTGAGCAGGGGCCCCACCGAAAAATTTAATCGGACAACAGAACAGCGCGGTGGCGGGAACAAAAGAACGAAAGGGTTATGATCTCACTCCAGCCTATGCTGTGAACATCCATTGCTCCAGCCTGCTTTGAGTGCTGCGTTTTGCCACACCATGCTGAATTTGCGGTGCTAAGACAGCCGGAGTACTCGCTTGACCACCCAAGAGAGCTTTTTGCATAGGTTCTTGTTGATGTATTTGTTTATTTGTTTATTTACTATTTTCAAACACACACACACACACACCCCACACACATAACTTGTGGTAACCTCTTGGCGCAACAAATGGAACTCATAGGAGCGCGGGTTGCTGAAACAAGGGGCACACAAATGAGCAGGAAATCTACGTGGTAACGCAGCACCGCTACCCCGGTAGACTTCTCGTGCCACTCCTACATCGCGTATCAACGGAGGAACGGGCGACCAGAAGGGAAATTGAACGAACAATAGCAAATTATATATGACGTCGAGAGGATGGTCCATCCATGCGCACGAGTTCCATGTTTCTCGACCAGAGGATAACCACAGGAGTTCTCCTGTTTCGCCACTTGTTGTTTGAGAGGTAGACCGGCCATTTGTTGACAGTTGAGCCGTGAGCACTTTTTTTTTAAGTAACTGAGTAACGGAAACCCTGGTATGGAAAACTGGCATCTTTGCACGATAAACAAACCTATGTTTCCCCCCCCCCCCCCCACCCTCTCAGATCTCGGGATAGAAAAGCGGCATGTGGATTGGGGGGGGAAGGAAGGAGTTTGTGATTTGAGTTCGCGGCACTGGGTAGCGGGAGAGTTTATTTTTAATATCCCCCGTGCTGCTTTTAACGATCCACTCCGCAATGCACTGTGCAGATGTTGTGCCCGCGATACAGGCCAAAGCTTCCTCTCGGGAATGGAGGCTCCCTTGTAGGCGCCGATGCACCAGCAGAACAATCCGTCTAAGGTCCCGAGATGGCATTCCACGACTGTATCTCGACACCAGCGGCCAAGAGATCCGCGTTTGGGTTGGCGATATTGATTTGCAATCGGCCGGTCCGCTGGACATTCGCTGTGGACAAGGCTCCCGACGAGAGAATCTGCGTCCGATCCCCCTTGGTGGTTGACAACTGCCTCAACAAGGCAGCTCCAGGCAGCTCTCCCCAGACTGACAGCTCCCAGACGCAGGAACCAAAGTTTCCGCTCCCTCGTCACCTGACCGCGGATGACGATTTGATCCCGCGCTAAACCGAGACCGGGGCCCATAGGCGCACGGCGGGCGCGCTAAATGCCACGCGGGCTGGATGCTACCCGGCCAAACGACAGCTCGGTGATGTCACCGTCGTGACCGGCGGTATCAGCGGTATCAGCATGCAGCTAACGAGACGCTTCCTGCCGCTAGGGTGCCCGCGCATGAGACAGGAGACGTCTTTCCGAACTCTGGAGTGGAGGAGAGACATTGTTCCAAGTCCCATGGCAAACAAGATGCATGATTACTCGTACGGTACGATACATGTCCAATGTCTATGTCCCAACCTCCACCTCGTAGGGAATGACCCCGGGGCTGCATCTCTCAGGAATTCTCATCCGCTGTACAGATCGTACAGATAGTGCAGATAGTAACATTCGCACTCATGGCTCGCAGTAGCACCAACTAACTGACTGAACCGAGCACCGTCGTCCGAACTGCGCAGCCGATGCACGGACACCAAATGCCCACCAAGGAAGTAAAAAGCTAGCGAATGCAGCAGGCTTGCGCCAGTGAACGCCAGTTTATGCCGATTGATCCAATCCAAGTGTGAACAAGCCTGGTCCCCGCTAATAAAATCGCATTGTATTTTGTCGAACTAGTTATCGCAAACCGTTATTTATGATTCCCCCCGACTCCTCTTAGCACTCAGACTACTCAACCCGATATCTCGGTCGATCTATCCACATCGCGTAATTTTGCATGAACATCCCCCCATATCTGCATGGCGGTGGGGTCTTGACTTTTATCAACTCGGCAAGTTTAAAAGACAACAAATCATTGCAAGCGCGGACTTGTGACGAGGGCCGAGTCTGCAGGTCGGTTCGGTCTGCGGAGCTCCTCCAGTGCTTGGGACTGTACTGTGCATACAGTTGCACATCCATTACAACAGACTGTTGAGAAGAAGCAACGGAGAAGAAGTCTTTCCGTATGGATATCGGCGCCTGATTTAAAAAATAAATATATAAATAAATAAATAATAACAATGATGATAAAAATAGATAAAAACAAAAATATAAAAAATACAAAGCTCCTACAATCAGGGCTAGCTGCAACGAGTAGCTCCCATCCCATCCTAAACTACGCAGCGACGCGGAGCCACTAAAGAAGCTCGTCGTATGCCCCCCCTGCTCCACACCTTGAGAAGCCACAAAAGCGGGCACGCACCGCATGACGCAGCATCACTTTGAACAAATAATCTGTTGCCGGCTTGCTTTCTTTCCAAGAGTGATGCAGGGGCTAGCCTGCCTTGCCTTGCCTTGCCTTGCTCTGCCGTTGCTGTTGCTTTTGGTGACGACGAATTTTGAAACTCCATCCATCCATCCATCCATCCACCAGGACCAGAGATAGATTTTTACACTCTCCGGGTTCATTTTCCCGTTCAGTCGTGTTTTGGGGTTAGGATGGGAGGGATGGAGCTCAGAATCGAAACCGCGAGCGTTGCTGGTTTCGGGATCTCCCATAACTATCATATATATAAATATATATATATGAACATGAATTACGGCCATTCCTCAACAGGCGCCATTTCGCGCTGCTGGGGCCCGTGGGGCAGGCAAAATAAACCCGCTCTTCGTTTCCCCCTGCTTCGGCTAAGTTGCATAAACTGCATACATACATACGTGCGTACAGTGCAAAGAGAGCATCCAACCGATGTTGGCGGGGGCCACGCTTCGGAGGCTTTCTTCTCTTAAACGAGTTTGAGGGAATTGGATGTGTCACTGGCACCCATCGGTTCGAGGAGGACTCCCCCCCTTCCCTCTCTTCTACCTTTTTCGTTTGAGGTTGTTGACGGCGAGCGCTGCTCGGATCTATCTCATCATGGCTTGCGGGTCCAGCAGCTTGAGGCTATTGCATATCCCGACTGGGGAGGAAGAAAGTTTCGGGATTGGAGATTGTGGGCGGAAAAAAATAAAGAAGCGTTACTCTTTCTTCGCTTGTACCCTGCCCAACTCCCGAGGAGAGCTACTATGTATACGGCTCGAAATTCTGGCGAGCAATTTTTGAATACACCCCCTGTCGAGAAAGGTCCTCCCTCAAGTCCCCCTTTCTACTGCTGTTTTGTGCGGAAGGGACTTGTGTCAGCCAAATTTTTTGTGGGTCAAAATTTTGAACGAGCAGAGACGACACAGTCTTGCCAGCATTATCTCGGTTCATCCTTCAATCTGGAAAAAACATCTCATCAATGAAAGCTTCGGGCTTCGAATGTTTCCAAAAGCTGGCTAACTGATTTGTGTTATTTCCACCAGGTTAAAAGCGCTATAATAAATAATATAATCTCTTGCCCAAAATCCCCCGAGTCATACGGTCCCCACTACGCCAATAACTACATCTCTGGGCTTCAACTGACCCGTCATGTCCAAAATGCCAATAGTGATGATATGATAAATAATAGTTCCCCCGAACCCTTTTTCCAGGTGGGGATGAACTCTAAAACTAGTTAGTGCCCACGTTTATTTCGAACTCATATGTCCTCCCTCCATGTCTACTTGTATGCAGGTACAGGATCAACAGCAAGTTCTCAGATGGATGATGTTATCCCAATTCCTAGGGATAGCGGGCTACCTGGCTCCCTGAAACACGTAGGGTATCGCTATCGCTTTGGTACTCGTGCCCTTTTTATAATAGAGAAGTATTACGTTCAATTGCTCATGCTCAAGACGTAAGAATGGAGTTTTGTTCAGAGTAGCATTCCTTTTTGTTTTTTTTGTTTTGTTTTAGAAAGCGTTGGAAGGAGGCAACTCCCGGCCCGGACTGGGCGGGAGAAGATCCCCCCTCTCCCCAACACAACAACAGGGCTATAGAGGCCTGCAGGGACACTTCCAAGATGGGAGAGCCGCCTTTGGGGGAGGGGGGGGGGGGTTGGCTCTGAGCTCTAAAAATATCAAGAAGGGTCATAGGCGCTTGGATGGAGTGAAATGGAGGTTGCATCAAAAGTCTATTCTTGACAAGGGAGGAAGAAAAAAAAAAAAAAAATCTCCGAACACTGCGTGTACGGGTTAGTTCAGCAGGCAGCATGGCCCTCCCGAGGACTTTTCTCCAATGATCGAGTTGTTGAGGATGAGGCGACTTTTTTTACCTTTGTTGTCGTCCAAAAGCTCGCCGAGCTCCTGGTTCTATCTCCTGCGTATGCTTCTCGCTTCTGGAAACGAAAAATGCCTCGAAATATCCATACTCTCGGGGATGTGGGAGAAATATTTCTGTCTATTCCGTACTTAGTTAGTAGTTGCTGCTTTTCCCTGTCCTGATCTCGAGTCATATTTTCTCGGGAGACTTCCTCAGTAGATGAGGTGATTATGACTCCGGTGCATTCTTTTCTGTCCATGTTGGCTAACGCATTGCGGAACACGGTTCGATGATGATGAAGGGCAAAAGGAAGATAGGAATCAACGACTATGATGACATGAGAGCGTACGGGGGTGAGTAGTGACGAAATCGAAAATCTGGTATACAGAGTTTACGGGACAACTAGGGGGATAGCCAAAGGGATTGATTTATTTGACTGCTCCGATGTATCATTCCAACCAACTCTCCTGCAAACTCGATCTCTCAATTGACTTTCTGCCGATCGCCGACCGGTCGCCGAAATCCTTGCCACTGTTCTTTTTGCCTTCCTTTATTTTGTTTTGCCCTAGTGCTTACGGAGTACGGGGTATCGGATATTGGGGGCGAGCGACATGTAGCCTCCAAGCTCCCGGATCCCGATCAAATCTTAATCAGCTCAGGCACTCGCCTTGACAACACTTGGGTGAGGTTTCAGTATGCGTGGAAGGAAGGCTTCTTTCTGGGTTTCTTATTCCATTGCCATTTGTCCGGGATGCCTTCCGATGTTTTCTGTAGTCAGGGAGACAGACGGCCTTTGATACAATCCAGCTACTACAAGGGCCCTTACCCTTGAGCCAATGCTAAATGAACAATTGGTGCTCCCTGGTTCTTTACCGAAGACCCTGGGCCTTGTTCTCCTTTCCGTAGTCAGTAACATTTGCGAGATTGATTCAGCACGCACCGATAAGAAATTTCCACACCTTCAATGGTTACTATTACTCTGTAACTATTTCTCATTGTTGTTCCCCACCAGATTTCAATGACCTCATTAGCGCGGCAGATGGATTCTAGACCGTATCCACCACCACCGGTCCAGATCCGTCGCCGTCTACTCATCGACGAGGACGAGGAATCAGTTCTAGCATGTGTTTGTCTCTCTGTGGCAAGAATACTACAGCTGATACAAGTGGTTTGTCAATCGATCCGGCGTTTGCAAAGATGCATAGTATCCGTCCTCGCTTTGCTCGCCTCGCAAAAACATGGCGGTGACGGTGACTAGAAAAGCGGGCTTCCATGTAAGATCCCGGGGGGCGTCAAGAGAGTCAACAGAGCAACAATGTCGATGCTTCGAGAAGGTTAACCGTATGGGGCAGGTGGGGGTTGGGCGTCATTGAACAGAGATCTCATTGCCGCACGGATCATTGGTGTGCGATGCGGTTTGCGGTTCCGATGTCCTCAACTGCCCCCAGCGCCAAACAAACACCACCGACGACACACACCACCTCGTCCACAGTGTGAGGCCTTCAGATAGACAATTCAGCATTACAGATATATGGAAAAAGCGTTGGTTGACAGGAAACGCCACAAAGCCACAATTTTCCTGCCATCGAAGTTTTGACTGGGGAAATTATTAGGGGAAAAAAAAAAAAAAAAAAAAATCCAGTTTCCGTTTTCGGAAATTGTTTTCTATCTCGATAACCCCCTTGGCCGCAGCGGATCTTTTTTTCTTTCTTTCTTACTTGTTCTCGACGAAAGGATGTCTTTGCCCGACGGCCAAACTCCCCAAAATTTACTATATCCTCTTCAGACCTTTCCAGGCCATCGCAGCCCTTTTTGCAAGCCTGGGGGAGAAAGGCATGGATGAATACTGGCTTATTTGTGAAACTCCAGCTTTTCTGCGGTGCCAAAAATAGCCCTGGTATGGCCACGCCCCCACAAAATGTCAAAACCACCTCTGAGCATAGCCCGTCTTTTTTTCAGTGTTTCGAATAACTACAGGGATGTCGACCATGGAAGGCAGATCTAGATGTATCGGGCCTGATCAAGGTTGTTTTTGTAAGGGTGGGGCGCTCTCTTTCGTGCAAAAGCAGGATGATCACAGCGGAGAAGTACAGACTACCCATACATAATTCGTCTGTCTGTCTGTCTGTCTGCCTGCCTTGGATTTGAATCTGGGTTGACATGAATAGCGTTTCATACTGGATTTTCCCCCTTTTTATTTTGCTATTCGACAATGGCGTGCGTTTGTTCGGAATCAAGGCGGACTGGCGGTGCTTCTCAAGCTGGCCCCTCAAAGGACATAACATAACCAGACCTCCTTGCGTTATTTTTTTCCAATGCTCCAAAAATCGTCTGCTGCCACTCGCTTTGAATTCCTTTGCTTTGATAGATTATTGCAAAACGAACCTTTGCATGATAGGTCTACATGGTCCCATTAGGGACCCGGAGAGGATTGTCCAAAAGCCCTCCATACAGACGGACAGAGGTACAAGGGGGAGGAGATAAAAGAAGAAAGTACACGCCTCAGACGTTTTGGTTTTCTTCTTCTCTCCGTTTCAGCCAAGTGGGGAAGAGTGCTACTTGCCGTGCAGCGCTTTTCACATGTATCGCCGGCCACCCCCTCTCTCAGATGCGAACTTGAAGACACGGATTCAACGTTAACAGCCTTGAAACGCGCAATGCACAAACGGAGCGAACAAATAACAACAATGGTAGATCCAATCCTAGGCTTGCATCAACGAAGTGGACGCCCGCCTTTGCATATGCCATATGCCAATTTGCAAAACAAACAAGGACCCCCCGTGGGCAGGGAAAGGAGTGAGAGTCATGGCTATTCCAGGGTGGGTCCCCTCGCAAAGAGCCCACAATGTATGCATGTGTATGGATGGAGGGGGGAGTATGTGGCCAGAAAGCCATTCCTTCTCATTATTCCAACTTCCGCTGCATCCCCTCCTTTGAGCTCCGAGACCCCGCCATGATCCTTGCTGGAGGGAAATTGTCTTCGTACAAAGGGCCCCGCGATTGCTGGCCGCATTTCCCTCTTCCCGGTTCCGGTGTTCGGGTTAATTATGAAATGAAGCAATCATCTCTGGTCCGGGATATGGAGAATTAAGGAGATCAGATATACAGGAAAGGGAAGGGGAAAGTAAGTAATAAAATAAAAATAAAATAAAAATAAAAAGAGCAAACAGAAGATACGAACAATGTTCAACTCGCTCTGCCTCTTCATGCCGTCCTGTAGATGCCCTTGTCATGTGATGATGATTCGCAGCCATGGATATGTAAGCCAGGACGCATCCTGGCATTTGTTTGACTGCTTGTCCTTTTTTTTTTTTTTTTCGTTTTCGTTTTTTTCAAAAAAAAAGACTTTCTTATCTCTTTATGCGCGTCACAGCATTAGAGTTTGCCGGGGTTGTGTGGAAGAGAAGAAAGTGGGAGGGACAGCGCAGGAGAAGTTCGCGATTAGATAGATGACCTGGTTTTGGTGGCTTGGGGATCTCCCCCAGTGCACCATGGCAACTTTATTCATGGATGTATGTATGGATCTAAGGTATCTATATGTATTTATCTATGTATTTTCTTTTCGATCTTTGTAAGAATAATCGGGTTTGCCTGGGCTTATACCTCATGCGGGTAGAAACAACTAAAAAAAAAAACCAAAGGGAAAGAAAAAAAAAAGTTGAAGGACGGGCATGGTCCTGTTTATTTCCTGTTTTTTTTTTTTTGAAATTAGTGCGGCATTAGCGAGTGGGTGGGTTGTTTCGGAATGAAGAATGAATGAATGAATGAATGAATGGGCTTGCTTGTGGATGGAACTGTCAGAATAATGGCCAAAATGAAGCGGTGAGCTTTTCCCCCATCTTGATGCTTCGTTTGCCTGTGGTGCTTCTCATGGATGGATATCCTCGTGGCACCTTGTGACAAGAGTCTCGGATTATTGAGAGAGAGAGAGAGAGAGAGAGAGTGAGAGTCAATGGACATAAAATCTTGATTACGGATCCGTGGATGCTGCCGATGCTTGAGCATAAGACGAGAGGGCAGTCGTACAAGCCTTGTTTTATGTACCTATATCCACAATTTACTATTGGCTTTGTTGGCACGGTTTTGGGGATTTTCAATCCAGTCTGCTGGCAGCTCTAATTTTGGGCCTGGGGGTTGATTCGGCATTCCGGGCTTGTCCTGGTAGGGTATGAATTTCCAGAGTGTCCGTCTTCTTCTTTCTGGGTGGCTGAGAGATGGGACTGGTTGGATGATGAGCGGTGAAGAGTGAGGAAGCCCAAGTTCATATCCTTCCTTACGTTAGTAAAGAAACATTCCTAGTGTAAGACCAAGTTGTTCGTGTATCGAATAGCCGCCGTGAAAAGAATCCCCATGAACCAGAGACACTCCCTTGTCAATCAATTGTGTGCTGATAGGAAGGGACAAAAAAAAACTTCGAACTGGCTCTATCACGAAGCACTTCGATTGAAGGTAACCATGTAGACTAAAGGTAAACGAGCGAGGCTCGCTACTAGAAGAGAAAATTGAACTGAATGGTGGGGCTGGAATACCGGTTCATCCTTATCCATCAAACGTACACGAATATGAGCAATATCATATTGGGGGAACCACTTGAAATATTTTGGACCCTGTCCGTTCCCATAAAATGGTCTCCTGCTGCCAAACCGCAGCTATTGTGACACCGAAAGCTCACATATATAACTTATCTGGCGCTGCCATGCTATTCTTGACCAACGATACATGACCTGGTGTGAACAATGGTCTTGAATCACCAATGAATCCTGGGAGGTCCCGTAAAGCATCACACGTTTCGTAGTCCTCCGTGCTCAGAAATTCAGGCCGATCTTTCACCTGGTCCGCAAAATCAGCTCCGAAGCGGAAGAGGCTGTACCCATCAAATGTTTCGGACCATCTCGGCCTGTGCGAGTAGATGAGCGCAAGAGTCATGGACCCTAGGGCCCAGGGGACCAGCAAGTATAACGGAACCCATACGTTTTTCAACGGGCCACGTGTAAGGACTTTCCCCGGCGTCGTAGTGGTGAAATTTTCGTGCTTGAAGAAACTGCGGGAATGGTATACGGAATTGGGACCCTTCGAGGAGTCATTAGAATAACGGAGATACTGCGACAGGTTATCATATTTTGCGACTCCATCGTACGCTAATTCCAACGCATACGCTGCATGGGCTTGGAGAATTGAGTTCCTGAGTTGCCGGGACTGGACATAGCTAGGAGCTATCAACGTGCGGTTACTGCCACTATCGATGTACACTGGACCCTCCACGGACGAAAGTATGTTTTGTGGCCCTATAGATCCAAGAATACGGTCGTATTCTGTCAATTTGAACATTAAAGCACCCGTTGCGCCAAGGCTGAAAGCTGGGGCCCCAAGTATTGTATTGTCTGGAGCAGGAATAACATCGTGAGGTTTGAAGTTTGTGAACGTGTTAGAGGTGCCGTCAACGTGCGCGATCCCGAAATCAGAGGCCGAAGTACACTTTACGCCAACGGCAACTTTCATCGTGTTGGCAGAATTGTTTCCACCAGCTGAGTGGTTTTCGAGATGGTACTTCTCTGCAATATCGGGGATAGGTTCGTCAAGTTCCATGTTCATCGAACCAAAAAGGCTTTCACCAAACTTATCGACAGCACTTCTATTGGCCAGCATGGGACTCGGATAGTCAAGATATTGATACAAAATGTATTCGGAGATAAAATCCTTCTCAATTCCCCAAGGTGATACGGTTTCATTTTCAGAGTGATATCGTCTAGGAGTAATCCCGGGCATACCGAATTCTAGAACAGCTTCATAGTTTTCAACCTTGGGCGTTCGATAGTTCGCAAGGAAAACAACGTCCTGGTCTATTCTTCGTTCATGAAAGTTCGGAGTAATTTTATTATTCTGGGAGTCATATTTTGGCATAGAATTGTTTCCACGCTCATGGAAACGATTTAGAATCGCAAAGTCAGAAATTTTAGAGGCGGACGTGCAATTATATCGAATTAGGAGACCGCTTGTTGTCCCCAAGACTGGAACAGGTGCTTGTGGGGCCAGGAAAATCTCAGGAACTCCTGAATCAGGAGGAAATGTGTTTGGAAATCTTTTGAGGAAGTCATGTTCCAAGCGTTTCAGGCTCGACCTTGTATACATCACGCCGATCCCAGGCATGCGTACGGGCGCTCCTGTTTTCCAATCGTTCGAGGCCCTCTCATAAATGGAAGCCATCTTCCTGAAGTCGAAGTTCGCTTGATTTCGGCCCAGAACAACCGGCGTTGATGAGCCCGACGTTCGCATAACATAACCATCCCCAGACTCCATACATAGACCTGAGATTGGAAGCGCTGCAAGTGGTAGAGCACTCAAAAATAGGAGAATAAACCAGAGGCGAGATGGGGTGTGGTTTCGAGTACGTTGAATAGACCGTTCGTCTTTCTTCCAGAGGAACATAGATTTTCGAAGTATCTTTAGCCAGCCGCTGGGGCCACTCCATGTCCGGTCCGCATGCATCATCAGTTGGAGTGCGTCTTTGGGTCCCAGAGATTGATTATACATCAAAATTCCCGCTTCGGTGCCGATGAGACCATATTGCGATAGGTTCAATCCAAAAACGCCTGAAGAATCTGGATTAGATCCATAGCTACCAGGTCTCTTATAGCCATCGGGGTTTAGGGGTTTATCAAATACATACCGATGAGGAACCAGCTCCAAAACGCAAAGTTCGCACCTCTTGGCCCCACCTTCAAATGGTTTATGTCTTCGTTTTGAGACTCCAGATAATACATGACCAAAAACGTATAATACCCCGTAACCAGGGGAGGGACGATGACACCAATGACAGATCGGGGCCAGAAACGACGAAGCTTATATCCAAAGGCCAGCTCGCCCGAGTAAGGGGAGCCGAGAAGAAGCTTCACAGAGGGTACTGATGAATTCCTCAGGTGATGAGAAGACACAGTTGTGTTTGGTATAAACTTGAGCTTGAGCCTGCTCTGTTTATTAGCAGCGAGTATTGAAAAAGAAAAATATAAAAAGAGAGAAAGATATTGGCAGAAATGTTTACTCATCGTCCCCTAGATTGGCGCATTCTCCATCTAGACTATCGCGCGCATCTCCCACCATGATGTGATCGAGCGCGCAAAATGGACAACTCTCGCTTGTAAAGAGTAAAGCAACGCAACCGTGAACAGACAACTATGGAGAAGGCCGCATGGGACGGCGCTGCCTCCAACGTTTGGTGACTGTTGTTCATCAACAACAGTGAATTCGTCGGATGCCGGATTATTTGGTAGCTTGAGGCTCGAGTTCGGCACAGGTTTTCAGGGCATAGCGAGCCTTTATGAAGCGGGTGTTTGGACCCATCCCATCAGGTTGCACCTGGTCGGGCAAGCACACCAGGATTTTGGCCAATGTCCAGAATGCATCTCCAGAAAGATGTTGGTGTCTTGCAGCACAAGTGCATCGAAAACACCAGGACCAGGGACAGAACAACCTATCAGGCTGTGTCCGGGCCTTGTTGACATGCATTTTCGTCGGCACCAAGACCGAAATGAACGTCGAGCTTTTCCCTTTCATTGATGTAGCATCTCTCAATTCCGACTCTGGATCTACTCGGTGGCGGGTGTGTTACTTATTTTAGGCCAGGATGCACCAGCAAACTGTGCTTGAACATGGATTGTTGCATAGCCCATTGGTTCCCGCTGCAAAGTCACTGCACTGAACGGGAGGGGAAAGCGCAAGGTCATGGGGATCTGTGGTGAAATGTTGCTCGGGTATTGAAAGCGGTGGAATGGGGTTCCTTGAACATGCCTTTTGCTTCATCGTGCGAAGGATAGATAGCAGGATGTCTAGAAAGCATACAATATGCAGAGATGTGGAGAGGTACTTGCCGAACGGTAGACCGTCTGCGGATTAGTGTGCGGAAATACTTGGCGCCGCGGTAGCCCCACATTTCCAACACCAAGCAGAGCTCCAGAGCTTCTCTCTCGCCATTCCATTCCACATCCTCCAAACGGCACAACGCTTGATTACAGAGGCGGAGATGAACTGAGCCCTCTAATATGAGCCCTGCAAGTTCACAAGCCTCTGTTTCTTCTCTCCTTCGTGTGATGCTGTTTGGCTGCAATCCTTACTCGTAGTATTCAAACCAAGGCTCCCTGGAACCCCAACATGCTGCCATACATCGACGCCCGTAAGCTTCTTCCATTTATATATTCTTGCAGGGCCACATACTAATAGGTATAATTCGGCAGCTTTCGCACGTATTTCGGATGCAACGGGGGCTTCCATTGACGAACGTACGTCTGCCACCAAAAAGGCCCGTTTCTTTTCTGGTTTTTTTTTTCCTTCACGACTGCTGATATCACTCCCCAAACAGTAAAGCTGATCACCTCGTTCCTCCTCTCGTACCCTCTTGCTGCCATCTTGAAAAGAATACCAGACTCGAAGCCATGGCAGAAGAATGTGTTTATAGTTGGGGTTTCAATGTTTTACCTGGTGGGAATATTCGACCTCTGGGATGGATTGCGAACGTTGCTCTACAGCTCTGTAGGGGCATATACCATAGCTTACTATGTCGACGGCTCCTTGATGCCATGGATCGCGTTCATGTTCCTCATGGGCCATATGTCGATTAACCATATAAGCAGACAACTTGCCAACAGTCCGTCTACCGTCGACATCACGGGAGCTCAAATGGTGCTGGTGATGAAACTGACGGCCTTTTGCTGGAACGTGCATGACGGGCGATTGCCGCAGGAGCAGCTGTCAGAGTCACAAAAATACGCCGCCATCACCAAACTCCCCAGCCTGCTTGATTTCGCAGGCTATACATTCTTTTTCCCATCACTGTTTGCCGGACCGGCGTTCGACTACGTGGAATATCGAAGGTGGATCGAAACTACCATGTTCGATGCGCCGCCGGGGGTGGATCCGGCGAAGAGGCCTCAGACTCGCAAGAAGCGAAAGATCCCGAGAAGCGGTAGACCCGCCATCGTAAAGGCGGCATTTGGCTTGGTCTATATATTTGGATTTCTCCAGTTTGGACGTTTATATAATGTCGACTTTGTCCTCGGGGATAGGTATTTGAAATACGGCCTGCTGAGACGAGTATGGATACTCCACATGCTGGGCTTTACTTCCCGGCTCAAATACTACGGAGTATGGTCATTGACAGAGGGCGCTTGCATCCTATCCGGAATGGGATACAATGGCTTCGATCCGAATACGGGCAAAGTGTCGTGGAATCGGCTGGAAAACGTGAACCCGAAGGATCTTGAAACGGCGCCAAACCCACACGCTTATCTCAGTAGCTGGAACAAAAACACCAACCACTGGCTGAAAAACTACATGTACTTGCGGGTCACGCCCAGGGGCAAAAAGCCAGGGTTCAGAGCCAGCCTGGCGACTTTCGCAACGAGCGCGTTCTGGCATGGCTTTCACCCAGGATACTACCTCACCTTCATCCTCGGTGCATTCATTCAAACAACTGCAAAAAGTACGCCCACCTCCACCCGCCTCCCCTCTTCCTGCAAACTAACCAATAATCAACTCATAAATTTTTAATTTTTAATTTTTAATTAATTTTTTTTTTTTTTGGGTCTTAGACTTCCGCCGCAACATTCGCCCTTTCTTCCTGACCCCAGACGGCTCCGCCCCATCCCCATACAAACGCTTCTACGACATCCTAACCTGGCTAGCAACCCAACTAACTCTATCCTTCACCGCGGCGCCCTTCGTCATCCTCCACTTCAAGCCAAGCGTTCACGTCTGGTCAAGCGTGTACTACTACGGCATCGTGGGCATCGCAGCTTCGCAGGCCTTCTTCTCCAGTCCCGCGAAGCGGTTCCTGGTCAAGCGGTTAAAGGCTCGCGGTGGTGGTGGTGGTGGTCCCGTTTCGCGACAACCTTCTCGTGCCCGCGAGCAGCCGGTGCTGGGCCTGCCGCCGAACCCTGGGCGGGATATCGAGGATGCTGTCAATGAGGTCATGCGGGAGATTGAGGTGCGGAGGAGGAGAGGGAGCGTTGTTGCAATGCCCTCCGGGCGCGAGTTGATGGCGGCGGTGGAGGAGAAGCTTGGAAGGAAGCTTTAGGCGGGTTTTGGTTTCATTCACGACTGACCGAATGACTGACTGACTGTCTATCCTTTTGCTCTGGTTCTTTCTCGTCGTTCGTTTTCCCCGCGATTCACGCTGCGCGATGCATGACACACACACACACACACACACACACACACATATATATATATATATGGATATACCCATTTTTTTCCATTCTGTTAACTACATTTTTTTTGGCTTATAGATGGAGCTATATATATATATTTTCTCCACCTTCATTCAGTTTTTTCCGGCACTAAACCCACTGGTTTGTCTTTCCTTCTCTCCCCTTCCCCCCCCCCCCCATCTACCTCTGGTAAGAAACACAAACGGTCCTTCATCGCTCACACATGCGCACTAATATAATATATACATGTGCCGCTTCAGTGGTAAATGATACACCAATCGAATCTCACCAAATTAAAATAAAGATAAAACCAAAGATGAAAACCCGATCTATGAATAATTATAAAAATGTACGCTATGTATGTATGTTATATATACATGTACTGTAGAGTAACATATACAGCCCCGGTCCTTTCCCCACCGGCACCAGCATCTGCACCAGTAATATACACCAGAAATACAAGTCAATCCAGCCAACCGCACGCACCGCTGGGATGGTGCCATCTCTAAGAGATGCTAAACGAGAAAAACAAGAATATATATATATAGAGGGATGGGGCAATGAATGGAAGAAGCAGCACGCTGGTCGGACATAGAAATAAAAGGAATCTCCGCGGGGCGGGGGAGGAGGGCGTGAAGTTGTCACCTGGATAGGGATGAATGGGATCAATTAATGGGAGGTGAAGGAGTGGAGATATATATATATATATATATATATATATATATCACTAATGGCGGAGGATGGATAATAAGAAAAGACATTAAGTTAATTTGGCGGAAATATGGGCCGGGCCGGGATAAACCGGTAATATAATCCAACTCGGAGAGTAAATATATGTATATATGTCCAGATGCAGATTGTTAGAACGGGTAAGGGGCTAAGAATAGGGGTACGGGAAAAAAAAAAGCCAACAACGACCGAAAAGCCAAAAGCCAAGAAAGCAGGAATAGATATAACAAATGTAAAATATGTAAGAGTAGTGGAAAAAAGGAGGCCCAGTAGACACCAGCGCTAAAAGATCAGAAGCAAAAAGACAAAATAAAAACGCAAACAAAGAGACATGGAAAAAAAAATCTCCTTTGTCCTGGTCGTAGATATATAGGCAATGCTGGACTGCGACTTTCGCCACGCTGTGGGATGTATGAAAGGGATTCGGTCGCACCTGGGCGTTCGACGGAAAAGGATAAGACGGAAGTGAATATTTTTTATCATTTTTTATTTTATCCGTTTTGGATGGGGGATTGGACAGAAAGGCATGAGACTTCGAAGGGGGCAAGGGATATCGTATCGACTCTATTTTATATATATACTTTCGGGAAACTGTTTCATAATTAGACCGTTAAAAATGAACGTTCGTTGGCGGGATGGCAGAGGTAGATGGACGAGCTGCAACTTTTACGAGAAGAGAACAGCCATTGTTACCTGTCGCGCCAAAAAGAGTTAGTTTTCCAAGGTACTGTACATCCGTACCCATTGGGTCTGAATTAAGAAGTAACACGCACCACAATAACAATAATGGCCAATCCAAGCGGAGACATGAAACGATTGACGTTCCGCCACCACCTGGCATTTGCGTGGCGAACTTCGTCAACCAGGACCACACGGCTGTTAAACGCATGTTCCAGATCCGGACGACTTGTGGTCGCCTCCTCGTTGATGTGGGAAACCTGAGGGGGAAGAGGAAGGAAGGCGGCGATTATCCAAGCTGTGTAACCCACATTCGTTAGTTGTCATAGCACATGCCAGTAGCTAAGGGTGAAATAAATATACATACCAAGGGGAAATACGAAACCGAACACGAACGCATAAACCTGCGCATTCCGCAGGCCGAAAAGCCCCTCCGCCGCCTCATCTAACGATGGTGGCCTCCATTTACTCCTTAGTGTCGGGCGCGCTCGTTTATCCATATGCAAATGCGGAGACCATGCACCCGGCAGGTTCTCCACTGATATTTCAGTGATAACGCGGTCCACCTCGGGATCAGGGACCCAGTGGCTCCTCGGATCAATGGGGTCGGGATTGGCAGTGACTGCGACCGGGGGAGGTTCTTCAATCTCGTCGGGTTCATCAAGTTCAACAAGTTCGGGAGAAGCTTCGATCCCGCGGGGACGTATTCTGGGGTTGGTAATCCCTAAGGGTGTCCGGCTTACCATTCGTGCGTCGTTATATGTGGCGAACATGGAAACGGCGGTCATGGGTGGAGACGCGGGTGTTGAGGGGCGGCTGTCTGGGGAGAATAGCGACGCGAATTGCGCTCCCGTGCTATAGTATACTCGGGCCCAAGCAGGGATCACATGAAGGAGGGAGCTGCCACTTGGCGAACGAAGGAGATTTCTAGAATTGTTCAAAGCCGAGAGAGAAGATTTGTGACTTAAGGTTCCAGAGGCCTGGTGTCGGAGAGCAGGGGACCGCAAATGAGTTAGGTAGTCGCCTTGTTCCTGGATTTCGGATTGGTCCGTTTGCCACGTCGGCGGACTTGAGGGATCGCGAATTCTAGCATCCTCCAGACGTCTCCGCCAACTCTCCTCGGGCGGATGGTCGCGGGGTGAGGGGGTCGCAAGGCTTTGAGACCTCTCAGCAGACCATTCCGACGGAACAGTGGACAGATGCGGGTTCCAACGTCCAGAAAAACGCTCCGTCATGGACCGCACGTAAGACCGCGATATCGACTGTTCGGCCCGCGAACTCGATGATGGATAACGAATGGTGGGGTATTGGATGGGAGTGCTACTTCCCGTGGGTGAATGACCATCTGGACCGGATCGACTACTTCTGGAAGATGCGGATGAGGTCGATGGTTGGATTCTATATGGCGTCGTGGAGGGAAGGCCACCAAACGAGGAGGTTGACTGGTAGGATCTTAGTGGCGCAATTGGAGGACTCGAGGGAATGGAATGGGACGGAGTAGAGCTTTGCGGATCAGAAAGAGAACCATCGACTGTTAAGGTGCTATTCCGCTGACTGCTGTCCCGCCGACCGGCGCGGATGTACCGTCTTGCAGTTCCAACTGAGTTGGCTTCGTAGAGCGAGGAATCAGTAAGTGGCTCAGGTGCCAACGTTGGAGACGACCTTCCAAGAGGGACCAGATTCGGTGACGAAGGATTGATAGGTACAACGTTTGGGCTGGAGGTCAGGCCGATGGGAATAAGGTTGGGACTTGATCTGTCATCGCCGCGAACAGAGTCAGAGTAAGTTGATTCGATGGGAGAATTGGTTGGAGGAGACGAAGGGTTGTCCTGCGGCACGCATATGATTGTGGAGGGAAGCGGGATGCCATCACTTTTCGATGAATTGTCATCTTCTTCCCGGCCTCCACGGCGCAAAGCCCGGGGAGTCCCTGGCTCTGACGGGGGGATGGACGTCTTGCTTGAGTTCAAAGAATCATCCCATGTTTGGCTGGACGAGTGTGTTCCGTGGATGGAAGAGACTTGTCCGGAGACGTCTCTTTCATCTGGACTTGGTAGGCTCTGGTCGTGGCTGACACTCGAACTGGAACGGGAGATCGAATTAGGGGTTGAATGTGAAACGCTATACCCTGCATCGAAAGCTGATCCCTGCCTTTGATTCGCTGGCGGCAACAAGACATGTTGGGGCTTTGTCGGATAGGGTGTCGCGGAGTATATTTCGGTTTCACTCTGCAAATCCTGATCCTGTATGAGTCGCACCGTCGGAGGGAAGATTTGTTCATTTGTTTGAGAATTCGATCGTGCGTGGAGAGCCCTGCGCTTCGGGGTTGTTGGAGACAAAGGCGGAAATTTAGAAGGGCTAGGGGGCATTTTTTCCATTCTCCCCTTCCTTCGCCCAAAGAAGGGTGTTTCAATTGAAACGGGCTGGCGAGAAACAATTAGATTAACGGGATTATATGATATAAATAGAGTCTAGATCGATCCAAATGCTGCTGTCTATGGTTATAGGATATATAGATATATATATATATATGTGTGTGTGTGTGTGTGGAAGTATTTGGAGAGAATTATTAGTTCATGAATGAGAGGACGAAAAGAAACCGTGAGGGCATCAAATAAAGAAGAAATGAAGTCGTCAAGAGCAAGAAACCACCGAAAGAGGACTTCTCGATCATATAAACAGGTACGCTCAAAGCACGGAGGAAGCACAACGGCCAATGTTGAAGAGAGCGTCTTGCGAGATGCGTCGAATTAATAATTATCATCGCTTTGTTGATGTTGTTGATGTTGTTGGACTCGGGCGGGTAGTAAAACGAGCGAAACCGGTTTCGACTGCGCGCAGAGCCGAAGCAAGGTGATTAATTAATTAATTATGCATGGCGACGGTGGACAACGGGGATGAAGGTAGAGAGCGACTGGGGAAGAAACGAAGGCAATTGAGTGATCCTCTGAAACAGACACAACGAAACGAACGCGGACGCAATCAGCGCCTTGGGGGAACTAAAAGAACGAGAGGCTAAGGATCACCGGGAGCGGGGGGAAAGAAAGCAAGGAGTTACAACAGACAGACAACAAAACAGACAGAGAGAGAGCGACGAGAAGTGGGAAACAAGAAACGAGAAACGAGAAGAAGTCAAGATGTGAAGTCGAAAAGAAGCAAAAGCGACGTTGGAATTCGACGCGGAAGCCGGAGCTGGGGTTGGGCGGGCCAAAAGCGGACTAGCTCGCGGCTGGAGCGGTGTGCAGGTCACGTGGATCCCCCTTCGAGAGGGTTTCTTCGTCCCGATGGGGCTGAGATAACGCAGCCACGACGCGGTCATGATTCAATGATTCAATGATTGCAGAGAAACATGCAGGAAAACCATCAGAACGATGCGGATTGACTGGCGAACTGCGGGTTGTTTCTTCTGGCGCCGGGAGGTATTGGGCATTTGTGTCCCTGTTTCACCCCACGCTCTCGTCCTGCCTTGACAGCAAGGGCGCTGTCGAAACAGGCTAACCTTTACTATTGACACCATCGCCATTCAATTTTTCGATTCTCGACGCTCCATCGTGCTCGTCGTCCCACGTCCCACGAGTTCTTGAGTTACCGCGTTATATTGGAACAAACACTAGGATCCTCGAGAAGACTCCATCAGGGGATGGATCCAGGAACCCGCAAGCATAACCCACTCAAGGTTCGAGTGTCCCCGGGTTCGCTCCTGAACCTTCCGTAAATCCCTTTGTTATTAATACTTCCCCCTGCATATTGTGTGCCTTTTTAGGCTTTACTTTCACAATGCTTTTATTATTGCTGTGTGGATACTCAAAAAGTCACATCCCCACCGTGCGAAGGCAGTGCTACAGGGGCGAGGAAACAGTCGAAACATTCTTCCTTCGGCACAAGAGGTTTCTTAGTTTTCTCCACCTGCCAGCGCAGACCTGCATATATTATTTATTATTCATCCCACCTCGTTGCGGTTTTTGAAGCGAATCCTTTGCATTCCAAATTTAATCCTTTGTTTATTTTCAGCTAGAGGACTTGAATTTGTGTTGTGTCAATAATGATGCAAAGACTCTCCAAACTGCAATTTATTGCTGGACTAAAACCATTGGTTTCCTGCCCGCTTTATTGAGTTTATTACGAGCATCTATTTGGACATACTTTTACCCCAAGCATCTTACACAGCGCAGAAAGATGAAGGAAAGGCAAACCTCGATGTGCTATATAAAATCTCGCATCAAGATAATTAAGAAATAAGAAATAAAAAATTAAAAATTAAAAGTCCGCAAAGAAATAACCCGATCCATTATCAAAAGTTTCAACACGAAAATCGAGGCCCGTCTCCTATTCCTCCCACGCAATGTACTGAAATCTCACTCCCACTGCGATCCTTCTGATTGGACGATATGAACAGTACCTGCAGCAACACAGTTTTCAATTCATGCAGCTTGGTAGCCCACAGCCCCCACATGAAGCAAGGTTTTTCCAGCCAGACAGCATTGCCGGCGGTTCGGAAGAACATTCGTCACAGCATCCCGGGAAGTATTGCACTCTAGAGGCAAGGAAACCCCATTAAAACTACATACACTAGTCATGTCTCATACATATCCCACACATCTTCAAATGCATCGGACACAGTGATTTTGGGCGTACAGTTGAATGTGGTTAATAAAAAGTTAAAAATGGTTAATTTTTCAGGCTGGAATAACCTTCAGCGTGGTTTTGACCATAAACCATGTCAAGCCCCCCATTAAAACTACATGCACTAGCCATATCTCCCACACATCTCTCAGACTCTCACACATCTTCAAATGTGTTGGACACAGTGATTTTATTTTATTTCTCAAAGCTCTACCTCTTAACTGATGTAAGTCACTAATTCTAGCTCATAACTGCTTTTCAGATGTTGAAGAGCTCTGAATATTGAAGTATAACAACTGATGAATAATACATACTGAGGGTGTGTAAAAGATGTTTAGTGGGTGTAGATTTTAGTGAGGGAGTGAAGGGCTGAGCATGGTTTGTTTTCCAGACCCACTTTTTTTAAACCACGTCCAACTTTTCATAAACCACGTTCAACTGTATGTAACTCACCAACTGAGCAGATCATCCAACTGAGCAGTCTCCCAATCAAACTGTTTGCAGCTCCCAACTATAAGGAGAATGTAAATCCGAATTGTTCGGGTCCATCGCCCAATATGGAAACATTCAGCCATTTTTAATAGGAGATACCATCTACCCGTTACATCTTGGAGCTGTATACACCCTGGAGGGAGTGATTGTAACAGTGTTTGCTTCTTGCATCTCCCCTATTCCATTTAATCCGCCCGCTAACCCAACGAATCATTAGGCCTGCCATACTTGGCCTGGCCAATCAGCACCAGATAGATACACTTGCTGATTTCAAAGATGTCAATTAAACCTTGGCCATCTAATAGGAAGGGGGCGTGAATCCGAATATTGAGCCTGGGACACCTCTTCTAGGCTGACCGGTGTTGATGCCATTCCCTCTACACTTGCATTTCCAGAGAAAACTACCGATCTAGTCGATCAGGGCGGACACTTCAGGCCTCAAATGAGCTGTCCCCGCTACTCTTGCCAATCATTTCATTCTAATGGGCTATGATGGTGGTGAATTCATTAACCCTCTTCCAAGGACTCCGACCCAGTCCCTTGGCTGATTCAAGGCTGCTTGCCATTATTGGGTCCTCGCCGGCGACGAACGCGCCAGAGGCACCGCGACAGGTTCGGATTGAGACTTCGCTCTAATCAGGAGGACTTAAGCAGATTCAGGATCCGCGTGCTGAAGGTTGTTCGACCGTTTGCATCCGATGTAGAAATGTCACAGAAAGGCGCTCCTTTATCCGGGTGGTCAAGCAATGACTGTCGTAGGTCATCTTGGCCAGCGCCAGCTAGTATCAAGAACTGCCTGGGTTGTCGTTGCCGCTGGCAGTGCGGAGACCCAGGCTGTAGGGAGGCGCAGAGATGAGTCCCTTTATATTCCCTTGTCTTGAGTCCCTATCCCCAACTCGGGCGAGCTCCAACCTCCGGCTCTCACTTTGGTGGATCGATCAATTGGCGGACGAAACATTCTGCTGGATGATCCAGGAAGAGTATGCCTGTGGAACCTTATGGCGCACACAGTGTGCCCACAGGTTATCGTGATCATACTTGATCTTGCAACAAATGGCATTCCCGGGAAGAGAGCGCCGGCCTTCGACTTAGAAATTGTGGCTGACTGTCCATGAGGATAGCTGGTCGAAGCGAGACCAAATGTTCTAATTCCTCCCAAACCTCGAATCCTTTGGGAATTTGATTTCAAGGTTTCAAAGCTGATTTGGCAGATCATCTCAGTGGGCAGTAAGAGGACAGTACCAACCATAACTGAGAGAGTTTAACTTCAAGTTCGGCTAAAATTCAGTTATCTTACAGAACAGCCAACCTGCCTGGGTGCCAAGGCTGTAAAGCAACAACCACAGAACTAACCATCTCAACATCTACCAACACATCACATCATCCGTCAGTTGAGGACTTGACTGGCACGTCATAAAAATTAAGAATGCAACTCAAGTTGAATCATCATCTTCATACTTTGGCTAGGTAACATGCAGGCTGACTGGATTTCTTATTGCGATGTACTGTAGTTAGATGTCAGAGTACTCTAACTCGCTGATAAGTGCGAACATCAGACAGTCAACTATCTAGATGATTATATATACAGGACATGTTAAGCTAGAGAACACTCCATTCCTCCCATATAATATCTAAATACAGAAGGCAGTGCCGTTTGGACCATCTCTGCAAGTGGGTGGCCCACTTGGACTGCTTTTCGGTCTGCACATGGCTGAAGTTTGCCACTTCCCGAGAGCGTTACAGACATCGACCTTACACATAGTTGTGCTGGCCATACATCTGCACCAATAGGTGCCAGGTTTGCATCTGGTAGGACCAACTGTATCCTCGGTAGGAGCAGTCAATGCAAGCGGAGCAAGAAGCAGAGTCAGAGCCATGAATTTGCTAGAGAGCTGCATTTTCGATTGCTGAATCGTGATTAACGCTATGATGTTAGATTAAACAGCCGTGTTACTTTGAATGAAATATCATAATATAAAATAAAAAAGAGAACCAACCTTGATAAAAACTTGTTTCTATTTTAGAAATACTTTGAGTTATTTCAAGAAGATTTTGAAATCACAGAGACCAATCTGAATACTAGGTTTCATTCGTCAAAAAGTCTGATAGCACATATTTAACTCAATGAAGAACTCCTTACCTGTAAAATTGAACTTGAGAAAAATATTCTGATAGAGGATTTGGACTTTTTGGAGATAAAGAGTAAGAGAAAAAGAAGCTCTCTTATATAGAACAAAAATAAAAAATAATACTTATCAGGAGATTAAAATCCAAAGAAGTTGACTATTTTAGATATTGTAATATCAGTTTAGTGATTACTGGCTCTTATCATGAAGTCTAATTGCGTACTTAGCTTTGCATTCTGATATCAAGTGAATGCTACAGGAAATTCTCTCAAAAGTTTTGATTAGTGCTTAGAAGAGCTGCAATGCTGTTATCATTCTCAAAAATTCTCATTTTCAAGCATCTGGAAATTAAATCTATCTTTAATCTGTAGTTAAGATTTAGTTGTTTCTTCATGAACCCTCTTAGAATTCAGCTGTCACTCTTGTGAAGAGGTAGAATGAAAATACTTTATGCCGGCAATAGAGTCAAAGCTTAAATTATTACATAGTAGTACTGATCAAAACTTTTGAAAGAATCCTCCGTGCATTGTAAGCAATTCATGCAGAGACTGATAAAAATCATTGAGTTTAGAGTATGCAGTGTAATATTTTGATTTGGATAAATTATCTCTCCGAGATTTAGCCCTACTCTTGGCCTCTTACCCCGTCCGTGGATCCTCGGGCCGCTTGGGCCATTTGGGGGCCGCTCGGGGTCCCGATCTTTCTTTTAGAGTCAGACCATCCATGGATACTGCAAATCCCCCTGTCCGGGGGCAAGGTAACTAACTTTAGCGTCCGTTGCTCACCGTGGTTATTTAGCAAATATGCAGCCCAGATTGGTATAAAGTCACTGCGACGTGTCAGAACAGGCGGCAGCAAAAGCCCGCTTATATTGAAAGTGGTCTCACTCCCAGATGAGGAAATTCATAGATATACAATTGATCCCGTATCGGATATCTTCCCAGTAGATCGTATGACACAAGGGTTGCACGTTTATTGGTTAGTGTCTGAAGATTCTAACTAACTACAGTTCATACGAAAGAAATAACATCATAAAAGATGAAGAGAATGCCGGAGCAAAAGGCTAAGTACACAATCTTACACAGCTCTTCTCTTGCTTAAGTTACAATCATTCGTTCGGTTTAATTACATTGTTAAAGCTTAATTGTATGTAAATGTGTAAGTGTGTAAGACTGTGTAAAATTATTCAAGATTGATTTGTTATAAAACTTACATGAGATTAAATGAGTATCTGTCAAATCTGTCTACAATTAGATTAAACTATACGCTGTTAGTTTACTTTGAACTCTGACACTCTATGTGTTTTTTCCAGCTTAGCAGATAAGTCTGACAATTTATCAATCTTTGACAAAAGACTGTAACTATTTGATAGTTAAATAGTCTTACTAATTTTATAACTTTTTGCTAACATAACTTAAATCTGAAAACTTATGTCAGATTCATCTATCTCAGAGAAGCTCTCATTGAGTACTAATTACTTAAAATAGTTAGCAACTATTTACACAACTTACTTCTCAATAATATATAAAAGAACTGTGAATGCTTCTTTCTTTCTATGGATTTTTTTCTTTTATAAAATATCTCTGACTTAAAGTTATTCAAGTAAGATACTATCTCTTGCTTTTTATACTTACTATTATCTTGTGTATCTTGTGTCTATGTGTGCTGATAAAATTTCTTCTAGGTATTCCTTCACATCTCAAAGAAAAAGTATTTGACATTATATTAAAGAGAATAATATTCTTAAACAGTAAGTTTACACACTTTTTTGTAGTATCATACATAATTCATTTCAGAATGATCAAAGCTCATAAATATAATAATCAAGATTCAGCGATTCATCATGCAGTTCAAAGTTGCAGCTCTAGTTCTGTTTCTCACGCCACTTGCGTTGACCGCACCTACTGAGAATGATGCCTCTGCTGATCTTCTAGCATGCAAACCTACCGTACCGTTGCGCCTATCAAGATGGTATCACCAGTTCGATTGAGGTCTGTGCCGGCGGAAGATGGGTACTCTCAGCTCGATGTGCGATGGACAGGTTATGTGTGTATGATGGCCGCGGTCCTCCCTATTGTCCATAGAAAAAGAGCTTGGGACTTCAAAAGAACTTGACTCTGTACATGAATTCAACTTCATTCATTTAGATTTTGTCCTGCACAGTACTGTACAATGATAATTCGAATTATTGTGATACCATTTATTCTCAATGGATCAAAAGCTTCAACAGCTGATTAGCACTCAACTATTTTCTGCTTCTCCTTCATTTTTTCATTTTTCTTTCGCAGGAGTGACCGAAATCTGCCAGTGATGAACACTAAATGTCTCATGTTTCGTGGTGGCAAGGAAGTTAACATACTAAATGACTAGACTTGAGGCTGAGAAGATAGAAATAAACCACCTTTTATTCTTGAATAAAACAGTAAATCTTTACAGAGTATCAGAGATGAAAGAGAAGATACAGTATTCATATTTATTCAACGCTGTAGCATCAACTATTATAAATGTATCTGGAAAGGTCTGCTTTGTTATCAAGCATCTGGTGATGTATTGGGCCTCTTTCGTTAAGTCCTCAATATCATTGAATTCCATAAACTTTCGTCGTAAGATTTTCGTACTATGGTTCCTTAGCCCTTGACAAAATTGGCAAAGAAGGTGTAACAGACAAGGCCAGTGATGACATTGATGGACGGTTGGTCTGAGCAGATGTTGCACCACTGCCTCTGAGGGCGGGGGTTTCCGCATTTTACTATAGAAGCGCTGTAGATTTAAATACTGGCGCACCATCTAACTCAAACTGCAGGCCAAAAACGGACGCTGTTATAACCAGGGCTACAACACTGGTGATCGCCACCGAGGGGATGACTTCGCGTCCTGGAACGCTTTCCATACCGAATACGCCTACAGAAAATCCTAGAGGTGGAAAAAATACCGTCACATAGGTAAAAGCAGTGATATGCCTTGCTTCCCTCAACGACTCGAGAGATCGATTTGCTGCTTGAGAGTTGTTGACATGGCTTATCATAGATTCAGTTCGTGCCTCCTTCGTCGTGAGGCCCATAATGCAGCCTTCCATAATGACTTCGTTCTTTTAATACAAAATAATTAAAGAGTGTTAAAAAACTGTAAACAGTAGTAATAATTAGCTATAGGAAGATATGATTTGAGAGTAGAAGAGAGAGGTTGCTATATTATAGAGCTCTTCATAAGATGTATGGATTTCTATCGTCGTATTAGTAGTATCGACCTCTGCTTTTACCCATAAATTATCTTTATATATAGTCATCTTCTACCCCAAATCAATCTCTATTATATTCTTTCTTCTACCATTGATTTTGCTAGATCTCTCCATGTCGTTGCCAGGTATTGCTAGATATTCATATCATCAATAGATACCATTGCCAGATATCATTCAATCTTGATATCAGACATAAACAAGCAGGTAGATGAGTAAATGAGTGAGAGAAAGCAATCTGTATATCTCACTAGTATTCGTACAGAATCTCGATATAAAAAGCTTTCAACATCATCTATTAAAGTCTTTGTGACAGATTGATAGTATAAAATAAATATAGGGAGATAAAGCATTCAAGAATAAAGAACATGTAATGATGGAAGATTATATAGGATAATAGTGGTGTATGGAAGACTGGAAGCTCGTAGATCATGTTACTAAACTTACTCCTTATCCCACGTGACCCATACACACATAATAGTTGCCGCTCGATGGATGAGAACCAACCAGGCTCAACCTCTCTTACTGTTGGGGGCTCGTCCACTCAACTACCAGCATGGCGCTGGTGGTCTTTTGCCCCAGTGGCCTAACACTTAGACTTTGTGGGGTGGAGGCAATGCTTAGTCACTCCAACAGACATCAGTGGAACAGTGGAACAGTTGAACAGGAAGGCCCGGTTTCCCAGCTAGTCAAGATGGTAGCTGCGTGTCTATGGGGCGGTGTTGGGGGTTTGGATTGGTTCGTCCCCTCTACCAATCGAGCTCTTTTGCCCCCAGTGGCGTGCTACAGTTGTTAGATAAGTTACAATCACACAGTTGAATGTGGTGCAAAAATTCATCGTGCCAAATCTTAACCTATTAAAACTGCATATACTAGTGCATATTCCACAAACAATCAAAACATGACCACTGAACCTCTTGATCCCTCTCAATGATGTTGATTTTTCATATTTTGCAAGGTCTCTAACCCTTTCTAACCTTCATCTTAACCTCTAACCTAATCTCCAAACTTAATCTCCTAATCTAACCCCAGAATGTATCGGCGTGGCGCTAACACTCCACCATGGCATGTCTGTCAATTCTTTTAAAAAATTCATATTATTGAATTATGTTTATAATACTACGCATCTATATATATAGCGACCTGAGATTGATAAAAATTACATGTGTATAATTATTTTAGTTGATTCTAATTAAAAAGACTTAAAAAATCACAATCTGTTGGTGATTAACCTAGTTATTGTTGTTGTTATTGGCTACTTTGGGCATTCTGGTAGCGAGAACATAATAAGGAAAGGAAAGAATAAACAGGTGAGAAATGCGAGTGTTGAAACACACCAAGATAGAGTTATCCACGGGTCGCGTTATCGATGTCCCCCTTCAACCTCTGATGTTTCTCTGCACATGTGATTTCGGCAGTTATCCAGCTCTGTTTAATGTAGTTTATGATGAAAGATTTAAGAAATTATTATATATTATTAAGTGCGAGGAGTTTTTTGTTTTATTTTTATAATTTTATAGATCTAAGGAAATTTGATTCGGGACATTAATTTTGATATTAGGACAGGGTAGATCATGGTAAGATCGCCTGTGATCGTAAAGTTTCCTGTTAACCAATAAATAATGCACCCTGGATGATGCTCTAATTGGCTGAACTGCAATGACTAAGCTAGTGCCAAACTTTGGTTAGTAACATATCAGTGAATGAAGAAATACTAAATTCATTAATCTATATAAAGATCTGATTTGAATATAATAGAGAACATATAAATAATTATAAAGTATTGCATCTCAAAGACGAAATATAGGAGATAGAGACGAAAAAGAAACTACAAGAGATATGAGATTTAATTACGCAGAAGAAGATAGAGACTTTGATTAAATCAATTTTATAAAGATTGAATAACTACTGTTCTTAGCATTGATAATGATTTAATAAAATATTAGTTGAATTCAAGTACATATAGATATTGTCTATTGATTTAGCTATCTAATATATGTAAAGTCATTTGATACTTGATTATGTTTCTATTGACAATGAAAAGAGAATAGATGACATCTACAATCTCAGAACTGAGCGATCAAATATGGTGACTTCCTTGCCACTAGTGCAGATGAACTGTGGGTTCCTAGATGTGGCTGAAAAGTGGTTGTTAGGCACCTTGGTTCCCCGCAACCCACGCAGCAAACGGGGGTTAAAGTTTATTTAAATTAATGACTTTGTAAAGTACCAAATGGTGTTTATTGTTGGGGGTATGGACTGGTTCGTCGCCTCTACTACCAGCATGGCGCTGCTGGTGATCGAGTTTCTTTTGCCTCGGTGACCTAAACATATATCAAACAATCATAAACGCCGGTATCACATCAATATAATCTAACACTTGGCGCCTACTTTCAGTAAACGTCTATGCGTATATTGATCAATGGTTAATGGGTTATTGAGTCGAGTTTTATATCAAGTGTTAATTTGTCTAGGACATCGTGAAGCACTTTAGTTATTCGAGTATTCGTATTTGGTGCTCGCATAGGTTCTAACCGTGTTGGTGCTCAGCATTTCTCACCGGATTCAAGATTTCTGCAACGATGACCATCCATGGCAGGCTAATGAGACTAGTTCAATCGCAAATCCCTGAACCGAAATCTCGTTCCCTTAACCCTAAACGGCAGATTCCCAACCGTTTGCCAAGTGATATGAAAGAAGGAACTGTGCCTTCGAAGGCGAGCTCATGGAGTTTGGGCCTTCTAAAACTTGCTAAAAACCAAATCGTATTTCCCGTGGCAATGCAGCATAACTTGGGCAATGGCAACACCAGACCGTGGTAAACGATCTACTGAGCAGACAATGCATTGCCATCGAATATTATAAATATCTGTTATTCGTTTTTTTTATTCGTTTATTTTACATCACTATCATCACTAATTTGGTCTACTTTATTTCCCCACTTTTCTTCTTGAAATCAGAGTGAATATTGCCAAAACATCAATCTCAGGAGTAAACACTTTTGAGTAGCAAAAACGAAAATGAAGACCATTTACTCATTCACCCGTTTCAGCCTTCTCTATTTTCTCTGCGCTGCAGCCGAGACATCTGCCACTTTTATTCTCAAAACTACGCTTGACGTCGGCGAAGCTTTTGGGCAATTAGACTACACTCCTTCAGGGATGAGACCTGTGAAATGGACACCTTATATGGAGTACGCCACACCAGTCATGCTCGATAACAGCACACAACTCGAAATCTTTGACCAGAACACAACATATTACTTGAACTGGGATAACAGCACTGCCTCAACTGGTATGAAATTTGAGTTGCCTGATTGATAGTTAACTATCCGTAGGGTTATCTAAATATACTAATAAAATCTAAATATGCTAGGTATTTATTTTTCGAATGCCAGCTTGGGTAGCGGCATCACTATGCTTCAAATGGATGCTGACGGCTGTTTGCAATGGCTTCCAGCAACAGGGAACCCAAATGGCTGGATGTGTAAGTGAAGATACCTCTGTAATATTAATTTTTAATGATAAACTACTGATAATTCCAAGGGTGTTACATGATGGATTATCAATATCGCATGTTCTTTTATAACACATCATTTATTGGTCCTCCAGAGGGCTGTGGCTTTTCCCCTGTCTGTCTAATCCCCTATCAGAATAAAAAGCAGGGGGTGTTCAAAGGAAGACAACGATTCTAGAATCACTCATGCCTCTAGGTGCACCTCACCATATATTACCCTCAAATTCATATATTATTTGATCGGGCTTGTCTGAAACACAACGTACTTGGGGATGGAATTTTGGATAAATATGGTGTATTCAACGCAACATCAGGTGTAGATGCTATATTACAAATACAAGTGCAATTGAATAGTTATAGGAGAATAGTAATTGTTAGTCGGATCCGGATTCACAGATTAAAAACTTCATTAAATTTATCATTAAAAAAATACCACACTTGCAATAGGCGAGATATCAGAATACAGTTGAGTTTTATGAGAGAAGATTATGAAAATATTATCTATTTTGTATATAATAGAAATAGAATCTTAAGATGAATTCTATAAGTATAAAAGGCGCTAGTTAGTTTGTACGAATAAGATATTCTATGGCAAATGTAAAAATATTGCCCAAATATAGGCGTTCGTACATTCCTAGGGACATCTAGATGAGCGTGGCTAAATTTAAAATCCTACTAGGAATCAAACCTCGTTAAACGCGCCATGTAGAGGAGTGATAATGTAATTTTATTAAAATTTTGAAAAATAATAGAATAAATATCGAGTAAATTCAAGTAATAGTGAATCAACTCACAATCAATTGAAAACTAGATTATTTGAATTAATTGTTGCCAATTGATTTGCCACTCTACGATCTACTGACGCGAGTGGTAACTAGTTGTCCTGAGATCTTTTTCATATTTTTGCTCAAGTTTTGGTCAGTGACTGCCACCTTCACAACTTAGCTCGGTACTCAGTATGAGAAAAATATACTAGTAATTAACAATGTTGCAGGTCTTAAAGGTGTAAAAAGGGAAAAACTCTCCACAAGCATTGCCACGTTCTAACCATGTTGATGCCCAGCATATGCCATAGGAGGGAGATTGATATTCTATTTTTATCTACATTCAACTGGAACATAGACCGCGTATGTCAATAAACTTCAGAGAGCTGGCTCCAGCACTGAAACCACTTACGCAGGGATGCCCTGGTGTTTTCGTTAGTGGCATAGGGCGTCACGTTAATAATTATACCCTGAGATCCGCTTCCCTCAGTGGCATTCTCTTTTCCATTCAATATATTCTTACTGCATAATATTATTCTGTCTTTATATTCATATTCGTCAAGATGAAATTGCCTTCTCCTGTTCAATAAACCTTTGTTACATCTCCTGGACGGCAAGTAATCGGCTATCAAGATCAAGATATACACTTTATAATTGATTGGAATCAAAAAGCTCAATATGAGTATGACTTGAGAGCAATCGCTCTCAAGAAGCATGCTGATCATTCTAGTCAATAAAGTGAGAAGCCGATAGATGATATTGAAGAGTGTATCAAAGATTTCAAAATTGATCATCTAATGCTTTTACGTTAGTATTAATAAGAATTGTCCGACTCACACAGAATAACTCACAGAATAGAAGAAGAGCTGAATTCTTATATAATAAACAGAGCTAAAGTGATACCATATCCCCATCGGGTTTTTAACCATATATAGTAATAGCGGCAGCTGTTGTTGTGCTTATGGGCCTGCCTGTGCCTAGAAGCCATTACACAAAGCGGATAGATGTTCTAAAATTGCTTTAATGATATATAAAAATCTAGTCATATTCTAGAAGAAAAATTTGAGACGAACCAATCAAATTGATTATGGTTGAATATTTGAATAAATACAGAGTTAATTCTTACAATATACAATCTCTAGGGGTATTCTCCTGTGGACTTATAGTCCATTTTATTCGTGATTGAATGCAACTTAATTTTGACTTACAATTGATGAAAACTAGAGATTCAGAGTATGCTGCAGCTGACACTACACTGGAATTATCGCTATAGATTGACCTGCATTTTCCTCTGATCTAAATTCTATTGAGAGCGTATAGAATCTGATATAGAGATGAACACAAGAAAATCATGAAGATGAAGGAAATCTATGTTACGATGCACTGCACAGAGTGGCCAATCTGGTCTGAAATGTTTATAACAGAGAATTAATTACAATAGATTATGTCTACGATGTACAGTACAGCCTTTAGTTATACATAAGACTTATTTAGCGTACCGAATCTCTGGAACTTAGGTTGGCGGATCTCAATTTGACTTCTCGAGTCTTGGATAAGATAAGCTCTATGGGCAGATGAGCTTCCTACACAGCGCTTGTATATTATATATATAAAATACTGGTATACTAATGATACACACAAGATTGCACAGGGCAAGCACAAAGCAGGCACGAGCGATTATATATTTCTCACGCTCCCTCTGTGCTTACGTCTCCGTCCAACCTCTTCTACACTCGAATCATGTCTGCAGGTAACTAACATAAATGAAGTATCTATAATATAAAGTCTTCTAACAGTGAGAGAAGTGTAGAATTGCTATCATCAGTATCATCAGTATCAATGATATTATTGCTGTCATTGCTGTCATTGCTGGCGTTTACTAGGATTTGATGGGATTGCGCGCTGGCTCCGAGGGTTCTCCGGGGACGCACATGTCAAGACATAAGCAGTAGCTTCTGCGAAAGCAAAACCTAAAACAGCAGCCATGGAGTAGTAACCTTAAGCACTTGGGGGCAAGTGCTCGCTCCGGGCAGCACGCGGGCAACAATGTAGACAAGATTTCAATGAATGAGCAAACTTTGATTTTTCACTACTTTCAGAATATTATAACTAGTTAATAGATTTGTATTCGTATTTCTGTCTCAGCTCGAAAAACGCATTTTCAAACACAAGAATGACAACAGCTCCCAGTATTGTGGTTAGTAGGGCACTATAATATTAGGGTCAGAGGGCATCCCCGTGTAAGCCAGAGTGAGCGCTGTAGCTGATTGTGGGTTTAAGTTGCACGTAATTTTGTGAAAAGTTCATATGGTTAGAAAGGGGAAATAAACTTTTCTAGCCGCGGCAAATGCTGTTCGCTTGATGCCATTTCTACCCACGTTCAATTAGAACCCGGTCCTTTTTCCACCCTCTTTAGAACCTGGCAGTTCTCTATGACATTGCAAACACAATCTTTTCCAAGGAGGTGTTCAAGGAGCTGATATTCTCATTGGTAGACAAGTATTGTGGTTGCTGATGAGCATATTCTGGCCATTGCAAAATACTTTGAGAAGAATAATGGAGTTTTGCCAAGAAACTTTGAGTGGTCCCATTTGGGAACTGGCTGATGCCAAGACACACTCACCACACCTCAAATCCAACGTCGTCCCAAGGGCTGGCGCATCCAACAACTGCACCACTCAGCATTGCATACGAGAGCATACGAGAGCATACGAGAGCAGCCCTTCACGACCCGTAGAACCGTGGAAGTCCACCTTCACTGTAGTTTGCGGCGGGATATCTAGCACGCCTTGCTCGTGATCCGCTTCTGTGTTGTAAAAAATATTTTATCATTGAAGGTCATTTTGCTCACGGCCGTCGCCGTCGTCGAAGGGGAAAATGGCACCCACGGGGTTTATGGACATGTTGAAAAGCCTATATAGCGAAGATGGTATGTATGGTTTGTTGACAATTTCCCGTTTCCCGTAATATCCTCTCCATCCACCCGTTCTAACACAAATTGCTCGATTCTAGAAAAACCGGCGCCTGTGCTTTCGATTTACACAGCTGTTATTCTTTCAGTATGCACCACACAAGTTTTTTGTTAATCTGCAGTATTGGTCGTGGAATTTACCCGCTGCCCACCACCATCACCACCACCACCACCATGATGCCCTTATCTGCGCTTGTATCAAAAGTTATAAAGTTGACCCTGCTCGATTTGGCTGACCACGTGATTCTAGGTTGTCTTCACCCTGTTATACGTTATCCCTTTCTATCTTTCTTCGTCAACTAGTCCATCACCTACTTTGAGTAGGGATTCACCATCAGTGATTAAGGCTCGTGTTCGAGCTGTAACAACATCATGTTTTCTCTCAAGTCTGGGAATATTCTGCTTTTTTGTCTTTAAAGCCAACTATTCACCAGCTGAAGCACTGCGGTTATTGGGATGGTGGCCAATTGGGCCCTTGGAGATTGCAAAAAGTTTCCTATTGACAGCACTGCTATTTATGGGCCCATTATTTGAGGCTGGGATTGTGGAGGGTGAGTGGAAGGATTGGATTCGTGGTCGCCGTGTAGCAGAAACACTTGGGGGATGGATAGGCTGGAGAAACTTTGTTGCTGTAAGTCTCCTTTCGTCAACATAAGCTAGTGACTAGTTTTTAGTTTCAGGAACCATTTTGCTCACAACATATAGGGTCCCATCACGGAGGAAGTCATCTTCCGCTCAATAATTATTCCACTCCACTTGCTAACTGATCTCTCTCCTACCCAAATTGTGCTTGTCGCCCCACTCTACTTCGGAATTGCTCACATGCACCATTTCTATGAGTTCAGACTTACCCACCCCCACACCAGTTTTACCGCCTCCATTGCTAGAACTGTCTTTCAGTTTGGATACACCACTATATTTGGCTGGTATGCCACTTTCCTATACCTTCGGACCGGCTCATTGCCGGCTGTGATTCTTGTCCATGCATTTTGCAACTACTGTGGACTACCCCGTCTCTGGGGACGGGTGGAAGCGCGGGAGTCTTCGATCCCAATCATCACCAGGGGCAAGGAGGATGCAGTCAGGGGAACCAACTCCACCTCACATAGATCATTAAATATCGGATGGACTGTAGCCTATTACATTATCTTGGTTGTTGGAGCTCTTGCCTTTCACTCTCAGCTGTGGAGATTGACAGAGTCACCCCATGAGTTGGTGTCTTTCACTCCTCCTGCTTAACCGGGCAGGTTGAATGAACATTTTCTACTGATATAGATATATATTTGACATATTTACTGCAGGGAGAGAGACTTGTGACAATATGGATAGAAAATTTGTGTATACTACTGATGGGGCATCCTCCCGTTTTGAGAGATGGGATTTTTTGCACGTTCTGTCATTAATCTTCTTTACATAGTTATAGAGGGCATAGAAAAGGGAAAGCGTGTCGTTAGGAATACAAGGCGCAGAGTATTTGTTTCAGTAGTGATTTTCCGTGCATCATTGCGTGCTTCAAGAAGTAATCCCTAAAGTTTTAATCACATAGATAGCTAGTCCGTGAAGCTAGCGCTTTTAACAACCTATATTTTTGAGCACAAATATTTGAACAATTCTTTGGGTTACCGCGATAACAGCGATTATTCCCTCGCACGCGGCGCTATTTGGAACGGGATGAACTTTAGTGGCGAAAGCATCGGCTGTTCCAGCCCGATGCTCACCGCAGCGGATAATACCCGCTGCAGACTGGTGGGTGCCGTTTAAATCTAAATATTTCCCAACGCTGTCTTCGACATGGTTCACGGATGCGTACCTGTGTCGATGATTCTTTTCTCAACGCTACGCAGCACGAAGCCCCGCATCCATTCCAACCGCCTCCGCCTCCGCCGCCAGCTCATCTCCAGAAACTCCTCAGCTTCCTCCCGCCGCATCACCATACCCCCGCCGGTTCCCGTAACGCCCTCGTGCCCGGAACCAACATGTCCCTGTGCACCAACTCCAGAAATGCCCGAGGGGCTGGAGATTGACCATGAGCACAACCTGAATGGCACCATGGCGCCTTATTCGCAGCAAGTGCTGATTCTGACTGGGCAGCGTGATTGGAGGAGTAGGATTGAAGAAGATGGGCTGGAAGAGGGTTGGGGGATGTTGGGGAGGAGTTTAAAGGGGCTCGTTGGGAGGGGAGGGAGGTATGCCGATGTGAGTACTAGTATACTGGGTTGAGGCACAACCCCTATCGTTGTGGACGACCCGGGAACGCTACTTGGCTCCAACCCTCTGGGTTGTTAGCCCTTCATAGGAATAAAGGAGGTGAAGCCCTGACAAAATGAATATATTATTTCTAAGAGCTGACGCTAACTTGAATTTGCGGAGGGAAAATCATAGCCATACAACAACATCATGATTACAAACACCTCATTCCAACCTCAGCACTCAACCGGGACCGGGGCAGCCACTACTGCTTCCGCCCTTCTCTTTCCCTCATTCCGGTACATACCCAAAACTCCTCTCGACGAAGCCGGCCTAGATGCCTTTGTACGCGGCTTTCTTCTACCCACAACCCTCCACCCAGCCCACGACCCGCTCCCGGCCTCACAAAAAGAGTGCATGCGCCGGGTCCCCACTCTCCAACACTCTTTCTTCCCAGATATGGCGCGGATACGACACTCCCCCACCATCCTGATATGCGGACACGGCCACCGCGATCAGCGGTGTGGGATTATGGGACCCCTTCTGCAGACTGAGTTCCGGCGCGTCCTGCGGGCGAAAGGGTTTAGAGTAAGTGGCGGGGAGGAGAATGGCGATGGTGCGTTTACGGATGTTGCTGGCTGGGCGAATGTGGGGTTGATAAGTCACATCGGAGGGCACAAGTACGCGGGGAACGTTATTATTTACCTTCCGCCGTCGATGTCGTCGGCGGGAAGCGGGGAGGGCGGGCCGGTGTCGCTGGCTGGGAAAGGCATTTGGTATGGAAGGGTTGAGCCGAGACATGTTGAAGGGATTGTTCAGGAGACGGTGTTGGAGGGTCGGGTTATTTCTGATCATTTCCGTGGGGGAGTTGGGGCGAATGGTGAGATTTTGAGGCTGTGAGAAGAAAGAGTGGGGTGTCGGAGGGTATGTATGCGCTGTACATTAGGATAAAATAGATACCGTTTACATTTACATTTAGATTTAGATATTGTGGAGAGGATGTGGGCTTTTGGCCACTAGGCCATGGACACAATTATACATGTTACGCGAGCTTAGCCAGGACTGCTTTTTGAAGAGTGGAATAGGAATTCCGCACGTTTCGGGCCGAAGTTCATAAGAAACCTTCAAGACGGCGAAGTTCTGAATAGCCAGAGAATTTCTGAAGGGATAATTTCCGCACCATTCTATGCTTTGCCGCTGCCAATTGGTCATTATTACAGACAAGTACCTAACTAGGGATAAACATTTTTCATGAACATTGACTGTGGAAGTAGAAAAATAAGACGGGAGGACATAAGCAAAGAGCGGGAAACATAGTACTTCGGATCAAGACGCCTTCGCGTGATTCAATATTCATATCATATTGGAAAAGTTGGGCATCGACTGCTGGACGCAGTATTCCCACACAGATTTCTCTTGTTCTCATCCCCTTTTCTTGTGGTCGCATTTGATGTCAGAGGAGGAGTAGAAGTTGTTATGGGGAAGCCAAACTCCATCGATTATGAATTGATGAAAAGGCACCTGAAGAAGCTGGTGCAGAATGAATGCGCACATACAAGTAACCACTCAAGCCTGCCCCAAAAAATCAACTTAAGAGTGGACATATGTTTGACGGGTGTGAGTTATAACGGATCTACCTCATTGAGGCTAGTGGTGATGTAGACATAAACCCTGAAAGGACATCAAAAACAGCAAAGAATTTTAGCCTGGTCATTGCAATCTTCTTTGTGTGTGATTTCAATGCCTGAAATGCCAGTTGGCGCGACGATCATGGTTTCTGAGTCTACCTGTGGCACTGAACCAAAAATGATAATGCTTTGCTTTAAACCCAACTTGACAGCAACCTGGATGGAAACTTGAGTAGGATATTGACAGAATCCTTGTACTTGGCCATGACTCACGAGTAAACCTCTCGAAGAGGCTCTCGGCCGATTAGTGTCTGTTTGTTTCCAAAAACTTGCTATGTTAGTGTGTGGATCACGAACCGCAAGCAAGTATTGGAAATTCGGCAAGGAATTGGAGTTCTCAATTGCAAGAGTGCAGACCCATCCCCAAGTTAACCATGAGCGAGACATGAGGCCGTTAACAACAAATTGGCAATGGCTCGAGCTGCTAGTTTATAGCGATGAATAGCCGTCTTGCATTCCGTCACTGTTTCCGTAAGCTGCCATTCAAGCTGTATTGAAGGACTAGTTTGGGGAGTGATTATGCGGTATGGACACTTCTCCTTAACGGGTAACTGAGACCTCAAATGCTTCTTGTCTGTTGCCATATGGATCTCAGGAACGACAAATATTTTCAGGTCCCTGGTCTCTCGAGTTTCTGGAAGAATTAAACGCCTGAACCTTCACCAAATTGAAATAAAGACGTTGAACAAATCTCTTAAAAGGCTAGATTAGGGCGATGATATTGTTTGAACGGAGACCATGAACCCTTCCGGCTGAATCGATTCCGCCGTTCGGCAGCAGATGTAGGCTAGAGACAGGGACCGGGCCTAGATATGTCGCATAAATACTAGTAATATCAGACCTCACTGGAAGTAAAAGGCCAATCCTACAAGATGCGGTGATCGAGATGGGGATGCGTTAGGGCTTGATTGATCACGCCGATACCGCAGGAAGCCCAAAGCAGCCTAGCGTACGAGCTCCGATTTTCTCCCTTTCCCTGACCTTCAAAATTCTACCGGCCAGGCCAACGCAATTGCGGGCCATATAGCCAAAGTCACACTCGTTTTAAATGGCCTGACCATAAATCCCCAGGCAGAGGGTGATATGGGGACGCAGTTTTGAGCTAAATGAATCTCCGGCAATCCATCCTGACCCAGCAATGGGGTCGATGCCTTCCCTTTCGTCGGCGAGGAGGTACCGCGATCCGCACTGCATCGACTACACCGAGGAGGCTAGATCTGGTAGCAGTGGACAAGAAGTGGAAAGAAAAATGGCGGAATGATCCTTCATCGGAATTGGTTAATAACCATGGCAAGGAAAAGGCATACGTTCTCTCCATGTTTCCTTATCCATCCGGCGCATTGCATTTGGGCCATGTGCGGGTTTACACCATATCCGACGTATTGTCACGGTTCAAGCATATGAAGGGATACGATGTGCTACATCCGATGGGGTGGGATGCATTTGGGCTTCCAGCGGAGAATGCGGCAATTGAGCGGGGAATTGATCCGGCGAAGTGGACCATGCAGAATATCGCTAATATGAAGGAACAGCTGAGGGCGATTGGGGCACGATTTGATTGGGATAGGGTATGATAGATACTTTCATATTCCAATGATAAAATATTGTGCTTGCGATTTTCTTTCTCGCTGATGTTTTCTAACTGTGAACGGGTGCTACAGGAACTGATGACGTGCTCGCCTGAATTTTATAAACATACGCAACGTATATTCCTGATGTTATACCAAGAGGGACTGGCGTATCAGGCAAAAGCTAGAGTCAATTACGATCCGATTGACAAAACAGTTCTAGCAAACGAGCAGGTGCGACTGGATTGGACTTTAACCTTGAAATATTTTCTAACACTGTTGAACCTATAGGTTGACGCGAATGGGTGCTCATGGCGATCCGGAGCGAAAGTGGAAAAGCTCGAGCTCAAGCAATGGTTTTTCCGCATCACAGCTTTCAAGGAAGCATTACTGAAAGATCTCGAGTCTCTGGAGGCTGGCTGGCCTGAGCGCGTTTTGTCGATGCAGAGGCATTGGCTAGGAAAATCCTCAGGGGCGCACATAAAATTTCTAGTTTCTGCCCCCGATGACAATTACGACATTCAGGTATTCACAACTCGACCAGACACTCTTCATAGTGTTCAGTATCTAGGCCTATCAACAACTCATCCGTTGGTGGCCAAAATGGCTAGATCGGATCCTAAACTCAAATCATTTCTCGATTCTGCGACATCTCTCCCACAAGATACAAAAGCTGGTTATCTGCTTCCTGGTGTTGTGGCTGTCAACCCACTTAGTTCAGTTGAAGCAAATCCTTCCTTGCAAGCTTCGATTCCGGTATATGTTGCTCCATATGTTTTAGGGGAGTACGGAGAAGGCGCTGTCATGGGTGTTCCCGGGCACGATTCTCGAGATTTTGCCTTCTGGAACGAAAACTCGAAATCCCAACGAGTGACATTTGTGGTTAAACAAATGCCTTCGCAGGAAGCTGAGCCGGGAGATTTACCAGAGGCTCAACGGGTGCCATTTCTTGGGCATGGTATTTTGGCTGATACTTGTGGATCTTACAGTGGAATGTCCTCTGAAGAGGGCGGCAAAAAAATCATCGAAGATTTAAAAAGCAAAGGCGATTTTGCAAACGTTGCAGAAAGTTGGCGGCTCAGAGACTGGTTAGTCAGTCGGCAGCGATACTGGGGAACACCCATCCCTATTATCCACTGTGATTCATGTGGCCCAGTTCCTGTTCCCCAGGATCAGCTCCCTGTCGAGCTTCCGGTCATCGAAGGTGCTGGCCTTAGAGGTAGTCAAGGGAATCCTCTTGAGTCCGCTGAAGAATGGCTTCACGTCCCTTGCCCTAGCTGTGGAAAGGCTGCTAGAAGGGATACTGACACAATGGACACTTTCGTCGATTCCTCATGGTACTTCCTGAGATTCCTTGACCCGACGAACAAAACAGCACCGTTTTCTCCATCCCATGTTCATCCAGTCGATATTTATATCGGAGGTATTGAGCATGCAATCCTTCATCTACTATACGCGCGGTTTGTATATAAATTTTTAGCTACTTCCGCTTTATTTCCCAAAGAGTTACCTGGGTCTACAGGAGTCGCGGAGCCTTTCGTTAAACTTCTGTCACAGGGAATGGTTCATGGTAGGACATATTCCGACCCATCTACAGGCCGCTTTCTACGGCCGTTCGAAGTTGACATATCCAATCCCGATGCCCCCTTAATTAAAAACACTCAGACTGCCCCAAATATATCATTTGAAAAAATGTCGAAAAGTAAATATAACGGAGTGGACCCGACCACTTGCATCAATACCTATGGTTCTGATGCTGTCCGCGCACACATGTTATTTTCTGCCCCTGTTAGCGAAGTTCTTGAGTGGGATGAATCTAAAATAGTCGGCATGGAGCGGTGGTTCAACCGGCTATGGCGCGTTGTATTAGATTCGCGTGTTTCATTGGAAGGTTTTTCGTCCTTGAGCGCTGAATCTTTCAAACTAATGAACGACGTCAGACTGCCAGATTTAAGTACGGTATCTGATGATGAAGCCGCCATCCTCCTTGCAGCGCACGATACTATTACATCTGTTTCCCACTGTCTGGACGGGATGCCTTACGGCCTAAACACCGTGATATCCGACCTGACCAAATTCACAAATTCGCTGGCATCATCATCACTGCCAACAACGACTCCATCTCCAAGTTCGCAAGCTATTCTCTACATTGCATTATCATCTCTCCTCCGACTTCTAGCTCCTATAACACCGGCACTAGCTTCGGAATGCTGGGAGCATCTCCATAGCCCAATCCGACATTCCTCGACTACATCTTCACCGCCCCGGACAGTACCATCTATTTTTTCTTCGCCTTGGCCCGATCCACTCCTCTCATCACGCGACGTTCAAGCACTCCGCGCTCGCGTCGGCAAAACTGTCGCGGTGCAAATAAATGGAAAACTTCGCTTCAGCACAACTATACCGTCGCTACCGAGCGGTGAATCTGTGTCGACAAAGACGTCAGATGATGAACAATCCTGGATTTTGTTGCATCTCCTTGAAACTACCGAGGGCAAGCTATGGCTGAAGGAGAGGAATGATTGGGAGAAGAGAAAGCGAGTTATAGTCGCACGTGGCGGAAAAGTTGTCAATGTGGTGTTTTGAGTGGCAGTATTTGGGTTGATTTTGCCTCACGACGACGGCTGTTTGCGGACTGAGAGTAGAAGAGCCAAAGTTGACCTCTTTCTCCCTTTTTAATATTATTTTTTTGGAGTGTTTTCCTGAAGACCAGGGATTGACAGGTTTGGATAACGCCTAATTGAATGGTGGTATTATTCAAGGGATTTGTATATTATGATTCCTTTTCTTTGGGGATGGGGGATTGGCTTCCCACTTTTTTTCTTTTCTTCCATCTCATGTATGACTACCCGTGTAGATAATAGACTATTTATTCCATATGAACCTTTTCTTCCTCTTTCACCACTACGGGCGAAATCCACTCTAACAAATCAACGCTCGAGACTGGGTGCGCTGCGCACTAAACCCATAAATTCCAGGCTACGTCTGTGTTCCGCGACGCAGAACCACCACCCAACGGGGGAGATGAGCGGAGTAGTTGTCATATGCCGAAATTTGGGAGCGGACATGAAAGAAAGTTACGCTTGAGGGAGGGGGCCTGTTTCGAATCAACATGGTCCTGCGTGAAGAAACTTGATTTTACGGGTACGTTTTTTTCTCTTGCCTCTTTCACTTTCCCTCCACATAATGAAACACCCATTTGTAGATATGAGGTGTAGTATAAGACACGATTGAATGCTAATCCGGTATCCGTGTTAATAATTGCCAGATGGCTGGTGAATTGCAGAGAGAAACAAACTATACTATTTATGTTACACTTTGCATTCTCCGGGAATCGGGTAACTGGAAAATCCTAACAGGCAGGTCGGCTAATAAAACTATAAGGAATCCGAAAACCGAACGTACACCACTTCCTTGTGACAAATTCACTAAGGCAATATTAAAACAATTGTAGCCCCTTTCTCACTACCTGCGCCTGTCAATTTCATTTTCCACCTCAGGGTTGTAGGAGAACATAGGAGTTGGGTTCAAGGATTGAAAGTTCACACGAGATACGAGGACAACGGGGGGGGGGGGGGGGGTTTCAGTGGGGTAAATCGCGAAGGGCAATAGATAAAGTCATGAGCATAGGGGATTTATTCTATGATACATAATACATGAGGGAAGCAAACGACTAGAGGGTTTTGTACATGTGCATACGTAAGGGAAGGGGGTATTTTGCCAGTGGGTTCGGTATCTCACACGAATGACTCGTAACTCTGGATGGTGCAAAAGGCGAAAGGAGTGCGGGTGAGGTGTTAAAAAATACATACGTTCACAAAGGGACACAAGGCAGAGACATAGGGAAAACGAAAGTATGGTGATAATGTCCACTTGAGATATGTCGTTGCCGTCTCCTATTCACGGAAACGTTTGAACTGATCACCCGCCAAACAAAAGGGCTGAAGATAAGTCAATAGGATAAATAGTTAAAGTCTGCAGTGCTTCCCTAGTAAAGACGAACCCACGCAAATGGCGGTCCGCTAGTGAGTAGGGGAGACGACATCACGGATGTAGAACATGTGGCATGGTCCGGAAAGACCAGTCCGTTTTAGACGCGTCCGGCAAGGTAAGGTCAACGGGTGGGCAATCCGGTTGTGCCGATGAAGGAATTGCAGGATACCTAGTTAGAGATTTCATACTTCGCCCATGATTTGGATTGTGCCAACGGATGGATGGTGTTCGTGACTTCGTTAAACGCACATTAAATCCAATGAGCAGGTTGCTTGAAGGTTTTGTTTGGTAGAAGGGATAAGGGGCTGGGAAGTGGCCAGGAAGATTGGGTTGGAGTCGGATACATTGAGGTAGATTGAGCCAAAGGAGATGACGTCTCATTTGGGGTATTTCTGTCACCCTTCAAAACCACTAGTGGGGTGGGTGGAAGGTCAACTTCCATGCCGGTTGGTTGGGCACGTATTTTCCTTATGGGACTTAATCGGCGAGAATTTGGAGGGTCAATTTCCAATCCTGGTGGATTTTGCCTCAAGGGTGATATTCTATTAAGGTAACCACCACTTCGGCTTATAGAAGGAGTGGTTAGCAGGTTAGCTAAGGGTTTTAGGTTCATATGTGAATCTTTAAAACGCGGGGATCTTGGAGTGTGGTTTTCAGCAGACGGATAAATGGACGTTTCTTCTGTTGGAGTCGGAGAAATTCCTAAACTTATTGTTGACGAGTTGTGGCTTTGAAAGTGGGCCGGCATCGCAATGTTGCTCAACCTAAGACCTATTTGAACTGTGGCTGCACTAACTTCGGAGGAGAGGCGTCGATGACGGATATAAGATGGTCGAGGCGGAGCTAACATGTCTTCGCGACTATCATGGAAGTTTAGAACGGATGGCTTTGTGATACGGGGGGAATCTCTGGTGGGGAAAAGAGAATAGCTAGACGGTTTTCGGGAATGTAGGGCGGGTGGGCGTGGTATAGAGATTGGGTTGAATGGAAGGCGTTTAAGACTCCTCGTTTTCGGTAGCTGCTCGTCTTTGAGGTCATCCTCGTCGCTAGAGAGATGGTTTGTTTTCTCAAGGTACGATTCGTGCCATTTCTCAGCAACAATAGGTTGGTTGACTTGTGTTGCCAGAGCAAGTTCTGTTGAACCGAACCCGTTTGAAAGATCTTTCGACCATGCGGAGTCTCCTGGGCCGATCATCATGTTCCTTCCATTTGCGCGGAGGAGAAGGTAAATAAATGCATAAACTACACCAAATAGATTCAAAGCTATGGAACCCATCACCAGCGAAGAACTGCTCGCTCTGTGCAAAAATGCACCCTGTACCCAGAAAGGGAGGACGAGAGTCTTTATGTCGTCAGCAAAATCGGTCGAAAATTATGAGGAACGAAACCCTTTTGAGCACTTACAAAGAGGATGACGGTGCCAGCCAGGTAATACACAATACTACTTGCGGCAATCCTATCCTTCACGTCAAGCTGCGCAGTTCTTCTTAGTCTCATTGATAAAATGGTCCCATTCACGACCATTAAGACGATCAGACTTATTGTCAACGCCAGACCGATATCAGACCAGAGCATAGCCCAGTGTAACAGAGTTGCCAAACACCTGTCCCTTTTCTGCTCCCTGATTTTCGAAGGTATCCATGTCAAAAGAAGCATGAAAGCTACAATCGCCCAGCAAATAAGGGAATTCCAACGCCGTGTAGCCGCAAATTGAGGGGATCTGAAACTCCGGTATACTGCGTCCGAAGTAAAGGCTAAAACGACGTAGCCGATAATCCACACGGCTTCAATGCAGAGAATTAGCCATGTGTGAACGCCCTTCCGGAACAACAATAGTTACCTGTCCAAGTAATTTGTGACGAAACTAAGCATCCGTTCGCAAATGACTGTTCGAGCCCAGTGCTCTGAACGCCTATCAATATCGAACTTTGCAAAATAGACGCAAGCGAAAGCATTAGGGGAAGGGTATTGGCGGGGGGGACATGACGTAAAAAGTCGAATCGTCTCCTAAATAACAGTGTAAGTATAATGAATTTATAGGGAGGGGGTTGGGCATTAGAGTTGCTAACCTCGTATGCGGTCGATAAATTCTTCTTGACAACTTCCAGCTACCGTACATAACGCTCAATATCACGAAAGTCGAGGCAGTCACGCTGAATGCGGCTGTTATGATGATAGAGGAGCGATTTTGAAGATTTAGTTTCAAGAATATGAGGGTAACCAAGTGGCTAGCCGCAATATTGCCTCTCCCATGCCCTCTGCCAGAATGGGTTCCATTGCTGAATTGGTTCATCGCATTTCCAAACCCTTCTCTGAACCCATGTCTAAACTGATGGTGTTCATCGCCGGAATATACTGGCTGGCCCATGCCAAGGGATCGGTGCGAGCCTAAGACCGTGAGAGAGAGAGATTTAAATCAAATATGGATACCACAAAATGTGTGCAGTCGTGACGACGCAAGGCAAGAGAGAGTAAAGAAGAAAGGTAGGCAGCATTAAGAACGAGAAATGAAATGGAACAGTGCGGGCTCAGTTAGGGGAAATTCAATCAAAATTGCGGGGTGAGATTGCCACAGCCTTCTCAGGACAGTGGTCTGTCATGGAATATATTTCAGGAGGAATCCTGCCCTTCCTGATCATAGTGAGATAAAGGGAAATCCGTAAAAAATAGGGAACAGAAGTGGACACATCGAGTACGAGGGGGATATGACAGCTCTTCTCCAACATGGCGGATATCAGCCACTCCGGAGGGCGCGGAGGCTTTGGACACCATGGCGATCAATGACATTTTCTCAAGCATTCACAGTTTCAGCGCCAGTCCTCCCAGGAGAGCAATCATTCCAAAATATACCAAAGGAGGACTTTGTCAGGGGCAAATCCAGCCAACAGGATCTAAGCGAGGTAGCCCGCGAAACCTCGATCTAGCCACACTCGACATGCTGGGAATGGTGAAAACCAGAATGGATCCTCTGGTGCCCTGAAGAATACTCCATTGCCTATGCGGGCGGACGGCAAAGTTCTTGGTAAGGCAGAATTGTTCGAAAGTTCATGCTGGATGAAACCGAAGCTGTGTGAAGTTACGGTTGGCTCTTAGCTTGAATCGGAAAGCTTCCCCAGTCAGCCTCTAGTTAACTGGTTGATCGGACTCGAACGTCAGAAATATAGACATGTAAATTCCACACAACACAAATAGAAGCAGCAAGCGAAAGGTTTGAAGATTGGTTACCAGGATCGCAAGCTCATTGGTGAACATTCTATACTGTGTATGTGAAGAGATGTTTTCCACTGTGAGGTGAGAGAAGGGAAAAATGGTGCAATATATCTAAAGGTTAGGGCTTGACCTGAAGACTGAACAACCATTGCAAGGGGTGAGCGGCTAGCAAGATATTAATTACCACGATTGCTTCAATGTACTCGTAGCTAATCCCGTGCGGCGAAGCTGAAGCTATAGCTTCCACAACCAACTTACCGTCCCACGTATTTTTAGTATAATCTGGAAGGGCGAGGGCGAGCGATGACAAGGTCTATATTGAAACCGGATTCATTAAGCCTTCGAGGTTATATACAATATGTTTACGCCTCCCATCTTGTATGTCCGCCTGTCCCATCCTTTCCATCATGAAAACATCCATCCAACAGTAGTGGGTATCAATTTCCGCATGTGTCCACAAAACTAAAATCACAGACTGCAAAACCCCCTCCCAAAAAAAAGTTGCAAAGTAACTCATCGTAAATCATCCCCAACCAGACACGCCCCTACCAGGATGTACCACTACGATATAAGTTCGCTGGCCTCTGCATCTCCATATTGCTTTGCTGCGATTGGCCCGTATCCGAATTCGGCTCTCGCGGTGTATACGCTGGTGGCGGTTGATCTACTTCGACAGCGGAGGGAGAGGTGTCGGTTTCCATGACTTTCCTCCTCTTACGACGCACAAAGCATCCCAAGCATCTACGTGGGGTGTGCGTAATGTCAGCGCGGACATCGCGAAGGGCAAAATGTATATATATAGGAAGTTAACGAATTGGGGTTCAAGGAGAAGGCCAGCAACACGCACACAATCAACACCAATAATCCGATGAACACACCTACGAGTGGCCCAAGGATGTCTTTGTCGGGACAGTAGTGACTGCGGCCAAACTTGTCTCTGCATCTGTGTGGTTTTTATGTTGTTAGATGTAGAAATGTTTGCCATGCTGATCCGGGGGGTTTTTGAAAAGATGGAGAGGGCAGGCAGGGGTTCATATATGTTATACCTTCTGGCAGTTTGTCGAGGATATGTGAAGGAAGTTGAAGATGGTGTGGACCAATAGTCATCCATGCTGACGATATTCTTTTTCAAATATGCGTCCCTTTTAAACTGGGGACAATAGCCCGCCGGGAATTTGGGGGCAACCTTATCGTAATATAATCGCAGCGCTTTTATACGCAATTCTCTCGCCGCGGAAATTCAAGCGCAACCCAGTGCAATTGTGTCATTGTTGTAAAGCTTCGCCTAGCCCCCATTCACCGTATACAACAAGCCAAGGTCGAGATACATCCGGTTCGGGGATATATCACCGGCGGGAATGCTCTTGTCAGGCTGGGTATGTCTTCTTGGAATTGCTAGCCAAGTCGGGCGATATCATGGCTGTACTCCGTGCCAGCGAGTCAGCGTTTGCAGAATTCAAAAAGTGGATATGTTTTCCCCGACGATAATACGAGTTGTCCCTCGTCTGATTTAACTAACTGCGTAGAGAGGTCTACGCCCTACCTGGAACATTGACAAGCGCTGCTGATTTTTGCGAGAGTCGAACATGTCTTGAAGGTCACCACGGAAAGTTCAAGATGACAACTTTCTTCCGTGCAGTTGTTGGTTTATGAACCACGTTCCTTTCAAAACGTGAAGGATGAGAGAAGAAAATATAAGGTGATAGATAGACACAGTTGGGCCCCCCACCTGTCTCTTTTCCAGAATAAATAGAATGACTCTGTTAAAAAATTGCAAGAGGAATCTTGCTGCGATGACTTCGTTCGAAATTTTTATTTATCCACAAAGTTGGTCGACCACCTATCGACTACTAACAGTAGTTTCTATAGGCGGCGTAAAACACAATATAGGCATGAAGGGGACGGTTACGAGCAAAAGTCTGGGCTTGAGCTGTAACTAATTGGTCTAGGGCTTTCGAAGCACTTGGCTGAGGCCAATGGTACTAGTCAATAAGGATGGCTGTGATGAGTGAGGTATTAGTTTTTCCTTTTTTTTTTTTTTTTTTTTTTTTTGTTAACAAGATATCGCACATGTGGAAATGAAAACTTCCGGGAAATCAAATCGAACCGGTGGAACGTTATAACTATACATAAACGACCAGGAGAGATAACATACAAGATGGGTAGGTACGTTACAGCACAGCCTCGTGCAGTACATTGATTGAAGTAGGATAGCTGTATTTTATGTTATTTTTCCTCCCCTTTCAACTTCTTACGTCGCGTATCATGACATGAGTTAGTTAACTCAACTAGTTGTTCAACAGAAAGAAGGAGAGGGGACCCGGACAGCATCACCCTCCACATCTGCCCCCTGTGTAAAGCCCCTCAAAACTAAAGCCCCAACATAAAACACCCCTACTTCCTCTGCCCATACGACTTCGTGGCATAATCGCCCGCATGCACAATCAAATCCTCCGGCCTATAATCATACTTTCCGGAGAAGTACGACTCGAGAATCGCCTTCGTGCCCGCCGCATAGCGCACCTGCGCATCGATGGAGCTGCCGGACATGTGCGGGACCATGGCGTTCCCGCCACCCCAGGGCCCCTGCGCGTAGCGCAGTGGATGGTCCTTTGGCGCGGGCTGCGGAAACCACACATCGCCACCGTAGCCGCGCAGGTGGCCTGATTTGATGGCATCGGCGACGTCTTCTTTCACGACTATGGCGCCGCGGGCGGTGTTGACGAGCCAGGAGCCTGGTGGGGTGGGGTGGGGTGAGGGCTGTTAGTTGCTGGAAGTTATGCATGGTAGTTTTGGGGGATTGGGCATACCCTTCTTCATCTTGGCGATGAGATCCTTGTTAAACAAACCGCGAGTCTTTTCGTGAAGTGGACAGTTGATCGTAACAACATCGCACTGGGCAAGCATTTCCTCAAGAGTGTCTACACGGCGGCATCCGATCTCCTGCTCCACAGCCGGAGGCAGTGGTTGGTAGTCATAGTACAGCAGCTCCTTGCAGTCAAACGGCTTCAGTCTTCGCAGAACGCGCTCGCCAATCCGGCCCACGCCAACGGTGCCAACGACCTTATGCTCAATGTCGTACTCGTTCTTCGCCACCGCAGCTACGTCCCATTCTCCGCTCGCAACTTGCTCGTGTGCGGGCACAAAGTTGCGGACGAGGACAAGGATAGTCATGAGGACATGCTCGGCGACGGAAACGACATTGCATCCCGTCACTTCGGCAACGGTGACGCCGCCGTTTGTCTTGTTGGCCGCGTCCAGGTCGACATGGTCAGACCCAACACCGGCCGTGACGGCAAGTTTTAGGTGCTTAGCTTTAGCCAGGCGCTCTGCAGTCAGGTATCCTGGGTGGAATCTAGAGTATGGTCTCTGGTTAGACGAATATGGACATAGAGCAAGGCGGGCTAGACAGCCCATATTTGCTTGAAATTTAGAGCTCGATGCTAGCCGGTGTTTGCATTTGCAACATACGGAGTAGTGATGATAACCTCAGCATCGACGAGCTCCTGGTCGAATTTGGAGTTGGCACCATCTTTGTCCGAGGTGGTTACAAGGGTATGGCCCTTCTCCTCCAGCCACTTCCTCAATCCCAGCTCATTCTCGCTGGCTCCGAGCAAGCCAGGCTGGTCCTTCGCATGTCGTCCTCCCTTGAATTCATCATATTAGAAATGAACAGTTTACATCTTTCAGGTACAATGATGCGGGCCAAGACTGCAAGCGTAACGTGGGAAATCAGCTTACATCGTACAAAACCAACAACACTTTGCCCTGAAGTTTAGGACTCGCAGTTAGCGTTCTCGCTCCAATCAATGATGGTAAACGGGACAATGGCCCGTATGACTGCGTATTGTAGCCAGGGAAAGGAGCGGAAGAGCTACGGGGAAACCCGCGACCTATAAACAAGGGGGACGCAGTGCGGGAGAGATGGCGAGGCAAAAAGCGAGAAAATACCATTGTGGCTGCTACAGGGCAGATTTGAAAGACAAGGTGATCCTTTTTGTTCACTTTATACCACCAACCAGCCTCGATAGAGAAAGATGAGGTGCCGTGCTGTTAGGGATAGTTGGTGAGCCGATGTGTAAGGAGGACGCAACTGTGCTTAGTCAGGGAAACCCATACCTTGGGAGTGTTTCGAAGTTCAAGTTGCAGGTTCTATCCGTGAGAGGACATCGACAGGGCGGGGAGTATCAGAAAGATCTAGCGCAAAAACACCTGAAGCCTACTAATTTCCTGTATACCTGTATGCTGTATGCAGGAGCGACGAGAGAGACAAAAAGCAAAGAAAACGAAGCCATCTGGGAGAATGGCCTAGTTTATATAGTCTGCAGCATCCAATTATTATTAGTTCCCCCCGCATATAGCAACGATGCTTCAGGAATTGCAATCAGGCGCACTGCACTTTATTTCGTCCCTCCCGGGTGCATTTGCAGAGAAACCCTCGCTATCCACGTCAGACATCCAACTATCTCCCCACAGGCATTCAACAAACTATAGCCCAGCGGCGATCCCCGTCCCTGTAACACTCTCACACCCTCCAGAACGTCTGAGAGGAATTCAACGAGGGCCCCCGTGAGGTCTGGGCCGGTACCAGGGATCGATGGGCTCTACTCCAGTACTTACGTGGGGTTTGATCGTCCGACCCATTGCTCCGAAACAGGGTGATCCATCCATCGAGCCTAGTTGAGGATTGGATATGGACACTGTCTGCTCCCGGTGGAAAAGAACAGACTTACTCTCAAAAGAGGGGAAGCATGAATTGTGAACCCAGCCTGTTCTTGGAACGTGCCGACCAGCCAACCAATCGATCACTCAATCAGCTTAGCAAACAACCCCAGCGGTTCACAGACGCCTTCAAGACAGGATACTATCCCCCGTCCGATGCAATACATGGATCCTGTGCCAACAATCGTGTTAGCTCCCCATGATGCTGATTCGCCCCTCCCCCCGCTTTCCTCTCAACGGGCAGCCTGCGCCTCTGCTGGGATGTGGGATGTGGGATGTGAGATGCCCGGTTGGGAAACGGCGCTACGCAGGGCAGTTCGACTCCAATGCCGTCCCGTGTAATGAATTATCAGGTTTTCCGTGGTCGGCAAAACTATGTTCGACTGTGGAGAGTGGAGAGTGGAGAGCCTGCGGTTGATGCCGCGTGAGGGGAACCGATTATATAATGCGGGGTACGCGCGGGGAAACTTTTCCAGACTTCCAGACCCGCGACCTTTCCTTTTCAGGTAAAGTCACTCGAATTCATCCCCTATGTTGACATCAAGTACCATTGGGCTAAGGGTTTCCCCTCCTCTCCCACGCCAACTTTTATTTGGTGCACCGATGAACCTGCCTTTATCCATACAAGCTGCTAGCACATATAAGATTCCTATGTCTAACTCGTAGTCTCGACCATGGCGGCAAGCTGCACCCGTCTCAACCGGTTTCGCCCATCAGGTCAAGAGCTACTGATACAGCTGAGATAGCATAATAGGATCCACAAAGGTTCCTCGATTGCCAATTGGATTGCACCTTCCGCTCTCCTCGATGTAGCTTGCAAAGAATGGTGCCTTGTGATCTTTCCATTTCTCGATCGGGGTGTGCCTGAGGCGGGAACGAATACATACTCAATAATACGCGAATGGATCGGAACCTGGGAGAGAGAACATCATTGCGAATCAGAAGTCCTGACGGCGAACTGGGACAAGAGGACCTGCTTTCCTTTACTTTTATTTACTTTTATTTTATTTTTCGACAGTTCAGATCGTCGTGGTGGTGGGGCTGATCAGCAGCTCGGCATGGCCTGGTTGGAAGGTTTTTCGAATTTGATATAATTGTCGTTTTGCTTTGTCGTCTTTTTTTTTTTTTTTGGACTCTTTTGATGATGTGGCCATTTGCCGCCTGCCTCCGGCCATGAATTGAGGGTTAATATGAAGCCAGTAGAACGGATTTGAGACAAACTTCATCCTGTAAGCTATCAGGCAAGTGTGCCAACATTCGTTGTTTCAAAAAGAATGAAACGTATTTGGATTCGCTCAGCGAGACTTGGAAGATATGTTGATCTTTGGCCCTCTAATAATGCACCTGGTCTCATGAAAAAGAAGAAGAACGCTGCCGGCTAGAAGCCAAGTAGACCAAAAAAAAAAAAAAAAAAAAATCGACACCGTTCGAACAGGTCAATCAAAGCATGTAAAAGTAGGCGAGATGGGTATCGCGAAAATGCGGATATTATTCCCACCCTAAAGCAAGCGTCAGAGAGAGTGTCACCAGAAATGAATATGAAAATAAAACATATATAAATTAAAACAAAATAGCGTTAGTATCAGCTACCACCACCACCACCACCACCACCACCAACTCGAGCCCGCCTATCATCCCCATCCTCATCGTCACTATCATCCATAAACCCTTCCTCAAGATCCCGACTCAGCCGCCGGTCCGTATCTATGCTGCTGTGGACGTTATGGTTGTTGTCACCACCACTTCTCCGCCCATGTTCCAGTGCCTCCCGTCTCGAGGAATCTATCTCGAACCCAACCATATCCTCCCCCTCTTCGTCATCAAAGACGCTGCCCCCGTCGTTATGTGCGCCAAATATTTGTCGCTGTCGCCACGAAGAAGGGAGGAGGAAGTGCATCAGTGCATCGGAGGCACGTTCGCGGAGGCTGGATGCGTGAGCGGAGACGGTGTGGAGGGGGAGGTATTGGGCGTATCGTTGTCGGTAGCGTCGGATGAAGGGGATTAATAGGAAAAAGAGGAGGAAGTAGGCGGCGAGGGAGATTAGGGCGGGGACTAGGAGAGTCTATGGATACGGGGTTATTGTCTGGATGGTTTTTTTTTTTTTGTTTCTTGCATCTCTTTTTTCTTCTCTCTCTCTCTCTCTCTCTCTCTCTCTCTCTCATTTTCTTGCCGAGAATTAGTATGTAACGAACCTTCGCCATTTCCAGCGAACCCGCCATTATTGCGAAATCATGTGTTTACTTGAGATAGATAGCTAGATAGCTACTATACCGCAGAGGACGTAGTAGTAGCCAACAGAGCGAGCACAAACCACAGAGCGTCAATGCGGAAGGTTCCCGGGTGGGATTTTGGCAGCGGTTTGGGATACGTTTCAACAGCGCATTCCTAAGGGCAGAAACAACAAAGAAAAGCAACAATTCTATGCAACAGATAATGAGCACATGCCTCTGGGTCCCTGTAGGGTCCCGTTGACTTCTGTTTGTTGATGCCGAACTGGATACGACGGAGGTTATTATTCGTTGCTGAATGCTTGGTTGAGGCTCTAGAGCGGACAGGGGCCGGATTATCTCGCTGGCCGACACGCCCATCACGTGTCTTTCCCTTTAACTGCATCTGGCCTGGACTGGGCGCGCCCGATCTTGGAAACCCCCCTGATAACCTAACCTGAGGATTGAACCTGTCTGTTTGTCCATGATCAAAGCGTTTTGGGCGGACAGCAAGCCACCACCTGCGCAGTTTCTTGTTTTCTGCGTCCGACCCTGTTGGTGCCCTGGTTCTCCCTGTTTTAGGTTGGAGAATAAGCTGCCCAACCTGTTGTGATTTGGCGAACGCCCCAAACATACTAGTCTCTCGCGGGATTTTAATGACATCGACGTCGATACGAATGAAGATACTACCTCCATATCAGTACCTGCACTAGTGTCCCCGAAACCATACTCCCGTCCTTCATGACCCGTTGGCGTGACGATAATCTGTTGTCTGTGTTTCGATATTACGGAGGAAGGACAGGAAGAGTTCGAAAGGTTACCAGGAAGCCTCGTTGCGGGAGGCTGATACATGCATGACATTGCACCCCGACAAACACGACCCCACATATATACACACGCATGGACGTATAAACATCGCCATCACACTTGTTGAATCTGCAGAGGGGGCGTTCTCACTGGCAGGATTTGTACTCCCAGGTCCTGCTTTAATGTCGCAGCTTTCCTTTTGACCGCACCCTACAAGATCTGTCGAAATGCCTACTCCTTCTATTTCCTCAGATAAATCTCGACAGTCATCAGCGGGCAAGTCATTTTTCGGAAGAAAATTACATAAAGATCGTCCCCCGGATCCTCGGTTTGAAGGCAACGGCTTGGAGGTATTTGGGGCCAGCGGCTCCGCGGCTGGATCACGCTCCTCCCGCCATTCCAAGCACGAATCCATACATTCGGTGGACATACCCTTTGACCACCCCGGTATGTCATCTGGTGTTATCACCGCTATCCCTTATGATAGCGTGGCAGCAGACCCCAAATCTCCTATCCCTGTTGACTATCTCCCTCAACAACGAAAAGAGCCTTCCCCTCATCACCTAAATAAACCGGGCTTTGACCCGCACCAATATCCGTCGTGGAATGGCCAACAACCATCGAATGGATCCTCACATCCAAATGGCCCAAGACCCCCGCCTAGCTCCAACACAACTATGGCCGCAAGCCATACGGGGGATAAGGGAACGAAATACCAGCAATGGGGTGGCCCAGGCAACGGCTATCCTTCCTACTCAACTCCCGATTCGTCGACGAATTCCCGCACATCCCTAGATCAGAATAGCATTTACTCCTCCATCTCGTCCGCCCAAACCTCCTATGACCCATCCCTCCGTCCATACACCTCCCAGTCGAATGAACGATATCCACTATCTTCCGCGCACTCAGCTTCCAGATACTCCTCCATATCCCAAACGCAATACTCGACTCCGGGTTCCGCATTTGCGTTGGCGGTTGCTTCTGATGGAAACTTTAGCCAACCAAAGGATGATAGAATTGTTGACCAGATGTTCTACGAGCTAATGATCAAGAGAGGATGGCAGAACTTGCCAGAGCAAGCGAAGCGGCAGATGCTGGCATACCCGGCCTCAAAGAAGTGGACGCTGGTGCATCAAGACCGTTTGACGCAGGCTCAGGGCGACAAGAAAAAGTCAAATTCCCGACTCACGTATGGCTATCCTGATGGCCCCGCCGGTCTTCTCTCGAGAGCAGACGAAGATGGGAGCCCTGAATGGTATGTGAAGAAGGTAATGGATGACTCAATTAGCACGAAACAACTACAAAGTCTGAGTGTCAGTTTGCGGACGCAACCAATAAGGTACTTGATGCCCCCCTTTGCTTCCATTCATAGCTTTTATATGCTGACGGTGATGTGATCCAGCTGGGTACAATCATTTGTGGAAGCCCAAGGCCCAGTTGCCCTGGCGAACGTTCTCAGCAAAATTAACCGACGAAAGGCCTCCGGACCAGCTCCAGCTACACCGGCATCGGGCGACAGGGATCTCGATCGCGAATATGATATCGCGAAATGCTTCAAGGCATTAATGAATAATAAATATGGCGCCGACAATGCTCTGGAGTGTCAACAAGTCATTATCGCACTCGCCAATTCGCTGACATCGCCACGTCTTAACACGCGCAAAATGGTCAGTGAAATATTGACGTTTTTGTGTCATTGGGCCGAGGGCGAGGGCCATCAGAAGGTTCTCCAAGCGATGGACAGTGTTAAAAGCGCGAGAGGGGAGACCGGTCGTTTCGATGCTTGGATGCGCATTGTCGAGGTCACTATAGACGGACGAGGGAAAATGGGGAGCCTTGTCGGCGCCAGCGAGGAATTTCGAAGTGGGGGCATTGGCATGGAGAACTTGCTTATGGACTACGCTCTCAATACCCTTTTCTTAATCAATATGATCGTCGACGCGGCAGAGCGTGATCTCCAGCTCCGCTGCCATATCAGGGCGCAGTTCACCTCCTGCGGGATCAAGCGATTGCTGGTAAAAATGGAAGAATTCCAGTATGAGGCTATCGACAAACAGATTGAAAAATATAGGGAAAATGAAGCCATTGATTATGAAGATCTCCTCCAGCGGGAGAATAGCAGTATGAAGGACAGCATCGAGGGGGAGGTTACTGATATGAATGACCCCGTCCAGATTACGAATGCGATAGCATCTAAAATAAAAGATGGCCGTTCACAGGATTACTTCCTCTCTGCAATGCAACACTTGCTGCTAATCCGAGAGAACTCGGGGGAGGACGGCGTGAGGATGTTCCAGCTCGTGGACGCCATGCTCAGTTATGTGGCTATGGATCGTCGGCTGCCGGATTTGGATCTTAAGCAAAGTCTAAATTTTACAGTCCAGAGCTTGCTCGATAAGCTACATACGGACGCAGAGGCGAGGCGTGCATTCGATGAGTCCCTTGAAGCTCGACAGATCGCAGACGCCGCCATTGCTGAGAGAGACGAGGTGAAGGCGCAACTTGAGCTTGGTGCTGATGGGCTAGTCAAAAAGCTTCAGAAGCAGATTGAAGAGCAAACCGATATCATTAATCTCCAGTCACGTCAGAATGAGGCCTTGAAAGCGGAACTAGCTGAAATTCAGCGGCTGCGGGGCCAGGAATTGCAGCGGAATGAGCTGGAGACTCGCGAATTGTATCTCATGCTGCGTGATGCACAGGAAGTTGCTGCCTCCAAAGCGCAGAAGGGGAATCTAGACAAACTTGGTGACACTGATCCGACTCAAATGAATGGCATTCTCGATCGCGAAAAGCTTATGAATCGGCTCGAGAAACAATTGGAGCGAACAAAGACGCAGTTCAAGCTTGAGGGTAGAGTTTGGCAAGAGGGTGGACCATCGGATAGGCTCCGTGAGTTGCGCGAGCAAATGGATGGCGATGTTGGATTTGGTGGTGGATTCGACGAGGAAACCAAACGCAGTTTCACCAATAGCACTTTTGGCGCTGTTTCCCGGAAACGAAGCCAGGGCGCTAATAAGAAGGACGTTGAAGAGGAACAACTTTCTGACCTTGGCGAGGAGGATGGTGGTGACGAGGGTGTTGTGGAACGGCCGCGATTAGTTGAAATCAAACGGCCACGCATGAACCCTGAACAGGCAACGGGATTGTTGGGAGAAATCGCGTCCAGAGTACAAAAGATTGATGATAGTGATGATGAGAAAGATGGTGAAAAAGATGCAATCGAGAAGCCTAAGGTAGAAGATGCTGTTCCTCCTGGTCCTCCGCCGCCGCCCCCTCCCCCGCCTCCTCCAGGTGTCGGTGCGCCTCCGCCTCCCCCACCCCCACCCCCACCTCCCCCGCCTGGTATAAGTGGCCCACCTCCACCTCCACCCCCTCCACCTCCTCCTGGTGTTGGCGGTCCTCCACCACCCCCGCCGCCTCCTGGCATGGGTGGACCACCGCCTCCTCCACCCCCTCCAGGCGCAGGTCCCGGAGGCCCTCCACCCCCTCCCCCTGGAGCAAGTATGGGCGGCTGGAAAAAGACGTACCTACCTGCGGCAGATGCACCTGCAGCCACGATTGGGTTACCATTCATCCGACCGAAAAAGAAGTTAAAGGCACTGCATTGGGAAAAGGTTGATTCTCCTCAAGTAACAGTCTGGGCAGCGCATACTCCAACGCATGAGGCGAAAGAAGAGAAATATACCGAGCTCGCCAAGAAAGGTGTTCTGGATGAAGTTGAGAGACTCTTTAAAGCCAAGGAGACAAAGGCTCTCGGCACCGGCACTGGTAAAAAGAAAGACAAGAAGCAAATACTACCCAGCTCTCTCATGCATAAGTTTCAAATCTCAATGGCTAAGTTTTCGGAGCTCTCAGCGGATGAGGTTGTGCGAAAAATCATCCACTGTGATCCTGATATCTTGGATAATAATGTTGTGATGGAATTCTTGCAGAAGGACGAACTCTGCAGCATTCCAGACAACACTGCAAAGGCAATGGCGCCCTACCGCAAAGATTGGACAGGCCCTGACGCTGCGACCTCAGATCGAGATCAGGACCCCAGCGAACTCACGCGTGAAGATCAAATTTATCTTCAAACTGCCGTTGAGCTTAACCATTATTGGAAAGCACGGATGCGCGCTCTTCAGCTAACTCGCACCTTCGAGACGGATTACGACGATTTGTCCACCAAGCTGCAGGAAATCGTTCGTGTTTGTGAATCTCTGCGTGATTCCGTATCATTGATGAATGTTCTTGGTCTAATTTTAGACATTGGAAATTTCATGAATGCGGCGAACAAGCAAGCTGTTGGATTCAAGCTTAGCTCTCTATCCCGCCTGGCTATGGTCAAGGATGATAAGAACGAATCAACATTCGCTGACCTGGTAGAACGGATTGTGCGAAACCAGTATCCTGAGTGGCAAGGCTTCGTTGATGATATTGGTGGCGTCATCGCTGTTCAAAAGGCCAACGTGGACCAGCTCCGTGCTGAAGCACAGTCGTATATCAACACGATCAAGAATGTTCAAGCCAGTTTGGATTCTGGCTCTCTGAGTGATCCGAAAAAATTCCACCCACAAGACCGGGCCAGTCAGGTTGTTCAACGGTCAATGAAGGATGCCAGACGCAAGGGCGAACAGATGCAATTGTACCTTGATGAGATGTCGAAGACATTCGATGATATCATGGTCTTCTACGGCGAAGATAGCTCGGATGAAAATGCAAGAAGGGACTTCTTCGGCAAACTGGCCGGGTTTGTCACAGAGTGGAAGGTATGTTTATTTGGTTTTCTTTTGGTTTTCTGTTGTTGATTTTATTTTTGATGCTCTTCCACCTCGAAACCCCCTCGGCCAGAAGCTGGCCATTTCTTTAAATAATAAAATCTGACGCTCGACTCTGCCATTCTATAGAATTCGAAGGAAAAGAATTTAGCTTGGGAGGAATCGCGACGGCGAATGGATGCGTCATTGGCACGGAAACGAAACAATGGTGCAGCTCTCAATGGCCGTGTAGACAATGCCGATTCGCAATCACCGGCGTCCAGTGGAGCCATGGACTCCCTACTAGAGAAGCTGCGAGCTGCCGCACCACAGGCGCGAGACCAACGCGATCGCCGTCGTCGTGCGCGACTAAAGGAACGACATCAGGTCAGGGTTGCATCCGGACAGAAGGTCCCAGACTTACCTACTGAAGCCGCCGAGAGAAGCACCGAAGGTGATGGTGATGATGCAAGCAGCGCAAACAACCGGGATCTCCTGAGCCCAGGCACAAAACCAGATGAATCAGCATCTTCAGTCAAAGAAACACAAGTATCTGAAGGTGAAGACATCGCTGATAGAGCTGCAAGCATGCTTCAGGGGCTTAGGAACGACACAGAAGGTGGTGCTGATCGTGCACGTCGCAGAGAGAGCGCTGAAGAAGCTAGGCGGAACCGGAGGTTAAGGAGGAAGACAGCAGCGGCTCACGGGAGCAAGGATGGCGATAACGCTGACGGGCCCTTATCGCCGGTGAAGGAGCCAGATTCCGCTGGAATTGAAGGAGGAATAGACGGACAGACTACTTCTCCCATTAGCCCAACTGCGCCAGATGATTCGCCACAGCCATCGGAAACGCCATCAATTGTTGTCTCCGGCACCAAAGATGCAGAGCCATCGTTAATAACAGAAGAAAAATAGCATGAAATACAGAAAGCTCGCAACCTCGGTTTCTCGTGACACGCCCGCCCTCTCATCAATTAATTAATTATCTTTGGCTTTGAACTTATTGGCTCGCTTCTTGCGGAGTTTGGACGTAGTTTTATGGACTTGATTTGCTTTTCGGCCACCTCGATATCTTTTTTTTTGTTTGTTGTGCATTATGATTATCTTTCCTTGTCCATCTCATAGCGGCATCCTTCGCGTTTTTGCATAGATATTTGTATATCTTGATTTGCATAGATATTTCTATAATCCTGCTGTGTTTCGTGACTGTTTGGTGGTATTTTCTTCATGGGTTATCATTTTATGCTCCCTTGCTTGTTTGCAGCGGGGTGGGGAATGAGGAAGGATTAACTAAAGTGGGGGAATTTATCTGTTTTCTTTTCTTTGCTTTTTGCCGGCTGCTTTTTTTCATCAATATCACCACCTGCATGATTCTATCCTACAGCAAGAGGTCAGTTTTATCTTTGCTGATATCCGTTTTATGGTTGTTTCTGTTCTCATACATACTCTCTTCTTCTATTTCATCCAGTTCCGCTCTATTTTTTTTTTTTTTTTTTTTTACTATTAATTTTTACTGTTAATTCCCGCTGTCCCTTTCTCGTTAACACCCCTATGCCTTATTGCTCCTAGTTTCTTTGCTGATTATGATTATTGTGTACTATTCTCTTGAAGATTTTCTCTCCGTCGTTGCCCCCTTATTATTATATTACCTTCCGTTCTCCTTTTTTTAATTCACGGCGCGCTCATTACAATATGTCACTTTTAAGAACAGAGAGGCATTCTTATCCGCACGGGTGGCTGACTGAAAGGATCACTCTTGCACCTTTTGTTTCTCTTTGTTTCTGGCATGGGAATAAGGAATTATCTCATCCCCATGCTATCTCCCACCTTTTTTTGCTTCTACACTCCTGGAACTTCTCCTATAATCCCCTGGATTCGTTTGATATGTGACCATGCCTTCTGCGTTTATTTGTGCCGAGTGCGGAGGATTAGTTGGCAGTTCAGCCAGTACCGTTTCTGCTCTAGGGGTCAATAAACTTATTTTTTTTCCCCCTGATCTAGTCAATCTCTCGGAAAGCGCCAAATCAAAACTTGCAAATGTAACGTAAAGGAAACCGTCAATAGAAATGATCACATGGTATATTGAAAGAAGTCTCGAAGAACCGGGTAAATCCTCGTTTCGAATCCATTTATTCAGTCCGCCGCACCACGGTCACCTGTGCTCGAGGACCTGTTTGAAATATTCCTTCTGCTGGAGCTGACTGGTAGAGCGCAAGGCCAAACATACCAGTAACTAGTTAATTACCTGACTCATTTTCTGTTGAAAAGCCGGCATTGAGCGGATAGGCCATCAACATCCCACAAGAACCACTCCAACTCGTCCATGGAGCTGATATTCGAACCAGCTGACATCAATGACATCACCAGAAACCGGGATGGGATGTTCGGTTTCCGCGCCGTGTCGAGCTTGTTCACTCGCCAATATTAGGAAATAACTACCACTGCAACTCCTGGAAAGAAAACGAAAAAAAAATGAACAAGGGGATTATTCTTACAGTCAAACCCAACCCAGCCTCCCCTGTCCCACCGCCCAGCCACTGGTACCTGTGAGGTACTTCCTCGATGTATCACATTGTCAACCTGGTGATACCCAGCTTGAATCGCGAACGTGGCTTGTTCAGGAAAAAAAAAAAATCCCCCTATCAGATCGGATGTGCCTCAGACTGCTCAGCCCTATGGATAACTATCTATGGATACCCATGATTTACACTGCAGGGCCCATATTACTCATATGTGCCAGCTGGTAGCACAGCGACCCAGCTCAGGTTGCCGGGGTTGGGGGCAGTTCTTCTAAATCCTGCAAGGGACAATCCTAGATATGGGAACTGCCAGCAAGCCGAGTCCTCCGGTGCTTCTCTTTAACCGATACGCGCGTACGTAAGAGGTGAGCCGTGGAAGATGCGGATTACGTAGAATGCTGCTCCGTATAATGATTGGAAATGACACCAGTCCGGCCATATTTCTAGCCAGGAATAACCAGTCATACTAACATCGGCGGGCTGGTTAAACTGATGCAACTCCTGTGTCTGCAGAATGTGTTTCCCGGGGTCCAGAATTAACGAGATTTGCTCTGTACACCGTTTTCGCAACAAATGAACTATGCCCTTGTGTGGAAGAGTGATACATGGGGCAAGTTGGGGGGTTTATATCTGGTACTCATTATCTCTCAGCTGCTGCACTGCCAGTACCCCCATAACACATAAAAATAAAAATAAAATTGTGGCTAGGGTAATCATCCACATAGTTCATCGACGTTCGCTTTCCAACATTTCAGCTTGGGATAAATGGACCTCCTTTATGTCCGTTTCAACTGATTTGGAGCTTATATCAACGGGCTTGATGCACGAGCTGCGGGAATGTAGGTCATCATCCGGCAAACATAAGTAAAATATGTTTCCATTCTCCATGTGACACAACTGCTAGGATTGCCTCCTCCATGTATTGTACATGTACAAGGGATTGCTGTGGCTGGCCATACGGTCCATTCATAACGAAACTGTTCAGGAATGGTCAAAAAGGGATCTCCCATTTCCATTCGAGGCCATGGCGAGCTGCAGCTACCATCGCGAAAGCCTGATTGACTTTCGGCACTCCGCGGGTTCCCTCAGCGGCCCGAACCTAGACCTACCATACAGATGGATTCGGTCGTGAATGACTCAATAAGTGGCCGATGGGCTGTGTTGCCTGGAGAAACTTTGCGAGATTCGCAATGGTGAAAGGTGAACGATTAATGATGGATGCCTGAGTCGTTACGACTTCGTGCCCAGCCTCAACTGTCTATCCGTGCCACGATGTGCCGTTGACTCCTGGATGAGAGGACTCACGCTTCGAGGGTATGACTCAATAACAAGGCATCTCCAGAATCTCCCAATTTACCTCCAGCATTGATGGTTTCGGTTCAGGGACTGTGAAGTCCGTCAGTCACCGAAGACTGTTATTTCTCAGGAAGGGGTAAGAGACTTCTCCAACAGCTTTCGTTGGGCCCTTGAGGATAATGGTTTCTTGCCACACAGGGGATTTTTCAGCCACATGCCAGGTAACTTTCGATCCTCGTATTATGCAGAGAATCACCCAAACATCGTATTCGGCAGTTAACCAGATCACGCTAATATGCTGCTCAACTCACCCACCCGATGGGAATCTTCCCACTCCTCCGAAGGGCACGCCAGTTAGTTTCACGGATTCTCTCAAAAGAGCTAGCTGTATAATGAATGACTCTATATTGGCATGCCCCGCAGGTGGTCTCGCCACGCAACCTCAATTTCTCCACCAAAAAGGAAAGAAAAAAGAGGGGACAGGGGGAGGGGAAGGGGGAGGAAGGAAGAAAGGCAGCAAATGGAAAAGAAAAACAAAAAGGGGCAAGAGAAGCAAAAATCGGGGGCGCAAGCCAGCTCTAATTCATCATTGCTTGCAAAATCCTCCTCTCTCAACCAAAGTGTACCGATGAACTCATCTCTGAGACTGTCTCAGTGATGTGCCACAAAGTATCCAACGCATCTAGATATACGTCCATACACCTGTTCCACGTGGCAGAGCAAAGATCCCCAGAGCGTGCCGTACATGCTGTGAGAGGCGTTTGTACCGCTCAATGACGCCTACTTTTCTTTTTCTTCTCTGCTTTGCTTCTAAAGTGTCGTACGGAATTGTTTATCCGGACGCACAAATGCTGGAAAACAATAACAAAATTGCCTGATAGAGCCCAATTTATAAATATTTTGGTAGTTAGTAATTATCACTATATATGTTCATTCATTGAAAGCCTATGGTATATGGATATTGGTTCAGTAAAAGCGTACAGAACCCGAGGGGCAAATCGGATTGGCCCCGTCTCAAGTTAGTCTTTTCGTGTTGTTTGTAGATGTTTCATATGACCTCAAAGCTGCTCTAAAGTGCATGGCGGGTAGCTACTTAGTGGAAGAGCTCAAGCAGGATCAAAATTATTCCATCCCCTCCCATGCGGCCATTAAAATAGTCGTTATCTATTGATTAGTTCAAATTTCCGCCGTTGTTTCAAAATATGTCTTTATGGACAAAGCAGAAAGACACCATATGCACTGAGCATGGCTAGACGAACTCTTCATTGTTGACATGACCCGTTTTGGCGTATTACCGGAGTGGGGAGGTTTCAGGTCCTCAGACGGTTAGTGATACGTTCATTGTCACTGCCCAGCAAATATAGAAAATAAAAACAAATGCAAATTGAAGAAATTATCTGGGAAAATTTTGCCTGTCTCTGAAGCGTACATGTCGTTTTCATTTGATTGTCTTTGTTTTATGATGCGATTGAATTAAGCGGCTTCCCAACAACGCCGTACGCGGTCGAAGCTGTATAAGAGCATTTATTTTCCTATAAAATGTGGTTTCATTTAGAAAATCTTATGGCGCATTTTCAAACGAACTTGGCAGACTCCGCATATTCTTTCCGTGTCCGCCAAACAAAAATAATAACAGCAAACGTCTCGTCCCCATAGTCGACCCAAGAGCAATGGTTGGTTCCCTCGGCAAACTGCTCAGTCTCAAACCCCACACTAATCTCATCAATCAAAGGGCAGCTCAACCAACAGTGTCATGACTGGCGTCCAGCCCTGTGGGCTACTGGTTAGTGGCCGCCCTGTTCGAGATTCGGCGCTCGGCAAGGCAGTTTCTTGCAGAAAACGATTGAATTTTCACACTGAGCGCGTTTGGTTTTTTTAGTATTATTACCTAAGAATCAATTTTGCAGTTATTCCATGGAGCTTTTGCCTCTGACTTTGTGCGTCTACGGGCTTCATCGGAAGTGATCCATTTCTTCTTCCTCTTTGGGTATCTTGACTAGTAATACGGTTCGGCATTTATTTCCTCATAATTTTGACATTTAATCTCGTTGGTCGACATGCATCCTCGCCTCGTTGAGTCATGTCAGTCCCCATCGTGTAACGAGTTCGTTCAACGAGTTCGTTAAACAACAACGGAGTAAGACGCTAACCCTGCTGCAACGAACGATGACTTGCCCGGACGTGGTGTAAATATGATCGTGAGTTTTCGCTCCATCCGTAACAAATACGCGATTTATGCCCACACAATGTGAAAACTTCGATGTGAGAAGCGCAGTTGCGATGACGAAAAGATGGAAGTAGGGCAAACCCAAATTAAACCTAGCGTATAACTTAATTTCATCTAGCTTTCTATTTTTAGTTTTAGACTCAGCCCCGTGACTTGGGGCTGAGAATCTAGGCTACAGTGGATTCACGTGATATCAAAGCAGCATCGGGTCTTTGTCTCTTGAAACCGAATTGTAATTCTTTTTTTTACCTCTATCTGTCAGGAGAGTTTGAATTTACATATTTCCGGTAAAACTCAATTTGACATGCCATAGACAATAAAAACGGAAAATATTTCGGGTTTTTGACTAAAACTCCCCGTCTAGCAAGCGGGATAGCAAGTTCTTATTTTAGACTTTGGTGCCTGGAGCAAGCAGAGCGGACTCCGAATCCGAATACCGATCGTTCTTGGGGGCTGCTCGACTGCCAACCGGTTGAAATGGCCAAGGTCAACTCGACCTTTTAAGGATTAGCTCTGTTATCGCCCTGAAATTCCCCTGTCAGGATCCTCAGAGTCCCCTGCTAGCGTCTTCCAGCCGCGGGGTCAAATGGAACAAGAAAGGATCAGTGCTTTCAGCAGGGCGGGAATACCGAGTCGCCCGCGGAACCCATAAGCCCCAAAAGAGGGTCTGAATCGTGGCTTGTATAGTTATCTGCCAGATTATTGCTTGGTCATTCGATCCTGGCCCATCTTGTCGCAGTTGGATGCACCGTTCCTGCTGAAGGAACCGTGTTGCATGACTTAGCGTGGCATGGGCGTGGGCGATCCTGCGGCTCGTTCGTTTGTTCTGGGATAACCTTTTTAGCTGAGTTCAGTTCCGATTTCCAATCGTTTTTGATTTTGCAATCTTTGTTTTCTTTCGGTCGGGCTGTTTCTGGATCATTTTGTGGCTGTTTTCGTTGTATCACGCATTTATTTTTATATTTTTCTCGGATGATTACTGACCGGGATTATGAAGTATTAGTCACAACGAAGATGATAACTAACCAAAGGATACCTTAAGATCCAGGTATCTGGTGTATCGATTTGTATCTCTCATTTGGCGTTTATGTGTGGCTAGGCAGGACTTTTTGTTTGAGGAAATGAAAACGGCGCTATATATATCTTGCGATGATTTCTTCCTTTCTGCCTGATATCCTCGTTTTTCTTTCTTCACACCAAAGCAGATAAACATATTTTTAATTTCTATTTCGAATTCTTTCATTCACCCAGATATATAATAATTCAGCATCTTTCTTTAAGCCTTGCGTCCAACTTTATAAAATACTTTTTGTTTGATTTTATCTCGAAACTTCCTTTATTGATATATTTATCATCTTTATCTGGACTAAAGACTCCAAACCAAAAGCCAGAGTCATATCGACAACCAACGAGAATACACCACATGGGCCGTGGAGGTTACAACTGAAGCAGCATTTACAACGTAAAGCAGCCCGGGGAATCCACGACCGAGTCAAAATCGTCTCGATCTCATTCCAAATCAATCGGCCGCAAATTAGAGTCATCAAAGCAACACCCACGTGCAACACAGACGCAACCTTTCGCGCAGCCTGCGCTCTATCCGAATGCAAACACCGATGGGACGTGGTGGTTACAACTGTCCTATCGAGCGATCTATATCCTCAAACACCATGACACAGTTATATTTGCAAGGACGGGGCGGTTACAATGACGTGAACGATGGCGATAACGACGATTCATAGCCGAAGCGTGAATGAGAAGAGTGTGGACGGAGGGGCAAGTCTTGAATTTGCGACAGGAAGTCAAGAGGAGGAAAGGCAAGATAGATTGGTGGGATAGACGTTCTAAAGCTCGCTTTACGACGCGACGACGGAGTTTTTGATTACGGGTTATTTTGCCGTTCTTAGATTTTTTTTTTGACGGAACTGAAACCTACTACACTCATTTGCCGACACAGAATCTGTGGGCGGTTTCATCGTCAGTATCTCGGCTGTTGTCACGAATGGAAGTGTGGGCCAATTGGTGGGAGGGAATACTTTTCGAATACAACTCCTAGAACATCCTCCACGTCCCCGCTCTCCCCACGACCCGTGATTTTCGCCAGACAATCGGCCGCGAACCTAAGATGTTCCGCCGCTGTTACAATATCGAAATTCACCTCAATTTGTTCAGCGTTTGCAGCATTATCAGGAGTTTGGCACGTTTGGGATAGAAAGTCGTTTAAGTGCTGGACACATTTTTGTAAATTAGATCTTTGTCGATGGGTGACTCCCAGCGAGTCTTCCCAGTATAATTTATCAAATTGCTCATTTCCATTATCCAATTCAGACGGCGTCGACATCCTTTTAAAAGTCCGAATTAGTTCCCCAAGAAATTTTTGTATGTTGCCGGGGTCGGCCTCTTTGGATACCTCGTTCTCGGCCTCCCTGCACGAAATTAGGAAAATCTGATCTTGGGTAAGGCGGGGTTCCACGGATGAGATTTCCTCAGTCAAGCTATCCACAAGTTCTTGCTGTGTTCTAGCCGTATAGGTGGTTGGAGAGTATTTGTCAAACTTGTTAACTGCCACAATCATGTGCTTCTCAAGGGCTATACAACTGCGAACGGCGTCAACAACTTCCGGCTCGAGGACCAACTTGACGCCAGTCCCGTTATCAGATTCCTCCAATGAAAGAACCACAATCACAACGTCCGATTCCAGTGCGCGTGCCTTGGCTCTTCGAATCCCTTCTTGTTCCACTGCACCAATGGGCATCGAGCCAGACCGGGCTATGTGGTCAGATCGCAACCCAGCCATATCCCCAAACTTGCAGAAATAGCCACCGATATCAACACCAACATCCACAATGTCCCTTGTAGTCCCTTCCTCACTGCTTACAATAGCAGCTTCTCTCCCGACAATTCTGTTCAGCAACGAGCTCTTACCAGCATTGGGGGCCCCGAGAAGCGCGATTCGAATGCCACTCCGTAATAGTTCGCCCTTGGAAGCGTTCTCAATGTGCAGGTTAATTTGTCGAACCAAATTACGAACTTCGCCGGTAATGGAGGACACGAAATCCTCGATTGACTCGTCGAAATGCTGATCCTCCGAGAAATCGATCAGCGCCTCCATCTCTCCGCGGGCATAAAGCAGCTGTTGTCGCCAACGCTCGTACCTAAACGCGAGAGAACCGCTCGTTCCTCGAACCGCTAAACGGCGCTGATGCTCGGTTTCCGCAGAAAGCGTATTCCCCAGTGCTTCGATCTGGGGTAAAGATAGACGGTCGTTGAGGAATGCGCGACGGGTGAATTCACCAGGTTCCGCGTACCGGATGGAGGGCATGGCGATCTTTTCGTTGGAGAAAGCCCCCGCGCATCGGGGTATTGCATTGAGGACTGCTTTTACCACGGCGGGTCCGCCATGGATGTGCAATTCAAGCACGTCCTCTCCCGTCACGGTATTTGGGGCTGGGAAGTGCAACACAACCGCTCTGTCGAGGATGGTGTTGACCGAGGGAGGAACGGAAGGGTCGTAAAGGGTGCGAAGAGCAGCAACTCGAGGGTTTGGGAGCGGCCTTTTGGGGCAGAGAGCGTCATAGATCTACCATGGAAACAAGACAGATTGAGCAAATACAACCAAGTGATCGATTGGGACCTTTCCTGCAACAGACCTGAACACAAGCTGGCCCAGATACTCGAACAATCGCAATGGCCGCTCGACCTGGGGCTGTCGACAACGCATAAATGGTCGACGATGGCTCACTAACAACAGAGCCTGTGGTCTGCCAGCGCCTGTCTCCGGGCTGACCCCGGACTCTCGGTAGGGAGGGCTTGCATGGCTGGCTTCCGTTAATGGAACTCAGACAACGAGATCTGGTCCATGGTGGGCCTGGGATGGATGCCCAACGAAGAGGCTGCAAGAAATATCTACGCATGCGTAGATGGATGGACCACAGCTGTGCTTCCTGTGATGTCGAAGGTTGCCAATTTGATTCGAGGTTGGTTTTGATGAAATTGGTCACATGTTTGCTGATTCAGCCAGGCCCAGTGATCAGTTTGGCTTTATATATTAGGTATTAGGCCACTAGGGCAAAAGTGCTCAATCACCACCAGCGCCGTGGTGGTATAGAGGGCACGAATCACCCAATCCAATCCCTCCAACATTATATAAAAGTAATTTAACTTGTAGTAATTAGTTGTAGTTATAGTATCACATGGTATTCAAGTGCATCCATTTATCCCTATTTTCCCACTCATCTACACCACTCTCTATTCTCTCATTCATTTTTTCTATCTTCTTCCTCACATGTTTTTCTTTATTGAGTGGAAATATTTGATTTCCAGATGTAATTTAATTAATTAGAGCTAGTTCTGCAATAAACAATGCAAACTACTAAACTACTTTTGGACTAGTAGATTTTGATGAGAAAGTCTCAATAGTTTCAAACTTATTGCGAGGCACTGCACATATCTATATGAAAGTTTCGAAGAAATGTTCAGGAAATGCTTTGAAATGAAATTACGAACACGACACAAGTACGACAATACTCAACCCGAAAGCTTCAATTAGGTTATGAACCAAATCAATATTAAATTTTCATAGTACTGCCAACAACATTAAGTTACAACAGAGTGCGGCGGCTTTCGTTTTAATCATGGCAACAAGCCGTACTAACCCAAGAACCAACCAGCTCTGCAAGGGACGCAGGAGGTAAATTATTAACGAAAGAGTGGGAAGTAAAGGAAAAGAAAGAGTTAAATATACAGGAAGTCAGGATGCAGCTATTTGCGATTTTGGTTAAACTGGACTTTCCTGAACAAAAAGGAGCCGACAAAAAGACTAGATGGCGCTGAAGGGTCGCGGGAAAGTGAATCGTTTCCCAAATCAGGCTCAGCGGCAGTTGCCAGCCACCAATCTCACAGGAGCGGGAGAGGTTGCACTTTCGGGAACAGATGCAGCCTACGAATATATCACGTCACGTAACGGGGTATGGCTCCCAGGAAACCGGGAGGGGCGTGACGATAGCGATGTAAGACGGTGTTGTTGAATCTCGAAAAAAGAAACAGAAATAAAACCCTCGCTCTCTGGAGCGGTGTAGCTCCGCAAAAATCAAATCTCTCAGAACATGAATTCGCACGAGGATGGGAGAGAGTTGCAAGGCAAAGTCAGTGAAGCTATGACGGCCGAGATTGGAGGTTGTGCTAAAATACACGATAATGTTCCACAGCTAGAAGAAGGGCAATATCAGAGCGTAGGAGGTCTCTAGAGTAAGAAGCAATAAGTCTTGCGCTTGAACCTGGAGCTTTTCCGTACCTCAGTTTGGCGGTAGCGGGCAATGCAGTTTTGAATACAAATCTTACGCCTATAGCAAAACACTGCACCTGGAGGAAGTAGCAGTCACGTTACCGTAAGCCTGTGGGTATCAATGGGTATCCATGATGGCTACAGGGCGCATCCAGTTATTTCAGCCAGTAAGAATCAAAAACACGGGTGTGCTTATAGTGCTGCCGAACCATTTCGACATCGTCCAATTCAATGCTTGCATAGGGCCCTCTCGCTGTCAAGAGCGGGTTCAACTGATGTGCAATACCCATTAAGTTATTCGGACATGTTCTGACATCATAAAATATCAGGCCATCGGCAGGGTTTGCGCTGTAATCCTGAGAATAATGATTCTGAATCCAACGGTCATGAAAGGTTAACGGACCGACGGCCAATAGTTCCAGCGGAGAAGAGAACCTGTGGAAGTGAAATGCCCAATCGAGAAACATGGTTGCGATGCTTTTGGTTGCGTCGATGACAAAAGCTGTTGTCAATAAGCGCCCTTTCGGCATAAGAAAATCACGACAGTGAAGCGTTTTCAGATGCGGGAGCCGTAGCATCGCATAGGGTCTCCGCGAGTGGATCCTATCGAAGCCCCGACCCCTCACGTAAAGTAGTCGCATGTTAAGGACGACGCTGAGTTCCTGGAGATTCGGGCAGGTCTGACTCAACAGCTCAAGAAAAGCAGGTTTCCCCCGAATATCATCCTCCAGCCCAAAGGGACGCTCATGTCGATTTTGTTTCCGAACTTCCCAGACGAGAACTTTTAAAGTCGGGCCATGTGCATACATGAATCCTGTGTGGTCGATCATTGTATTTTCGGGTTCATCGTCAAGGAGCACGGATAGCAGCTCTAGGCCAGTAAACGAAGTTAGAAACCGTACTAAGGCGATCTTCAATCCTAGCGTTGGACCTTCGTAACGGATACAGAACTCTTTCAGTCGCATCCGACTAAACACATATGGAGACATCATATGAGGCGCGGGCATTGATAGCACGTTCAAAAGGCCTTCTGTGCCGACACAGGACACAAGGCTGAGTCTTCTGAGATTATACAAGTCGAATGTGGGGCGCAAGGGGGCCAATTGATTTTGCAGCGGAGTCATGTCTATGCCAATGATATCTAATTGTGATAAATTGCCGAAGGTTACTTGCGCTTCGGCTAGTGGCTGCAAAACTTCATGTAAAGGCATCTGAATATATGGTGGATTCGACCTAGTAGTGGCGTTGCTGTCCACGATGAGGACTAGACGTTCATCGCCAAGCACGAAATGAGAGAGACGCCGGGTTAAACGGGCAATCAACGATATAACCGATGGGTTAAGGATTTTATTGCAGCCAGAGGCCTGAAACGCAGAGAACCCTATTCTCAACCTGGGGAATTGGTCCAAGCTAGGGTGTCCGGGGAGAATTGGGATTTCGTCACCCGTAAGCGTATATGTCTCGATCCCCATCAATGTATCGACATGGGTGTTAAAAAGGGAAGCGAAGGTATCGTGGTCCATTTTAAATAAATGAAACCAGCTGAGAGAGGGAAATTAGATAAGCCCCCTCAAGAACAAGCAGATTTTGGCCCATAGCTTACCGGACAGTTCGGAGACCGGAAGTATTGGAAAACAAAATTCGCATCATCCGGTTGAAGAGAATGGAATATTCGGTAAATAAGCGCTTCTGCCTCCATTCTCCAGAGCGACCAAAACGGTAAGGAGCTCCTATACTACATACACCTAGAATCCTTCTGCGTTTCGAATTTAGGATCGAAAGGTTTTGTACTAGAGACATATTACGTGAACCCGCGGACATAAACCGATTTACGTCCTGGATAAAGCCTTCGTGTTGGGCGAGGCGGAGCGAAACCGAAGTATATATGTTTAGACGAGCAGCATAAGACATGGCTCTGACCTGGGCCAAATTGAGAACATCTCGTCTTGAAACCTATTAATATCGATTAGCAGAATATCCTAACACGAAATAACGAGCAGAGTTCAACGAAATACTAACATATTCCAAGATCGCGCGCTGAAGTTCAATTGGCAATATCTCCAGTTTGGACGTAACTTGTGTTGTTTCTGGGGTGTTTATATGCCCCAACGCAACAGCAAGGCTTTGGCCAGAGTTCTGATCAGATGCCATCAGCAAGGAGGACCAGAGCAAGATTAGCCAACTCAGAAGACCGAAGGAAAAAAGCGAACGACGTGAAATGGGTATAGGGGGAAATTTTTTGCTGAATGCTTTCGGGTTCCTCGGGGGACTGTAAACGAAACGGAAGAACTTGGTTTTAAATAAACATCATTTCCTTCTGGGAACATGCCTGATCGCCACAAGATTGTGTAAGAGGGAGGGGAGTAGGCAAGCTTGCAAAGAATAGAGTATAATCGAATAGGTGGAGGAATCTTCATGAACCTAGAGGAAGATAGATTAGCCAATTGTAAAACGATGCTGACAATGGCCACGAAATCCCATTCAAACAAGGAAACCAGCTCATTAACAACACTATATCTTTTCCCCCTTAGCTTCTTCAAGACCCGTTATTGAACAAACTTTTCAAAACAGACTCGTCTGGGGAACAATGGAACAGAGCAGCATACCCTGTCATGCACTTAAGAGCTTCTGAGAGATTCCACTGTCCTCACCAGCTTTCACACCCAAATCAAGTAAATAGCCAGCTTGATCAGACACAATGGTGAACATCCTGGCCAGTCCTGGCTGGACTCTGTGCAGGCAGACATTCAGCTGCCATATTGGCAATCAGGACCAGCCAGTTGAAGAACTTGCATGCTGGAGAGCACATTGCGTGTCCCCAAGCAACTAGCAGAACTCAAAGAATTGGATGTCTTGAGTTGATGCATAGATGAAGAAATTTCTGCCACATGATAATACTCTGTCCTTTCCCTCTGGTAGAGGAGGATAGAATAGTGAGATTGTGGGAAAAGCTGTTGGTGAATTCAAAGCTTGTGTATTATATAGAGTTAAAGCCATACACGAGCCAACACCTTTACCAGCGCAGCCAAACCGCTGGCAGCGAGAGAAAGCAGCATGGAAGATAGTAGTAGTAGCCTTTCATAGAAAGGAATCCATGCAGTGCACACTAGTATGTCTTTATAGGCGCCCAGCCCAGTGTGTCCAGTCTTCGCAGACAAAGAGAGGAGAAGCTTAAAGCCATTTTTCTCCATGCTGGGCTTTAAGGAAAGAAAGAAGAGAAAAATCGTGCAAAGAAAAAAAAAGAGCAGAAATATGAAAGAAGAAAGGGGGGAGGAGAGAGAGTCCAAAGCCATTCAACCCTTTTTTATCCACACTGTTTGTTACCAAAGCTTTGACAATTTGCTAACTGATGATAGTATACATGTTAGAAGGAAATCTGAGGTCAGTCTGTTCCCCTGCTCCATCCTGAATAACTTTGGACCCTCACTACACATACCCAATGCACAACTAAAGTTAAAGAAGAACAAGGAGATAGAAAGAAACTTCTAATAGTGAAAATTAATGAGAAAAACAAAAATAAGTTGTTTGAAGGCAGGTCTTGAACAATCTAAGAAAAATAATACAAAATGGTGAAGGAGTTTATATGGACCAAATTCTCAAAAATACTCGTCTTGTATCACGTGATATTTACAACGGGACAGGTAAGCAAAAATATCATCCAACTACTACATGAAACAAGAAACGAAGGTGTAAGATTACAACTCAGCTTGGAGGTGGGATTCCAGTCCTTCAAGACACTCGCCGTAACAAAGTAAGTGAACACAGTCCGGGCGCATCTCGACATGCTGGTAGAGCGAGGAGAGGCGATTAAACCCAGTTTGGCAGGCTGGGCAAAAGAATGGGTTCATTGTGTCAAACCCTCTGAAATATTCGTCGCTGTCCATATACTCGGTGGCTACGTAATTCAGCTGCCCTCTGTCTGTGAAACACGTTCCGGATTCGAGATGGATTAGCATGGAAGAAAAGGATGAAAACATTCTGGTGCATCCGTAACATTCTCGGTCTCGCTCCTGGTGTGTGATCATATGCTACGAAGGTTAGTAGAGAGTAGATAGAATATAGCATAAGCAACGGGTATGGCAAACACATCTGCAAGTGCAAGTGAGTGCATGTCGGGGTGCCAGGGACATACCATCCGCCGATTGTTGTCGTTCTGGAAATAGCTGCCACACTTTGCACACATGAAATGCTGGTTGATATCATGCAGTGTGAGCGCATACTGATCGCGCGCAAACCAGTTGCAAGGTCGGCACCAGTTATGGTGATCCACATTATGCCTTGCCCATTCATCGTATGTTGCAAAATCCTCGTCACAATAATCTCTCTCGCAGACGTTATGCGAAGATGAATACTTCAGATGGTCATTCAGCGCCCTTGCATGTGGGAATACCCTTTCGCAACGGCAGCACCAGGAATGGGCAGCGGAGTCACGACAGTGCTGGGCCAGGGCAGTGAGAGATGTTGTGGTTTTGTAACAGTAGGCACATTCATATTCGGTCCGGCCGTAGTTGTTTCGGGTGATATATGGTCCTAGATTCACCATTTTTGCTCGCTGTCGAATAGCCTCGCCGGCAGATACGGCAGAGAGACCAAGTAGATGGGCATCGGGTGAAGTAGAGATAAAACGGGGATACACGATTGTAAGGTGCTGAATTGATCCCCTTGAAGAAATTTAAGAGAGCTCCAAAAACAGATAACTAATGAGCATGCGAATTAAAAGTTTAGCTAACTTAGCTTCCCCACAACATTTCACATAATAGGCCAATTGGCGGCCCATTCAACTTTCAAAAATGGCTCCAAACTGAAGGTATGGCGCAGCAATGATCTATGGGTTGAAATATTTGCACAATGGTGTTCAATCTGAAAGAAAAATACAAATAGAACTATATGAAATATGAACAAAATGCAACAAAACCATGAGGATCTATCTATCTTGGATCATGCAGTTCGGAATGGAAGAGGCTAATTTCGCACTAAAACAAACTCTCCGGCGAGTCGGTGCCCTTAGCTCTGAAACCGATTCAAAGCCAATATGTAGTCAAACTAGTGTAACGTACTTCACCACTTTTTGGGACACACCACTTCCTGGGACACTAAATCACATGATATAGTACAGTTTGAATACACCAATCAAAAGAATACAACTTCAACCTCACACACTCATAGATTACAGCTGCTTGATGTAGTATTTAATAATAATGAATATAGATCAACTTACTTTAGCAGCTTTAGTTGTTCAAAATTGTGAACTCAGTCAATGAGAAGCTGTCTGACTATATAATACTTCTAAATATAAAAGAGTAGATATATATTATTTCTATTTACTCCAGTCATATCAAGTCTGTGTGTAACATCTAAACATCTCAAAATTGATCTCTAGTGCAAGTACACTAGTCTGGAATAGGTACCCTAAGGCAGAGTTTTATATCATGTGATTTAGTGTCCCAGGAAGTGGTGTGTCCCAAAAAGTGGTGAAGTACGTTACTATTCCGACTTAAGCTTTAAGGGCCCTAAGTCCCTTGAGGATCCTTTTCCCACAACTATCTTTGGTGCAACGAGGGGCTACATGCCCCTTAAAATGCAATTGCGCCCTCCATTATTATAAAACATATTCGATTCCGCCATGTCAGTTACAATGGTAGAAATTAGGAGGTAAGTCATAACTCCGAGGAAAACTCCTTTTAATGCTAATCACTTGGGTTGGTTGCACCAAAGAATTGTCTCGAGAAGAATGTGTGCTATCAATCATGTTCACACCACTCAGAAGTGCTGAAAACTAAGCATACTATTATTGACAAAGATTGCTGATGAAATATTAGAATGATTAAGCGCAGCAAACTTTGAAACCACTTTAACCCTAAACTTCATGACGTGGGTGGATAGATTGCCTGGTGATATTTTTGAATCAGTGATATTCTACAGCTATTATATAGAGAAACTTGAGTAACAGATATTTATAGCTTTTAATGATGAGTGCTTAATTTGCAAGACTCTGCTTACTGATAGTTATTGTGATGCTTAGGTTGGGGGCCTAGGCATTTCCCAGGGGGTTTAACTATTTATAGGGTACATACAGGCTCCAATAATAGCGGCGGCTGTTATTGTGTAATGCCCTTGCCTGCCCGTACCTGGTTGATATTACACTAGGGTCCTCATTGCAGTGGATTTCAAGGGAAAAATGATGTACTTTGATTTGAGCTTGCTTTTTTATACTGTCTCAAGGGTTGTCTGTTGAACTCTTCCTTCAGGAGGTGATCATAAACCTTCCCTATGATGCTGCCTAGCATTATTTATAGTATCTTTACGGACTTCTAAAGTTCAATAGACTCCTGGTGGTACTTCGGGTCTCTCACTTCTTCTTCAATCAATTCAAAAAACTTTGATGGAATTGACTATGCATCATACAGGATTGATATCCTCGATATACTGGCTTGCGGCGTGAAAGGGGGGCTGATAGAGGGAGGTTTTGACAACAGTCAAAAGAGTCAAGAGATAGCAAAATGACGGGCCGGAGTGGGATCGGATGGATATGGTAAAGCAGTTATACCTGATATTCACTTTTGAATTGCCCAAAGCCTAATCAGGACACGGGTGCATAAATTTTTTATATATCACCTTGAGGGGTCAATTGCCCCTTGCCTCCTGTGGGGGATAATCCTCAGCATGTTCTCGATATGGGCGCGAGAGCAGGTCTTTAGGCAATAGAATCTGTCGATTGTGTAACTTGGTTGCAGGTCTCCATGGATATCAAATTTTCAGGCTTCCTAACAACGACACTGGCAGCAAAGATCCCAGCGCAGTCGTTCGAGCGAGTGACTTGAGTCCGATCCAAGCAATAAGGTAAGAAATTCCCCAGGCAATGCAATGTTCTGGCTTAGTATTGAGAAATCCAGTGTTCCGCCAAAATTGCATTTTCGAGATTGATGATTTTGGTATTTGGGCATTGCCCTACATATTTGATTTCATCCATGAACATGAGCTGGGGGATTCAACCCATCACTGTGATAGATTACATGCAGAAGCTTTCCAGTCTTTGAAACGTGGTGAGCATCTTGAACTCCAATCACTTGAGCTGGAGACGGCCTCACTAGCAACTTTCACTGGAGAGCTTTGATGGTGAATTCTGACTCGAGGAAGAAATACTCTGAAAGGAAAGAAGCTTCATGTGGTATATGAACAAAGGCGAGATACTGTAAAGTAGGGAAGAATGTACAGTATATACCTTGTACCAGCAAAATCCATTGCGTTTTCTCTTCTTTGTGATCTGTAGAGTGAAGTGTTTTGCCTTCCAGCGAGTACAGAGTGAAAAGGAGACTCTAAAGTTCGTAGTTGACACTCACGCCTTCAAAGCACGTCGAGTTTTCAAAATACCCGATTATTATCATGGAATCCTCAACACCATCACAAGGGGTTCCTATAAAAGCTGTGCTGTGTACTAGTATTCATCAACCCACTTCGTTAACCGAGCAACTATCCGTTCATTCAGAGCCTGGTATAACGTAACGGAGTGCAATCCCTGATTGAACCTTGAAGAGGTGAGGAATGGTTTGTCCACATATGAAGGATCTTGAAACAACTCCTTTTCTTGACAAAAGCTGCGTGTGCACGATGTACCGTCACTGAACGACCATGGGATTTATATTATTCTGTTAACTACTCCGTATTTTCGACGCCAATCCTTCCGTGATTTCGGAATATTCTTGCTATTAATAACTAGCTAACTTCCCGACTTCTAGGACTAACGATTAAAATCTAACTGCTCAAAGGCTCCAGAAGAGATTTCCCCCAATCATGGGCCAGACAGCGCTTACAGTTCCTCATTCCGGCTGGAGCAGAGTTATTTCAAGTCTCCTTGGTGCGAAAACATGGTACAGCTGCTGCACACATTATGCTTGTGAGGGGTCTTACTCCTAGCCCTCGTCTGCTTGTACGGAGTACGGAAGCTGGGTAATTATAGAGGATTAAAGGCTTTGACAGTTGCGATCGAAGAGACTGGCTCATACCGCCAGCCAATTTCCCAACAATTGTTTTGAAGTTTTCAATTCAATGCAGAGAAGGAAATAAAATAATAAAAAAAAAAAAAGCAAAGAAATTGGAACATCCGAGAGGAGAGGGGAAAACGTCCGTGCAGTACACACCGAAAAGCCACATTCTCCTGGCGTTACATTTTCATTTACCTCTTGCCTTTGCCAGGACCCTGAATAATTGAAATTGCACTCCCCTACGAATAAGACGGCTGACGTGGTCGAGGGTGCCATGATCAGGTGCAAGGCGAACAGCCAGTTCGACGACACCCATGAACGCCTCCTCAAGATCGGTCGATCTTTTGATCTGTCGTTCTGTCGTAGCCTCTGTCATCATTATGATTTCAAGCAACTCCGCAGCGCTGCCGTCCTGCAGCTGAAGGCGAGGAAAGAGCATGGAAAATGTGGCCAGGTCCAAATGTTGATATTGGGCCAATCAGAACCTACGCATGTTGGTCAAAGTGAGCGTCGAACCCTTGCAAGCGGAAGGTATTTTTGGTTCTTTCATGCATGAGCATTAGCCGGCGTCGTTTTCGGCCGGTCCAATAGACGCTGCGACAGCCACGAATTGTTGGTTGGTAACCGTTTACAAACGGACACAGTGTCATGGGTTTGAAGCAGATGAATGCGGGTCGATAAATCCATCAATTTTTGGTCCGGGAAGAAATGCCGACGATGGATGAGGATTCGGAGGAAGTACAGTTTTGCCTCTTCATTTTAAAATTACACCTAAGCAACGGTTGACGGCCACTTCTTCCATCATTTAAACGTTTCTCACCACCACTCCCCACTCTCCCCACTAGCGGTCGAGACCCTGGGTGACGCTGGGTGGTAAAAAAGGGTCAAAGGGTTCAATGGGGACTTCTCGCGTATCCGTGAGAAATACAGAAGATACTCTTACCCTTACGCGACTCAAGCGGATAGTTACTTTTGAATCCGCCGGGATATGATTCGGGAAAACCGAATATGGCCAGAAAAGGGAAAGAGCATGTCTTAGGAGACAGGGACAAGAGTGTACTGCATTGATACCCGGTCCAAATAATGGGATATAACCAAGCCCGTCCCAGTGCAGAGCTGACACTTCATCCAATAACGCTCAACAAAGCACCAACATTCACCCTCAGCCGTACAACCCCTCTGTTCTCTGAGAGCCTCCTCGTTGTCTTTTCGCCCCAGCCTTCTCATTATTTCCTCACTCACTGCAACCTCTCCTCTTTCCCATTGTGCTTGGTTGATTCTCTTGTGAATTTTGAATCACTGAATCTCGATTTTTTATATCGTTGCAGGAGTTCTTCGATATACATCAATCGAAACTCCCAAGCAACTGGAAGCGAATAGTGAGGAATTGTTGACCGACAAGATCATCATGAGCGGAGGGCCAGGCGATTTCACCGGCGGAACGGGCCCAATAGCGACATCTTCATCGTCAATAAAAACAGGCCCGGCCACCCATACCATTTCAGTTGCGCCAAAGCAGAGTCCACACGGGTACGATCCAAATTCCATTGAGGCAGATGTAGGCGATGAAATTGTTTTCGAGTTCTATCCGTCGAACCATTCGGTGGTGAGGGCCGATTTCAACGCTCCGTGTGTGCCGGCAAGCCATGATGTATTCTTTTCAGGGCATTTCGAATTAGATAGTTATACAACAGTCAGTTTTCTTTCCTATTTCTCGCATCCCTTTCTCTTCCATTACCTCATTCGATATGGCTAGATGTTACTAACTCTGTTTCTCTCTTCTTAGCCTAAAATATGGACCTGGACGGTTGATACTGCGGAGGTATATCCTTCTTTTCCCTTTCCTTTTGGTCTTACCGGCTTCGCTTTCTTTCATTTCAGTTTCATGAGGGAGCAAAGTAAAGCAAATCGTCCCTCACTAACAGGACTCCTTAGCCGACTTTCTTCTACTGTACTGCGATTGGTTCATGCATGACCAACGGAATGGTTGGCGCGATCAACCCGGTATGTAAAAAAAACTCTCATAGTCCGCGATGCAAAAAAAAAAAAAAAAAAAAAAAAAAAAAAAAGCAAAAAGGAAATAAAAAAACCCCTCATTCCATGGCAAACATCTAGCTAACAAACATGACCCTTCAACCGTCCTCCCACGCAAAAATAGAATGAAACCATGTCCTGGGAAAAGCAATACAATAAAGCCAAGCGTGCGCCGTTCCAACTGGAACCGGGCCAGAGCCCTCCAGCCGAAGGTCGAGAAGGAGGTCAATCAACAGACACACCCCAAAATCCATCCCCCCACAGCCACTCTCTAAGCGGCGGCGCCATTGCCGGCATCGTTGTGGGCGCGGTAGTCGGCCTCGCCGTACTCGGCGCCCTCTTCTTCCTCCTAGGCCGCCTGGATATTTACCGCAAATGGGTCCGGTCCGAAGATGGCGCCAGCGCCGACCGCACGCGGCGATGGGCGTTATCGGCCAGCGGTGGCGGGTGGTCAACAGGCGCGAAGAGCGAGGTTGGTGGCGCGCCGCCAAGCGAGATGGGTACAACTGCCGTGGGTTCGCAACCGGGTCATATGAGCTACATGAGCGTGGATAGTTCGTTGAATAACCGACAATCGACTGCTGGGTTTAACCCATCTTCCCCTCCGCCGTCATGGGGCTGGGGTAAGCAAGGCGGTGGGAATATCAATGGCGTTGTGGAGTCGAATAGACCAGCGGATATTCCGGAACACGTACCACAGGAGTTGAGCGGTGATGGGACAGGCAACTTTGCTGAACTGGATGCCGGGACTTACCTTCCTCCTACGCCGAGGAAGTAGTAGTTGGGGCGCTCAGTTGTATATGATGGAGAATGGGCTTAATGCTAGAACGGGGTTTTATCTCTTTTGTTTTCCTGTCATGTTTTGCTAAGGTGTTACTATTATGGGTGTGTTTATACAGAAACTTATGGGAATTGCTTTTAATCTCAATGTCGATCAAATTTTGCCGCTTTTTCGGGTTTTCTCTTTCTGTGCTTAACCTTTCCTTCTCATTAACTCCCCCGTATCTCCTTGTCGCTTTGGTAGTTTTATGACTGGATGAATGGGATCACCAATGCCAGACAAGAAATATAGACGAATTTGTACATGTACAGTACATGTACAGTACGTACATAGTATGATATTTACATTTTTCGAAACATTGGAACTCCACACTAGGTACGTCCTTTGTGCCGCTGGTGTTTTTGTTCGAGGAGTGTTGAGACTCTGTGCACGTAGGAATTCATCGGTAATGTTCATCCTGAATTTGATGTGATGGAGGCATCTCATCTCAAAGCATACCTGCTCGCCCTGAGGTGGTGCAGCCAAGAAACCAGCAGCAGCAGGAACAAAAGAAGGGGGAAAGGGAGGCGTTTGGGTTTCACTCGCTCCCTGCCGGCGTGGATTCAGGGGTAAATGGGAAACAAAACAAATCAGGGCTCAGGTCAGTAACTAGCACAGCTGACTACTGACTAAGAACCAGCCATCGAGAGAGACTTGTATGTTCGATGCAGTTGAGCTCGTTGAGGAATATAGGCAGGCTTCCTACAACCGACTGTTAGTTATGCATAACTGGAAAAAGCGCCAATTGTCATTCTTTACTGAGAAAGGCAGGCTACGTTGGAGGTACGGAAGATAGTTAACTACCCAAGGTATCTGCCTGCAAAGACGATAGGCCGCTTTCCACCAAGTGGGCTGTATCCAAAAACCTTCTGACTTAATTGAGTCTTGATATTGATCATTCCTTGGGTATTGTCCATTGCGATATGTATGGCTGTACTTCGTTAACCCCGCAGAGTTTATAATACCTCCGCAGACGCTGTGTGGAGCCAATGATTTGACAAGTGATCAGTGATCTCAAAGCTAATTCATGCCCCTGGACTGGTATACTGAAAAATCTTGGGATGCTCGGGATTGAAGTTGGGTTGCCTGGTATGCCAGTCTTTTTACCCTTGAGAATTAATCTCTCTGTCTAATTCTCTAGATAAATAGTTATTTTAACTGGCAATTAATGAGTTGTTGTTTGCGTGTTGGCAAGTACAATTTGACCTCCTAAAGAATTGAACAACAGCACAGTTGTTGGCTCATTAATCTGATGTTTGACAACACATAAAATCAGAAACCATATGAGAGAGGCACTGAGTACCAGAAAGGACAGGCTATCATCCAATTTTCAGTGCTGGGCACATCAGGGCCTTTATTGCTTTTTTCATCAATGCTACTAATACTACAGATTAATTCCAAGGTTGACTTGGCAACTCACACATAGTCGAAGCTAGACGGACACATAAGGCCGTCCAGTAAAAGGGCAATTTAAAAAAGATTATGAAAAGCAAGTCATACATGCTCTTTTTTATTTTCTCTCCAGCATCCGATGTAAGAAATCCCAGGGAATATGAAAAGACAAGGGGCCGAAATATGAGGTAGGAACCACAAGTATCTATGGAAATCAAGAGGAGAAAGGAAAAGGGGGACAGAGAGCCCGAGGTATCGCCGATGACATGCTCACAGAGGAAAGCCAAAAAAAAGATAAACATTAAAAGAAAACCAAAAGGGAACGAAAATGTCGCAAAAAATGTACGCCGCAAACCATCTATCCATAAGCAATAATAGAAATACGACCATGAATACTATGACTGCGCAATCGCATTTTTAACCCACTTCTCCAACCCACCCCGTGCAATAATCTCCTGCACATTTGGCGGCAACTCGCCAACCTTGTGAGTCCATTTTTCCCCGCCCTCACCCTCCTGCACCTCAATCCGACTCCTCCTAACATCCCACGTCAACGTCCACCCGGTTCTTCGTGTGAGCGCCTTCTTGCCAGCTCCGGTACTGCTAAACGACTCCCTCAACCGCTCAATCAGCCTCGGTACCTCCAACCCCATCAGCGCATTGTTGATGCTGTTGCGCGAGAAGATATTGCCAAAGCTCCCCGCAACGACGAGTGGGATGCGCTTGGCCAGGATGGCGGTGGCGGCCTGTTCGCGCGAGCTGCCGCAGCCGAAGTTGTAGCCTGTGACGAGGATATCGCCGGCGCGGGCGAGTTGGGAGAAGGCGGCGTCGTAGTTGGACATGCAGACTTGGGCCATTTGGTCGGTGGAGATGTTGTCTTGGTAGGTGTATTTGCCGGGGTAGATGCCGTCGGTGTTTATGTTGTCGGCGTCACAGAAGATGATTTCGCCGGAGACGCATTCGGGGAAGCCTGGGAAGAGCTCAGTGAGAGCGCTGGATTCAATTCCTGGTTCTTCTTGTTGTTTTGATTGCTGGGAAGGTTGAGATGTTGAGGTTGATGATGTGGCTTCGTTGCCATAGATCTTCTCCGCATCTTCGACCATGTTATCAAGCTGGCCGATGACTTTAGCAATGGCTTCTTCAGCGGTAAGCATCCTATCCTCTTCCTTGATGCCAACTCCCTCACCGCGACTAACGCCAGCCCAACCCTCTGGCTTTTCGTACCATCCCGGCCCGCTAATTGTGCCGCGCAGCGCGCTGGCGGCGACGACTTCGGGACTAGCAAGGTAGGCCTTTGCTTCCGTACTGCCCATGCGGCCCTTGAAGTTGCGATTTGTGGCGCTGATGCCTACTTCGCCTGGCTCCAGGAGACCAGTGCCTAGGCCGATGCAAGGTCCGCAACCGGCCGGGAGTGGTTGAGCCCCTGCTTCAACAAGGACTTGCCAGTCTCCAGCCTCCTCTGCAGCGTTCTGTTCGGGGATAGAGGCGGCAGCAATGTAAAATTTGACGCCATCTGCTAGCTTTGGAATTTTTCCGTCATTTTTCTCCGCCGCCTGCCTAAAGACCTTCGCAGCAGCGGCCAGGTCAGACGCTCTGGAGTTCGTGCAAGAGACGAGATACGCTTTGTTAACCTTGATATCTTGTGCTTCTAGCTTGTCTAATGGAGTAGCAACTTTGACTGAATTGGGGCCAGAGACGTAGGGAGCCAGTGTAGAGAGATCTAGATAGAGTTCTTTGGAGTACTTGGCACCCTTGTCCGCAGCCAGCGGCCGCTCTAACACCTTATCCAGTTGAGAATGTGTGAAGCGTGTATTTGCCGAGCTTGGAAGACCGTTCACAGATGAGCCCCACATAGCTGCAGCTGTTGCTTTGGATCTCAGCCAACCTTTCAAAATGTTGTCGACAGGGAAGATGCCAGCAAGAGCACCCCACTCAGTAGTCATATTGGCAATTGTGAGTCTATCATCGATCGCTAAACTTCTCATGGTTTCCTCCGATCCCGTGAATTCAATGGCGTGATTAAGGACATCGTCCTTGTCGAACAGGCCACATAGAGCGACGATCACATCTTTACCCGTAACACCCTTGGGTAAAACACCAGTAAAGTTGACCTTTGCGACTGGAGGGATCTGCCACCACGTCTTCCCCGTAGCCCAGATACTCGCCGCATCTGTCCGCACCACAGGGGTACCGAGACATCCCACGCCTCCGTACATGTTGGAGTGGCTATCAGACGCTACCACCAAGGTGCCAGGCCAAGCATACCCTTCTTCAACCATGATCTGATGACCAATGCCGCGCCCTGCAGGATAAAAATCCACATCATGAGTCTTTGCAAACAGTTCAATCTGCTGATACTTGAGCAAATTCTTCTCCGACTTATTCTGCACATCATGGTCGAGAGTCATGACGATCTGCTTGGGATCCTGAAGCTTGGAGGCACCAATGGACATGAATTTGAGGGCCACGGGCCATGAATTGTCATGGGTCATGCATTTGTAAGGCGAGATGGTGACATAGTCGCCGGACCGCACCTTTTTACCTGGCGCCAGGCCGATGGAATACTTTTGGACGATTTTCTCGACGAGGGTCTGTGGTTCTGGGGCGGTCGCGGATTCAAGAGAGGAGAGAATGGCGGCAGTGGAAGGGTCCTCCCGCTGGGAGTGGAATACGTCTGGATGGAAAGTCCATGTTGAAGCGGAGAATGGACGGTAGCATCGTTGGACTGACAATGGGGTTCGTGGGAGAATTCGAGGAATATGGGTTGCGGCGAAAGACCGGATCTATGGAGACTTGTTAGGAGGGGGCAATCCAGTTACGGCCTTGGAAACAAATTGGCAACGTACAATCATGATGGCAGTGGGTAATATGATACACCCCACTGCTAGTAGTTGGATATAGCATTGATATGACGCCGCGATATTGAGTTGCCGTTTTTACATATTTTTTTCGGGCCTTTGGCCCACAGCCAATGAAACCTTGTGCTTACTCAGTTAACGTAATCCGGCATCTATAACTAACTAACTGGTTATAGTTAAATTAGTTATAGGTGGGTCGGGTTACGGCGTGTTTGAACCCAACCCTCACAATAACCTGGTTATATGCAGAGGTGCAGTCACTCAGCCATCAATGCCACTGCATATAACCTGATTATTGCTGGTGTGTGTTCAATTTCATATTCATATATACAGAATACTTGTATTTAGTAAGAGAAATACTATTAAATTCAGATATATGTGACTTTGTATATAGAAAGTTATATAATCACTAGACTGGCCGTGTGACCATGCATGGGACTGGGACCAAATTTTTCCTCAGTCCCATTATTAGATATCTTAGTCCTGGTCCCATATAGTGTTTAGTAAATTAGTCACTTTACACTGTTTATATTATAAATCTAGTCCCAGATCATGTTTTACTAATAAATTAGTGGTCCCAGTCCCATTTGGTCCCATTTTACAAAATGGGACCAAATGGGACCATGATTTACCCTATATAGGTTGGCAGCGATAGATTAGCAGTGATAGATTAACAGTGGTATGTAGGTTGGCAGCGGTAGGTAGATTGGCAGTGGTAGATACGTTGGCAGCGGTAGGTAGGTTGGCAGCGATAGATTACCAGTGATAGATAGATTAGCAGCAATAGATTAGCAGCGATAGATTAGCAGCA